AGACTGAAATATCTGTAGAGACAGGACGTTTATATAGACCGTTTTCCTGATATCCTTATTGCCTTGCTCATTCTGATCATTCTTGGCAAAATGATCAGAATGATCACTCTGACCAATCAACAGTATCCTAACCCTCAACCATTGGCTAATGCGCTCATTTTGATCATTTTCCCAAAAATGATCAAAATGATCACTCATGTGACTGATCACGTGTTACTTCGTAACACTAATATTTTCATTCTGTTATTTAAGAAATATATCATAGATCTCATTCTGGATCAACAAAATCTTACTAAGCTTCCGCCCTCCAATAAGCATAGCTTAACTATATTTTGTTTTATTTACTTTATAAAACTAAGGTAGGTCCTATTGCTTATATAGACTAATTATCCCACTTTTCACATAACCTCAGTTAGTTGAATACCTCGGTTATTACTTAATACCTGAATGACTAATGTTTTCATTCTGTTATTTAAGAAATATATCCCAGATCTCATTCTGGATTAATACTAGATCTCATTCTGGATCAACAAGTAAAACAAAATATATATCTTAAATATATAAGTTTTCTTCTATGTAAATCTTACTAAGCTTCCGCCATCCTATAGCATAGCTTAACAGTTTTGACGGGGCTATCAGCGCATTGTAAGAGGGCCCTCCTATCAGGGCCGGTATCTAGCGTTGCTAAGGCGCTATCCCAGCAGTAGTACAACCCTACTATATAAAGATATATTTATACCTCCTAGCTAAGGGGAATAGAAATTCCCTAGTGATCACTCTACAATATACATAAAATCTCTTACTTGCCTCCTATGCCCCGCCATCTAGCCTATCCCGTTCCCTTACTCGCATTTACTCCCGAAGAACATACATCTGTTATTTGAGGAACACAGCCTCTCTGTAGGCAATTGATATTGTAAGGGGTTGATGTAAGCGTGATATCAATATGGGAAGCAGTATATCTGGATTAGGTGTCAAGACTGACGACTAAGTAAACTGAGCTGAGTGCTATGCGTGGTATAAATACCCCTAGTCTATGGGGCATGTGACACGCGACGAAACGCACGTGTCCCGTAAGCCTGTACCCTCTCACTTCCTTACAGATATGTCGTAACTCTTAATTGATCTTTTATTCACGCCAAAATCTATTAAAAACATTCTCCAATCACCTATTAGAAATATCTCTTCCGCATCTCCTCAAGGCGCTGAGCAAAGTCGAGAACCTGCCAATCGTATCCGAACTGACCAATTACCTGCAAGCCAGTATTCCTGCTCGGATCCAGTAATTTACAGGTGTTTTCTTTAAGGTCCCACGGTATACTCAACGCGGGTAAACCCGCCAAACTCGCAGGTACAGTAAACACATCATTGGTGTATTGATCGACAGGATTTTGCCTTACAAGTTCTTGAACGGGTGGTGGCGGCGTGGGCGCAGTTGGACAGAGTATTATGTCAACTCTTTGCGAACTTGGCAACATTATGCTCTTTTCTTGATCAGAGCATGTGTCTTCCTCCAGAGATGTTGAGTCGAGAAGCGGGTGAGGTGCAGCGAATACGTTATTAAATTCCTTTTGGACCAGCCGCCGAACCTTTTGTGCCTGGATAAAGTAGTTGCCGATAGCATCAGCACTAAGCGAATAGTTACCCAGTAATATTCGGCGCCTGACCTCAGTCCCCAGACAATTCGACCTTGTCTTTGAGAACAAAATACCGCTTGCACCATCGGTGCCTTCCTCTCGTGCGCCGTATCGGACGCCATCATACTTTGCTAGGTTTGACGCGGCCTCTGCAGGCGCAAGAACGTAGTATGCTGAAAGAGCAGACCTGGTCATTGGAAGGGATATAGGGATCACTGTGTGTCCTTCGCGCTGACACGCCTCAAGAGCGTTATGCCAAACCTGGCGAACCAAAGGAGATAATTCTTCTATGTTGTACTCAATCGGAACACCCACAGTCCACTTTTTTCTCCTGTTCTCTTCTAATTGGCTAGTATTATCTTCAGTAGAATGTTGCGATCGAGAGATTCGTGCTATCGAAGTGGGCAGTAGTGATGTCGGATCTTGAATATCAAACACGCGTAGAGTAGCTGCATAGGGTCAATAGATGAGACATCGCCGATGGGACATGACCACATCACGTACTGAATATTTTCTTAACCCGAGAGATTGATCTCGCAAATATTCCCACAGTGTCGAGACTGTTGGCGTAAGCAACAACTCCCCACCTGCTGATCATTCCGTAGCTCGGCTTAAACCCAACGACACCGCACCATGCTGCAGGAAGTCGCACACTGCCACCGGTGTCTGTGCCTATAGCCGCATCACACATGCCTTGTTGTACTGCTACGGCTGAGCCTCCGCTGCTTCCACCAGCAGTATAAAGGATCTCTTGACTGTCTGGCCTCAAACAACGCTGAATGACAGGCCCGAAATGCGAGTTCATAGAATGAGAACCCATGCCAAATTCGTCCATGTTCGTTTTGCCAACGATCCGAGCCCCATTTTGCTTCAGAAGCGTAACGACTGTTGCCTCGTAAGGACTGCGAAAGCCGGACAGAGTCCTGCTCGCACAAGTTGTATGGTAGTCCGAGGTGCAGATGTTATCCTTGATGGCCACAATCATGCCTTCATGCCTGAGAGGAGTAGTTGCATGGTCGCCCCGGCCGTCGACATTCCGGTCCTTGAGAAATGGTGTATCGGCATCGTGGCTTATGAACGAGCTGCATGGGTCTTGGGCACCTAGTAATTGGTGCAAGGACGAGTGGCTGCACGCGCTCAGAAAGCGTCTGAACTGGTGGGGTGCTACATTCTGCTTCGGAATTCGAAGCAGTGGCATTGAGATGGCTGCAGCGCGGTGGATGAGAAAATGACTTGGAGCACTACTGGGTTTGTCGCACTGTGAAGCTGCCCGTGTGGAGGTAGACTGGCCGCTCCGAGCCAATCAAAAAACATGGGGCCACTTAACCTCATCTAGGACCACTTGGGATGTAAGTAAACTTTTTACACATGCGAAGCGTGAATAGAAGCCATATTCCCTTAATTTCTAGCTTGCACATGTATATATGCCTTAAAGCGATGTAATCTGCAAAACAACTAATTGTTCCCGGTGAACTTGTACTGATCCAGCTTTCTCCACCAAAATGATCTTGCCGTCTACGCACACTCTTCGCCACTTGTCCTCGTTCTCTTCAAAACTAATAGCAAAGCCATCCACTTCTTTGTAAACGACAGCCTTGTCTTGAACATGTTTACCTCCCTGGTAGGCCAGATTCATAATACGCATGATCTCGTTCCCATCGCTCTTATGATTAACATGGACAAGTTGAATCTTGCCGCTGAAAGGTTCTGAATTTGGCGAAATTGTAAAAGTCTCCTCAAGATTAGAGACAAGAGTACCCAGGACGTAGGAATGTTCATTGTTGCCCAACCTCTGCCAAGAGATGGATCCTCGATCGTCGGTTGTTTCCACAGTGAGTGCGCCGCGGTACTTGTGCGGGCCCGAGCCATCAGACGGAAATAAAGCATCTTGAGCAGCCATTGCAAATCGCTTGACACCATGTTTCCGAAATTCAGGAGTATCACTATCTGCCACAATCTGAGCGTGAAATCCCCAACTGAACACCACAGCTCCCCAAAACAAGGAAGCATTTGTGCCTTGCTGAACCAGTTGATTTCGCTTGCGCCCTTGATCTGATAGTAGGAAAGGCCCTTCCCTGGCGTGAGAAAACTCAACTCGAATAAGAGGGAGGTCTTTTGGTTCGCCCCTTAGCCATGATGCCAAGCCATTTGTGCCATCAAATATCTTGGTAGAATGGGCGAGTGCATTGCCGGTACCCATCGGAATTAGGGATACCAAGGGTGGTTTAAAGCCTTCAGGCAAGCCTTTCGACGACAACAGTTCGTTAACAATATCCACAATACCGCCATCTCCAGAAAGTAAGACAATATGCTGTTTCTTGCTGCGCAAAGCTGCTGGAAGAAAAACATTTTTGGATAGTTCCGTAATTGTAGTAGCCGATGTGGTCTTACGGACGATAAAGCGGCTTGAAATGTTAAGTTGTTCTAACAGTGGCGCAATAACTTGATGATAGAAGCTTTCTGCGAGACATTTTCCGGACAACACAGAGATTATGATATGACCTTCGACATCTTCAGGACCTGGACGGAAAACGAAGGCGTCAAGGGAATCAGAGTCAGCGGGAGGATCACACTTGATGGCGAACAGCTGGGAGTCTTTCAAGAAGAACAGAGTCGACTGACTCTCGCGGACATCCGCACATATGATCGATGAAGAATCTATGTGCTCCGTGTTTCCATTGTATGTAAAATGGAGGCCAGCCTATAGGCTCGTCAGCAGAAGATCGCACAAATTCAGCGAAATGACGAAACGGCTTACAAAAGGAGAGAGCTCTGTTACGTCTACGGGGACTTCACTTTGCTTGTTCTCGCCCCCGAAGGCAACGAGGTTGCCCGGCGCCATGGCAAGCTTGAAGATGTCCAGGAGGCATTGTAGGAAGCTCAGGAAGATGATCTGTAACTAGGCGAAATGCAACCGCGACAGTGGGCCCCCAAAGGGCACCCAGCGTACAAGGTAAGATACGGCAGGGTAGGTTAGCGGTTGCCCGATGCGCCACGCTAAAGCTGCCGTACTGAGACCTGCAGCATCGACATCATTTCCGGGTCCAGCACATTTTTCTTGCCCGACCCATGCTTCGCCTGCTTTTTCACACATCCGATTTCCCATCGAGCTATTGCGCTTGCACGTCAACCTTTTTCGCGGAATGATCGCAGTATGAGCAAAAACCCCAAACCTGAGGTGTCTTCCGGTTGGATCCGACTCCACATAACACCTTTTCGCCCGGAGTTGCTCACCACGTACCTGGGGCCAGCACTTGCACCGCTCGCGAGGAACATCTCTTACCATTCTGCGCAGACATTTCCAGAAACAGGTTTTGGTTATCTGGAACTCCCTGCCATGGAAGCGACTAAAATCAAGCACAAGCTTAACGGCTCAATCTTGCGAGGCCAGAAGATTCGAATTGAAGATGCAAGGCCTGAAAAGAGAAAGCGGCAGCTCAATGAGGGGGAAATAGAGCAGGCACGACAAAATGAAACCGAGCGACCACCTAAAAAATTGCGAGGGACCAAGAAGAGCAAGGCGGGCGAACAGGTTCTACAGGGTTATGAGCTAACAGGCGATCGTAAAGTCGTGAGAGGTTGGACGGAATCGATAGCGGAAAAGAAATTGATGAAAGAAAGGAAGAAGAACAAAAAAGAAACGGTCGACAAATTCACGGAAGAAGAAAGCGAAAAAAAGGAAAAGAAGGCGCCAAAGAAAAGGAGGGAGGCATCTAAATTCACAAATGGACCAGAATGCTTGTTTCGCACAAGTTTGCCTAAAGGGACTGAGACGGTGGATGTGAATGAAAAGAAGGACCAAAAAGAGAAAAAAAAGAAACAGCGTCAGGGAGTGGTCGTTGTGCATGAATTCTCAAACACGAAAAAGCATGCTTCATTCTTGAAGACGACGAGAACCTCTGGCAGTAAAATGACTCAAGAGTACGTAGAGGGCAAGGGCTGGGTTGACATTGATGGACAGGTCATTGAAGCGGAAACGGAAAGGCAGAAACAAACGCGGGAGAGAATGGCGAAGAGAGATCGAGAGATTATGGATGTTGAGGAAGAGAAGAAGAATACAATAGCACTAGAGAGCGATCGTTCTTCTTCGGAGCCTTCCTCATCCGAACCTTCATCCCTATTAACCGATTCCTCGTCTGAAGAGGAAAATAGTGAAATGGGAGCAGATGACATTACCCCGAAGGCCGTACATCCACTCGAAGCGCTCTACAAGCGGCCAAAGCTCTCTTCTCTAGATACCACGCTAAGGAATACCACGAGAGAGCCGGGATTTACATTTTTTGGTGATGTTCACGATTCTGACATTGAAATTGAGGACAACTCCGGAGATAAAAGTGATCCGCAAACCCCATTCACAAGACAGGAAATGGAGTCCAGGATTATTCGCAGCGGCGCACCGACGCCAGACACTGCAGCCATTGGCAGAAGGTTATTATTCTCTGTTAAAGAACAAAATAATGAGAACGAAGACGAAGAGGAAAACGAAGATCACATAAATGAAGAAGATGCGCACGCAAGCAATGATAAAAGTGCCGCAATGAATGACGCTGGTGCAATAGATGGCGTTAGACATGCAGACATCAATTATAAGAAGGAGAGCGAGTTTGCCAAGTGGTTTTACGCAAATCGAAGCGATAACAATCGAAAATGGCGCTCACGAAGACGGGAGGCGATGAAGATAAAACGGAAGCGTGAAAACAGACGATTGACGAGGAGAATAGTCTAGTCATTTTCTTACGCTTGAGGAGGGCCCCTTTACTCGTCTTTATTGCCCATAGAATCACCATTGTTACTTCAGATATCAGGACATATCAGTTATGTCATCGAAGAGCAGTCTCATGTTGCATCCCCATATCCCAGAAGCCCTTCTCAAGCTTTGTTCCCTTGATGAAGATATCCACAAGTTCCTCTAAACGATGAAGACTAATCTTTCTTGCCTCCTTCTCAACTAGCTTCCGTCCGAGCTGAACAGCTTCAACATAGTCGTCAGCCACATAGTTCTTAATCCACTTCCAATACAAGTTGCCTTCCTTTTTTGTTTTTGGGTCGTCGTACAGGCGTCGAGCTATTACTCCGTAGCCCAGTAAGCACGGAAGCAGGGCAATCTGGAGTGCGAAGAAGTCTTGCTGATGCCCAATATCGAGGACAAATCGTGTATATGCAGTGCAGGCTTGATCTTCTTCAGTAGAAATTATCTGCTCCTTGGAGATCCCGAACTCTTGTTCGCAGTATGAAATGTGTAAGCTTGTCTCAGCCTGGATGTGACGCACAATCTCGGCAGATCTATTTATATCTCTCATGTTGTTGGCCTTGTACGCGGCAAGTGCATTGGCGCGTGAAAATTGGATAAGGAATAAATAGTCTTGTATTAGGTAATATTTGAACCTTTCGACCGGCAACGTGCCTTCAGCCATCTGGCGTACAAATTCGTGCTCGGTATAATCGGACCATGGGATGCGAACGTCGGATCGTTCAAGAATATAATCTACGAAGTGATCGGCAGAGAATGGCAACGAATATGTTGAATGAAAATGATTGATAGGGCCAGATCCATGACCAATCGATTGGCTATACTTGATGCCAGCTTCAACGTACCTACTTGCAGCCTGCACAGCTGCCGGAACATCTAAGCCGTTTGCGAGGTTGGCTGCAATAGCCGCTATGAAGTGTCAGTCATTGCAAATCAGCCAACGGCTGCCGATTGTGGATAGAAAGGCAGTGAAAGCAAAGCCCTTGGGTCACAGTATCGGTCAAAAATGGTGAGGAGTTTTGTTCTAGATGCTGCAGTCATGAGTTGGATACTTACAAGCCAGGGAGCATCCTGTTCCATGAGTATTTTTTGATCTCTGATAGTTATTCTCGATTATATATTCTTGGTCTGATGAAACGAGGACATTGAACACGGTATGATGATCAGCAGCCGCTGCTGATACATCGCCATCTTTTGTCAACGGCAAATGACCGCCTTTGAGGAGGACATACTTTGGTCCAAGCTTTTGCAGGCCTTTCGCGATTGCCACCAGGTCATCTTTCCGCTCAGGTTTTCGGAAAGGAAAACCTGCTTCTTCGAGAAGCAACTGGGCTTCAGGAATATTCGGAGTCAACACCGTAGTGAGCGGTAATACATCAGACAGCAGAGGCTTAACAGAGTCTTTAGGTAACAATTGGGCTCCCGACGTTGAAACCATGACGGGGTCAACGACAGTGCGACAGACTTTATGCCTTTTCAAAGCATCTGCAACTACCTTGATCGTCTCTGTTGATGCTAGCATCCCTTTATAGAATTAGCTGAGCTCCATGTTCTTTGCAATTTCGGAATGTGGGACAATATAGGCATCGGAAATGATCTGGGACGTTTGACGAGTTCGGCGACAAAGGGCTATGGAATGAAAATAATGCCTTTGAACAAGTTCATTGCCACAAGTTAGGTATGTAGGCATACCTGTCTTGACAACATCAACTCCAATGTCTTCTAAGCAAGCATCGATTTGCTTCTTGAGGAATTCTGGAGGTACATGATGGATATCCACCACTCCCTTCGTATTTTGCGCCGTCAGAGCAGTTGTCGCCGTCATTGCGTAGCCTCCATGAGCGGCAATGACCTTTTGATCTGCCTCAAGGCCACTTGGTTCAAGTCAGCTCGAATTTTTAGGATAGCCATTTTGAAACACGTTTGTCAAGCTTGATGGGTGATAAATCTTGTCCTACATCACGCTGAATAAATGGAAAGTAACTTGTAGAACTTACGCGCCGCCAGAACTGTCCGAACCGGCAATGACCAAAATGCGCCTAACTGACATGACGAAACTGAAACGCAAAAATCATTAAACGAATGTCAATATGAGATCGTCATTCTCGTACTCAGAATTTTCGGAGCTTGGCCGAGCTCGCAATGAGGCCAACCCTAAAAATGCGTGCATGCCATTACCTCATCAACAACATCGCCCCCATGACCAGTTACTGGTCAAAACATACAAGAAAAAAAAACACTAACAAGGCAATGAATCATCTCCAGTTACCAATTCGGGTTTTTGGATAACTTCATTAATAGTAGACACTCTTCTGTTCGTGTGTATGATCATACATGCAGTATCAATCGGACTCCCCTTCGAACTCAGAGATATCAAGATCTGCCTTGTCAGCTTTCTCTTTGCCTTGGTTCGGTTGTGGAAAAGGATAAATACCTCTCAAAGACGTGTATTCTAAACGTCCATCTACCTGGCCTAATAATTGCGATCGCACATACATCTGTTCCTCTTCTGATAGGCCAAGTTCTGGATCGGCGTTATCAATAGCAAGGACTAAGCCTCGATTGCCTGGGCCAAGTCTTGAAACGAAATTCAATAGGCCTCCCATAGTGAAAGTAGTAATGCCAGAGAACGCAATGCTGCGAAGGTTGCGAAGATGAACAATACTATCAAGGCTTGCGTCTGTAAGCTGCAGCCCCCCCACGTAGAAATCTTCAAGCAGTTCGAGCTGTTCGCACAAGGCGCTGATATGATTGTCATTGAACATTGCAGAGACACCGATAAGCTTTAAGGCGCGGAGTTCCTTTAGTTGACACAAGGAATAGATTAGCAAGTCGAGATCATCGCGAAACTCAACCGGTTCACTGTCAAGTGTCAGCCTCTGGATGCTGGGCTGATTCTCCAAGGCTTGGTGGAGTTGATTTTGGTCTGCTTGTGCATAGTTGTCAACTTCTAGGTATTCGAGGCGGATACTTTCTTCGAGAAGAACTGGCGTGGCAAGTGCAGCCCCGGATCTGAAACCGTTCAAAACGAGCGAGTTCAATCTGTGTGATTTGGTGAGCCACGAAACGACTTCTAAGAAGACATCGTTTTGTGTTTTCTCTAGATCAATTGTCTTGTCAATGTCTGTGAGCTTCAGTGATTCAAGTGAAGTGCAACCCTTCAGGTAGCCCATGTACGGAATGGCATCATTGTTCAGCTGAAGCTCGAGATTTGAAAGAGATTTCCCATGGCAATTTAGCGCCAGAAGGCTTTCTGCTCCAAGGTCTATGCGGCTATATGTTGTGAAGGACTTCAAGGTTTGTTCTCGAAGACCGGAGAAAGGCCAGCAAGCTTATGATCACAATCCGGAGCTACCCTACCTTCGATTAGTTGAATAAAATCTTTGTGTTACCAGAATTGGAACAAACCATGTGTAGAATGCAAGTGCTTCTAATTTAGAGCAGTGCCTGTGCAATAAGTACGGTGTTCTGTCGTCGCTAAGCGCTCGGCCATCCCAAAGCTTAAGGAATTGCAAATTCTGCAACTTGGGTATCCAACGCACTAGAGCACTATCGGAGACTGTGACTATCAGCAACTGAATATAGAGCGTTTAACACACGCACTCTGTCCTGTTACTGTATCAAGCAGGGGAGCGTGGGAGACGAGCAGATCGCCTACTGCTTCGACAATTTTCGATATGTTTAGACGGAGGGCCCTAGACTTCCACTTGGCTGTTGTTTCGAGTGTATAGTGGAAGTCTTTTAATTCCTTTAGGAAGAAATTGCTAAAGTGGTCAGCATCAGTATACGACGATGATTCTGCACACCACACCTAGCAATCTTCCCTCTGAAGCAGTCGTCCTCGAGGAGATGTCTAAAATCGTCTAAATCAAGCGCCTTGATGTATTTACAGTATGGAAAGATGGTTTTCCCAAGGGCCGACCTAATAATAGTCCTCCACAAGATAGAAGATTTCTGAACGACGCGTTCTTGTTCTGCTAGAGAGGCTGCTTCTTCGCTGCTATCTGACTTGACTGATGACAGATGCTGTGCCCTATGACGAAAACTTAGACTCTTTCTCCTTTGAAAACGTTTCGACGTACCGGTACAGAGCCGTCAAAGCTGGAAGAGCTAGTATTTTCCCCGTTGTGCAACAGCAGAATCTGGGGCCAGAGTCAGTGCTGCGGGCCCCCACAGAGTTCGACGCGGATATTCGTAGCGAGAATTGCGTTGGAATGTATATTCAAAGTTTGGAGGTGCAAGCTTCGTTGCGAATTGTCGACTTACAGAGTGCCGAAGTCTCGCTGTTCCAAGAGTTCGTCGCAAACCAGGTAGAAGATGTCTTCAGGCAAAGATTGTACCATTGTTCTTTCGAAAATTGAAAACCACTAAACGAAAGTGTGTGTGTAGGCGCTGATCCAAGAGCTATGGGACAGGGCGGTCTAGCTTATTGCGTTACTGGTCGCTGCTGACGTTTGGTGGAGAAGTGGTGATAGGGTTCAGCGCGTTCGTGAAGCCGCATCCACAAACAGCTTGTCGACTTCGACTGAACACCGTCCGTCGCAACAGTCTGCGAAACCCCACTCTTGCCGAAGATTCTACTACTACTACTACTCGCAACTGGAACTCCAGACGAGCGCAGCATGTGCGCTCTGCGTCATGATTTTTGGAGCCAAGTCCCTCGTTACTGTTCCTAGCCGCGAAGATTACGGCTCAACTCACTTTGGCCATTCATTTGTCGACACCAACATTCAAACAATATGGTCACTCTCAGATTCAGCCTTTCTCCTGAAGGCGTCGCGAAGATTCACGACATGCTTTTGTGTTTGGCCAAATTTAGCGAGACTGTCTCACTTGAGGCCCGTAAAGATAGCGTAACAAGTTTCGATCTGGCTGCATGCTTTCGACTAGTCTGATAATTCGATCAGATCTCCATAAGCGCACTCAACTCCTCAAAGTCAAGTTATGCGTCATTTTCGCTAAACAGAAATTTTTTCAACGCCTTCAAGTTTGCTCCTGATGGCATGGGTGGGAACGTAAAGTTTACCTGCTCGCTACTGAATAAAGTAGGGCGACTCTTGTGCTGGTTACCGTCCACTGCTGATTTCTTCTAGGCTTTGCTATCTGTTTTCAAGGCACGAACGAATGAAGTTAGGAATCGGGATACGGCTATCTCACGATGCGATGTTAACGTGCAAGACTCCGAAGACAACGCAGAATGTCGACTTGTAATCAAGATGATTTGCGCTCATGGTATGCCAAAAAAGATGACAGTCCAAAAATCGATCAAAAACGCTAACAAAGAAGGTGTCACGAAAATTTACAAACTGTCGTATGAGTCTATCGAAGTTGTCCATGCATTATTCGACCGCAACACAGCAAACAACCATTGGACGACACGAGCTTTATTTCTGAAAGAATTTTCGGAGTACTTCGGCCCCAAAGCTGAACAGCTCGACATGTACCTTGAAGATGGAAAGATGACATTTCTGAGTTTCACAGATAAGATTGTAAACAGCAAGAATGGTAAGTTCCGGATTCTCGGGTTGACCGCATTGCTAAGATGTCGAAAGAAATTCTAAAAGCCCCACTGAAAACCGCCGTTTCAGTCAACATTGCCGACTTTGATGAATTTGACGCGCAAGAAAAGATGCATATCGTGATAAGTGTGAAGGACTTCAAGGCTATAGTATCGCACGCCGCGACCATTGGCGCCAACATATCAGTCTTTTATACTAAGCCTGGCCGTCCCCTACAATTTACGTATACGCATGAAGGTATAACGTCAAACTTTACGCTTATGACAGCTGGTGATTATGGGGATGCAACATCGACATCTGCAGAATCTTCCGCGGCACAATCTCGTCATACAGCTCAAGCAATGACAGTTGCCAATTTATCCGCGGCTCCTACGCTGATTGAGGCCAGAGGAGAAATGCCTCCACCTGCAAGACCAGAGCGTCCAAAAACTCATCGTAGACTCGGCCAAAATGAAAGAAATGGGGGAACAAGAGCTGAACAACAGGAGACGGATGAACATGAATCTCTCTTTGTCCCTGCTGAAGATGATGATAGTCGCTGGGATCCTACGGAGTTCGAGAATGACGAGGAAAGTATGGGATGGGATGCTAGCGTCCATAATGTGAGTTCTTTTGACGCGAGGTAAGACTTAAGCCTTGCTAAAATTCTTTGTTAGGATACTGGCTTCCAACCGACGTTTCGTGACACTCAGACTTTCTCAAGGCAACAATCAATGGATGAGGCTCTAGATGGCTTGCCGCCGACACAACGCATATCACAAGTATGATTGTATGGTCATTTATGGCTCCAAGAAGCTAACCAAGCGTAGATTCGAGGCTTGTGGTAAAATCTACTCCGTATGTTCGTGTCAACTTGACCGCCACGCCTTATGTCGAAGGCTTAGTAGTGGAAATCATAGGAAAATTTCGGACAGAGATCTCTGTCTGAAGATATCGCAAGACACGATTTTCCTTCGTTGAACTGGCGCCCTTCAACTTCACATCTGATGTTTACGATGAAAGCTTTGATTAGTTGTTACGCAGAGGATTTTCACGAAAGCCAGAGTTGCTGCCACGAATCTCCCTTCCGTTCCATCACATCTTTCTCTCGAAAATATGTCAATGGAAATGCTATAATCTAGACTCAATAGCTGGTTTGAACATTGTCTACGGATTGACTCGCGTGTCAATTGGCCCTTCACTTTGAGATGGCGGTTCGTCTTGAAAGAGAGATTTGTTTTGAGCCGAGAAATGACTTGATATTGGAAATCACACCGCAGAAAATTAGAATCTTCTGGTCTTCTTTAGGCAGAACTCCTGCAAGGGCAATCGAATGCGTGGAACTTCTGTGCATTAACACTAATTTCGGTCCTGGGATGATCTTTCACCAGGATATGGCAAAGCTTCTCCGATGCTCTCATAGAAATCAAGTTACCAACGATTATTGAGACTAAGGCTCGTCATGCTCTACCTCTTGAACTCGCTCGTCACAGCAGTCGAGCGGCCTGTTTTCGCACCGCCAGACATGACTGTTCTCAGCCGTCAGTGTAGTCCGAAAATGGCAAACAAATCGATGATGCAGAAATGATTGCATGTGATTGGCGGGCAAGTTCCATGTGAAGAGCTGACCTCGGCTGGACTGCCTTCACCCTCGAATCGTCTGGGGAGATTAAAGACGCGACTCGACGATTCCAACCTCATCCATGCCCGCTGCTGTGGCTCTGAACGATAACATCTATCGCCAGCTGTCGCATGGCGTAGACGAAGCCGAAGATTTTATGCAAGCCTAATAATGGATTCCGGATCCTCGTCAACAGGCTCAACCGCCTCGTCGAACGGACAGCCGATAGACGCTTTTACGCGCAATGCGCTGCGCTACTCGCTGAGCCCACGCGAATACAAATTGTTGCACAAATACTTGATTTCGAGATCGCCGCCTGTTGTGAGAAAACGAGTACCACAGCCTGCGAAGTACGAGAAGAGCGTCAAGGATACAAACGATTATAATGCGGCTGCGATACGAGCCAGCTTGAGAGTATTCGCCACGGGCATGGCGGGTTTGAAGCTGTGGGATTTCATTACAGTAAAGTTTCTGTCAAGAGGGCCTCAGCCGCCGTAAGTGGGTATGAGAATCAAACAGACCTAGCTGACAGATGGATCAGGCAGAGATCCAACGTCCCGTTCTACAAGTCGGAGAATGTTCGCCTTTCGGGATCCCTTTCTCTTATACTCCTCTTCCATCGACTTCTGCATCGGTTTTTTACAAGGCTTCGTGCAAGCCTCCTGACGGATAATGCACAGCCATTCCGCAAACGCAATCCTCGCGTTGCAGCTGCCCTCACATCTAAGATTGCTCCATCAGTCGGAGGAGCAATGGCAGGATTTTGGCTAGGACTTTATCCAGCAGCGCAGCTCAGATTAACCATTGCAATATACATGCTCTCGCGAGCGCTGGAATTTGGGTACAACAATCTTGATGATCTAGGCTACTTGAAGAACAAGCCGTGGTGGTTTGGATCGTGGATGATTATGCCGGTCGCATTCGGCCAATTACTGCATGCTTTTGCTTTCGACAGAGACTGTTTCCCGGCTGCGTACGGAAACTTCATTTTGTCCAGGTCGGGGACGTACATTCAGTCGCGGCCTGCTGACTACCCGAAATCTCTCCCTTGGCCTGACACGTACGAAATCGCGGATAATCTTGCGGAAATATCTAGGCTCAATTGGCCGTGAGTATATTTGCTTCGTGCGTACGAGAACAGACTGACCTGTGCCAGACCCTTCATCTCTCCCATCCTCTTTCCGAACAAACAAACCTTACCTCGGACCGTTCTTGCTATCAAGCCGATCACTTCGTCTGCTAACCCCGCCATTAAGAACCTTTCTTGCGCACTCCTCCATCCGCATGATACATCATGCCTTCGCACGTACATTACTTTCTTCTTGAAGACGTTTCCTGACGTCACCAAGTTCTTCACTGTGATATTCGGGCTTTTCTCGCTACTACAATACAAATCATTTATGGCTGACCCTGCTTCTGCTTTCAATAGGCTGGCAAAAAGCATCTTGAGAATGAGTATGTTCGTTACTGGCGCCATCGGTACTAGCTGGGGCAGTATTTGTTTTTTCCAAAACTATTTTCCTCGCAAATTTTTACCGACTCAAAGATGGTTCCTTGGAGGCTTTCTTGGTGGTCTGTGGGCCTTCTTGGAGCGCGGCTCCGGTCGTTCAAACTTTCTGTACAGCGCTCGCCTATCCATGGACTCGCTTTGGAAAGTAGGTGTAAAGAGAGGTTGGTGGAAGGGAATCAAGAATGGGGATGTTCTTGTGTTCGTGTTCAGCTTGGCCATGATTCAAAGCATTTATGAAACCAATCCAAAAGCCGTGAGCGGAGGTGTTGTCAGAAAGAGCCTAGGCATGCTGAGAGGCGAAGGTTGGGTAGATAGGGCCGTAATTACTGATGAAGGATCAGAGAAGGAGCCAAAGTAGCGAGACTTCTAGCGGAAAACTATCGTTCAAAGTAAATGCGGACACAAATAAAAGGTACACAAGGAGGGGGGGTAATGTGTGCAAGTTTTAATGACTGCTCTTTCTTGAGTAGCAAAGATCACATTGTTTACAGACGGGATTGAAAAGAACAGAAGAGCTTTGGATGTGTATCATGATGTAAATGAGTTTTGTATGGATAATTTATTGGTTGGTTATTCTGATGAACATCACTTTCTTTAAGGATCTAGCAACTAATACTTGTTTTTTTTCTCCATTTCTTGTTCTTATTTCTGCTCTGTGTTTTTGCGACGCGGAATTTCTGACCGATTGCAGACTTTGTTAGCTGAATTTGATTATCAGTCATTCACTGATTGTAATGCCGTGATCAGTGCAGTGCAAAACAGTCTTGCTCGCTAATATGATGGCTTCGAAAATTTCCACGATTAGCTCGGCTTCCAGTCGCCGCGGCGCTCGTCGGCTGAGGATTGACATAAGAATGCTCTCTAGCAGGCAAAAGGGTTTGGCAACTGTTGCTCTGTGGCTGTGCCCGATTTTTAAGATCTTTGGCGAATATTGCGAATTAGACTGTTTGGACGTTTTGACTAATCCTTCTAATATACTTGAAAGTATGAGGCGTAGGGGACGGCAACGAGGCCGAGTCCCTGGCTCGCACAGCAGGACAGTCTCAAGAGGAAATTTCATAATGGAAGATTTGAGCTGGAGGCGAATGGTTCACATGAAGCTAACAATACCAATGCAGAGTCTCACCAGCTAAGCACAGAAGTCTGCACACCTGAAAGGCCGGCTGAAACAGCAGAATTATTCAAATGATTTATTACCTTCTTTAAAAAAAACTGTTCCTGAGAGTAAGAGATGGCTACCAAGGATGTTTTTGAAACATCGTTAAAAGATCTTCCAGAGTAGCCTCGATATACTAGAATTGGCGATGTTTGTTTCTGCGGGAATGGATCCGTTCTGGTCTAGCTGGTCTCATCGTTGCAAGTCCGCGGCGCAGAGTTCACCAAGCCGTCCCTACAGTAGCAACGATCAGTCCATGTTAGCCCTTACGAATATTTAGAGCAGCGAAAGGAAAAGGACCTGGAACACTTTCATGACCAGGGTATGATATTATAATGTGGGCTAAGGAATAAATTAATGATAAATCGAGTAAGCAGCCATGCGGGTTAAAAGGGTCTAATCAAGAGAGTTCACAACCGGCTTCTCGAACTGTTCTCCACTTTAGCGATGCTGGACCCATCCCATCCGGCTATAAGATCCTCCACAACAGATGTTTCATCTTGACCCCAAACGAGATCTCCCTGTTGTTTCCACGTGCTTTCGCCACGTTTTCTACGAAACACGCGATAGGTAGGAACTCCACATATTCCAAGTTCTTTGGCTTCCTTAGTGCGTGCCCTAAGGTCCGCCTTAGTATCTGGAGAATTTGCCTTGGCAAGTATTGCGTCTGCATCGTATCCTGCTTCCGTGATCACCTTCCGCAGAATGTTATCATCCTTCATGTCTAAGTTGCGCTCCCAGCAGCCACGAAACAGTGCAGGATCCAATCGTGGCTCGGCGAGGGCTGCCCTTAGCACGGTTGGCGTGCGAATGGGGAAAATGTCGTTCCAATAAAAGTCGATGTTCTTATCCGGGCTACCTTCTTGAATGTTGATAGCATTCCACCAGCGTGTCCAACAGTAATGATCCCACTGTGAATATTGACGCTTAACTTCCGAGACTGCCGCCATTGGCAGGTTTGGCGCGCCAATTCTGTAGATATTTCAGTACATTTCACATGAATAATGCTGATTACTCACTCTCGGAAAAGTATGCCAAGCAAGAAAGGTCGCATATCAATCTGCAAACGATCTACAAACTGTCTCTTTAGCGCTGGTAGCTGTGTCCAACCGAGAAAAGCCCAGGGGCTGCTGTAGTCATACCAGAACTCCCTAGCCAAAGGAAAAATATGTTAACATCAGACTCTCTGGCAAAGCAGGGTGCATAATCTACTTGTGGAATGTCAAGCAAGTTATCGCCATTTTTTTAGACGTATGGCCACATCATTGTGACGAGGTGCTCGATGCTCGGTCATTCGAAAAGTAAGAACATGTAGAGGTTGAATACACAAAGACTTACAATCTCACTTCCTCGTCAGCAGGAATCTCGGCTCTTTTAGACCTTGGCATTAAGCTCCGTAATGATTTGGATATAGATCCAAGGTCATCTCCGCTCTTGCCCTCATTCAAAGCAATTACGACTGCTTCTACAAAGTGCATTCGATCTTGGCCCCAGTACAGGCGACCCTCATGTTTTTTCCCGTTTTTGTCGGTCCAGATCTCGGCCGGAATCCAGAACGAAGGCACACCGAACACGCCCCGTTTTATCGCTGTGTCGGTAGCGATTTCAAGCTGACGACGTTGCTCGGGGCCCTCTGCACTTCCGTCCAGAACTGCGCGGATAATTCTGTCGCCATCCCAAAGCTCGCAATTGCGAATGGCCTCAATCAGCGTTTCTTTGTCGCTAATGTTTTTTCCATCGACCCAGTAGGCTTTGTAGAGAGCATGTGTCAGCAATGGCCTTGCAGTCTCATGAACAAAATAGAGTAGACGCAAGGCAGCAGTTGTCTTTTGCGGATGTTGTGGCGGCTCATTATAGGCAATTCCATGCCTCTTTATGGTCCGCTGAAAAGCCCGAGAGGTAACTGCTTTCTTGGTTGGATTGAACGTATCAGAGGCGGATCCTGACGCTCCTTGGGGTGCGTTTGTGGCCCTGTATATAGCTCCAAGTAATACGGGTCGCCATAATACCTTTGCATTTGTACGCCGCGCGAGAGCTTCAATTCTGCGTTCACAAATTAGAAAAAGTACTTGGTGTGTGGTTGTAAGTGAGCTTCTACTTTGTTGAAGCAATATACGCGAAGGGACATGATATCTGAGATGTCGTGAGCAATGAGGCTAGTTGAGCGCCGGTTGGTATTCTCACATCGTAGTGAAATTCGATGATCTGGCTTGGGGCCATTGTATTTGGATAAAGTTTTAGACTTGCGTTCGACGTTGAGTTTCAGCACTCAAGGTGTAAGCGCAGACTGCAATGAGACATTGATGTCGGTATAGGTTTAAATGTGGGGAAGTTGCCTCGGTTGCACGCAACTTTACTAATTCTAACCTTCCGCCTTTCTATCAGATGTAACGAATCATTTTAGGCAATTATGATGGCCTTGAAAGGCTTTTAAACGTTTCATAAATTATAAAGCTTCAAGATAGGCTTCTGTGCCTTTGTACTGCTTCATCTTGATATGTTGCACGACGCGTTTCAATACTAAGACAGCTGACTGCTGAACAATTTACTGTACAAAGTTTGAAGATTGTGTTAGAAAGACTATGCAAGCGCCCAATTATATATGCAGTTTGGTATTAGGAAGCTTCAAGTTGAGATTGAAGTGGCTGGAAAGGTTTTGTGCAGTGTAGAGAAGCAAAGTTGAATAGCTCCTTTTCGTGCATAAGCTGGTTTCAACTATCGCAATCCAATTCATGCGAGGAAGATGGCACAAGAGCTTAAAATCCTACTTAAAATTTTCTTTGGACACTTTGTGCGAACTTAACTCTGATGTAACGGGAAAAATATACAGCTTTTCCGACGCTTAGATGTCGACTTGAAAGTGACGATTATAAAATTGGGACAAGAATTAAAAGCTCCCCAATTTTCTCTAATTATTTATTTAGAGGGCGATCTAGCGGCCTTGGAACGACGCGAAGCCACCTGAACATCTCAAGGACGTCATTCAGCGGACTTTGAGATGGGCAGGATCTGCTTGCGGGTAAGAACCCATATCGAATAAAACACTGTGCCTAATGCTATATCTGACTGTGTACTGGTAAATCTAAGGTCGTGGGACGCAGCACATGCAATCTAAAACCGGACTCTCGTAAATTTTCGTATCCGCTCGCCAAAAGCCAGGAAAATAAAGGCAAGCGGTATGAATGCAACGGCCATGAATCCAAGAACTGAAGTTCCCCAGCCCACACCTAGAGCATCATACCTATTTTAATTTAGTTTTAGATTCAAACACGTATTAACTCCGGGAGAGTTACTCACATTGGGTCTCCAGCCAGAGGTAAAAGTGCTCCTACCAGTGACCGCAGAACTGTGTTCGCTGCTGTTGCAGAGGCGCTGAATTGCTCAAAAGTGTCAATAAAATAGACACCGATTGGCATCTTAGAATGTTAGAGAATGATACAAGGCACCGAAGACTGTAACTCACGAAAATGAAAAAAATTCCACCACCAAGAAATGAGGAGCCAGCAATAGGAACAAACCAATGCCACCGCAATTCGGCTGACCAACCGTAGAGAAACAGCCCAAACGGAATGATGAACGCGCCAATTATAAGTGGAGGTAGTCGATACTCAGGCTTCCGATTTCCGCCATTTCGATTGGTGAGTTTAGTCATTATTCGGTCAGACGTGAATCCACATATCGCTAACCCAATAAAAGATCCAATTCCGACGCCTAAATATGTTAAACCGACGTTCTTGCTCGAGAAGTGGTATATTCCTTCAAAAACGCGTGGGAACGTCACAAACATGAGATCTAGAGGGTGTTAGTTCATGACCTAAGCCCCCATGTGAGCCCACCTACATAAGTACCCATAAACAATTGCGGTGTACAAAGAGAGGGAGAGGACTATTGGGGAGAGAAATAGCATTTTGAGAGGTCTTATGATTGATTCCTGAAAATAATTCCTGGGAGATTTTCCATGATCTAGGCTTGATCGTAGCTGCATGTTTCCCGTCTCCTTACGGAGCCGTTCTGTCTTCGATTCAAGGATAACCGGTGCATAGGTCTCATGGGTGAAAATAAAGGTCAAAATCAGTATTACGCCAGCCTACGAGATGTTAACCTCGAGTTACGCTAAGCTCAGCCGATGCCTGATCTCACCAAAATAGATATCAGCCAAAATATCCAACGCCAGTCCTTGGCTTGCGCAAGATTAGAGCCAACTGTGTGTCATCAGAACGCTTGCTGCATCGTTTTGGACCAAGGAAAGCCTACTCAATGGTGCTGCTGTGGGTCCCACTAAAGGCCCTATAAACATCAGCCCGGTGGCGATGCCGCGCTGCTCAACTTGAACGCAGTCCGCGACGGTTGCCATCGCCAGAGTAATTGGGCAACTCGCAGCAATGCCAGCAAGAAACCGGAATACGACGAGGGCACCGAGGCTATTTGCAACAGCACAGGCAATGTTGAAGACTAAAAAAATGACATTGCAAGCGTTGTAAACAATTGATCGTCCGTATATCTCGCTCAGTGGAGCTAGGAAAAGTGGTCCAGCAACATAACCGAGGAGATATACAGATGTAACGAAGGAACCAAGAACATGATTCGTGGAGGAGAAGCTATCGAGGACATCAGTGATCGCGGGAGATATCATGGTGCTGGCGAGTGGCGAGAGCATAGTTATAAGTGAAATAACTCCGAGGACTTTGATTTTCTTTTTCCTGGACCAGTTCATAGGATTAAGTGGATCATCTGGGCCGTCCCAGTTGACAATGTTTTCGGATTTGACATCACCTTGGATGACTCCAGCTTCTAAATCCAAAGTTTTTTCATTGGCTTGCCCTCCCAGTGCAGGTGATGCGTGGTTCAGATTCGAACGGTCACTTGGACTGGGAAGACTGAAACTTGTGGCAGGTTTTTCCTGTGTGTTGGAGCTCATGATGGTTGAGTTTAAATTTTAAGAGGTTGTTTAAATGATAAAAACATATTCCAAAGCCCGCAAGATGAGGTTTATATTTATGGCATAGGAAAACGCCCTTGGATTATCCTCCATCTGTTGACTTGGGCCGCCGCGGACCTTCCGCGGACACGTGCCTTGTTCCATGGACCTGACATATTCACGGTTCTAGCGTTCAGAATTGGGTCAAGAGGGAGAAAAAGCTATATCATGTTGTTCAATCGTGTGATAATAAGGGGTATGTCCTTAAAGTTGCTCAGCCATCTGACCTGAAAGTCGTTCTTGGATTAGTCTTTCGGCGACTGCTTATGAATTCGCCAATTGGTTCCCGAGCCTGTCAATCAGCGAGATAGCAGACGCGATTACGTCTCATTGAAGATGCTCTTAATAGCCAGGGTCACTACACTGGAATCGAAACGAGTGAGAGGTTTGATTGAAGATGCCAAGCATCAATATCTCTGCGATATCCAGAGAAGACAAAATTCGCACCTAGACAACGCGCAGACACTAAATGAGACGCCAGAACGCATGTGATCACAGGACTGATTCGGAAATCCGAGACAGATCTCCATTCCAGCCTTATGATTGTTATAGCCGAGTGAATTGTGATAGCGTCTTGGTTATACGCCGATGATCCTGCGTACCTGCAGATCCCACGCAGGGGAGATCCTCACGTACGTCTAATCGCGAACCATTGCATCTGTGGATGTAAGATTCAGAAGTTCCGTGTTTGGGTGTAAAGCGCCACACATTCTCCCAATGGAACACGAAATTGTCCCGTATAAGCAAAGTTGAAAAAGGTGTAATTCGCAGCGGCCTAACGATACCTTCGTGACGTATTCAAAGCTTAGTCGTGGTGTATTGGCTATCTTGGATATAAATCCCTAAAATTTGTAGTCATCACCTACCTTCAATGGCGTGAAAGCCACGCCGTTCTTGGTAAACATCTCGCTTATGGCTACGTGAGAGTATTGGGGAACACTATTTACAATCTCACCTACTCGTTTGTTGCAGTTTTTAATACTGCACAGGATGAGCTTCTGTACAAATTGAGATGATCTGAGTCAAATCCTACTGTCGAACTTGGCATCCGTAGATCTCCTGCGTGGCTTGCATAACGCGTCTGAAGGAGGATAAGTCGAGCCGATTCGTTTAGCATCCTTTCAACCGTGCATGGAATCCTTGAGCTGTGATATAACGGTGATGTGTAAAAGTAAATTGTGTGCGCGTTGACTGTTGTCTCTGCACCCTCGCCGGCGTTTCTCGGTGAAATCATACTTGCCCTGTCAAAAACACCTGACTCGATCTCCCCCAGTTCCCCACGAGTGGATTCACCCACAGTACTTCCCCGCATCTTGTTAGCCGCTGATAATAAGCTCATCTTGTACCAGTACCAAAGACATGGTCCGTGTGTACACGGCATCCGATCCACAATCAAGCCTTATTGGTGCGAGTCATGTGGAATATCTGCTATGAAATGCCGCACAATGGTAGTCTGGACCGGTAGATATCATCCATTGTGGAGCGTTTGGATTGTGCTGACTCTCCGGAACCGACGTGGCGGTTACTGTACTTGCCAGAACTTCTAATGAGGGGTGAAGCGCATCATATAACATGAGGAGTAGCCGCTCAAAAGATGATCATCCCGGGGTTTTTTGTACATCGGGTTTATTCGTCTGTGAATAACATCCTTTCTTTTCCAACATAGTCATTCCTACCCTAAGAGTCGCTAATAATCTGAGGCATTGACAGCTCCTCCTTGAACAATTTTGATTGCCAAGTCTGCATTTCACATTTGGAGACTCAAAACCTCGTACAATTGCGCACAAAAGCGAGAAGACTGAGAAGTTTTGCCGTTCAGTAATCATGACATCCGAACATGGAGAGCGCCAATTCTCCTGGTATAATTTTTGGATAAGCTTCCTTGTGTCTCTTGGCCAGCTTGGTAAGCTTCTTGACCTTCGGATGTCTTCGATGTAGGAATTGGGTAACTGACAAGTCACAGCGTTCGGATACCCAGCCTCAATCATTGGAGCTACACTTGGAGAGCCACCTTTCTTAGTGTATATGGATCTTCTTGACCCAGTCACAGGCGAAATGAAACCCAATGCGGATAGTATCATTGGAGCCTTTAATGGAGTGTTCCAAGCTGGCGCGTTTTTCGGCATCTTGTTCGTCGCTGGCATAATGGACCGATACGGTCGCAAGGCTGGAGTTGTCTTCTGCTGCTTCTTCTCTATCGTTGGAGGAACGCTTCTCTGCGCATCCCAGCACTACGGCATGTTTATCGCTGCTCGTTTCTTCGCTGGAATGGGTAGCTGGGGATTTCTCGCCGTAACCCCAACATACTCCGCAGAACTAGCGCCGCCAAAAATCCGAGGTCTTTTCGTCGGTCTTAACGGCGTCATGATTGCCTTGGGATATGGCTTAGCATCGTACATGGGCATGGCATTCTATTATGCTCATGTACCTGCGGCGAAGTGGCGTGGACCGCTCGGGCTGGCCCTGTTGTTCCCACTGATCATGCTCGCTATTATGCCCTTCGTACCCGAGTCTCCGCGGTTTCTCTTGATGCGTGGACGCGTCGATGAAGCCCGTGATATTGTACTCAAGCTCCACAGCATCCCTGGGGATGTGGAGAACGAATTTGCTCGTAGCGAGTTCTATCAGATGTCCAAACAGGCCGAGCTCGATAGGACAGTAGAGGTAACCTGGGTAAGTAGATCGAACTCCAATCTTTTATGCAGGTATCTAATATGAGTTCGAAAGTGGGAGATGTTCTCCAAGAAGGCGTACCGTAAGCGAACCGCATTGGCCATGGGTTTCGCTTTCGTTGGTCAGTCTACAGCAGTCCTCGTGATCAACAACTACGGCCCCACTCTGTACGGAAAGCTTGGATACGGCACCGAGGATCAACTCCGTTTGCAATGTGGCTGGATTACTGTAGGCGTGATCTTCAATGCCGTGGGAGCCTTCATCATGTGAGTGTTCTAGGAATTTTCCATACTCCGCAGTCAGAATTTAACAGCCACTTAGGGATAAGATCGGTCGCAAGCCTCTGATGATCTTCGGTGTTGCTGGCTGCTGTGTTTTCCTTTGCATCGAGGCCGCTATGGTTGCCGAGTATGCTGAGGCTGGTACCAACAAGGCTGGCTTGGCAATGGGCGTGGCCGCTTTCTATCTATTCCTTGCGGTGTACTCAGTCGGGATTGACGTCGCTGGTGTCACGTTCTATTCCGAGCTCTTCCCGAACAACATGCGCGCGAAAGGCATCTGCTTGTCTATGGCCACGATTGCCATAACGGACTTGGTGTATCTCCAAGCAACTGCAACTGCGTTCGCACACATTGGTTGGAAGTTCTACCTGTGAGTTCAGCCCCTAGAAGGCGCAAAGGACATGCCGCTGACATGAAATCTGCAGGCTATTTATCATTATTTCTGGTCTTGGGGCACTCCTCTTTGCCTTTCTTCTTCCAGAAACTAAGGGAATCCCTCTTGAGGAGATGGCCAAGTTGTTCGGAGACGATGAACATATTGCGGTGTATGCCTCACAATTGCACGTTGACCACACGACTCACGAGTTGGTTTACGACGAGAAGAACGGACTGCATCATGTGGCAACCGAGGCAGGCGAGAAGGTTGGCAGGCCTGCGCATACAGAGCAAGTGTGAGCCGTGATTGTAATCCGCAGCTCATAACTGGTACGGGATGGTCTGGGTGAGGATCAAACAACGAAGAGAATAGACTTGGCTGTAACTCAATGGACGGAATGGAATATAAGTAGTCCCGCGACACAAGTGGGAGACAATCGTCGTATTTCAGTGATTTCTCCTTGCATGTTGATGATTTGAGGATGTTACGTAGCTACAACAAACGCCGACGAGGAAGTCGTGATGCAAGTTCGGCAACGCAGGAGCGTTGGACTGTGGACGAGCAATGTGGTGACGGAAGCGCTAAACCATTTTCGGAAACAGTCCTTCACTTGGCTGCGTCCCTGGAACAGATTTCCCAGCGTGCATTTCTTCCGACCGACCCATTTCAATTTCATCTACCCAAGAGAACCCCCATCTCGCCCGTTGATCACTGGCTGCAATCCTTCGTGTTTGCGTCGGACTCCACCTTGCGCGACACAGCTCTTGCAAATCAGCTCGCACGTTTTTACTATCAACGCTCTCGCGTCCGTCTCGCAATGCCACCGAAGGGACAAATCGCCGGCCGCGGATCGCGCGCTCCACAGCCAAAGAGCTTTGCGCGAACGGCTTATGAAGAGCTGACCAGCGCAGAGAACAGACAAGTACTCACTGCTCTGGGTGTCTTTGTGGTATGCTTGATCGTCGAATGAGCGACCTTGGCTTGAAAAATGGACTGACAGTTGCCCTCTCCAGGCCGGCGTCGCATTCTTCCACTCGAGTCTCGGTGAGATCATTTTGCCGCCTTAGATCAACGCTGCATATATTTGACTGGAGCCAAAATGCGCATGGAGGTCATCATATTTGATGCGAATATGTACGATAACAGAGTGGGACTAGCAGGGTAAAGTCATGACTCCTTATGAGTTTGCCGTCAGGCTTCGACATGATGAAGTGCATCCAGATCGGCTTGGAACGGTGCACGATCTCTGGCAAACCTGCAGTAAAGGTGTGTTGATGGGTGGTAAAACTAATGCATATGGATGTATTTCACATCTCTTCTCCACATTGGATCTCTGGTTGGGGCCCAAAATAAATATAGTTCAATCTCGTTTGGATCTACATGTATTCTACCCGTCATAGTATGATAGACTATTTGGACTTGGAAGCAAACAGCCCAGCGACACTGTCGAACATTTCCTTGACACTTGGTAGGCCCAAACCACTGTAGCTCTGTGTGAAGACACGCGCAAGCTTCTCAGTCTCCCTTATCCGGCTTTCATCCTGTATAGACAACGGTTGGGTTGCGTCATTGAAATCATCACCAGAAGAAACAGCGTGCCCTCCAGCTGAGACCTCATCATCCTCCGGTGCAATTCCCAACTGATGATTTGGCTGTGACTCCAGCGTCCCGATGACACCCGATAAAGGAACGTTGTGCGTCCTCAAAGTTCGCAGCTCTGCTTGCGAGTCAAGGATTATGTATCCAGTCCCATCAGATAACGGTGAAAGACCAGATATCAGACCAGTGTGCAACTGCGAAATGAAAACCGGTTCTGCCACAGTGGGCTTGAAGACTAAAACTGCACTGGCATCGCCTTTGCTCGATCCGATGTTGACGCCAGCTACAGCGAAAGATTTGGAAGTAACACTGATAGCAAGGTGTGTTGTTGCAAGCCGATGAGAAAGGGACAATCCGTGTCGTCCAAGTGGTTTAGAGAACAGCACAGAACCAATCACCGCATCCCAAACACGAAGCTGTTCTGAGACGACAATGAGATATCGGTCAAGGAATCCCATGGCGATCAGATAGCCAACAGCCAGTCCTGTCTCTGCATATTTGATCACGCCTTGCCTGGAATCCAGGAGATGTACAATACCATTCCTTGAAACGGAGTCGTCTTGCTTACTAACCGCAAGAACAGAGCCATCATTGCTAAATGCAAGACGCCCGATTACGGGGCTTGCCGGTAACAAGAAATCTGTCGCCTCGTCTACCCTGATCGCATTTCTCTCAAGCTTTGTCACGAGTTTTGCGTGCCACGAGGTTTCGCCTTCGATACTGGCTCGAGGTCGCCAAACACGTACACAGCTGTCTTCTCCTACTGTTGCAAAACATGCCTCCTTTGGATGGGAAACCAAATGAAAAGTGCGGTTTGCTAGCTCGTTGCTGTCGTCCGAATGAGGATTGCCTACTCTGGTGTTCAAGGCCCATGTTTTGCGCTCTTCATCCCAATGCCAGATTTTGAGATAAGTCTCACGCCTCTTCCGCCTTTCGACCTCTATCTCGCTCTTGTCCAAAGCCAAGTACTGCAGAGCATGACTCGGGGGCAACCATTCCTCGACTGTGGCGAGCCACATGCCATCGCAACTGATTTCCATTAGAGTCACATTTGGAATCTCGATCTTGTTCCACTCGGGGTCAATGTTTGCTTCCGTAATTATATTTCGAGTTAGAGCTTGCCGAGTCATGTGTCGCCCAGCTTGCAGATCGTACGTCTGCAGGAACGGTGCCGCCGGTATGGACTGTGTAGCTTTTGTTACGCTTTGATCAACTGGTACTGCGATAAGAAGTTGATTTGGGTGTCGTGGGTTGTTGACAAAAGGGATAGCACTTAAGCCCCTCATAGCTTGCGCAAGAGGCCTTGGGGACAAGACGCAAAGCGACTGCAGACTAGCAATATGGGTCTTGGGCTGAAGTTCGGCCGTGGACAGCACTAGGACCGAATTGTCTGCTAAGTGAAGAGCATAGGAAGCCCCAGAGGGCGATACCGTAAGATTTTGAATTGCGGCAGTGAGATGAGGTAGGTCTTGCCTTCGACCCGTCTCAAGTTGCCAGATGCATAACACTGTCTCTTTGCCACCAGAGATTAGATAGTTACCTGGATCACGTCAGCGAAAATCAATAGTGGATGTTGACACGCTAACCATCATTTGACCATTTGATTGCATTTGGCGCCTCTCTGTGCCATCGTAAGCTACGAGCACGGGGTGGTTGATTTGAGCCTGCATCTAGCTTGTTTAGCTGCGCAATGATATCCTCGTATATAAGTATTTCGCCTTTCGCATTTCCAACTGCAATATCGTAAATTCTGGTTTCGCTTCTGTGGTTTGACAAATCCTCTGCTGGGTTTCTCACTCGAGAATCTATGCAAGTTATGGCATGGGTCGACTTAAGGTGTCTCCAACAGTATTTGCTCTTGAACGTGGTCATGGCCAGGCTTGATTGATCAGCGTTAGTGGTGAGAGAACCAACAAACATCTGCGTTGAACTGCAAGCAATTATTACACGGCCTTGGTCAAGTACTTGGAGATCGCGAAGGTTATCGCTCTGGAGCATCTCGTGACGCGCTTCTGCATCCTCATTCCAAGGAGCTTTTCGAATGGCCAGAACATCCTTTGATGCATGCTTGTCTCCTGGCTTCTTCTCGGCCTTGCTCACACAATCAGTAGAGGTGATATCATCTGTCTGCAATTGGGTTTCGACGGTCAGGATAATATCCTCATCAGTGTTAGGTGCACGGAACGAATGCAATGATCGGACATGGACTTTCACCCCGGACTCGATTCTTCCAATCTTTTCAGACGTGGACCAGTCCAAGTGATGTATTTCTCCAGTAGAAGTACCGACGTATAGGTGGTGAGGATTTGCAGCAGAGAGTGCATAACAAGTTGCGCCTCGAGCATGCATTGTACGAAGAAGCAACGAGCTTTCCGCTTCGTACACATGAATGTTGTTTGCGGTCGCTAGTATAATGTATCTATAACAGGTCAGAACGTGCGAATGAATCATGAAACGGGGACTTGCTTTTCGTCCTTGCTGAAGACTGGATCGCAGGACAAGAAACGGCCACCAATCGGTCGCGACAGGTGCCATGTATCTCTGTTTGCTCTGGCATGTCGATTGCGTAGCTGGACAAGCTCGTCATCCTGCCCCAACCCTTTCTTCTTGATGATCTTTTTACTCTTTTGAAGCATCCATCGCAATTCATAGGCTCTTATGTCCGGGGGTTGGTCCTCGATCGTTCTAAATTTCTCGATTAAATTTCGGTACTGCCGGTTGAGTTTATCTTGGCGACGTTGAAGTTTGTCGCTGTCGACTTGAACATTGACTTCCGATTCTTGAGATCCATCGTCTTCACCGTATTCATTTCTTGCACTTAGATTCCTATCTCTTAAAGATTTGAGTGCCTGTTGCGCAATCTCTTCCAAATATACGTCACTTTTGCTTTGTCGAGTTTTCGATGCTTCAGCTCGTACTCCCTGAATGGGCATCACTTGATCGCTAGAAGCACTCTCGTCTACCGCAAAATTGGTCTTTTCAGCACCATTTGCCGTCTTCTCGTTCTTCGCCTTCTTAGTCTTTTGTATACTATCCTCGCCATCTTTGGCTCTCTTCCGCTTGCGCTCCTCCTTCGCGCTTGCAGTCGCCATTGACACTGACCTGTGTGGAATTCGCGCGTCAGTTTGTATATGTGAGGGAAAGTGGACGACTATCAGGCGTGGTTGGACGTTGTGCCAGCTGCAAGCAGTTCTCGAGACAGTAATTTTTTTTTTTGGGGGTAATATGTCAGGGTCGCCAAAAATTGCCTCCACATTTGCGTCTCGCTTACGCCTGCCAGATAGATGATCCGGCTCTTAACTTTTTTGAGATCCACCGTGATCTTCGCTCAAGAACTTTTGAACGATCGGTGCAACGATTCGAAAAAATACCAGGCAAGATGATAATTCCAATCCGTTGCTTCTCATGCGGAAAGGTACGTGACCTTCTCTGATCAACTTCCGTATTTACTCATTCGGTAAACCAGGTCATCGGCGATCTATGGGATCGTTACCTTAAGTTGATTGAGCAGGATGACATGAAGGACAGGTACGCGCCCAAGGCCATGGCCCCACCTACGAGTATGGACTGAGGATGACTACAGTGAGGCTATGGACGCTCTCGGTTTGAACAGATACTGCTGCCGCCGCATGGTCATGACCCACGTCGACCTCATCGAGAAGCTTTTGCGATACAATCCGGCCGACAAGGAGGCACAGCGACAGCTAGATGCTAGGATACAAGCACAGCGGGCGGCTGAGAGAGATGGACACTAAGATGACGCGTATTGCACACTTTTTGAGAATTAGAGTCAGTATCAGGGGCTAGGAAGCCCACGAAGTTCCAAGCCACGACGCTATGAATGCGCGTCTCGCGTACGGACAAGCGCGTGTAACGAAACGAAGAAACCATATTGAGGACAAAGAAGTTTTGTAAGAATGACTTCGGCTCTTGTTGTCATCGTGACAGCTCGCGGCCAGGCAATGGAATACCAGTTGGAATGAGAAAGCAGAGAGAACAACGCATGAATGTACATCATACTAGGAGATGAGTCACAAACAACTCTGCATCAGGCCAGGGCATGATATGGCAGCTCTTTCCAATGCCTCTGATCTCCTCCATCTTGTATATTGTTGCAAAATGGCTCTCTTGCCTCTTCGGAAATTGCTCGGCTATCCACTCGTCTCCGCACGTCGTTTCTTGGCCGGTCTCCCGCTTCCTATCATAAGCACCGTCTCAGCGTTCCTTTCCATTTCGTCACATCACACTTCACATGTGGCTCATGGCGCAACCCAAGATTTTACTGTACTTTGATTTGCACAGCCCGTTTTCGTACCTCTCGTTTCACGCGTTACGTGTACGGAGATTTTTCCCCGCCAAGTCTTGTCCATCGCCAAGCTAATTGTGCAGAATGACGTCCGCTTCAGGAGCTGCGACATCGTATACGTACCTGTGCTATTGGTAGAAATGAATAAGTGGCTAAAAACGCAGCCACCGTGGGAAGTCCCAAGTACATAACATTTCCATCACATGTTCACTGGCCTTTATTTACGCGAATCAGACCGTGTTAGGTGGATCGAGAACGATCTTCGCCGCTCAGCACCATACGCTGGGCTAGAGTGGAAGGCCGGATGGCCTAGGGATTTCCCTCTGAGAACTACGACTGGAGTATGCTCGATCTCGGCCGTTTGCTCTCGGGCGTTTACTGAGTACAAGGAAAGGTGCAGCGCGCGCTCGTAGCATGCTCACTTGTATGTCCAGACCGGCTTCCAGAGGTCGTTGCTGCACTGTATCACGCCTTTTGGGTTGAAAAAGAGGCTGTTCAACGACCAGAGATATCACTCCCCGTCATTGGCGACGTTGTTGGCGAAAGCCTTGCGCGCGAGATCGCACAGAAGGTAAGCTTTCTGAGCTGCATTACACCCACCTCGTTGAATAACACCTGCACAGAGCATCACAATTGCGGTACGAGACAAATTAGCCAGCAACACGGACGAGGCTCTCAGAGATGGTGCGTGCGGACTTCCTTGGCTGAAATGTACGACGGCGGATGGAAGCAGGACAGAGAGCTTTTGGGGATTTGATCATATAGGTCAGGTGGCAGATTTTCTTGGCCTGCCAGCGCCGATGGAAGACGAATCGATGCGCAATTAGCCACACATTTGCTGTCTGATCGGAAGCGGCTTTGACAGAGCACAATGGCCGTCTACGCTGACTCTGAGCCTTCCAATCTTCCCACAAGAAAGACGCGGGGCGGAGAGCCTAGACTAGACGAGTTTGCACGTCGAAAACCGACAACAATGCGAGAAGAGGTCAGAGATAAGCATGCAGGCATCGTGCAGAGGACGTGCAGTTGTGCCTGTGGACGCAGTCGTTCAAGGCCAACGATGGCGGATCCTTTCTTCAAGCGGTGTGAAGAGGACAGAGTGGAGCACGGTGGAGAAGGAACAGTGGAGTGAGCGCTGAGGAAGCCGTGCTGCAATGTGCGGGCATGGACTGCGATGTACTGGGCCGCACCGGGCTGTGCTGTGTGATGCCGTGCCGTGATGTGCCGTGCTGTGCTGCACCCGACCACGCGCTTCGGGCTCCGCCCGCACTCAACGTCATTGTTGAGTGAAGGAAGGCCAAAGGTGGGGTGCAACAGCTGCAACGGGCGGAACAGCTCATTCAGCTACGTTCACTTGCGTTAAAGCTTAAGTTAGTTACTCCCCCCGTTGACGAAAACAAAAACACAAAAACCAACGCTTTCCCCGCCATTTCCAACCCAGCAGCACATTGTCCGTTTTGCAATTGCACGACCCTACATACCGTAATTGTCCACCAAGCAGCGCGATCATGAGCGTGAAGACGGTAGAAACCAAGCCCTACACCGATCAGAAGCCGGGCACGTAAGTCTTTTGCTGCGGCCTGTGTCCTTGCAGAAGCACTAGCTCACCCCGCCTTTCACACAGATCTGGCCTGCGCAAGAAGGTCAAGGTGTTTCAGCAGCCAAACTATTCTGAGAATTTTGTTGCTGCCATCCTGCTGTCGATACCAGAAGGTGCTGAGGGCAGCACTCTGGTTGTCGGCGGTGACGGGCGCTTCTGGAATCCAGAAGTGACACAGCTGATTGCGAAGATCGGCGCTGCGTACGGCGTGAAGAAGCTCATCATTGGCCAGAATGGCATCTTGAGCACCCCAGCTGCCAGTCACATCATTAGGAAACGGAAGGCCACTGGTGGCATTCTGCTGACGGCCAGCCACAATCCCGGAGGTTCGTCTCGGCAGGAGTTGTGCGGCTGGAACGAGAGCGGTGCTAACGTTCGAGCGACAGGACCGAACGAAGACTTTGGCATCAAGTACAACTTGGCAAACGGCGCTCCGGCGCCGGAGAGTGTCACCAACAAGATTTACGAGACCTCCAAGACCCTCACCTCGTACAAGATTGCCGACATTCCTGACGTAGATCTGTCCACGATTGGCACAAAGGAGTACGGGCCACTGACGGTCGAGATCATTCATTCGACAGAGGACTACGTGGCGTTTATGAAAGAGATCTTCGACTTTGATCTCATTCGCTCCTTCCTCCGCTCACATCCTGACTTCAAGGTTCTGTTCGATGCACTGAACGGCGTGACGGGGCCGTACGGCGTCGCCATCTTCGAGCAGGAGTTGGGCTTGAAGGATAGCACGCAAAATTGCATACCCAAGCCAGACTTTGGTGGCCACCACCCTGACCCCAACCTGGTGTATGCGCACTCGCTCGTCGAGGTTGTCGACAAGAACGGCATCCAGTTTGGCGCTGCTTCCGACGGCGATGGAGACCGCAACATGATCTACGGCGCAAATACTTTCGTCTCTCCTGGCGACAGCTTGGCCATAATTGCCCATCATGCCAAGCTTATTCCCTGGTTCAAGAACCAGGGTGTCTACGGTCTGGCTCGCAGCATGCCGACCTCTGGCGCTGTTGACCTCGTCGCGAAGAAGCAAGGTCTTAAGTCTTACGAGGTCCCAACAGGCTGGAAGTTCTTCTGCGGCCTCTTCGACGCCAACAAGATGAACATTTGCGGTGAGGAGTCCTTTGGCACTGGCAGCAACCATATTCGCGAGAAGGATGGCCTGTGGGCCATCGTTGCCTGGCTGAATATCCTTGCTGGTGTAGGTCAAGAGAAGGGCATCACTCCGTCAATCAAAGACATCCAGATGGACTTCTGGAAAACGTACGGCCGCACTTTCTTCACGCGCTATGATTACGAAGGCTGCGAAACCGAAGGTGCGAACAAGGTAGTGGCACACATGAAGGAGCTTATCACCACTAAAAAGGCTGAATTTGTTGGCTCGTCCATTCAAGGCCGCAGGGTAACCGAAGCAGACGACTTTTCGTACACCGATCTCGATGGTAGTGTGAGCAAGAATCAGGGTATCTTTGTAAAGTTTGACGACGGCACTCGTATCGTAGTTAGATTGTCTGGCACTGGCAGCAGCGGGGCAACGATCCGTCTGTACATAGAGAAGTATGAGAGCGACGAGAGCAAGTATGGTTTGGACGCGCAGGAATACCTGAAGGAGGCCGTTGCCTTGGCAGTGGAGCTCCTCAGGTTGCAGGAGTTCATTGGCCGAACTGGTAAGTCTAGTCACGTCCTTGTTCTTTGGGAATGAGCAAAGTGCTTATAAGATTGGCAGAACCCGACGTCAAAACGTAAGTTATCTTTGAGACAAAAAAACATAGTCGCTACGTCATAGCAAAGACTACGCGGGACACGAATCAATGCGGCGATGGAACAGTAAAAGGGCATTTTCAATGTGGAGCATTCACAAAAATACAATGTGCTGGTAGAACGAACATACCGAGCGACGCCTAGAATGAAACTACTCATTTCAGTCTCGGGAGGAGTTCTGTTCAATTCACAACTTTATCAAGCTTTCAAAGTCAATTGCCTCCTCACAGACATATTCTAAGTTTACGGCAGATATAGAAATGCACGTGATTTCAAGGATTCTCTCATCACCTGTACTTGCACGACCTTACGTTCCACACCATACGCTTCACGTTTCTTGACTACTCCATGTGAAGGTTTAGAAGCGAGTAAGATGATATATGACATAGATGGAACTAGAGTTTTGAAGCATGATCTTGCTTGCTCTTTGTTATGCGGGGAAGCCGAGGATATGCTGATGTTTTCTTATAGCTTGCGATGATTCTTCTTGAGGAACGCTGAATATGCTAACTCAAGTGTACGATATACCGTACAAAAAGCGACTTTGAAAGGCCTGGGCACGAAAAATCACTCTCAGTCTGATCATTATTATCATCACTTGTCATAATCGTTCTTATCCGCCATGAGTCTCAGCACGGAAGAGGCCAAGAAACAGCTTCGTGAACAAGGATGGGTTCGACTGTCAGGCGTGCTGACCAGAGAAGAGGCAGCGCATGTGTTAGATCGTCTTTGGAAGGCAAAGGTAGCCGCCGAAGCCAAGGGAGATCAATCGTACTTGGAGCACCTGGACCCGAATCCATCCAACGTGCGGGTTTTTGGACTGCTCGAACTGGATCCGATCTTCCGGGAGCTGATTGCCCACCCCAAGATCATCGAGCTCGTGAAGCACATTTTAGGGGACGACTTCATCATCAGCAATTTCACGGCGAACATTGCCCGACCCGGAGCGCAGTCAATGGCCCTGCACTCGGATCAAAGCATCATAGTTGCCAATCCTTGGATCGAAACCTGGGTTCTCAACGCGATCTGGTGCCTGTCTGACGTGTACAAGGAGAACGGCGCGACGCTCTACATTCCAGGCTCGAACAAGTGGGTTATGAAATCAGACGTCCCCGCCAACGCCAACGAGCTCCTGGTCCCGTTCAACGCGAAAATGGGCGACGTCATCCTGATGGACGGCCGCGTGTGGCACACGAGCGGCTCCAACGTCACAAAGGACCAGGACAGGCCCCTCATGTTCGGAGCATACTCTGTTGGCTTTTTGAGGCCGCAGTCGAACTGGAACGCCTCGCTCTCGCCGGAGACGCAGAACAGCCTGAGCGACGAGATGCGGGAGTGGCTAGGGCTAGGGCCAAAGGGAAACATTGGCAAGGCTGGGGACATTGCTCACAACTACTTGAGCAAACAGTTTAGCGACAAGAAGGATCAGGCAAAACTGTGAGCGTCTCGGCAAAGTTTGTCCGATCATACAAAGCAACACACGAAATGTTCACCTTTTCCAGCCGGGGCAAGCGTAGAACAGAACGTAATGCCAGAGTCATGTGAGAGGTGCTGATAGCTTTGGCGACGAGATGTTGCTTTAACCCCAATCATGGTCACAGAGATTGTGCTGCGTATAGCGAGTGCCTTTTTGCATTGCGTGACATAATGCAAGCCCGTCATCTGCGGCCGCCTTGTACTGACTCAGCCGTCTCTACATTTCCCCGCAGCGTTTGTTCTGTCTGTGGGGTTGAAGAGCCCCGGATATTCGGATAAGGATGAGGAGAGTACTTATGTTCCTGGTTCGGCGGAAGCTCCAAAACTCACGGAACAATCAGGGTATGTTTGTGTTTTATTTTTTATTCTTTTCCTTTTCTTCTTTCGTCTCTTTGTCCACAAGTCGAATTTCTATTCCAAATCTCTTTCGTTCTGCCTCCTATACCCGTCTCTTTAAAGCCTAGCCAACTACTACTATTGCTATTACTTTTTGAAAGGTGCCATCGCAATATCTTTGTGTCGATACCAGAAAAAAGGGGCGTGCAAACTTGCATCTTTCACAATGGTCACAACAACAGCGACAACAATAACGATACCGGTTCGGACGAGCCTGCCGGAATTTAAGGGAAACAATGCCGACGTGAATAGGAACATCAACAGAGAGAAGCTGGCAATACCAATAAGCGATGCCGAGTTCAGAGAAGCAGTCGATCTGGTCAAAGAGCGGCTGGACCTTATGTCGGAAACGAAGGCCAAGTTCCTTCTCAGCGTTGGTGTTGGGCAGCCTGACATGTTGATCGATGCAAGATCGTCAAGCCCGACGCTGGAGATCCTCTCTGGCGCTGCGCCGGACGACCTTGACGCGCACATATTTTCGAGGGTTCCGTCCCTCAAACAATTGCACGCCGGCAATTGGGACAGTCGCTTCGCCGCGAGGTGGGGCCACATCAATCTGGTGTTTGGAAAGTGGCCTGTCGGGATCAAATTCGGCGACGCCATGACTGGCATGAAATGGACGCACCCCAAGCTGTCCGACATCAACCTCGCCGAGCTGCCGAAGCCGACGGAGGACCTGGCGCAGGTCAAGCGCGACATGGAGCGGTGGGGCTACGGGTTTATAAAGAACGCCCTGACGTCGGAAGAGGTCGCCCGTCTGAAGAAGCGGCTGTTGAACCAGGCCAGAGGCGAGGCAGAAGCGGGCAAGGGCGTCTTCGACGGTGGTCCGGACAAGCCGAACCAGAGAGTCCTGTGCCTTCCGAACAAGGGCCAGGAGTTCCTCGACCTGCTGGAGAACAAGGCCATCGACGGCCTGATCCCAGACCTGTACGGCGAAGACGCCATCCTGTTCTCGTACACGGCCAACATCGCCCGCTACGGCAACGTGCCCATGCACCTGCACACCGACCAGATCACGATCCAGCCGCCGATTCGCTCCGTCGCCGTCGGCGCCAACATGGCCTTCTTTCTGGACGACGTCTCCGCCGAGAACGGCGGAACGCTCGTCATGCCAGGCTCGCACCGGGGCAACCTCGCCCCAGACGACCCTTGGGACCCCAAGGACACGATCGCGGCGTCAGGCCCCGCGGGGTCGTGCATGGTATTCGAATCCAGGCTCTGGCATGCGACGGGCGCGAACAGGATCCCCGGCTCGCAGCGGCCCGTCCTCCTGCTCTACTTCACCCGGCCGTGGATGCGGCAGCAGGAGAACTTCAGCCTGAGCCTGATGGACGAGGTGTACGAGAAGTGCAGCGACCGCGTGAAGGCCTTCCTGGGCTTCAAGATGGCGGCCAGCGTCGGCAGCGTGCAGGGCTTTGGTGGGAAGAACGGCAGCATCACAAGGCGGCCACGAGCCGACGAATACATTGGCATTCTCGGCGAGAGTTAGGCGTCAAAGGCAGCAGCGGACGGTACGCGCGCTCCATTCCAGAACCGACTCTTGACGCATCTGTGCGTGCCGTGAAGCTGCACCTGCTGAAATATATACGTAGAAACGCGCGTATATACATATAGATACTCTGACTAATAAAAGCTAGCATCGCATTGCAAGACGAACGAGGAGTTGGAACGTTACTTTGCTTTCTTATTTTCTCCGCGCTCTCCAAATCTATCTGCCCGTGGGACTTCTTCCCATTTAACCAGTGAATGCTATGTAATCTATGCCAGGAAAAGGAAAATCGAATACACTTTTGTCTTTGTTCCGGCCCCAATGCAAGCAAGGATGGTAAGAAAGGCTTTCCATTCAGACGTTGATCTCATAGTAAAGAAAGGTATGTCAAGCTTTCTGCTCGTACATCGGATGAGTGGAGGATTTGTCCGTGTCGAACATCGTCCTATGTTAGACGCGTTCTGCGCAGGCTGCCGCGGATAAGGCTTACTGTCAAACTACCTTTCCTGATGCCTATGTGTAGGGCAAGGTTCAAGATACCGACGCTATGCTGCTGGCGTCCCCAGAAGAAAATATATCCAGAGTCGAGGTGACCTCCGAAAAGAAAAAGAATGAAAAATCTTTTTTTTTTAAAAAAAAAGGAAGGAAAAAAAAACCCCTTGCCAAAGGACATTTCCTAATTTTTCGTCGCCGGCGCACAATGCTCGGGGATGGAAGCCTTGCCATCCCTCCTGGCGAAGTCAAGTATCAGAATGGCTTTCCACCCACGAGCTTGAAGGCGTTGGACAGGCATGTGTCGATGAGAAAACTGTTTCACATCGGCGTTGTATTCTAGAGCTTTTGTGTAGGAGCTCCCTTGGGGTCTTCACCGCAGATGGGATTCGCGGCGCAGATAGTATATCCGGTCGGGCCATTCCATTGCCGTAGTTTGAGGATGACGACGATGGAGATGGCCTTCAGTGATTTAGTACATTAGGCATGCTGACGCTGGTCGTCCGAATCACTTAGTTGGGGCGCCGTAAGGATCTCATGACCGAGCATGTTGCCGACTCCGGCTCTGATCAACTCTTTCGTCACTTGGATGGTGTTGAATCCAGGCGCTTTGTCGACGATGTTGCTTTTGAGACGTGTCTAGAGGCGGCAGAATGCGGTAGGAGTAGAAAGCGTTGTGTTTGTCGGCATCAAGTCGTCTGTGCAAGTTGTGGGTTAGCACAGGGATTGATGGATGTTTCGTTGCGATTTCATGGAGATGGACTGTCTTTCCCTATTGTTCTTCCAAGCAAAGGCATTTTAGTCTCGTTCAGGTCGCGAAGCAGTTTTACTTTTGACACGCAACGCCATTTCAAAGGATATATGCTTCCAGAAACTTCAGCCTAATTGACGTCAACAAGAAGGTTCTCCGGGCTATTCGTGCAAGCGGTCGATTGTTTTTTAGCCGTGTCAGTAGAGTTGACATTCTCGGGCGGCTCCGAATTTGACATCACGTCCGACCTTGCGTTAATGTCTTTGGCGGCCGTCTGTTTGGTCCAAAGCTCACAGTACTTCTTGCCACGTCGAATCAAGTCTTCATGGGTGCCGCGCTCTATAATCTGCCCCTGGTCGATGACCAAGATCAGATCCGCGTCCATGATTGTGGACAGCCGATGGGCGACTACGAAGGTGGTTCTGCCGGCGCTGAGTTTCTTGAAAGCAGCTTGAATCTGCGCCTCGATGGATGAGTCAACTGCAGAAGTTGCCTCGTCGAGGAGCACGATCTTAGGGTTCTTTAGGATAACTCGTGCTATTGCAATGCGCTGCAGCTCTCCTCCAGAAAGCTTGACGCCGCGCTCGCCCACCTTGGACTGGTACTTGTCCGGGAAGGTCATAATCTTGTCGTGCACTGCGGCCGCTTGACAAGCCGCTATGACCTCTTCGTCCGTCGCGTCGAGACGAGCATAGCGAACGTTTTCCATGATCGTCCGGTTGAACAACGACGGGTCTTGCGGAACGACGCCAAGTTCTTGTCTCAAAGAGTCGATCGTGACACTGCGCAAGTCCTGGCCGTCAATAGAGATCGAGCCACTCGTCACATCGTAGAACCTGAAGAGCAGTTTGAGCGTCGTGCTCTTCCCGCCACCCGTTTCTCCGACCAAAGCCACTGTCTGGCCGGGCAAGACGGTGAAGCTGAGACCTTTGAGCGTCTCCTTGCGCTCGTCGTAAGAAAATCCAACATTCTCAAAAGTGACATGGCCATCCGTAACTTTGAGTGGCAAGGCGGCATTGTCACTTTTGACGGTCGGCTGGGTCTGAAGCAGCTGCAGAAGTCGCTCGGCATCCACGGTCGCGCTTGAAATGAGTCGGTAGTGGTAAGTGATCATGTGCAAGGGGCTCATCAGGGACGACCAGTACATGACCAGAGTGACGAAACTGCCGATCGGCTTCCTGCCCTCGCTGATCTGAAAGATGGCCATCATGGAAACGGTGAGAAGGCCGCCAAATACGATAAGGTATTGAACAGCATAGCCAAGAGAGCTCAACACGTAATATACGAGCTGAGCGCTCATTTCGTCCTGGACCGCCCGACCATAGGATTCCTCTTCGAACTTGGCGCGGTTGAAGTAGGATATCGTAGGCCAATTGGAGACGCATTCGTACATCTTCTTGCTTTCGGCCCTGCTCTTCTCGGTGTACATTCGCCTCTTGGGCCTTACCATCGTGGTGGTGGCGACGCTCGTCCAGACGAACATTGTGCCGACGATGAGGAAAACCACGGCCATTGCAGGGCTGAAAAGGTGGGAGATGTACACGAATGCGATGAGCACGTCGAGCAGCACGGGCACGATCTGAAAGAAAAGCGTCTCGAGCAAGTCGTTGAGCGAGTCTGCTTGCCCGATGCTCTTGATCAGGTCGCCGGAATCTTTGTTGCTGTGGAAATCCATCGAGAGGCTCATGACGTGTCGAAACGCGAGCTGCCTGATCTGGCTGGAGGACCAGTTGTGCAAGTGCGTGCGGGCAATGTCAGAGATGAGTCCGAAACTTGCAAAGCTGTTCGCCCAGTTTAGAAGAACCCACAGCAAGACCGCTCTCCACGGCATGACCGTGTAGTCTCTGGCCAGCTCATCCGTGATGATGCCCAGCTGGCGTGGGACCATGACGTTCACGAAGCGGTCCAGAAACATGTGGATGATGATTATGACCAGGCAGAACTGGACCTTGCGGTTCTTGAAGGGAACGAGATAGGGGATGAATATCTTGAACTCTTTGGTGTAACCCCACCAGCCACCATTGGCCTCGAGGCGCCTCTGCTGGGACTCCTTTACAGCCTTGTCGGGGTCTTTGCCGTCCTCGGACTCGTCGTCCTGAGACTCGTTGCCCGTCGCTCCGTAGGCTCGGGGCGAGGCCGAGCCATTCGTCTCGGAGAGCAAAGGCCCAGCCTCTTCTTCGAGGTCGGCTTCCTCGGTCTTGCGCATGATGCGGAGCATGTTGACAAGGAGCATCAGCACGGCGCCGATTCGAAGCGCCTGAAGCACCGTCCGGACGACGTCGAAGCCGGTCGTCCCGCCGGTCTGGGGGGCTGCGACGCCGCAGACGGCGGCCTCGAAAACGAAGGCGAGAAGCCAGGCTGCCGCGAAGGGGTCCCAGGCGGGCGTTTCGCTCGTCGCCAGCGCCGCGACGAGAACGCCCCAGACGTACATGTCCGCCAAGTCAGCGACGATCCGGTGCTCTGGGATGTCCAGCGCCCGGCGTTGAAGGGACTGGACGAGGTTGAGAACGACATGACCGACATAGGTGAGAAAGACGGCGCACGTCAGTGTCAGCGCTGTTCGTCGCCCCCGGGCTGGCCGGTCTCCTGTCGTGGCGGTGCGGAGCGTGATCCAGTCGAAGATGAGGAGTGCGCAGAACGAGCAGATCATGCATGCTGGATAAAGATACTCGAGCAACTCGGCGGCTGCCATCGACTCTGCCATCGGTGGTCGCAAAGAGGTTCGAAATCTTGACGGGCTCAGGAAACGCTTCTGGGGCACGACGGCGACGGCTCTCTTCTATACCCGGCGCCAAACGGCCTCGAACTTGCTGTCTGGACCCCGTACAAGAGGCTGGAAGTGCACTGCCTAGTAGAGATGACCAAGGAAGCGACGGAGATGCTTGTCATCCCAGGCTGCACCCTCGTATAACGTTGAGTGTGTGCGCGTGTCATTCTCGCAAGACCGGGTGGGAACCTAAGACGGTCCAGTCTACGGCGGTCTCCCCTCTTTGGTATCTTCTCCTTCGTCTCCTTCCTCTCCTTCTTCTCAGTTGCCAGAAAAAAAAAAGACTGAGCGCTGAGTCTCTCTAAGCCACGCTCCGATCTAGTAAGGTTGCGCGGCCTCGCTTGTCTCACCACAGTGACCAGGTGTCCACACCTCATTGCATATATTTACTTTCGTCACTTCGGTTCGCTCTTCTGACTGGAGAACCAGGACCAGCGTAGTTCTACATCCAACCTTGAGCCTCCCGCCGGCCCCCAAAGAGACAATCCATGTGTGCCCGGCCTAGAGGGAGATGGAAGAAACGGTGACTCAGAAGCAAACGGAGACAAAGATGCTGCCTAAGCAGCTCTGACGTCCAGGCTGTTCCAGGTCTCCTTTGTCTTTTCTTCTCAACTGCGTAGAAACGAAGGCTCCTGTCCCTCTCCCTAGACTTGGGCTTCATGTCTTTTCTTTTATTCATTCCTGTCAAAGAATAATCTACGTCCTACATGTCCATCCCCACAACCTCTCTCACCTTGCTCCAACAGGGCCTTTTTTTTTTTTTTCAAAAATGTACTTTTGGAAAAGCTGCTCTGCTCGAGAGAATGCTACGCATAGATATGTATTCCAAGGCTAGCCAAAGACAGAAACAGCAACAAACCTCTCAGTGCCTCATATCCTGTCCGTCGTTTGCTTATCTGTCCTCCCGTCCAGCCCGTCCTTGGTGTCAAACAACTGTTCACTACTGCTACACGTACATACAGCCGGTCCCAAACAAACGTCACTCAACCAACGTCTCATGAGGACAAAAACAAAAGAAGGAAAAAAAAAACCGCACAAATTTGGGTCATCTTCTCAGACGTCCGATATCCTTGCCGCGGGCATTCCATCTTCGGCGCTGCGGTTTTCGTCCATCAGAGACCTGCGTTACGTGCCGGATTGTCGTAAGTTCGCAGAAGCTAGCTGTTACCCATCTGCGCGTTGGTGGCCATGCTCGCCTTCTTGTCCCTTATGCAATCGTACAAAATCGAATGTGCATCCCGTGTCGTCCGGCTCGAAGATGGCGCAGACTGTAAGTTCCAGGACAGTTGGGTTTGCCCGGCATCCAAGATAGGAAAGAAAGAAACTGCTTTGCCGCTGTCGATCAAAGTGACTGGTCGTGTGAAGGGCCCCAACAACGTCTTTCATTGCCAGTGGTTTGAGGTCATGAAACCTTCTTCCAGGGTCCTGTCTTCCAGAGTTCTGATAAAGTCTCTGTTGCCTCCGCCTCCTGCTCCTCGTTGGCCTCCCTGTCCAGCACGGCTTGGCCGCCTTCGGTTACCCTGGGAGTCCGGGGCGCCCTCTGGCGGAGGTGGATAGTACGCAGGGCTAGGTTGAAGCCTGATTGGCGCGTTGGGATCCAGATGGCCCATAACCCGTTGCAGCGCGGCAGGAATTCCCGTGTTGTGCTGTTCGAGCGTTGAGGCGCGTTGGCGACCTGCGCGCGTCGAAGCCTGCGCGTACAGGTTGCCAGGCGGCGGTGGCTGCGGCTGATAACGCGGCGTCTGTTGCTGCGCGGACATCATACTACCCAGGGGTGGTGGTGGCGGTGGTGGTTGTTGTTGTGACGCGTAGCCTCCGGCCGATTGCTGCTGGTAGGGTGGCGGAGGCGCAGTCTGGTGGCTTCCAGCCGAGGGGGCATACATGTTGTACATGTTTGGGGGCGGCTGCTGACTCATCGGCGAGGCCGGATACGAATTCATTTGCATAGAAGCGTAGGCGGCACTTTGTGCTTGTGCTTGTGCCTGTGCTTGGGCCTGGGCGTGTGCCTGTGCCTGCGCAGCCGCTTGCTGCTGCCTTTGTTTGCTCATGGCTTCTGCGCGCTGCTGTTCCTGTACGCCGGGCGCGGGAGACTTGCTTGAGCTCGAGCGAAGCGTCATAGGCGGGATGAACGGCCCGGTGAATTTCTGCTGCGTGATGAAGGGGTGCAGTTTGGCCTGATTTGGGGTCCACCTTTCGAGCGGGTTCAGGTTCAACAGACCCTGTGCGAAGTCGATGAACGCGGTGCGATTCGCCATTTCTGTACATGTCAGTCTCTGTACGGTTCTCACGCGCGCGTCTTTGCGAAACACAGACCTCGTTCAATCTCATGCGGCTTCATGTTCTTCCTCGGCATGGGATAGTTCTTGATGATTTCCGGCAGCGTCGTCGCCGTAAAGTACTTCTTGCTGGGCTGCTCCTTCGTCCCGTGCTCCCTCGAATACTGTTCCATGCTCTTTAGCCTGTACGTCCTCCTCCCGTACTCGTCGTGTGTCTTCTCGAAGAACTCGCCGGACTGCTTGCCCATCTCCAGCATCCACGTTGGCGGAAGCCCCAGCATCTCCGTTATCCGCGCGACCTGGTTGTACTCTGACGAACCTGGGAACAGCGGCAGGCCGAGGAAAAGCTCGACCACTATACAGCCCAAGGACCACATGTCAATGGCGGCAGAGTAGGGCAGTCCCAACAGGACCTCGGGGGATCGGTAGAAGCGCGATTGGATGTACGTGTACACCGTCTGTCGTTCGTCGCACGCAGATCCAAAGTCGATGATCTTGATGATGGGACTTTCAAGGCTGTTCAAGAACGGTCAGAACGAACGTGGGGAGGGCTTGACGGGGGTCAGCGCGATGAACTCACTTTTTGAGAAGGATGTTTTCAGGCTTCAGATCGCAATGGATCAGTTTGGCCTTGCCCAGCAGCGATAGGCCGGTGAGGAGCTGCTGAGCAAACACGCGGACAAGCGTCGTGCTCAGGCCGCGGAACTGATTCTGCTTGATGAGCTCGTACAGGTTGACGCTCAGCAGCTCGAAGACCAGGCAGAGGTGCTGTCGGTGGATGAACGTGTCCTTGAGCCGAAGCAGGTGGTGGTCGTCGTTCTTGTCCATCTGCTTGTTCAGCAGATCCAAGACGGAAACTTCCATCATGCTTTGATTGAAGTAGGCGGTTCGGTTCTTGACCACCTTCACGGCCACCACCTCTTGCGTTTTCAGATTCTGACACTTGACCACCTGCCCGAACGTACCCTGGCCCAGCACGTCCAGGATGAGGTACCTGTTCTTGTGACCGGACTCCTCGGAGCCGAGAATGTCGTTCACGTACAGGATGTAGTCGCTGTCCTCGTTGTCGTACCCATCGTTCTTCACGCCCTTGCTTGGCTTCGTCAGCACCCGGCGCGGGTTCCGTGACGACTCGTACTTGAAGTTCGGGTTGCAGATGCGGTACGTGTCCGGCAGGGACGTCGTCAATGCACGCAGCGGACTGAGAAACCCACCCTCGGGGTTCGCGCGGCGAAAGGGGGGCTGCTCGTTGATTTTGGGCACCAGGTCGGCGGTGTTGGTACATTTTGTGAACTTGGGCACGGGGCCGCGCGAGGCGGAGGACTGCTGCGACGGCTGAGAATGCGACGTCGCACGCACGGGCGACTTGGGATCGTTGCGTGCAAAGGTTGGGAGCTGAAGCGGCGCAGACGACTGAGGATGGTAGCTCGACGGCGACATGGCTGATTGCAAGGGGGGAAGCTGGGGAGCGTGCGGCCGTGAGGCTGTTTAGACTGGTTAGCGTCCGTTTTCCGGCTGCTCGACGAGGGCGTGAGGAGAACGATGCTTACAGGGAGGCGAGGCATAGTAGTGGTTTGTGGGTGAGATGAACGAGTTGGACCGCGTGGGCGAAACCCTGGTCTGCTGTCCACCCGGCGAATAGCTCTGGTAGCTGGCCTGCTGGGGGCCCGACGAGTACGGCGACGAGGGCGAAAGGTTCATGGGCGAATACCGCTTCGCGGCCGACGACTCTTCCTGCTGGACCAGCTGGGTGGAGGACATGCGCGTGTGGCCCGCTCGCGCACCTTGGCCCCGCTTCCCGTACATGTCGGCGTCTTCCATCCTGATGTCGCCGTCGCCGTCGCCGCTGTAGTGGCCGTCACGACCATGCGGAGCCGAAGGCGAGGTCAGCGGCATGGATGGTGGACGGTGGGCCGAGGGCGGCTGGGCGTAGCCGTCTTGCTGCTTGGCGGCAGAGACGGAGGTGAGGTCTCGCTGGCCGTAGTGCTGGGAGGGGATAGTTTGCGGGGCGTAGCGCGTCGAGCGACTGGCGCCGGCGTTGTCCATGACGGACGAAGGCCACTGCTGCTGGTCCATGGGATGGACTGCAGCGCTGGCGGGATCAGAGAGCGTCGGGCTGGATGGATGCGAGGTGCAGGAGACGCTGCACGCAAGTGGTGGTGGTTTTGGTTCAGGCGGTCGTGTTCCTGGGCATGCTCGGAGGAGACCAGGCGCAAGGTCGCATGCACGGAGTGGGATCTAGGTGGCTGAGGATGGGATGGGCGACACAAAGGAAAGCGACGAGGACGGCTGTAGGGGCATGCAGAGGCGGAGGGAGAGAGGACGCAAGATGCAGAGCAGAGGTAGAGCAGAGGTAGAGCAGAGCTGCGAGAGAGAGAGAGAGAGAGAGAGAGAGAGAGAGAGAGAGAGTGTGTGTGTGTGTGTGTGTGCGCGTGTGCGCGTATGCGTGGGCGTGGTGTTGTGTGTGTGTATGTGTGCGTATGTGTGGGCGTGGTGTTGTGTGTGCGTGCGTGTGTACGTGTGTGTTGGCGCTGCGGTGATGTGGTTGTGTCGTGAGCGAGCTTTGCCCGCTGGTCCAGCTCCGCCAGCAAGCCAAACGAGAGGACTGCACGAGGGGCCTGGCTGGAGTCAAGAGGCTGCCTCAGCCGGCGGGCAGGCCGGCGGGTTTGTCTGAGGACAGACAAGCGGGCGGGCCGCGGCGACGACGAGGAGCGTCAGCGTCGAGACAGGACAGGGCCGGGGGCGAGGAGGAGAAGTGCGCGGGCGGCGGAGGAGAGGATGGCGGCGTTGTTGGAGACGGAGACGGAGGAGAGGAGGAGGGCGCGTCAGCAGGAGTGGCAGAGGTCGAGGCAGCGGAGGAGGCAGAGGCAGGGAAGCGGGAGCGTGGCGGCGGTGGAGGAGGAGGAGGAGGAGGAGGTGGTGGTGGTGGTGGTGGTGAGAGGCAGCGAGGGCCGCGAGCACGCCGCAGCTGAGCCGACGGCTGGGCCTTGCCGCCTGAGATTGGGCCCGGTGCGCGAGCGTCCCACGCGCGGGCAGCGAGGAGACGACCGCGGACGGCGCCCTGCGTGAGCGCCCGCCAGCTGCCTGCAGCGGGTGCGCGGGTCCCGCCTGGACGGGCTGGTCTTGCTCGTCCGTGCCGGCCAGCGCGACGAAGCGGTCCTGCTTGCGGTCGCGCCCACGCCTGGCTCCGCCGCTGGCCGCGCGCCCCGTCACTGTCCCATCCCCCCCGAGGAGCGCGCCGTCGCCATGTCGCGGCCGCATCGAGCACCGCGAGCGTTGCCTTCCGCTTGCCCACGGCCAGGCGACTCCTCCCCCTCCGCCGCTCGCAGCCGGACGCCCGAACGAGGCAGCATTCATGCCCAACGGCGCGGCCAACGAGCTGGCCAGCATGAGCCCGTCCGTCGCAGCATCTTCGCTTGCTCACTCAGTCCGACCCGAGTCTCCCTTCACCTCATCGATCCGAACGCTGACCAGCCAGACCGTCGCGTTGCACCAGAGCGCACCTCGCCCATGCGACGTTGCCGCTGTTCTGCCAGCTCACGTACCCAAGGACCGTGGCCCAGCCCCGTCGGCCCTCGAACGGCGGACACCGGCCGTTCCTGTCACGTGGATTTCACGTGACAGGTGGCCTGCGAAGTCCCGTCCACGCAAGGTCTGCCGGCCGTTCGTTGTTCCGTCGAGGCAGTTGGAACAATCTCGCGGCCACCCGAGCCTCCCTCGCGTGTCTGCGTCGGGTCTGTGGAGGAGTGGCAACTCTCAGCGCGAAGCTGCTGTTTTTCCGGCTGCAAGTGAAAAGCATCGCCGAATCTCGTGCATTCGCCTCCACACGAGCCGACAGCCAGCACGCAGCCAGGAGGAGCAAGAGGGGAAGTGCAAGAACTTGAGGGGAAGTAGAACAACGCCTGGGCCCCGTATCGCTGCTCGAGGAAAAGAACCCGTCCGTCTTAGCCTCAGCAAGCGGCGTGGCTCTTGGTCCTACGTGTTGGACCGTCTTGATGCTTGCTCACGAAATCAACGCCAGCCAGGCTACGTTGCTACGAATCAGTCCGGAAACGCAGCTGTCTCCGCAACTCAATCGGACGGGATCAAGACGAATGGCCAACGCCTCGTTGGTGTGTTGTTTGCTGTCGCCAAGAGCCCAGGTGCCGCGCGTGCGAGATTCGAGGCTCACCCGCAGCTCTCGGTTCTGTACTCGCATTCATAGATCCAGCCCCGCAAGCGCAGGCGGTGTTGCTACAGAGCCAGGTTGCAAAACCTGGCAATTTGACAGTCGTGCGAAGACGGAAGAACGTTTCGTACGCGGCGGTGCCATCCTCTGCACTTCGCTAGCCAAGAGCTGAATTGCAAGCAGTAAGCCGCATGTGTGGGACCAAGACCTAACACCGCCCTGCTACACGACGGCTGCTCCGATAGAACAGAAAAAAACACCACGCCCGCAGAGATCACGGTGAGCAGCGATGGGCCAGAGTTACATTCTGGTCCACGGCCTTTTCGGCTGAGAATAGAATTCCCTGTCGTCGCAAAGGGCTTCGCGATGCGTATAAGAAGGCGTCCCTCTCCTCGAAGGGAGTACCTAGCATCACTTCACACGCAGCAATCTCCCAAGCTCGATTCGGTTCGAAAATCCATCCTCCTACAGCAAGAGTGTCCCATCTCACGAAAGCGCCTTGGAGCAAGAAAAATGCAACTCCTTCTTCCACTGTACCTCTTTGTCGCCGTCTCGGCCGCTGGTGGTAAGCTTTCCTTTTTTCAGACAGTCATTGCCGCAAATCGGAACTGAAAGATTCGCAGCGATCCCGCAAGCAAGCGAGGATCTTCCGGCTCCCAGAGAGCTTGCCATCCAAGACTTCGTCCCGCGGGACTACAGCAAGAGAGACGGCGTCACCAGGTGCGGGGGCATCTGCAATCCAGGACGGAACACTCCCATTGCTGGCTGCAAGGCTTGCTGTGCCACGTGCATGACCATTTGCATTGCTCTCCATCCGGTCGAGGAGTGTATCTGATTCCATCATTCCATTTGCGCTTCACGCGTCTCCGAAAAGAAGCATCAACTCAGCATGGCAGGCGTTTCGGGCGTCTTTGTCGTCTTACCTATTTCAAAGGACGCCCGTGGAACAGATTTGCTCAGGATCCATGCATTTTTCTATCGTCGAGAGGAGGAAAGGGGGAAAACATCAAATAGAAATCAAGTCAAGCAAACACAAAATCGACTCATGACCGTGTCTGCTCGTTCTCTCAATTTCACTCCACTTCCAACTTCAAGTCCAGTCCCTTTGATTCCCCTCCCGCGTCTTTGCCAGCTATCTCCATCCGTTTGCGCGCCACCCGTCCATCTAGAAATGCTGCCAAAAACGAAGTGCGAAGCTCGTGCTTGGACCTGCTCGCTGCTGCTGACTTTCTCGCCAGAGATACAATCGCCGCGAGGTCGTAGGAAAGTCCGGCCGTTTCCTAGGGCCCCAACCGCCGCACGCCTTTATGTGCGCAACGTGATTCGCGAGCGAGACACTCCGCCGACCTGGAAATTTGCTCGACGGCGCAGTTGCTTAACGTGGACGACGTCAGGGAAGCAATGTGTTTCGCACGTTTGGAGAGGGCCGAGCCTGTGCGCGTCACGTCCTTTCAGAAACGTCGTTGTCGTGGTCCGTCACCAGCCTGGCGCTAGAACTAAGCGTACGGAGAAAATTCCCTTGCGCGCGCACGCCCTTGCCGTGACGACGGGTCTGCGGCCAAAACGCTGGGAATCGTCGTGCGTAAATTCTCCACGCAGACACTTATCCACGTCACAGCATTACGTTGGCCGAGGCCAGTGCTAGGCGGGAGGAACGAGATAGAGAGAGAGAGAGAGAGAGAGAGAGAGAGCGAAAGAAATACGCAAAAAAAAGAAAATTTTTTCCTCTGTTGACTGTCCTCTTGGAATCGTCTCAAATGACAATGTTCACGGCCATTCTGGACTACGAAGATCCATACGTTCAGCCTCTGATCGCTGAGGCGTTTCAGAAACAGATTCCGCAAGATGCTTGCCAGGTGATCCAGCCTTCTGCGGAGCATGGCGAGACGCGCAGCAACAACAACAACAACAACAGGCACGACGGCGAACGCAAGGTCGTGCAGATCCGCGCGTACGAAGCCATCGAATTCGAAGAGGCCCTCGCCCACCCTGACCGGATCCTGATCAACGCGTACATCATCCGCAAGGCCCTGATCCGCAAGCACTATCTCTCCAACACGGTCCACGCGTGGATAACCAAACACCCGGACAGCGTGCTCGCGAGGCACTTCAAGCCCTCGGTCGCCTTCGAGGTCGACTACGCCGAGTTCCTGGACGAGGCGCTGCTGGAAGCGTACGAGCTTCGAGAGAGCTTCGAGAGGAACGCGCGGCTGCAGCCGGCCGAGCGTGAGTGGTGGATCCTCAAGCCGAGCATGACGGACCGCGGCCAGGGCATCAGACTGTTCAGCACGGAGGACGAGCTCGCGGCCATATTCGAGCAGTGGGACCCGCCGGATTCGGAAGACGAGGACGACGACGCGGACGACGAAGGCTCACACGACGGCATCACCACTTCGCAGCTGCGCGACTTCGTCGCCCAGCCGTACATTCACCCGCCGCTGCTGCTCTCCTCCTTTGGCGGCCGCAAGTTCCACATCCGAACCTACGTGCTTGCCGTGGGTGCCCTGAGCGTCTACGTTTACAAGCCCATGTTGGCCTTGTTCGCTTCGCAGCCGTACGCCGCGCCCTGGGAAGAGGACGACCTGAAGGCCCATCTGACCAACACGTGTCTGCAACACACCGGAGACCGGGACGGCGCCGTGCATGCGTTTTGGGATCTCGAAGATGAGCCGTCCTGCGCCACCTCCGATCCGGACCGCGCCTGGAAGGACGCCGTTTTCGAGCAGATCTGCGCCGTCACGGCCGACGTCTTTCTGGCCGCGGCCAAAAACAACGCGGTGCACTTTCAGCCGCTGCCGAACGCGTTTGAACTGTTCGGACTGGATTTCCTCGTCGATTCCCAGCGCACCGTTTTTCTGCTGGAAGTGAACGCCTTTCCGGACTTCAAGCAGACGGGCGACGCCTTGCGCAGCCTGGTGGCCGGCCTGTTCGAGGAAGTCGTCGACGTGGCCATCAAGCCCTTCTTCGGTCTCGAAGGCGGCAAGCCAGACGGCTCGGAGAGATTGAGACAGGTCCTCGATCTGGACATGGGCAAGCGATAAGGAAGTACGCCGTGCCGAACATGATTCCTACTACCCTGCCCTTGGAAGCAGCCCAGAGCGCACACGTCGTCGTTCAACGACGATCGAGCATGACACGGATCTTCAAATGAGAATCTGATGCGCGGACAGAACGTGCGCTCGTCTCGGTCCCACGCTGCGAGTCTCGTGCCGAGATGGTGACGAAGCGCTTCAATGCTCAGGAAGAGCTTGACGGACGCAGGGTGAGTAGCCACGAACAAGAACGCATTCTTTTCAGTCTTTTCGCGCCGCGTCCTGTGTTGCAAGCCTCGTCGACGGCGAAAAAACGAACAGAGGGCTGCCACCCAAGCAATGTTTCGTCACTATCGCTGGCCAGATTTTTTTTTTATTCGCGTCCGCGCCCAACTGCCGCACACATGTACGACGGCGGGATCAAGGAAATGCCCATCCCACAGTATTCTTCAGTCGCCTTCCATGCATCCGAGCGCCTGCGCTGATCCCACCGTACCCCGTCGAAGGATCTCTCATTTGTCCAGACAGAGGCCGTCGAGAAGTCTTTCATAGTGCTGAAGCCCCATTGTCGCAACCTCTCGAGTCCTCGTCACAGGGCTTCAAACCTCGTCCCTTCACATCGTTGGTCTGTTCCTCTCTGGACCAAGGCTGATGATGTTTACATAACCACGCGCTAAACCACAAATGGGGTTAATTTAGGCCGCAGTGACGCCACCCAAGTCACCGCTGAAAACGTGACTGCGCGTTACCGTGAACAGATTTGTGACTGTACTGAGTCGTCGCCGACAACCTTTTTGCTTCTCGTCTTCGACTTCACGCGGGAAAATGTTCCTCGGCGCATGCACGCCCCTTGTAGACTGCCGTCCGTTTCCGTCGACTCCTTCTACGCTCTAATTGCCGGCAGCTCCGTCTGCCCAACTTCTTCTTCCGCCCCTCCATTTGCCGCCCTTCGCGAGTTCCCGTATCCGTATCCATGACGAATTTGCCTTCACAAATGGCTTCTGCGGAGCACGCGACGGACGCAACCACAACGACCGCCGCTGATACCGCGGCGAGCGCCGGCGGCGACGCACATGCGGACCCGTCGCGCGCGCAGAGCGAGTCACCAAAGTTGGATATGGACGAACAAGCGACACTCGACCTCCTCGCCACCGCGCAGAACCAAGAAGACCTTGAGCGCAACATAGGCCAGCAAGCCGAACAATTGCTCCTATCTCAGGCCGACGAGCGCGATGCCAAGCGTCTGGAGAAAGTCGAGACGCAGCATCGACGGCTTCGGTCGCAGCTGAAAAAGGTGGATCAGCGACTTGCCGCTCCTGGAGGGTCGAGGACGACGACTCTGTTGTTAGCGGAGAAGGAGAAGCTGGAGGTCGACATCCGGACTGCGGAGGCCGAGATCGAAGGCATCAGGAGGCGCATGGACGAACGGAGACGGGAGATCGAGCAGAAGGATGGCCAGGAAAGCGCCCAGGGAGCAGGGCAGCGTCCCGGCGAAAGTAGGAGGGACTTCTTGATCCGCACTGGCAAGATCACGCCCTTCTCCAGGATGCCACACACCGCTCGCCTGTCTTCCAACTTGGCGGACGTCATGCTTGAGGCCGAGGCGACGGAAGGGTCGGAGCTTGACAGCGAGGATGCGGACGCCGAGCGAGATCTCGAAAAATCCGCGGGCCCGCGGTCACATCAAGTGCTGAGACGACCAGGCTTTGCAGATTACCCGACCCCTGACTCCGCTGTCCCGGGACGGCCCACGTCGCAGAAGCCGGCAAAGAGGAGGAGACTGAAGGCGGGACGCGAGAAGGGACGTGACCGTCGAGTGGGAGAAAGCACCGCGTCCGACGATGAGTTTGAGCCAGATTCAGACGAACAGCTCTCTGATTTCGGATCGTCTTCATCAGACTTCGATCTCGAAGCTGAGCGGGTTCTTGCTTCTGAACCCATGCGCAAGCGGAAGAGACAGACGAAGACACAGCGACAGCGACGGCAGCGAGACGCTGAAGAAGAGGAAGAAGTTGCCGACGATCTTGCGGGGTTGGACGACGGCAATGACAACGTGTATCAGACACGAGTCCGCACCTGGGTCAAGAAGCGAAGCGCTGCGCGACGACATGCTAAACAAGCTCGACGAGAAACTGCTGCGCCTGTCTCGGAAAGCGAGGGGGATAGTGATGAGAACGAGTCCACGGAAGAGTGGCACAAGCCTCATCCAACACTCCCCGACACCGCCCTCGACGGTGGCTTCCGTATCCCTGGCGATATCTACCCTTCCTTATACGACTACCAGAAAACCGGCGTGCGCTGGCTGTGGGAGTTGTACTCGCAACACGTCGGAGGCATCGTCGGCGACGAGATGGGACTCGGCAAAACCATTCAGGTCATTTCCTTCCTTGCGGGCCTGCATTACTCCAAAATGCTGAACAAACCCGTCATCATCGTGTGTCCTGCCACAGTCATGAAGCAGTGGTCGAACGAGTTTCACACCTGGTGGCCTCCCCTGCGCGTCTCCATCTTGCACAGCTCCGGCAGTGGCATGATGGACTTGCGCCACGAGGAAGAGCTCGAGGACGAGCTCGACCACAGAGACTGGAACGAGGACCGGCCACGCCGGGGCAAGAATCACAAGACGGCCAAGAGGATTGTCGATCGTGTCTGCAAGGACGGCCACGTGCTGGTCACAACATACTCTGGCCTGCAAACCTATTCCGATCTGTTGATCGACGTTGACTGGGGCTACGCCGTGCTCGACGAAGGCCACAAGATCCGCAACCCGAACACGGCAATCACGATCTACTGCAAGGAGCTGCGGACGCCCAATCGCATCATCCTGTCCGGCACGCCAATTCAAAACAACCTCACCGAGCTGTGGTCGCTCTTCGACTTTGTGTTCCCCATGCGCCTGGGCACCTTGGTCAGCTTCCGCACGCAGTTTGAAACGCCGATCCGGATCGGCGGTTACGCCAACGCGTCGAACTTGCAGGTCGAAACCGCCATGCGATGCGCTGAAGCCTTGAAAGACACGATCAGTCCGTACTTGCTTCAGCGATACAAGGCCGACGTTGCGGCTGATCTGCCAAAGAAGGTCGAGAGGGTGCTGTTCTGCGACATCACGGCTCTTCAGCGTCAGCAGTACCAGATATTCCTAGACTCCGAGGAGATGAAGTCTATTCTAGCCGGGAAGCGCCATTCGCTGTACGGCATTGACATCCTGCGCAAGATTTGCAATCACCCGGATCTCCTGGATCACAAACGCGCGTCCGGGAAGGTCAACTACGGCGATGCCTCCAAATCTGGCAAGATGCGCGTCGTAAAGGGCTTGCTTGAGATGTGGACCAAGGCTGGCCACAAAACACTGCTCTTTGCCCAGCACCGCATCATGCTGGACATCTTAGAGAAGTTCGTGCGAACAATGGATGGTATACGTTACCGTCGGATGGATGGCAACACGTCGATCAAGGAGCGGCAGGACCTGGTTGACGAATTCAACAACGACCCCGACATCCACGTCTTTCTGCTCACGACAAAAGTTGGCGGTCTAGGCGTAAATCTCACCGGCGCAAATCGCGTCATCATATATGACCCTGACTGGAATCCCTCGACCGATATCCAGGCTCGCGAGCGCGCGTGGCGCCTTGGTCAGAAACGCGAAGTAGAGATCTACCGCCTGATGACGGCGGGCACGATCGAGGAAAAGATCTACCATCGTCAGGTGTTCAAGCAGGTGCTAACGAACAAAGTGCTCAAAGATCCGAAGCAACGACAGACGTTCCACCTGAGAGAGCTGCACGATCTCTTCACTCTTGGAGACAAGAACGACGGAACTGAGACGGGCTCGCTGTTCAAAGGCACGGAGCTGAAGCTAGCAAAGAGACCGGCTGTGGCCGCGTCTTCTGAAGATCACGAGAAGAAGGATGGTCATGAAGCGAACCCACCTGACCGGCAGGTCGAGAACGTGCAGGGAATCGCGCGGCAAGAAGAGTATCAAAGCACGGAAGAGAACAACACGCACGGGGACGGCGAAGGGAGCGGCGAGGACAAAATCCTGTACGCCATCTTTTCCAAGTCAGGAGTCCACTCCGCACATGAGCACGACGCCATCATCGCTGGATCCTCGGCAAGGTCGAACAAAGTCGAAGCTGATCCGGAGATGATCACCAGGGAAGCGAGGAGGGTTGCTTCGCTGGCAGCTCAAGAGTTGGTCAGAGCTGGCGAGCTGGCGAGACATGTGCCTGCGGGGGTGCCGACCTGGACGGGGACATTTGGCGTCTCCGGCAGGCCTGAGGAACGACCTCGGCCCTTCGCCGCCGGTCGAGGTGCTGGGCCTGGGCGCGGGCGCGGACGCGGCGGCGGTCCTTCAAGTTCGTCTGTTCTTGGAAACCTCGCTGCGCGCCAGACGACCAGCTTACCGTCCAACCCTGACCGTAGCGGAACAGGCAGCCCCGTGCCCGGCCAGCAGCCGCGCGGGAAAGACTTCATGATCCTCATCCGCGACTACATACGCGCGCACGGCGGCAGCGTGTACACCAAGATGTTGATCGACCATTTCAATCGGTACTGTGGCACGGAGCAGCGCACGGCCGAGTTCAAGGAGATGCTGAGGAAGATTGCGACGTTGGAGAGGAATCCGGCCGGGCGCGGGCAGGGAGGCAGGGGTAAGTGGGTTCTGAAGGAGGAATTCAGGAATTGACGCCGCGCCTTCGAGCGACGGAGGCGCGTCGGCCGTCTTTGCGAATATCGCACACAAGACTCACCGGCAAACACCGCAGGCAAAGGTCAGGCATGCGTGGGCTTTGCAACACGACGGCCGTTGCGAAAAAAAACGATCTTGTAGAAACCCGTCTTTGTTCGGGAAGCACGTGTTTGAACCATGCAATTAGAACGTGGGAGGCGTGGTTGCCTCTCAGCAATGAATGAGATGTTCAAGTGATTGCATATTCGGGAAAATGATGCGTACACCCGTTCTTTTTTTTTAAAAAAAAAATCTTTTATTATTTACTTGTTTTTCTTTGCGGGATCATACTCGTTCGAACCAAATCAGGTCCTTTCCCATCATAGCTTCGTAGCCGAGGCCCATCCTCGAGACTGTGCTGTCGCTTCCGACCTCGAACTCGGCGCGCATGGCCTCCGTCTCGAGGTCGAAGTTCTTGGCGTCCTTCAGGTAGTGCGTGCGCACGAGGAAGTGCTCCGCGTTGACGTGCTCAAAGTCCAACACGTGCGGCCACGTCCTGTTCTGGACGTCCGCGTGCAGGATCCGACCGTCGTCGCCCGTCGAGGGGACAGGCACGCCGACGTACGTGGGCGCGGGCGCGAGCGTGATGTTGATGCGCTGGTAGGCCGGGTGCTGGTAGACGCCCGTGTACGCGGCTAGCGGCAAGGCATGCCTGACGGCGCGGTCTGGGGGCGGGGCGTCCGGAAAGGCGACGGCGCGCAGGTTCTTCATGATGTCGAGGCGGATCCGCGACGCGTTTCTCCACAGCCCGTCCACATCTGGCACGTGCCTCAGCTTGATCCTGCGGCCCAGCAGCTCGAGGCCGATGCGGAAGAGGAGGACGGAGCCTCCCTCCGCCGCGTTGGCCATCACGCTGACGGCCCAGTCCAGCTCCGGCACGTACAGCATCAGCGTCGCGAACCCGGGCACGCCGCCCGTGTGCTGGATCAGCTCGTAGCCTTCGTACACGCTGACGAACCAGCCGAGACTGTACGCCGCGGGACCTTGGTCCATGCCCAGTGGTAGCGAAGGCGTGACGATGCGGCCGGTTCGAAGCTCCCTGTACGATGCAGCACTGAGGATCGACAGATCATCGTTGAGCATGGCGCGTAGATACTTGGCGTAGTCGGTCACCGACGAGATCGCACCACCGGCGCCGGCGACGAAGAGCGGGTCGATGGTTGGGTACACGTCGAAGCTTCCCGTGTCGTTGTTGAACCAGTGGCCATCGGCGAGCAGGCCCGTCATCTTGGCCTCCTCGACGTTCATGAACGTGTTATTCATGCCCAGGGGCTGCCAGATGTTGTTCTTGAAGAACTGGGCGATGCTCGTGCCGGACAGCTTCTCGATGACCCTGGTTAGGATGACGAACATGATGTTGCAGTACTGAAACTCCTGCCTGATCTCTCTTGTCAGAGGCAGGTGTGGGAGCGACCTGAGCAGGTCATCGATGGTGAAGTTTGGCCCGCCGTAACTCATGTCATGGCGGGGTAGCCCTGTGCGGTGCGAGAGTGCATCTTCAAGAGTGGCGTGTGTCGTCACGTAGTCGTCCTGCAGTTTCCAGGGAACGATGTCAATGATCTTGGTCCGCAGTGAAAGCTGATACGGTGTTTTCTCGTACTCTTCGATGAGTTTCAAGATAGATGCGGCAGTGAAGGACTTGGTGGTTGATGCTGTGAAGTACAGCGTGTCGGCGGTGGCCTTCGTGGACGGAAAGCGGGCTATGCCATAGCCCTTGGCATGCGTGTCTTGACAGTCAACAATGGAAACCGAGAAGCCTGGAACTTGGTAGTCTTTTAGAGCCTTTTCGGCGATCTTGTCAAAAGACTGGTCGAACGGAAATTCCCGTGACGTCGGGTAACCTAAGGGCGTTTGTACGCGCGGAAGCCCGTGCACGACAGGAATTGCAAGGTAAAGCAAGGAGAAACATTTCATGTCTTTACAATCTGAGAGCCGCACAAGCTGTAGGGTCAGAGCAGAATTTAACGCGTTGTCGCTAGGTCAATAGTTTTGCTGCTTGCAAAGGAAAGTCACAGTACCTGGCTACGAGGACGTCAGACGAGTCTGAAAGCTGAGAATGTGGCCAACAGTCAGAGTCACGATCATAAACCTCTGGAATTCGTTGCTCTTAACTTTGGACGGCTGCCTACCACCTCGTCCATGAGGTTGCATTTCAATGCTTGCCTTACGTCTTCAGATCCGGAAGCAAGCTTACCCCATTGGGATAGTCGTTTACGGCTCAGAAGGCCGTAGTTGAATGGCGAGCGCTTGGTTATGCGCATCTCGATGACGTTCTCCACGAGAGCCACACTGTACATCTTTACCTGAGGAGTACTGGCTTCTTTTCCAAGTATCCCACAGTGCAGCACAGTACATATCTCGGGCAGAATCTACATCTTTACGTTGATGATGTAGATCATCCGCAACGGCATTCCTCATCTTCATGACGCAAGTCCATTGGCTGAGGTGAGGAGAGTTCGCTTATTGGATGGAGCGCCGATGTCGGCGCACAATCAGGAGTTAAAAAAAAAATCTCCATTCCACGGAACGGAGGAGCACAAACATGACGGGGAATTGGGAAGTGAAGACTGAGGAATAACAGCATGGGCGTAGGCAGATGTGAGTGCGACGTGTACGTGCATCGCCCGTCGGAGGAGCATGCTTGAACTCCAAGAATGGAATGGTGAGAGAATCAATGTAGTGCAATCCATGCCGCATCTCCGGCCAGTTCGGTTCGACGACCAGGAACAACGCTTCTGTACTGCGCCTGCAAGCCTCAGCGACACGATAAGTGCACGAATGACGAAGCGCGAGGAACGCCTGACCCTGCCCACGGAGACGCAACGGGGGACGGCGCGCGCAAGAGAGAAACGAAGCCTGAGATTCGTCCCCGGCAACCGGACGGGCCAATCGAACGTTGCAGTAAGGCGAACGGCGTCTTGAAGGCCCAATTGGCATTTCCCCACTGTCGCAGATCGTACTTATGCATCAGCACACCGCAACTCTTGCTGCTACACGAGCACTGATGGCGCTGCGACTCCCGCTCTCTGTGTCTCTGCTTTGTATTCGCGCTCTCGCAGAGGGCGGCTCTGTTGTCTCCAAGGCAAAAAAAAGAGGACCAGCGGCAGAGGGCAGAGAAGAATAGCCGTAGTGGCGTGTGTATTGGGAGCGGCCAGGGCCGGAGGGGAAAAATTTGACACGAGCGGCCCACGCCGTCATCAATCGTTCGCCTCACGTGCGATCAGCTCCGCTCTGCTCGTATGACCAGCCAAGTTAGAAGAGTCCGCCAAAATTAAGCCTCGACGGACACGTCGAACAGGGATGCTCCCTTTCCTGACGTTGGGCTGCCTTTAGCGTGAGAGATGACTGTTTCGGGCGCGGACCCAAGAAACGACTACGTCGGTTCGTTTCCAGTGTGCGTGCGTGGTGAGAGAGAGCAGCGAGGGCAACGAATGCAAGTCCAGGGCAAGCAATGCGTGATACATTTCCTACTGGGCCCAAGCAGATGGACCACAACTGTTACCGCGGGCTGGAGTATTGGTGGTGCCTACGGTGATGTTAGCGTCAGAGGCAAAGCTCGCTTCGACGGCAAGCTGGTCTGCTTTCACGCGCCGTCATCCTGTCTTCTCCAACGTCTTCTTCGTCTTCGATCCACCGAGAACCGAGAGCCACGGACACTATTTAGAAAAAAAAGAGAGAAAAAATCAAAAGAGACCGATGACGATCAGGAACAGTAGTGGCCCGGTGACTGGCCTCAGACGTTTCTTCGTTCACCGACTGGGCCCAGGCCGGGCCGGGGTTGTGATTGGCTGAAACCCCATAGGCCCAAAAAATATTTCCCCCCCGCCGTTGTCTACGCCTCGTCCTCTCTCTTTTCCTTCCTCAGCTTTACAATCTCAATCCAGTCAAATCGCCAGAAACCGCTCCAGAAACCCCGTCCACTCAGCATTCACTACTATATCTTCGTCTCGAAACAATGCCGCAGGCTATCGCTGAGCTGTAAATCCCCCGCTGGGGGCCATGCCTCGTGCGTGTGCCCTCCAGTCCGGCCAGCTTATCGAGAATTTCAAGACTCTACGAAGATATATCTAGTTTCGACTCCGACCTCAATTGGCCCGAAGTCGACCCCAAAGCTTGATATTACGCGTTTGATCTCGCTACTCGCGCTTCCCGAGCTGCAAAGATCAACGATACATAAACGAACGCCCGCATTGTTTCGCCGTTTGACAGAGCATCTCAAACGATTGACGATCTCGGCTCGACTTGTCCCACGAGAGCGTTGTCGAGTCTTGCAAAACCAAAAAACAAAATCACCTTTCGTCTGCCGACGAAGTACGCTGTTTCACACGACCAGCTCAGCAGATAACATCCCAAACATCTCTCCCGGACTATCTCCAACAATCGCAAATAAAGACACCTGACTCCGACCTCTAAACACACCCCGACCTCCTTGTATTGCACCTTAAACTCACTTTGGCCAATCGAATAGCCAATCAGCCCGAGAATCTTTAGAAGAAGTAATCGCGATCCATGACAAGGCTCGATCGCATCACGTCTCCTGCGGAGAGCGTCGGCACTCATGCCGTGAGCAACGAGGATGTCGGACATGGCGCAGCATTTGCCGGCCGCAATGACGGTTTTATCCGTCACTCCAAGCTCAGAATTGTCAAGAGCGAACGCATCGCCAAGCCGAGGAAGTCCAACAATGGCGAGACTTCCGGCTCGGATGGCTCAGCTGAGGATGAGGCTGACGGCGATGACGACGAAGCGGATCAAAATGCAAACGACGACGAAGCAACGGAAGATGATGACGCAGCTGTGTTTGCCCCGTCTGGTACGGCTTCTTTGACTCGCCAGGACAGCAATGTCTCTGGCATGACAGACGCTTCATGTGACACGATCACCAGCGGCCAGGCGGGGCTTACTCAACTTGGCGGTGGACTCAAGCGGAAGAGAACATCAAGCGAGCTCAGTGTCAACACGGTGTTGAGCACAATTGAGCGGGATGATGACGAGGTAGAGTATCCGCGTAAGCGAGTAAGCCGCCGGCTCAGCAACGAGAACGGACTATTGAAGTACGACTCTCGCATAATTGACATCGACGAGGACATCGATCTTGCAGAATATTCAAAGGCCATTCAGAGCTCCAGTGATGACGAGGATGCAAACTACGACGGCATCAGCCAAGTCGATGAGGAGGATGAGTCCGACGTCGAGAAGCTGGAGGAGGCTGTGATTATCCAAGAAGAAACCGCTCGCATGATCAATGCCACTGCCGACAGCTCCGTCAACGGTGCTGACAGTGACATCGAACTACCCAGCGACATCGACCTGGGCTTGTTCCACTCGGAGATGGATGACGTCTTTGATGCTGGAGAGTCGTTCTTCTACCGTGGCTTGAACAGCGATCCTGAAACTCCCAGGAGGAAAAGGTCTGACGCTTCGGCCAGACGCGTGCGTTTTCAGGATGAGATTGACATTGCACCTCACAGCTCTCAGAGCACGACGTCTTCCGAGACCGACATTGATATCTTCCCAGACTTGCTAGAAAATCCTTTCAAGCCGCGAGATGAACTTCCGGCTGAGGTTAGAAGCCATATTGAGGAGGAAGACGATGCCGACGTTGCCAATGGCTTCTCCAGTGACGGGGAAGGCTCCTGCTGGGACTTCGGCGAAGACAAGGCCAGCGAGAATTTTTTCTCTTGGCACGACGAGGCCGAAAGCGACTCAGAAGATGACGACTCTGACTCTGATCTGAGTGGCTATGATTGTATGCCTCGCTGTTCGTTTTCCTACTTGTGTAATTTGCTGACCAATCCACCGCAGCCGATGGTGATACTACAGACGATGACCTGCCGCCGCCCAGCACAATCAGGGCGCCCAAGTCTCTTCTCCACAGTCGCACACCGTCTACCATTACAAGTGAGATAACTACGCCAAAACCTTTTCCAAGGAACAGACGTGCTCGCAGAGGGCCCATAATGGGTTCCTTTATCGTCGATGAGAAAAAAGCCATGGCTTTTATCGATCCAAACACCAAGCAACTGAGAATTCAGCCTGCCCGCATCCCTCACGTTGATCCATTCTACAGCACGGCCAGCAGCGTCAACAACTCACCGCAAGTTAACTTCAGCAGCATGGCATATGACAGTGACAACAGTGACTTCCCGCGACTCCTTACCGGTCCATCTGATGTCATGATGAGCGGTGTCTTCGGTGGCTTGCCAGGACAACGATACGAAGACGGCCGCTTTGTTATGGAGGCCAACGGCCCGCTTCTCATTGGGCCCCCAGAAGCTTTCTATCCGTTTACTTCTATCCGCAATGACGGTACACCGGAAGATGATGACGACGATTATATGACTGAAGAGGAGTTCGACGACGACGTCGATCTCATCACCGCATTTCTTGACGTGGAAGGCGACGAGGACGAACCAGAGTTTGCTGAAGACGATATAACGTCGCCAACGACCGACGCTGCTGATGAGACCCCTCTTGCTCGTCGGTCTATTCTCGCCCATCTCGACGGCGGCATTGTTAGCTCCTTCCGTAATCATCAAGACCGCCACCGTCACGCCTCAAAGTTGCCTCACGATCGTAACTTGGATTCGACCCCTATTCGTGACGGCAGGACTGCCGATGAAGTCATGACTCCGCTTCGTAAGCGCAAGGGCAGCGGTGGTATCCATAAGAGCAAACCACCCAGACGTATGCCTCTTATCGGAGGCTTTTCTTGAAGGTCACGACGTGATTCTTAGGAGCCGTCCTTTGGTTGAGTCAAAGGACGAAGCGACAAATGATAATGACTAATGACAAAAGTGAAAGCAGCCTAGATGCCAGAGCCTGATTGGGCTCACCAAAAGTATTGCTTTAACCAGCGATGAAAGACTTTTATTCCGTTCTCGTCGGTGTATGAGTACGAATACACAAAAGCTTGTTCTCTCTACGAGGCTGGAGAACTCGTGGAATAGTGAAGAGCACTGAATGGGATAGACAGGTAGCCTGAGGGAGGTTCCGGGGCAGCGAGTGGGAAAAGGATACACATGAGCACATCAGCTCTAGTCTATGCAGCGTCTCGGAACGTTCCAAACAGCCCCCTAATGGCTTGAAAAAGTGAATTTTGCGCGACCTTTGCGAATGACGAGCAACATCTTCTCATGAGGCGTTTTGTTACGGCACGTCTCGAGGGCATCGGCAATTGGTTTTTTTTTTTCTCCTTTCTTTGGTACTGTTTTTCCGTGCAAGGAGTTTCACTATGCGCTGTTGTATTGAGTAGTTTTCTGCATCTTTTGGAAGGGCCATGATCAACATGGACTCTTCGTCGCAAATCACATATTTCATACTATTGTGCAACGAAATGACAGTATAAGAGTCCAACCAATGTCGTGGTCTACTTTTTCGTATTTCAGCCTCATGAGGTAGTCATTCAGCCATCATTTTCCCCGCACATTTGTCAGATCATATCATTCACACGTGTTCCTCATACACGTATGCTGTTGCGTGATTTTGACACATGCTGTCGATGCTTGTATCGGCGGACGTGCCTTTCATCATTTAAGGATTTGCGTCCGAAATTCATCTCGTTCTTTGTCACACACGTACGCGAGCAGCGTCAACTGGCTACTTTTTTCTTGGGTCATGTACAGCAAGGGCCGGCGGTTTCTCTACAGGAAGACACAGGACGTGTCAGCTTGGACTAGGAACAGGCTACGCGACGAAACCTGGGATGAAGCAGCCCTTTCGATCTCGCGTCAGGTGCGGGGTGTGTTTGTGTTTGGGGAAGAAGGGAGATTTTTTTTTTTCTTCGTCAAAACAGCGAACCGGAAATGTTTTACTCAGCTTCTCGAGCGCGCCGCCGACGTCTATGTGCATTACGATTAGAAGGGTATTAGGTAAACTAGTATGGAGAACGGCTGAAGGGAAAAAAAAAAAAGCACCGCGGTCGGTCTTTTTTTTCACACATGGAAGCCTTGGGTCCGTGATAACAAGATACCCAGCGGGTCATACTTCTCTTGGATGGCCTTGAACTTTGCCGTGGTTTCCGGCTTGAGTCTGCCCCAGTAGTCCTGCTTGAAATACGCGTCGTTCATGAACAGCGGGAGGTGCACGTTGCTGGGCAGCAGCCCTGCGTCTTGAAACTCCTTGACCTTGTACCCAAGCGTGGAGTACGTCTCCACTGTGAGCTGATCGATCAGTGGGTGGTCGGCCGCGAACCAGTGGGAATAGTCGAGCTCGATCACGATGCGATCAACGTCTGCGTCGAAATCCATCACTACGCCTCCGAGCTCCTGAGCCTTTTGGATAATCATCTTCGGAAGCGGCTGAAGAGCCATGGAAACGATGGCGCCGGCCACGTCATGCGCCTTGTTCGCAACCTCGTGCCACGCATCGTAAATGCCGTTCATGACGACCGCACCCTCCGTCGCGTTTGGTAGAGGCATCGTCTCCGTTGCGATGGTGTAGATCGACCCCTTGAGCACGAACGTGTTGTCAAACAGTAGCATGTCATTCATCGTTCGGGTCTGGGTAAGGTCCAGCAGCGTCGGAATTGCATCAAAGGCATCGAACACGCCATCTGGCGGCGTGGGAGCGTCGTAGAACATGAAGACGATCCAGATGTCGAGCAGATTCTCCAGGGTCAAATCCGTTGTTGCGATGATACCGGCCTTTGGATAGTTTTCGTAGTTTGCCGTGAAAGATCGGACCGCATCAAGCACCAGAGGCGTTTCGGTGTTTGCAAAGACGCGAATACCCCCCCAGATCTGATCAGACTGTTAGAGCAATCCCGGAATAGAATCATTTGACAGGAACGAAGACAAGGGGGAAGGAAAGGGGGTTATGTTTTCTCACGTTATGATCTTGTGGCCACGCCCGAAGCTTAAAATTCGTGACAAAGCCAAAGTCGGCTCCGCCACCTCGCAGAGCAGCCCACAGGTCCGGATTCTCGGTTTCGCTGGCTTTCACAATGGTACCGTTGGACAGTACTACCTCAAACTCCAGGACATTGTTCGCAGCCCAACCATATTGACCGCTAAGGTAGCTCAACCCACCTAATCTCTGCTGAGTGTCTTGAAGGCAAATTGGTCAGAATTTACTTCCAACATACCTCCGAGAAGCAGACCGCTGACACCTACTTCACCCATGCGCCCACCTACAACCATCATACCCGTGCCCTCTAATGCGGCTGTGACATCCATCCATCTATTTCCCGGCCCAACATCTACAGACTGCGTATCATTGTCCAGAACAACCTGATTCATGCGCTTCGTGGCTATCAATGGGCCACCGGAGATGCTGGAGTAGCAGTTTGGAGTATGACCACCGGATTTGACTGCAAAAGCCTCGCTGTTCTCATTTATTATGAGGATAACATCTGACAGTTGCTGCGCGGATGACGGAAGAATGATACAAGCTGGTTTCTCTGCTGAACATGCGGTAGACCAGTAGGCATTGTTGATATCGGTATAGTCGGCCTGTCCTTCAAAGACGGTTTCGATGTCTGGTCGTGTAGCTTGCAATTGGGAGCACGTGGGCGACGTTGATGCTGCACATTTAAAATATAACAGTAAGAGCAATAGATAAGAAGAAAAAAGTGACGACATCTTGAATCGAATGATGTTAACCTAATGAAGGTCGACATAGGAAAGCCGGCTAACGAAGACTAATATACATCTTCAAGGCCGTGATACAGTAGCTTCCGTCGCCAAGACGCACGGCCTGCGAATCGCGATATTCTCGCGTACCTTCAGCCTGGATGTGAGCATGGCGGCCAAAAGCGACATGTGCGTGGTGGTTCTGCCGATGGTATGGGAACAGGCCCAAATCATGGGGAAAGCCAGTGATGTCGAGGCGAGTCATGCATGGACATGGGCATTCCAAGATGCTAACCCAGGTTCGCCGGGTCCTTTAGATTAGGGCATGGACGATCGCTCATGTGGAGCTCCGAAAGAAATTTGGTATCAGAAAGGTTGACTCAAGATTTGCAAAACTAAAAGTGCTTATATTTTCTTTTGCAACGCAGATCTTGAGGATGAGGCTCTTGAAATCCCTCGCCTAGGATTTGACGAGTTTGATGTCCACAGGGGCTCTATGAGACTTCTGGCCCGTCTTGCCGCCCAAAGGCTGAGCATCTTGAGAAAAATGTCCCCGCAAATAAGAACCGACGCGAAACACGCTAATCCCTCGCGCTCGTATAAACTTTGAGGATGCAATGGTCACTTCCAGAATAGAAAGTTCTATCGTCCGCTTTAGGTGAATAGAGCAAACGAGCGACAGGCTTTTGTTGGGCTTGGAAATGGACTGCTAGCCTTGAAACTCGTACGCGAGTCTCGTTGTATAGCAATATTATCAAGATGGACTAGTCTAGAAAGTCGAAAGACCTCCGGAAGTCATAGGGTGTTATTCAACGAAAAGGCGGGGGATCATCTCTCCTAGCTTGAGTTGTCGCACGTGTCTTCATCTATTTATTCATTCACGACATTGGTTCCGGCAAAAGGCCATTATATCCGGTAGACTCCAGTGGAATCGCCAGTCTTGTGCCCTAAATGCGAATTATTCCAGATCATATGGACGTTCCGCTCGCTCTTGACACCGTTTGAGGATGGCTCCGAGACAGCTTTGTTACCGTACTTGCCCTAGCTAGCCTCTTTCGGTGTTTTTATGCCTAGATTTGTCGTCCTTGCGTGAATTTTCACTCTTCTCCGCAGGCCCGTTCAATGCGGGGAAAGTGGGCAGAGTATTCAAAGCTTGTGAAGGTACCATGTACGAGGGTCTTTCTCCACGTCCGAGATGTGTGGCGTTTGCACATGATTTATAAGCTCTCTGATGAACCCCCTCGTTCTTTCGCTCTCAATCTCAGCAGGCTTGGGCAATTTTGACTCTTAGGACCGATTATGAGAACGCTCCCAGGATGAGTCCAAACGGATGTCATCCGCTTAAGACCAAGTAGATGCTGAGGCTTAATGGCTTTTCCACACCTCGAGTGGATCGCAATCAGGTTTTTGATCGTCTCAATCATTTTATTGGACTTAGTGGAATGATTTGAGGAACTTTTGTTCAATTCCAACTTCGATCTCTCCTCGGTGGCCGGTAATGCTGCTGGTAGAATGTACATAAGTCTTATTCGGAGCTGTCTTGAGACTATAATCGGGCTCACGCTCATGTCGCGATCCCCGGATGCTTTGTATAAGAGCGACACGACATCTGGCAGGCATAATATTTTGAGACTCCAAGGCTCGTCACTTGGTATTCTGAGGATTATTGCCTTACTCCTAACCGCTGAAGTAATTTCGAAAATTGTCTTACCTCATCTTAAAAGTAGGTTCTGTACGGATGCTCAAATACAAACTAGAAAGAGAACTGGCCACGAAGTGGTTGCCGCTTGCGTATCAAGCGGCGCAGAATCTGCCATTCTTACCACAGCTGTCTTATTGTGGATGACGGCGCTATGTGTTGAGTTGAACAAATTAGGAGACTGGCAGAGAATGTCATGATGTCGGTGAAGTCCCGCTTAGAATGGACAGCTCAGCCCTGTTGGCACAACATCAGGTTTGTCTATGTTTTCGAGCTTTATACACCATCCGACATTCTTGTTCCTATCGAACATGTTTAAGCTTGGAGCGTACGAATTAGCTTGGATGGTCGTGAGGAGGCGCGCATAACGATTTCTAAAGTTGCCTCTAACTTACAATAGGTCAGTGAAAGGTACAAATGCTGCGTTGCTAAACACTCCGGCAGCCCGCGATGCAGACGCGGCTTCAACCTTGTTTTTATCAGACAAGCACTGTATGATGATGTATGACAGTGCTGTGCTTTTAGAACGTTATCACAACATGGGAGACGGAGTTAAAATCGTCGAGCCGTTACCGGCTAGGGAGATGCTCGCTCCAATGCGAAATGCTCCACAGAGCCTATTAATAATGGACTTTCTGCACAAGACATTGTCCATCACTTGAATGATTCAACGCTGACATGATTCGTTTCTACAGGCTGACAGATGAGGAACGTCCACTTTTCCAACTAGTACACCGCTAGCAACTCTTGGTAAGCAGACGGACGCTCCCAACATGGCTAAGACTTCGGACCACGGATAAAAGACGTTTAGGCCGCCTGCGCTAAATGACGCCGCCCATTTCGCAGGCTTACATCTTCTTCCAGGGCCTTGGTGTAGGGCTGGTAGTTCCACTTGTCAGCCCCCAATAACAGAGCTAGAACGTACGTGCTTTGGCAGTTTGAGTGGAATGGGCTGATTTTGGAAAACAGGGAATGGTTCAGCGGATTCAGTCGCTTGCGTCTTGAACGAGCCGGAATGATTCGCTCATTGATTGCTCGAGGCCGTTTCAGCCTCCTAAGCCTGACAGGGCACTATTCTTCTCAGGGTTAAGCCCGAAGATGATCATCCTGATGTGGCCTTATCATGCTGGTTTGGCACTGGAAGGAGAGCAACAACTCGGCAAGCGAGGAAACGCGCGTGCAAATACTATGCAAACATGGGTTGGGCCGTTATCCCGTGCTCCAGAGCCTACTTGCGGATGGCTACTCCCGACTTGACAGCCAAGCAGATGAAGACTTGGCCATTCTCTCTGCCAAAGTTTCTCTTTTGCATTCCAGCCGTAGTTCTTTACTCTTTGGGTCGGTAGAATGAGGGCGATAGAACTGTGGCTGCTGGCAGAAGGCTGCCTGTGTACGGGAGCAGTGGCACGAGGTGAGTAAATTACGGCGAGCTGTCGAACCGGTGAGAATTTCCTGTAAGATGTGCTTCCTTACACTCTTTGTTCAGGTTTCATCAACAAGCGCGCTTCGAATGTATGCCCAAGCGCAGACTACACTGCACAGAATGGATTAACATTCTCGACCACGAACCTGTGCCTTGAGAACCTTCCCGGAGATGATATATCTCACACGTCACCAATAGACACCATAGAAGACTGTATGGATCTTTGCTCGTCTTCACCAGGCGACGTAGCATGCACAGGGATCGCGTAAGTCAACATCTTCATCAGCAGCAATGTGCCTTGGAAGTGACGCTATTCTGCGATAGCCTTGTCATGCAACACAATCACTGGCTGGATCTTACTTGACGCGCGACTTTTCTTCTGTATAAAGCCGCCCTAACTTTCTTCTTAGCTACAACTTTGAAAGCAACACGTGCTGGCTTAAAAATGTCAACATTTCTATATCGGTAGCTACTTCAGATGCAAACACGCATAGTGCTTTGGCCACAAATTTCAACTACGACCCGACGGACGTAGCGTGTCCTTACAGCAATGGCTCCGTGCAGACGACGACTAATGGAATGGCACTCCAAATTCTCTGCAATAGAGACATGCCGCTTAACGATTACTGTGCGTTAGATTCACCACAGGTAAGCTCAGAAAGTTTGAAAGTTTCGCGCGAGACTTACGTATTCCATAGCCCGCAAGATCTGATGGCGTCTGTCCATACCATGCCGAAACGATGGAGGAGTGTCTAGAAATCTGTTCAGAAGCTGCTCCGATCTGTAAAGGTGTCGTTTTTAACCCTGACAAAGCCATGGGCTATGGCAACTGCTATCCGAAGTCAGACATCTCCACTTCAAACATTGAGACTACCGCACAGGTGGCACCAGCGAGGCATTTCGCAATGGTCAACAACATCCCCACGCTGAATGAGACCTGTTCGAATAACACCATCACGAAAGCTTCGGATGGAGAAGAGTTTTTGCTTACGTGTAACGACAACCGTCCATACAACGATCTTGTTCGGGTTCACAGCGAAAATCTGACGGCCTGTGTGGATGCGTGTACTAGTTTCAAAAATGCCACTGCCGGCGAATGCGTTGGTGTCATGTGGGATAGCACAATGTCTTCGTCATGGGAGAATTGCTGGCTTAAAAGCAGTCCAGGCACGTCGCAAACTGCTGCTGGAGCCTTTACCGCAATGAAGATAAGCAACAGCAGCACCAGCACCAGTACCGGCAGCGGTGGAAGCGGTACTTCGAAACCCAGCGCTTCTTCATCGTCGCCATCAGGGGGCAAAAGCTCAAGCAAAGCATGGATTGCCGGTGTTGTGATTGGGATTTTGGCCGTCGTCGCCCTCATCGGAGTCGCTGTATGGTTTGTTCGTCGCAGACGTGCGAGTCAACCTGCCGTTCAAGTATCGGAGCTAGCATCGGAGCCCAAGACAGTGTATGCGAAGGAGAGCCCACCAAGCGAACCGGTCTACCACGAACTTGGAGACCGCAAGGTGGCAGCGGTAGCGTCTCAGACAGGTCCTCAGGAACTGGAAGTGAATAGCCAGCACGAACAAGTCTATGAGCTTCCTTCAGAGACTAAATGATTGCAGCTCAGCTGCAGGCGTTCCATCGCAGCCACGCCTCGTCTTGCGGGAGAGAGTACGTAGCAGAAAGCTGATGCTTCGAGCACGTCTCTCGGACAGCGCTTGCCATTGTGTTGTGCCTGTCCGACGACGCGGCAACTTTCCATCATCTTCACACGCGGCCTCCCGGGTATCCTTGGGCGTGTCGCACAGGTTTTTGCATCGTCAGACTTGAATGAGCGACGGCGTGCAGACGAGAAACGTCGGCTCTCGGACTTACGGCGAGGTTAACACCGAGACGGCGGCGAATTTTACACCTCATGCAATGTGGTCTTGGGTGCAAAGTCACAACGTGTGTAATTTGTCATATGCATCTTTCCTGGCCGTGAGCCCACGCTATGCTCCAAGAGATATCGTTCCTCCAGGGTAGATTAGAAATCTTGTTGTCACGACGAAGTGAAAATTCGAAGAATAGATACGGCTTGTTTGACTGAAATCATGGGGTTTCCCAGCCTCCAGGCCCGGAAAATCGTTTCCTTGAGACTACGTTCTTCGTGAATCCCTCCCGGCAGTTGGATTGTTTTTCTGCACTGGTTGAGCGCACGAATTTCCATCAAAGCAGAGATCGGCCAAGAGATTTAGCTTCTGGACCTGTCGAGGATTCATACGAAGCTCTCGTTGGAGTCAACACGTTGTGGATCGACGGACGTCTGTTTTCATCTTGCTTGGGAAAGGAAAGGAAAATCCAACTTAAGAAGAAGAAGAAAAAAAAACTTAAATCTTGACCGTCTAACCATGATCAAGTTTGGATTTTCAACCACGGGCGAGGAGGCCGCTGCTGCGTTGTCTTCCAACATCCGTGGCCGCACAGGTATCGTGTCTCTAGCAAAGACGCCATGAACGCCTTCGGCTGACACGGACATAAAAAGTGATCGTGACTGGAGTCACGCCAGGCGGCCTTGGCCTTGAGACGGCACGCGTGATCGCGCTGCACGATCCAAAGCTTCTCGTTCTCGCGGGACGGTCGCGTGAGAAGCTGCAGCAGGCCGAGGAGGCGGTGAGGCGCGCGGCGCCGCAGACGGCCCTGCGCCAGCTCGTTCTCGACCTGGGCTCGCTCTCGGCCGTCCGCAAGGCCGCCGCCGAGGTGAACGGGTGGGACGACGTGCCGGCGGTCGACGTCGTGATCAACAACGCCGGGATCATGGCGACCCCGTTCGCGCTGACCGAGGACGGGATCGAGAGCCAGTTTGCGACCAATCACGTCGGCCACTTCCTGTTCACCCAGCTCATCATGGCCAAGGTGCTCGCGGGCGGGCCGGGCAAGCGGGTCGTGAACCTGTCCAGCAACGCGTACAGGAGCGGCGGCGTGCGCTACGACGACTGGAACTTCCAGGACGGCAAGACGTACGAACCGTGGGCGGCGTACGGCCAGTCAAAGAGCGCCAACATACTCTACTCCAAATCGCTGGCGACCAAATACAAGAGCAAGGGGCTCACGGCGTTCAGTGTGCATCCGGGAGCGATCTGGACCAACCTTGGGCACCACGCCAAAGACGACTTGAAGGCGATGGGTATGCGTCCGCGCTTCCGCGATCGATCTCCCGGTGAGCATGCGCGCTGACTTTTGCCTCGTCTAGGTCTTATGGACGAGAACGGCTCGTTAAAGGACACCGAGACGATAAAGTGGAAGACGCTTGGCCAGGGCGTCTCCACCACGATCGTGGCGGCTTTCGATCCCTCCATTGCAGGTGAGCCTCGACGACTCCCGTGGCCGTTCGAGATGAACCAAAAAAAAGGCTGACGAAAGGTGCGAGCAGATCAGAGTGGCGCGTGGCTTTCGGACTGCCAGCCCACAGAGACGCCGGAAGAATGGCTTCAGGACCCCGACGGCCCCGACAGGCTGTGGAAACTTAGCGAGCAATTGGTCGGACAGAAGTTTGACGCTTGATCCTCTTTTCCACTGCTCTGGCGGGTTTGCTGGGGGCGCGCTGGACTAGACGCGAGCGATCATTGAACGACCAAGTCAAGATGGAATTGAATTCTTCAGGCGTGGGGAGACGGATGGAAAGAAGGATTATTCCTTTGATGCCGTAACACAGAAACGTGGCTAGCGCCGACTATTCAATACAACATCTCGTTCATTGGCAGCCCTCGATCTATCCGTGAATGCTTTTATATTATGCTTCTGACGAACCCCTCCCAATGCAAGTAGCAGTTTCATTCATATATACACATTAGTACGGCGGTGCGCTCACAGCCTGCACGTACGTAGCCGTGCAGCCCGCATCCGTTCCGTTCCATTTGAGCTAAAGAGCGAACATTAGCACCTATTCGTCGGCGATGGGGCAATCCAGGTTCCATCTTACCACTGTCTGATCCATGGCCCCGGGACACAAAGTCCATCCGTCCGTCACGTCGCCGAGGCCTAGCAGAAACCCTCCCTTCAGTGCCAGCCCGGCGTCGCTTTGGTCGCCCTGCAGGAACTGCAACTCGGATCCCGGAACGGGCCGCGAGGCGCTGTAGGTGTAGTTTCCTTGCCCAAAGGCGTCGCTCGAGAAGGTGTGCAGCGAGCCGCCGGACAGCGTGAACACGGGGAGCGAGCCGTAGCCGGGGCCGATGGTGCGCAGGAAAAAGTTTGGCTGGTGGAGTGGATCGAACAGGGACGTTGCCGACACCATCGGCAGGTTGGACGAGTTGGAGCTGCACATTGGAGACGAGGCCGTCACGAGGTAGAAGAGGGACGACGACATGTTGCAGTCGTCCTGGCCGGAAGCCTCTTGAGGTTGCGGCGTTGGCAGCGCGCCCACGACCGAAGCCAGGAAGGCCAGCAACGATGGGAGCAGCGTGAAAGTCTTCATGGTTGGGAAACTCTTTTTTTTTTGGTTTTGTCTCGGTTCCTGTGCCTCCCCACGGAGCTGTCCGTCTCTGGCTGGTCCTTTATATCGCCAATCGCCAAGCGGCCTTGAAATTGTTCGTAAAAGTAGTTATGACAGATAGGTCCCGCGCAGATGAACAAGAGAGCGGTTCGAGGCAAGATCGGCAGCGGAGGGGATTTGCCAATCTAAAGGTGTCTTCAAAGTCGGATGCCGTGCGAGTGTCGCCAGCCATCCGTCTAAATATGCGTCGCTCGGGGAGGGGAACGGTGATTAAACAAAAACAACAAACCCCAAAGCCTCGTAACAGCGCAGGCAATGATGCAACGACATCATAAGCCAAGGCCGTACTCTATCCATGCGGTGCCTGTGCGGAACCTGCAGATCACGCTCCACAATGTCCTATTGGCCTCCCCCGTCGGACATGATGCGGGTCGCTGGAGCGCGCTCGGCAGTCTGCTGCGTGGACATCACGGCCATCGCACAGGACACGGTGCGGAGACGTGCTGGTGCACACGGTCGGCGGTCGCACAGCAAGCCCAGCCTTCAGCACGATTGGGCGACAAAGCAGGCTGGTTGCACGGTGGTCGCACGGGAGAAGGCTCGTTCATGTCGACGGGCGGCGACGGTCGTGCAGGACGGACGGCCAGACGTAGCAAGCCAGGGCTTGACTGCGTCTGTCTTGTCTCAGCGACGGGCGGCGGAGACAATGGACGAGAGCAAGGGAATTGGACGAGGTCGCTGCACGATGGCGGGAGTCGAGGCTGGCGAGACGGCCAATGAGAGCGCGAAGACGCGAGAGCTGAGCTGCTCAGCACTCGGCTCGGGAAAAGGCTGAGGCTGACTGGTGAGCCTCGTGCCGGCTTCATCAGATCACGTACAGGCCTTGTGCGTGAGTCCTGCTGGTGCGCGGTGCTGACATGTCGTCGGTGCAACGAGGAAGCCGTTGTTTCGCAACGCCGTGTTTTGAACCATCCTACGTCGGATGCCCCGGACGTTGAAGACATACGTGGAGCGCATTCTTGGGCCGCTAGCCACGCAAACACTGGTCGAGGCTGCATCAGACACGGATTGCACGACGGAAAGGAAATCCGCCCTGGGCGTTGCTTGATTTCCATCATGATGATACTAGTACAAGGCCGTTCCTCTTCCCGGCTTCGCGTTGTGTCCATGTACATGCTTTTGTTCCCAATCCAACCATCCGGACGCCGTCACAAGACCAAACCCAGATCTGCCGTCTCGTCACAGCTCGAGCTGCCTCTGTTTCTTGGGGCTTTCCGTTCCCCTCACCTTCCTCGGGCTGCCCTGACTCCCCAGACTGCCCTGACTTGGCGCAGGTTCCAGACCTGGCGGCTGTCCCCATTGAGGCGGAGGAAGCCCATATTGTGAGCTGTACGGCGTGAAGCCGTACTGCGGCTGCATCTCCCAGCTCGGGTGTCTCTGCGGAGTCGGCGGGACCTGCGGCATGCTGGGGTTGAAGGGGTTGGGATGTGCGTCAGTATTACGACGGAAGAGCGAAAAGGTGGCGTTTGTGATGGCGAAGCAGAAGACGAGGACGACGACGGTGAAGCCCTGGAGGATGCATTAGCACATGCGATGCCGTACAACGCAGGTTGGCAACGTGAGGAACATGACATACCATGGCCTTCCAACTGATGGGCTCGATGAATGAATTGAATATCTCCGCGAACGTGTGCGCACTAACCCTTGCGCGTCCAATACTCCTGTGGTCCTTGTTCATGCATTTTTCCCACTCTCTGCACACCGCCTCCAGGGCCGGCAGCACGGTGCCGCGTTCGCACTGGTTGTCCTTCCAGTGCTTGGCGCACACCGCGATCTCGGCGAGCACCTCGGCCATGGCCTCCTGCGCCTTCTTGTCGACGTCCGAGCGGATGGTCGACCAGAACGAGTACAGGATGTACATGATGCCGAAGATCAAGAAGACGTTGAGCGCGAGCTGCGCGTAGAAGGAGAGGACGTGGGGTAGGTGCGGGTGCGACTCCAGGTAGTGGAAGAAACCGCCGACGTCAAAGCCCTGTTTGGCGGCTGGCTTCGCCTTCTTCTGCTCGACGTCCGTGTCCGCTTCGGTCTCGGAGTCTACGGCCTCGCGTAGCAATCTGCGCCGCTTCGACGCCTCCTTCTCCCTTTTCTTTTGCACTCTGCCCACAAGCCGCTGCGAGTACGGCTTGATCTCGCCCTTGCCCGCCGTCGGGCTTCCTTTGCTCACGCTGATCAGCTCCTTTGCCTTGCTGCCGTTTTTCTTGCTGCCGCTGCCAAACAGCTTGGCGAATCCTTTACTTAGGCCCATGCTCGGCGTCGTCTCTGGCGTCGCCTCCGAGTCCGCCTTCCAATTCTCCGTGTCCGGCGTCTCCCCACCGGACGAGAAGTCCACGAGCTGGCTGCTCTTTCGCGGCGTGGTCCAGAGCGTGGCCGCGTCCGATGGCTTTGGCGGCAGCTTCTTGTTCGTGTCCAGCTGAGGCTGCGAGAACAGCACGCTCTGGCCGGCACCGGGCGGTCTCAATGCCGGCGTCTCTGTTTTCTTTAGCGGCGACTCGTACTGCGCAAACGGCCGCTTCTGCGAATTGGTCTTGCGCTGGTCTATCTCAGACTGCAATCGCCAAGTGGGACCGAGGTCGCCCTGCGATGCACTGAAGGAGCTGCTGTGCTGGAGACTGGAGATGAACGGCGACGAAGGATCGACGGCGCCACGCTTGTTTTCGTACTCAAAGTCCATGGGCTGAGCGTAGTGGTTGCGCTCTGCCATGGCCTGCAACAGAGAAGAGAGCCGCGCGAGAACAGCGAGGCGGATGGATGGCGGGGGGAGGTTGAATTTGCTGTCAGGATGTGCTGGCTTGTTGGATCTGGTTGGATGTTTTGTTTACCGTTGCCGCTGCGGGCGGTTGGCGGACGCCTTGCCCGATTCGGAATTTCATGACCTGGTTACTGCAATCCGCGCAAGCAAAGGAGGCGAAACTTCTACTGAATGCAACATATGTAAACTTATTAGGATGAAGGGACTACGCATCGACGCTAGCCTTTGTCGCAGGTAAATGCTTTTAATTTCCTGGTGCAGAGACGGTGCACTGTGTGCTATCGACCGTCTGTGACGAGTTTCCAGCATAGCAACGACCGTTGCGGTCATCCTTGCTACTACGCTACGATCTAAACCAAAACAAAAGCCGACCATGAAATCAAGAAAGTCTCTCGTTCGACGTGAATTTTCATGCTTGGTAGGATATCGCAAGAACCGATGGCTGTGAGAAAAAAGGAAAAAAATCACAATACATCGTGTACCCGTCACCTCTTAACCTCTTGCAGCCCTATAGCAACCGGAGCTTTCCCTTGCAACATTGGATCGTAGACCTCAGAATGCATCGCAGCCGGTTGCATCCCCACTGCAGCACCCCTTGGAATAGCCCCCATGAAGTCAATATGCATTTTCCCGAGGCTGCCAGCCCACTGCTTGGTTGGCGCACTCGCCGTTGCGGGTTCGGGGTGCAGAAGCGAGGTCATGACACGGCCCACGGATGTTTTCTGAAGGAAGAGGCGCATGCGAGCAGGCCCGGTTTTCCCAACCACTGTCATTACGAAGCTGAACAGGAAGCTGCACAAGAAGATCGTGAGGACGACGAATGCGGGGACGGCATACGCGATGTGGTAACGCACGCGGCGTATGTATTGGTAGACAGGAACGCCGGTCTGTACGTCGGCGCTTGCATCTCCACTTGCACGCTTTGCCAGTTTGACATCGCTGCTAGCGAACCAACTCTTAGTGCCAATCACCGCATTTGCCGCGGCATCGGTCCAGATCAGGTTGATGATCTGAGCGGCTCCCTCGGGAGTACCAGACATGCTAGCCCATTTGTTATAGACGCCCAGATTGTTGTCGCCGGAGTAGTCGAAGGCTGAGCTGGAGGCGCGGGCGCCTGTGCTGTACGCGAATGCGAGCGCTTTCGAGTAGAAATCGATTCCCGGGAGGTTCGAACCGGTGACCACCGGAGGTAAGCCGAGATCCGTGGCGCCGTTGATGTAGCCTGGTAGGTACAGGGCGGGCTTCTGCACAAAGGACATGTTTTTGAACTTGTCCTTTTGTGCGGGATCGATGATTCCCCACAAAGGGTTCCCATCCACGAGACTCATCCCGGCCGATTCAACGCCCCAAAGAGGATAATCGGCCTCGCTCGCGTATTGCTTTTCTTCAATGCCCGTGACGGACAAGCCGCCGAGTCCCGTGCCGTTGAACTTGAAAGAGACCGTTTTGATCACGGCACGCACAACCGACGCGCAGCCATAGAGAGGCTGAGAGTAGGAACTGCCAGGCTCGAACCGCACGATGCTTTGAGCACCCTTTTCTTGCGGCGTGCCCAGCGCTGAACCGCAGAAACCGAGAATGTTGCTAACGTTGCCCAGCGAATATCCGAAAACGGCGTTGCAATCGTCACCTGGAAATATCAGCGCCGATCTTCATGGATCCATGAGATCCGGATCTTGTTTTGGACCACTTACGAGCATCGGTGAAGTTGTCAGCCGTGATCTTCCAAGGGTTATCTGGTACGTTAAGATCAAACTGCCCCGTCGTGTTCGTCAGGGATTCGTTTCCGAATCCACCTTGCGGCAGTCCGTCGATGAAGCCACCAAACTCGGCGACGCTGAAACGCAGATTGGACCATTCGCTCTCTTGGCCGCTGAAGTTGTTCTTGACCATAGGAATCTGATTTCCCACCTCAGAGTTTATGTATGAAAAGGCCTTCATCCCTGAGATTGCGGAACCTGGATTTGTCACGTTGTAATAGAGCGCCGTGTAAGCGTTTTGGAGCCACGCTGAACGGTAGGCGCGATACGCGAGCTGCGGATCATCCTGCGCTGTAAGAGCATCGTAGGGCGGAAACGTGGTGTTCAAATTGGCGAAGCCGCCATGGTCGACAAGGACCAAATCCACAACGCTTGAGGAACCAGTGCCGTTGAGAGGAAATGTGTAATCAAATGTCAAGTTTGTGTTAACGCATTGCGTCTCCGGCTCGATGAAGAGAATGTCTTCGGTCCAGGTGGCGCCGAACGGTGAGTCAATTGGAACAGAATGGTTACGGAAGCCAAGACCACCAGATTCTGCATCGACAACCAAACCTTCGACGAGCTGCAAGCCTCCGTTGAGGAAGAGCGTGTTGAACTGATTGAAGCTACCGATAGCATACCTAAGAGCGCGGTCAGTTGAAAAAAGTCAAAGAAAGCGTCTGCGTGACTTCACACACTTCTTCCCCTGGTTTATGGTTTTTAACTGAGTGTCTGTAGCGTAAGTGTACGTCCTATATCCGATGTCGAAGACCGAAGAAACGGTCTGGCCTATTGCTTGCGCCCCGCTCTGCAGGTATGCCATATAATCGGAGGGGATTGAGACGTTGATCACGTCTTCGTCGCTGATGGTAAAGCCCGTCGAGTTTACATTGGAAACGATGGTGCTGTTCGAGTTCGGGCATGCGATGGGAGGCCCGAAAGAGCCACACAGGCGGCTAAAGCCTTCCGCGGGTCGAGGGAGAGTCCCGTTTCCAAACACGCTGGCATCTTTGGCGTATGCGAATGGAGTAAGCTCCGTCGAACTGCTGGCCACAATAGATTCGTAGAGACCAAGCGGCGTGATGATAGACGCAAGCGAGAGAAGCAGAGCGGTCAACAGCCTAAGCTTGGTCGTGAACCGGACACCAGCACGAACGTTGTGGTTTGTTGTTGAGTCTGTCCGCAAGATCGTGGGCCACAGGCTACCTTGCAGTTGCGCGGCGGCTCTTGACCAGGTTGCTGCTGATTCCGTTGGGTTGAGAATCGAGACCAAGATCAGAGGAACGATAAGTTTGAACGAAATGTTGACTTTGCGCCAAGGTTAGCATGCTGCTTGTGATTTCGGATAGTTTGAGAAAAAGTTTTTCCATACTGAAGGATATACCAGCGGCAATTATACCCGCGACTTGCCCGGTGGTGAGACTATCCAAGGCGACCATGGTGAAGGCAGAGCGATGCGCCTGGCGAGTAGGCAATACAAAAAGCGCCGACTCTTCTCCTTATGAGTACAATTAGGTCATGATCGCACCCATGGTACATCGCCCACCATACGCCGCCATCAAATGCGAGTCTACGCCCTAGCCATTTTGCTAGCATCACTGCCACTGGAGGCTGGAACGCAGGAAGATCATAGGGAGGGCGGTGACCATGTTAGATTTTCATTTCTTAAAAATAAGTCCTTAGTATCGGAATGCATCCAATCAGCTAAGTAGACGTTTCGTGTTGGCGGACGCCACACAGCGGGTGTAAAACGATCGTTCCTGAAATCAACTCCTCGGCGAGCACTGCTGGGCCGTTCACCAGAGTCATTTTGCAATGCGGCAAGAAACGAACGCACGAAGAACGCAGACGGGAGATCCTGCTTTCGGCTCACGAAGGGGCTGCATGCACCCGAGGCACCGAAAATGACACAGATACTGATTGATAGCATTGAGTTATTACAATGTGCTGAAGCGACTCGCGGTTTTTTTCAACAACGGAAACGTGAACAAGGTTCGCCATCGGAGGCAGAGCCATGGGCCAGTCATTGAATAGAATTGTGTCTGCATGTCCTTCCGATAGCATGAAATAGGGAGAGGATCAACGAGAATACGAACAAGGACGACGCAAGAAGGGAATTTCACCGGTCAAGCCAGCTTCGTGGGAAAAGAGGCACAAAACGCTTGCTTCGACCATTCGCTCTAGCCACCCGCAGGGATCGAGAAGGGGTACAAGATGGGGCACGAAGAGAAAAAAAAGGGGAGGTGAAGAGTCAAAAAGGAAGCCCGAAACACGGGAAGAGTGGTAGTAGTAGCAGCCACTCACGTGATGGATAATTGGACGCAGCCCCGAATTAGAAAAGACGGCAAAGAGCGCGGGACAGAAAAGAAGCTTGCTTGGACTGCGCCCACTCGCAGGCGCTCATTGGCCTACCATACGATTGAATCGGCGTCGGCAAAAGCTTGTTCATAAGCTTCGGGTTTTCAGCGACGCCACACAAAGACCTGCTCGAGGCAGCTCGCTGGGTGGTTTCTAACACCCCAAGGCGATGATGCCGATCACCTCAGGGGGCCACCAGGCCTCAGATCGTACAGGACCAAAGGGCGCAGGGGAGCAGGCAGTTCGATTTGCACAGCACAGCAGCCGTGCTGTCGACGGGCGTTTCCTACGTTGTGAACAACTCACAAGGCCCGTCGCAAGAACAGTCTTCGCACGTGATGCCTGCCTTCGAACAAGCTGCCTGTGCTTTGTGTTCGGCACGATGCTCGATGCAAGCGGCTTTCAGGACAGGTTCAGTCATATCTTCCCGTGCCCGCCTGTACGTCCTGTCACCAGGTTTGCCGAAGCAACAGTCCATGGATGGAGGATGTGAAAACCTGCCCCTCCCCAGCCCTCGGCCGTAGTTGTTGAGGAGCAGACGAGTCCGCGACAGTTTTGCACTTCTGCTTTCCCACCCGTCAACTCGTATTTAAAATGACGATGTTTCCCGGTCTGCGTAAGGGGAAGGGTTGTGAATGAAAAAGACCAGCTTCAAGGTGCGATTCACCTCATGTCGTTGCTCTGGTGCAGGCCGAATGCCTGCCCTCCCCTGACAACGACTTTGCGTTCGGGAAGTGATTTTTTTTTCGCGGAGTAATCATTGGACATGAGCAACTCCGATCGATGCTCTCCATTCTGCTCTACGTCTGTTCTAAATTCGGCCCGTGCTACGGCAGGTTTGAGAATACGGACACGATTGCGGATGAGTCATGTCGGCTCGTTCGTCGGGCAGACGTAGAGACAGAATGAATGGCTATCCAGTCTGACTTTCGACTGGGGAACGTATCTTGCTGGACCGCCCAGTGCAATGAACCTGAATCATCCGTCAAAGTTTTCGACGGCACGTATTTCAATTGAGAAAGGTTAGCACACACAGCCCAAGAAGCAACAGGGTCTACGTCTTCATCAGGACGAACCGAGGATGGGCAGTACAAAGGAAAGGGACGGGGCCGTGTCCCTTGTGAACGCCAAATTCAAGTGGTGGTGCCTTGAAAAGAGCGATAGGAAGATTGAGTCATCATTACATTGAAAGGGGTAAAGTCGATCAGTGCTTCACCCATATCTTGACGAACAAGTAAGGAGGGTGACATAAGTATTAGTTTGCCTTTCTACCAAACATCACCGCCCAAGATGGCTAATCTACGTCTGGAACGGGCAAGCCCTCGAGCAATTTCATCCTCAGTCCTAGAGCTTCCATGGCCTTTCGCGCTTCATCTTCGCGGAGCGCTTTTGCCTCGCTTTCGGACACGAGCACAAAATCGTATGTTAGAAGTTTTGTGCCTTCCTTGACGCCGTACTTGCTGGCAGCGCTTGCGTCGACCGTTTTTAGATCGACTAACAGGGACTCCTTGACGCCGAAGACGGCGTCCGACGTCTCGTATGGGTCGCCGCGGAGATACAATGATCTGTTCGGTGATTTGTGATTCTTAGCCTGAAGCGGTGCGCAAACAGGACAGAAGGAGAAGCGTGCTTACGTGATGAGATGGTCGTAGCCCTTTTTATCAAACATAAAGTGCATGTGAGACGGCCGGTATGGGTGTCTCTTGAGTCTGTTCAAAAGCTTGCCGACAGGTCCCTAACCAAAAAAGATCGTGAGCAGAAGGTCAACACGGGACAGCATTGCATCGGCTCTTCTGTGGCGAAACCACTTACGTCGTGCGGTATTGGATATGGAACAGGCACGATCGCCTTGAACCAAAACACTCCGTCTTTGTCGCTTTCAATAATCGCTCTTCCGTCCGGCTGCTTTCGATCGGCGTATTGTACATCATATCGACCGGTCGAGTCCGTCTCCCAGACATCGATCTTGACCCCTTCGATCGGTCTCCCCTCTGTATCTTTGACTGTGCACAATACCAGGCACGGCTCGCCTTGCGGGTCGTGGGATATCACTTCCCCGTGGGGCACGGTCTCCGCGTCGTGGGTGTGAAATGGCCCAAGGACTGTCCCTTCCGTACCATTTTTGGGCTTCGGGTGATTTATGCTGTCAACTAGGAGAGAAAGGCCTAAGATGTCGGATAGCAGGATGAATTCCTGCCTGACATCTGTGCATATCTGACCCACAGCGGTAAGAAAGTTGATTGCCGCCATCCATTCTTCGGTACTTAAGCGCGTCTCTCGGGCAAAGTCATGGAGGTGGACGACAAGCCGTTCCAGCAAGTAGTTCAGTCTGACATCATCACCCTGGGAATTGATTCGGAGCACGTTCTCTGTTATGTTCTCGATTGTCAGGTCTTTAAGCACCGGCACTTGCACCTTTTCAGGATGATCCATGGCTTAAAGAATTCGACACAGCGGCAATCTTTGACAAAGGATGCCGGTCAGTCCGGCTGGAAGGAAGTATATATGGCCTGAGGGACGATAGCGTGGTTCATCGTGCTTAGCAATTACATCAAAACGGAGCGTGTTGGACTGCCGCTTGTCTCGATGTGGGGTTGAAAGGCGTGTGGGGTAGCTTGCAAAGCACTTCGGAAGCATTCCGTTCGTTGCGGATGATCCGAACGAGGACGAGTGAAGTCAGAAGACACAGTGTTGCAACAAACATGGTGTTGTGGTGTGAATGCTCCTGCAATCAGCAGCTCACGTGGTGTGAGGGCGCTTCGACCGAGGATGAATTTTGATGGTTGAGCGAGCTGCGCGATGCGGCAAACGCAGACGAGGCACTTGCAACCATTTCCCCTTGGGACAATGGAAGCGCAATGAAGGCGTGATTTAAGCCTGCAAGAGATTGTACCAGTGGGCTACTCCTGATGAGGCCACGGAATGGTGGCCAAGGATCCGTGAAATACGATTGAGGACCAACATCGTCCGCATATATAACGTAAAAGCAGCGTGGGGACACGAAACGCCATGAGGAACGCTACAGCGCGAAATGGAAGCGGAAGGCCTGGAGATGGTCTGAACCATGACACGAACTCCTGCCAACAAAAGCAGTACTCGCTCTCGAGTGAAACCACAGAGTAAAGAAGTTACAGCGCAATGTGCATGGAGAAGCAAGCTGGGGGGGGGGGCGAGTCACGTGCTCTAGAAGCTCAAGTCAACTTAGTTCCACAGCCAACACGTTAGCTAATCGAAGCTCGAATCGCTTCTAGTTGTCGTTCGCTGTGCATGGCAAGCACGCAACTTGACATTTAGAACACACGAAAGGAGCCTCTCGATTCGAGGCTGAAGCGGGATGAACATCCTCCCAACACAGCGCGTTGCGAAGTATTTTCGTCAACCACGTACGTCTCCGATGGGCTGTGGAGCAAACAGAAACGTAAGCAAAAACCTTCTCCTGCGTTAGGGAGGATGCTGGTGGAGCGGCCGAGCGTGAGGAAAGCCCACAAAAATCCCAGAGGAGCACGGCTCCCGTGGAAATCCCTTCCGAAGGCGTTCAGGCCAAGAGATGATGGATCGCGTGGTTCGTGAGCTGTGGCGCTGTACCTGCATTAACGTGCAGCGGGAGCAATACGGGCACTGCTGGAGGCCTTGAGGGTGCGTGCAACGGGCGGGTTGACGACGAGGACGACGACGACAGCGGCCACAACGGCGAACAGCAGCGACGACGAGGGCGGCGGAGGCGGTCGAGAGCGTGTTGGAGAGCGCATGGCCGACCTCGATTCGGCGCGGCCGCGTGTCGGCAGCAGCGTGCAGAGTCGCGCTGCAAGTCGAAGATGAAACTTGGTCGTTTCACTTTGCTGGGCCGTGTGGTCCATCTTGGGGCGTAGGGCAATCTAGCGCTGTGATTGGTCAATCCGCGCCTCCATCCCAAGCCTCTCCCGTCGTCCGTCCACATGCTTCGAGTGCGTCTTCGTCATGAGAAAATAAAGATCTTCCATCCACTCACTCGTTCTCTCTGGGCCTCATTCTTCATCGTCTATTTCGTTCTGCGTCTTCTTTTGCTACTTCGTCCCCTCTTTCGACCCCCCAACCCCCCCGGTCCCTCGCTCCACACGCTCTTTCGTCCATCGCCGCTCTTATATTGAAACGCTTGACCGCCGTGCGGGTTAAGCCATCCGCTGTCTCTGCCTCAGTGTGCGCTCGGCCGATTCGATCCTAGTTCTGCTCTGTCACACTGTCAGACTTGACACAAGTTTCAACCTTTCCTTTCTTCTTTCTCCCCCCGGCTCCCTCGACTTCCCGTGCCTCGGGCGACTCCCTGCTCCCAAAAAGAAGGCGACGAAACGATCTTCCGGGTGTGTGCCGGGTGCCACCAGTCCTTTCCGAAGTTCTCAATCCAAATCGCCGACAGGATCGTCACTTGTCGGTATCTTCCTACGTCCACTCGTTCTTCGAGTGGCCCGTACCACTTGGACGATATCACGCGATTAGACAATCGCTCAAAGTGCGTCTGAAGAAGCAGAGCGTGCACAGCGACAGGTTCGCCGCGTGCTCGTAAGTTCGAAGAGTGAAGACCCAGGTACGTACTCCCTGCCCACGGACCCGTCCCGTCCCTATCCCTCGTTTCTTCAGACACGTCCTGGATCTGAAGGAGGAAGAGGGGGTGGAGAGCCCCATTGATTCATGCATGCAGGCCAGGGTCTCCACCAATTGACCCATTGTCTCCTTCTAGAAGGGTACTGACATAGGAAACAGTAGATTATCTGGTTTCCCAATGTCTGCGCCTCTGTTCCCCTCCAAAGACGGCTTTGTGCAGCTCCCACGGTCACGATCAGATACAATGAACGACCTGGAGACGATTCCACTGCAGAAGGTGGTTTCCACACAGTCGACCGGTGCTCGACGGCCTTCGCAGACCCCGACGCAGTACAACCCTTCAGCGGATGTTCAGAATGAGAAGGGGGTCCGCCAGTTCCGCCGCGGTCTGCGGAAGCGGGGCAGCAGTGTCACGGATGGCACTCAGGAAGAAGGCGCTCTGAACGCCATGGGAAGGTTCTACAGCAAAATCATGAATTACAGCGTTGTCACTCGCTACTTCCTATACATTCTGCCGCTGGGCGCGATGCTGGCATTGCCCATCGTGCTGGGTGCTACCATTGCCCCAGACGCGAAAATCCCCAGCGGCGAGTTTGGTACGCGCATCGTGTGGCTCTTCACCTGGATCGAAGTTGGTGAGTTTCCGTTCTGGCGAATCAACGCCTATTGTCAATGGCTAACCAAGGCGCAGTCTGGGTGAGCTTGTGGGTTGGCAAGATCGTGGCTCACGTTCTGCCCTACGTCTTTCAGTTCGTCGTGGGAATCGTGAGCTCTAAGATCCGTCGGTATGCTCTCATGATTCGTGCGCTAGAGCTGCCGCTCTCCTTCATCTTCTGGGCTCTTTGTTCATTCTTGACCTTTACGCCTCTGATGCTTCACAATCCGGACACCAGCGAACTGGCAAAAACCCAGGCTGAGGCAAGATCCTTGCAGCCGTGGCAAAAGACGCTGCGTCAGATCCTCGCTGCCATCTTGATATGTACGCTCGTCAATTTCGCCGAGAAGTTCATCATCCAGGTCATCAGCGTCAATTATCACAACAAGCAGTTCGGCGACAAGATCAAGGAGAACAAGCACAAGATGGCGCTTCTTGTAATGCTTTACGACGCTTCTCGGAAGGCCTTCCCAGACTACTGTCAAACCTTCTATCACGAGGACAACATTATCAATGATTCGCTCAACCTGTCAAAGTTCAGCAAGAAAGATGGCGCCAAAGGAAGCGGCGCTGTCACGCCCATGAACATTCTTCACAATGTTGGCCGTGCTGGCGACGCCGTGACTTCTGCCTTTGGCAGAGTTGCTCAGGACATGACCGGAGGTGCCAAGCTCTTCGACAGCAACTCCTCCCCTGCAATTGTCAAGGAGGCACTCGAGAGGCATCGCTCAAGCGAGGCGTTGGCGAAACGTATCTGGATGAGCTTCGTGTGCGAAGGAAACGACGCTCTACACCCCGATGATCTGTTTGACGTTCTTGGCGAGGAAAAACACATCGAGGCAGAGGAGTGCTTCGCATTCTTGGACAGAGATGGCAATGGCGATGTCTCTTTGGATGAGATGATTATGGTCGTTCGCGACCTTGGGCGCTCCATTAAGTCCATTGATAGCAGTAGGCACGACGTCGATCAGGCGCTGAAAGTGCTCGATCGTTTGCTCATGGCAGTCGTTCTGATCATCAGCGTGCTGGTCTTCATTGCCTTCCTCAACCAAAGCTTTGTCAGCAGTCTTGCAACCGCGGGTACGGCAATCTTGTCGTTGTCCTTTGTATTCGCCACGACGTGTCAGGAGGTCCTGGGCTCGTGCATCTTCCTATTTGTCAAGCATCCTTACGACGTTGGCGATCGAGTTGATCTGCAAACCACGGAACAGCTGACGGTCGAAAAGATCTCACTACTATTCACCGTCTTCAAACGCGTGAACACGGGTAAGCTGGTCCAGATCCCCAACATTGTTCTCAACAACCTCTGGGTAGAGAATGTCAGTCGCAGCAAGGCCATGCGAGAGCAAATCTCCCTGTATTGCAGCTTCGACACCTCGTTCGAGGACATTGAGGCTCTGAAACAGGAGATGGTCAACTTCGTGAACGATCCGGCGAACAGCCGCGACTTCCAACCTGGCATCGAGATTCAGGTCACCAGTCTGGCTGAAATGAACAAGATGGAGCTTCGCATCGAGTGTTGCCACAAGAGCAACTGGGTAAGTTCTAACTGCTCGCGCCTTCCGGGTCCACGGACTAACTTGGTCCAGTCAAACGAGACGCTGCGCGCTGCTCGACGATCCAAGTTCATGTGTGCCCTTGTCCTCGCTGTTCGAAAAGTTCCCATCTACGGTCCAGGCGGCGGTGGAGCAGTCCTTGGAAGCATTGACCAGCCTTCCTACTCTGTCGCTGTCACTCCTGAGCAAGCCGCCCAATTCCGAGATGATTTCGCCGCCGCAAAGGACGCAAAGCGCTTGCATCCGACAAAGAAGCCGGACGTCGAGACTCAGAGCATCGCGGGTACAGAGTACTCTGGCCTGACAGCTCATCCTGAGATGCGCGCCGTGCAGTCACTCAATACGCGCAACCCGGCTCTGGATCGGGCACGTGATGATGCGCTCGCAACCAGGCAGACTGTGGGTGAGACCGTGCTTGCTGACGAGCGGCGCAGTGTGGATGAAGTCCGCAGCATGCTTCAGCGCGAGAACACGCGTGGTCGCCGTCAGCCGGGCCAGCTGTCTCCCGTCTTGGACCCACCAACTCAGCAGACTTACCCTATCGTACCCCCACCATCAGGACAGTATGCACCGCCGCCGGTGGGAGCCTCACAGAACCCTCCGGTTCCTGGTAATGCTTTCAGCATCAATGCACAACGTCGAGACTTGAGCTCTGGTAGCCAAGCGTCACGAGCTCAACCATACAGCCCTTCGTCGTCTACAGGTGCTCCTCCATCACGAGGTCGGTAAAGCTTATTGCGTTTGAAAGTGTCGTGGATAATCTGACAGCCGCAATACGCAATGTGCTCTTTGTCATCACCTATGTGTCGCAATGGCCTTTGTGAGACGAGTTCGTAGAATGCTATGGAAGGATGGACTGCGAAATCTTTTCTTTTTCTTTTTCGGGAAGCGAATGCTACAAGGCAAACTCGCTCAATCTGCATATAGAGGGTTCACATGACTAAAAAAAAAACCACTAGGGGACCACGAGACGTCAAACGAATAGAACAACCAAAAGGAAACTTAGTTTTACGTAGTTGCTAATGCAATGAACATGATGGCTATAGTTGCGAATAGCTAGAATCAAGATTTTGAAGCCAAGCAAAAAAAGACCACCTGTCACGCTTCGTCGCCTGATCGGACCTTTTGTCCCAGAGCATAATGTGTACACTCCTGCCTTGACGGGTAGGCCCAACAGCGTCGCCATAAGCTTTGACGCTCACGAACCAGGCGGGAAAAGCAAGCACAGTGATCGCCTCTCGGGAGCCTATGTCTGCATCTTCAGAGACGGTGTTTGCGCCCAGCTCAAGGAGAACATGAGCAGGGCGGGAGACTCGTGGGCAAGGTCCGGGGGGTCAAGGAGAGAGACGCAACGAGGCATTTTGCAAGAGGAGCGTTGATTTCATTTCCAATTTGAACTTCAGTTTCAATTTCTTTTTTAATTCTCCTCACTCTTTCTGTTCTACAAGAGGGAAGAGGCGAGAGTTATGTCATCAAAGAAGGAAAAAAGAAAGGGATGCTGGACGAAATGTACACGTGGTTTGTAGGGTATATATGCCTCCGTCCGGTTTAATGCTCGTTTCTAGTGCACAGGGGGAAAAATGGCCCACAAAAACCGCTTTGCTTATGCTGAGTGTGATTCGATAGAAAGAAAAAAAAAAAAAAGGAAAAAAGTTCACAGTTCCGTGATGACCATGTCGAATTGGTCGAGGTCCGGGGGCGGTTGATCGACAACGACCTTCAACTTGCGGTTGAACGTTGCACCCCTGTTCTCGATGCGGACGTCAGCGCTGAACGCCCTTGTCCTCTGCACTTCGTCGTCGCTGATGCCGAGATCGTCCTGCGGAATCCACACGCACGGCAGCTGCGAGTCTCGCAGCAGAGGGTGCGCGAAGGCGGCTGCAACCAGCTTGTCGCGATCCTCGGCGTCCAATGTCTCAAGCTGGTCGTTGTGCTGCAGGATGATCTTCGAGATAGGATCGTCCATCATCTGGGCTTCGATATCTTTGCGCCGCGGCATGAGGACGTTGCCAACCTTCTTTTCCGCGTGTCCCACGACCTTCTCAAGTTGCTTCAAGTACTCCTCGTCGAGAGGACGGTTGAGACGGGCAAGGATGCCTTTCGCCGCCTTAGCATCCTGCAACTGTTTGGCGTGCATGTGCGAGCCACGAGATTGTCCGGATTGTGTGGACTTGAACGTTGGGCGCTTTGGAGGAGAAACAATGTCAGGCATTGTATCATCTTTATCCTCTCCACTAGAGTCGCCCTTTCTAAAATCTTCCAAGGGGATCCCGGCCTCGTTTGGCTTCTCCGCCGTGGATGTGTTGGTATCCTCATCTTCCTGTGATTTCCCGGACTCGTCGTCATTGAGAAGACTTTTGGACTCGAGGTCGAGCTGAACTGGCGCGTACTTGAAAAGTTTTCCCAAGTGAACCGAAAGCCAGATATGATACAGGATTGTGAAGACCAGAACCACCGCCATGATTATGCCTTGTGCATCACATGCAACGTTGTCATTCGTGTCTCGCACAAGGAAGAACAAACCTATCAAGCAAATCTCCATGAAGTATACGCCGGTGAAGGTCTGATTGATAGCACTTGGGAACCATAGGGCCCCACCATCGACGTTGCCCGTTCGAACGCAGTAGAGGAGATTGTTCTTGATGACCACCCAGAAAAGGCTGAAGGTGATGAGAACAAATGCAAACATCAACGGGGCTATGATAGAGTACACGATTCCTGCCAAAGGTTAGCCGCATATCAATCAAACGCCTAGCCGTTCAATCTTACCAATGATGGCAAATGTAGTGTACCAAGGGATGTTGGAACCTATGCGTGTCCGATTCGTCCAGCTCAGCTTGTTGTAGACGCTGTCAGGCGTATTGACGCTCCCAGCTATGTAGAAATTAAACAGACGTATAGTTTGCAAGAGCGAAGTGGCACTCAATGACAGAGCCTGCACTATGAGAAAAGAAAAATAGTAGTTGGCGGCAGTTGGAAGATTCGTGGCCAGAATGTTTGGTACCGAGGTTGGTTGGTGAATCAGTTCTTCCACGACACTCGTCAAGCCGGACGAAATAGTCGGGATGATGAACAGCTCGAAAACCAGGAAGATCAAGTACCATAGTTGCAGCGACCTTTCGCCTTCTTGGCCCGTATATGACCCCTTGACTGAGTTTGTCATGGAGCGTAGAAGGATTGGCAGCGGGCCACTAAGGACTACGACCTGGATAAAAGGCGGCAGCGTACCTTGTATGAACGAGATAAGCCACGACGGGAGGCTGCCAATCCACTTAAGCCAAGACGTAGACCCAACAAGCGTCGATGCTCGGGAAAGGATACCTGTGAAGAAGGCGATCAAACCAAAGGCAAAGAGCAGCCCAAGAAATAGCAACAAAAACTCCACAACTCGGGCATAACGAGATTTCCAACCAATATTCAGACTAGCCCAGTTGATATCTGCAGGACTGATCTCAACGATCCGCCTCTTCATGTACCGAGGAGCGCTATTGGCAACAGATTGGCAAGCGAGATGCGCAGCTTTTTGCGTGTTGAATTGTATGAATGCGGTATGATTGATAGGATGCGCTTCCGGCGTGGCAAGTTCTATTTGCAGCTTTTTATTCAACCGAGCAAGTTCTCTGCGACAGTAATATATGGTATCCACCTTGCTTCGAAAGAAGATGCCGAAAAACGGGATTCGTGCGACAAAGGGAGACGTCTTTTCGATGATTCTCATTGTTGGTCGATGCTTCGGCTCAAGATACTCCGTCCAGGTCGCCTTAGTCGTGATGTCATATTCCAAGTCGCGAGCACACACCGCGGACGTGACCGGCTCGGTATCAGGACACATCGTGTCACTAGCTATCGGCTTGTCTTCGCCTGGTGTTGGGGTTCTTGCTGGATGCACTTGCGGATCCTTCTTAGCAATTTTTCGATGACGCTTGATAGCCTTGCGAAGCATGTTTGTCTCTGCATTTTCAAGCATGTCTTCAATTCTTCGTCGCTCTTTGTCCGTTGCCTCCGCTTTCGACAAGTCACGGTTGATCCAGATGCGGCGAACACCACCTGGAAAGTCGCCGTACATTTGCAACAACGCGTCATCCGTGCAAAGATCGGTTGGAATGTCTGTGATGAGCACTGTTGTGCTGGAAGCGCGCAATTGGTGAGCAGCGCTACCGAGATACTGAAGCCTTTTTACGATGTAATGCTTCAACTCCCAGTAGAACGTGAGGCAAACCCAGACAATGGCAACGACTGCTAGGCACAAGTGGGCCCAGTATCGGCTGGTGTTCTCCGGAGAAACCTAAGCTTCTTCAGCGTCGTGTTGCATACTCTGAAGTGCAGTTACGTGACCTACATTGGACCAAGCGAGGGTATCGAGTCCAGTGACGGTCCCTTTCACGTTGTTGATGACCCGGGTACCCCTCCCGTCTTCAGAATTGAGCGGAATCAAGATGGGCATGACCACGATCGCGAGCGGGAAAAATATCTTCAAGCACATTGACAAGTAGCGCAGGAAGAAGTAGGCGTCCATGCCAGCCTTCTCCAGGACGTCTGGATCCTCCTTTATCTTGAAGACGGTGAAAAGCCATTTCAACGGGTTGTTGTGCGGCGGTTTGATCCTCTGCTTGACCGGCACCAGAAAGGAGCGTGGCTGATAGATCCGTTTTGCCCACAGATAGTTGCGAACGATGAGAAAGAGGCCAAATTGCACGACGAAGAGCACGAAACCGGAGGCCAAGGAGATGGCAAGTGTCTGGATCGTGGTGCCTTCGCGGCCTTGCGCGACACCGGCGGCACCGTTCAAGGTTCCATTGATAATGCTCGTGATTTCAGACATGTCGCGTCATGAAGCTGGCTACCTTTTATCGCGCCCGTGACATGATCCGATTGTTGTGAATGGGTGGACGGGCGTCTGGCGCGACGTGCGCGGGAGACACAGAGACAGGCAGCGTAAATTCACGTAGGAGAACCCAAGATCCGCTGAAAGGACAGGAAGAGAACGAAGGTGCTGGCCGGGACCAAAAGAGAAATTGAAGATCGAAATCTGGCCGAGTCCACGATGGGCGTTCATGGGCACGGGCGTTTTGGTGTTGAATTGATGCAGCGCCACGCGCAAGCCACTGACGTAATGCATGCACCAGCAAGGGAGATCTACGTGCCTTGAGGCCTTGTTGTTGCCTCAGCGACGTTCGTTGGCAAGGTACGCCAAAGATACTATTACTACTTCGCACTCAGGACAAAATCTCTCCTGCAGTCGTGCCCTCAATGGGGGAGCGTTAACAAGTCTCCAGTCGTCGAGTTCTTTCTCTCCAGGGAGATGGCCACGTTGGCTTGAAGGATCGAAGTCTGCGTGCAGGAAATACTGACATAGTCGGCACGTGCGTGCAAGAACGCATCGGCTGTCTAGAGAAGATTCACAAGAAGTTTTCGTTAAGAGTACGACCATGTCCGACTTTGCAGATGGGAGCAAGGTTTGTATATCACAGGTCTTCGCCAGATGAGCATAGAAAAAGCTCTTCAATAGAGCACGACAATAAGTATATGTTATGTCCAAGGCTGCTCTACCGCCGCCTTTCATGCACCGTCGCGTCCTATTTGAAAGGCCAACGTCCGTTGACATCACACGGATGTGGTCCACATCGTCTTGCTATCGCTGCAATAAAGGTGCACAACGATTCCTTGCGTGCTGAGTCCATGTTCTGCTGTTCGCGCGCCCCCTTGTCGCTGGACTGTCACAAATAGGTCTTCTTTTCTACCATGGCGATTGGCTCTTCCAAGAGCTTTTCATCGAAATCCCTAGAGCTCGAAAGCCTTTCAGCCGCCCGTGGTCTTTGCCATCAGTGCTCCGCTACCCCTCGAGCTGAAAATAGCCATGATACCAAAACCACTGTAGAACAGTACGAGAGGATATGCCTTGAATACGTCAGTTTGAATTCTTCCTGTCACTATGAATGTACTGATCCGTAACATACCACAAGCAGCTTGACTTCAGACATGCGTCCGACCGCGCAGAACCTAAAGGCGGATCAGCAACGTATCCCATGCTGGAAGCGAGCGAACAGCGAATTCAAGCTCAATATAGCGCGCAATTTACCGCTGAATCGTAAATTGCTGGAAGTAGACATAGTTGTCACTCTGTTTAGCCGTGTGTTAGCTTCCAATTCGTTGCATTAAAATCCTGCCCCGAGTACCTACCACATGCTTGATGCTGCATACGAGCTGTAAGAAATCGCCGCCAATGTAAGCACTGCAGTGAAGTTGTCAGTACCCAGGCGTGCAGTCTCACAACGAACCGCTATGGTACGTACCGTAACCAAACGCACTGTCCAGCGGCAAGACTATGCCGCACAAGCTGACTACAACAAGGGGCAATAAACAGTAGCCTAATATACTTGCGCTTCGAGCGAGAGTAAGAGTAGACGAGAAATGGCGTGAGCCTGTTTGCGGGTGGTCGGCGGTGGCTGAGGAAGAGGAATCGTCTGGAGAAAGAGGAGGGGCCATTAGAGAGAACTGAAAGCCCAAGTTAGCCAATTCCAGTATTCTAAGGGTAAGCCATGCGCGTACAATGGCGTTCAGAGCAATAGAGCCGACGAGGGCGAGACCGTATACTAAGCATTCGTCAGCACCTTAGCGCGCAAATTTATATGTAGACAGATGCACACACTGTAACCAAAGTGAATTTTGCCCGAACCGAGGAGGAAAAATCCAAAGAGGAGGAAGAAGAGCCTGCCATTGTGGTGTCAGCACATGTCAAATCGCGGCTGGCCCAGAAGAGCACACAGGTAGACTCACAGGGGTCCTGCAAGATCGGAATCGTCCATCAGGTGGCTGTCAATTCTTGCCAAAGGATTCAGAACCGCAAGCGTCTTCATCTTGACGTGGGAGAAGTCCACACCCAGCTCTTCCAAGAGCGGAGGCTCACCGGGGTAGCCCTCTGTGCCGAACGCAGCAAGCCAGCCGGTAGACAGGCCGTTGGCCGCCGTGCCCATGGTGCCACTCAAGTCATGCTGGTTTGCGAAGCCCGCGAATCCCGAGGGCTGCGAATGCGAGCCGCCATACGCTTGGAAGGGAGTCGTGGAGCCCGAGACTGGGCCACTGAAATTGGAGTTGTAGAAGCCCTGCTGGCCGTAGGGTTGGCTGCCTTGGGCGCCGCCCGGGTAGGCGTATGCCATGCTGAGCACCTGTTTCTCTGATGTGCAGCCTTCTACGCAGCAGCGAGAGGAGTCGCAAATCGCGAAAAAAAAAGACCTGGGTTGGAGCGAGCGACCGCAGGCAACGTCACACCTAACCACAGGACGGATCTTCGACGAGCGATGTGCGCGATGGCGATTACAGACACTGGGAAATGCTAAATACAAGAGAGCGTACGAAGCAAACAGGAAAGAAAAAGCGAAGACGCTGTCGAGGACTTTGTGGGCGGCAACAATTGGTAAATGCGATGGAGAGTAAAGGAAGAGTACAGCCAGCTGTGCATGCGGCGAAAAGACCACCATTCCCTTTCAGAGAACAGCTGGCGTCTCCGTCGTCTCATTGGATGACGCTGGCTGGCGGCGGCTGCCATCCCCGATTGGGACCGGAGACGGACCATCACGTCGCCGCAACCGATATCTTCCATTCCATGTTCGCGAACTTTTTTTTCCTTCGCCTTCATTTCAATCGCCCATCTTTCGATACCCCTTATCCCTCGCCGTCCTTTCTTCCTTCCATCTCTAATCTCTCTATCATGGGTTGGTTTTGGGCGGACTCCGCCCCTGCGCAGGTCACTCCTCCTCATCCTATGCCGTCATCAAATGCGGCGCCTCCGGTAACACTGATAGTGCCATTACCTAGCTGTACGTGCTGACAGCATCTAGCCTGGCTGCCCAATGCACAAGTCTACATCTTCAGCTCCCCCCCGTGTAGAAAGCGCTTCTTCGATGTCATCATCAAGCGCATGTCCGTACAATCCTCCAGACTCCTCGCCCACGTCGGCGGCAGGCTCGCCTGCGTCCGGTGCTTCGACCCTCTCCAAGCTCAACCCGCTAAACTATATGCCCGCCAATTTGTCCAACAAGAGGTCACCGACGCAGAAGACACACTTGCCCCTGGAGCGCGAAATCTCGTCGATACCGAAGGGTGACGGCTCCGGCGCGAACTGGGAGTATCCCTCGCCGCAGCAGATGTACAACGCGATGCTGCGCAAGGGCTATACCGACACGCCGGAGGATGCCGTAGAAAGCATGGTAGCCGTGCACAACTTCCTCAACGAAGGAGCCTGGGGTGAGATTCTGGAGTGGGAGAGGCGGTTTGGCCGCGGCTTGGGCAAAGGATGGGACGCCTGTCGACGCGGCGAGGAGGGATCGCAGTACTCTGCCAGCCATGAGATCGTGTGGCGGGAGAAAGACGTACCTGCCCCGCAGCTAGTACGGTTCATGGGCCGACCAGGCGACATGACCCCCAAGGCGAGGATACTGCAGACGCTAGGCTGGGCGTGGCCGTCTCGATTCGGCGGCGAGGCTCCGTTCGACAGGCACGACTGGTTCGTGAAACGATGGAGGGAGGACGGAAGCTCGGAGGAGGTCAGATACGTGATTGACTATTACGAGGGCCCGCCAGAGCCCACCGGCGAGCCGGTCTTTTACCTGGACGTACGACCTGCCGTGGACACGCCGAGCGCGGCGATTGCCAGAGTGATGCGATGGGGCGGTGACATGTGGTGGAGGGGAACTGGCGGGGCTTCCGTCAGAGACGCGGTGCAGCAGGCGAGGGAGGCGGCGAAGGAATCGAGGTCGTGACATTCGAACGCCCTCGCCTTCCCTTTCGTGTTTGTATTTGCTGCAGATTGCACTCTCTCTACTCTTACTTAATCTCGGCCCCTGCATCCCCAGTTCCTAGGCTACAGAGCAGCATCTTGGACTTCTTTTTTTTTTTCCTCTTTCGAATGTCGGCGGAGAAATCTAGTCAAGACTGATCACCGATACGACCGGGACGGCAGATGACGGCCCACGGGCCCAAAAATTATTCTCACGTGTGTTGCTATCTATCAGATATGTACATTGTCTAACGAGCATTCCCCCAAACTACGTATTGAATGTTCTTTTCTTCATTTTCATCATGGCTTAAACGATGTCGTCTACGCTGATTTGGCTTCTTGCTATATATTTTTTTTAAACTCCCTCTCCCTCCACCCTTGTGTATTGGGTTTGACCACTTTTGTGAAACTCCATGTTTTGGATTTTCAGCATGATTTACGCCCTACGAATATGTGCTGCAGGAACACCATGGGCCATAATGTCAGCTGCTACTCACAAAAGTCTGCTCTCCACGGTGGTGTCCCACCTTTTGAGGGACCTTAACCATTTGCGAGATGCTACCTATTGGCGTTGCCCAGGCAGAATTTTAGATTACGATGCTTCGGGTTGGCCGAGAAACGTGTTTCTTGTAACGTGTTTCTTAATCTGCGCAATAAGCTCATCCATACGATATGGTTTCGTCGTGACATCATCCTGCCGTCTGTCAGTTGTCCGCCTCCGTAAATTCGAAGGTCGATCCAACGGATAAATCTTTGGACATACCATGCCTGCTTCGATGGCCTGCTGACAATGAATACTCCTCGCGTTGGCAGTTACCGCTAGGATGGGGATGTGGCCTTTCAAAACTCCCTCCCCTTCCAACCTCCTGATTTCCTTCGCGCAAAGGATACCGTTCATCACCGGCATTTCGATATCGCACAGTACAATGTCGAAATATCTCCCTTGCGCTTCGTCGCCGTGAGCCTGAAGAGTGGCCTCCTTTAACGCGTTGAGGGCTTCGACGCCATGGTTTGCGGCATGCACGTTGAATCCACGCGACTTGAGTTGCTTGCAGACTACCTTTTGGTTTATGACGTTGTCTTCCACAACGAGAACTTTGATTGAGGGACCGCTTCCGATTGAGTGCGCCGTTGTAGAAGGCGACGACAGAGAAATTTCCATTATCTCGATGGCTGAAGTGGCCTCGATATTGGTCTCCACACAGGAAGATGCAGCGAGTCGCTTAGGTGAACCGCTGGACCTTGGTGTTGCCAAACTCGACGACGGTGGACTCACCAATGGAGATACAGGGTGGTGGCTGACTTTCAAGGGTAAACTGTCTGTTGCAGATGAAAGATGTTCTTGCTCCCTGAGACCGTCCGTGGCGATACGCCGGGTTTGAATGAAGAAGGCAAAAGTACAACCTATCTGCTGGTCCCTCTTGATTCCGATCTGTCCCCCCATCAGCTCGGTAATCTGTCGTGATATGAAAAGTCCTAAGCCGGAGCCGCCGTACTCGATATGCGTTTTAGGCGAAGCCTGTGCGAAACGCTTGAAAAGGTTGTGACGCTCGCTATCAGATAAGCCTTTGCCTGTATCTGAGACGGAGACCAGGAGGTAAAGACTATTTTCTGAAGACCCTGCACTGATAGCAGAGCCGCATTCTTCATTTGTTGGCTTTGTTGAGGGGAAAAAGGTCATATCTTCTGGTTCTGGCCGAGCTCTGCTTGCTGAGATCCTAACGGTGATCTCTCGTTGCAGCGAGGTTCTCGTAAATTTGATGGCGTTTGTGACGAGATTTATTATGATCTGAAGAAACCGGTTTGGATCAAGCTGAACGAAGGAGACATCAAGGTTATCCAAGGATGTATCTTCGATAATGTTGAGCTTGATGTTCGACTCGCTGAGCTCGCGATCGAAGATGTGCAAAGCGGTGCGTATCACTTTTCGTAGCTGAACAGGAACGAGAGCGACTTCGAGCAGATCGGCATCAAGCTTGGATAGTGTAAGCACGTCGTCAATGATACGCTTTTGGTGCTCAATGCAATACATGATTATCCGGGCCGACTCCAAGCAGCCATTCACCGTGCATGACTGCGAGTCAACCTTTTTATTACTGAGGAGGCCTTGAGTCAGCCTGATGATATCCTCAGTACAGTGCAATACTGCTGACATGGGATTTCGAAGCTCATGTGAAATCATGTCGATGAAGTTTTCCTGTCTCGTGCGTTGGAGAATCGCTTCCTCCATCTTTTCGTTCAACGCAGTCACGGCCGCTTTCTGTGCCGAGATTTCTGTCATCCAGCAGATGACATGATCTTGGTCCTCTAAATAACCTGTAACCAAGAGCCAAGTTGGTATTGTGGGAATCGTGTGGTCCAGTTCTCGCTGCCCGTCCCATTTCTTGACAAGTCTGTGCTCGATCGTGATGGCGCCCTCCCCTCTGCATACGTCCTTGAAGAATTGGACCATCTTCTCGTGATCGTCAGGATGAATCGTTCGAAGCCAAGATGCTTCGGGCGTTTCGCCCGGACGAACGTCGAATATTGCTTTCCAAGCTGCATTTGCGTATTCGATATTGCCTTTCGTGTCGACGCGCACCATTCCCAACGGCGCATGCTCAGCAAATTGTCTGTATTTCAGCTCGCTCTGCTCGAGTTCTCTCAAACGACGAGTTCGTTCGTCTTCCGCATTCTGGAAAAGGATCCGGCCCCTTTCTTTTTCATGCGTTAACAGGATGCTTCCCACCTTCGGAGCTATGATCTCGTCGGTAAGTCGCTGAAGAAAGCTCTGATAAGGCACGTTGTAGCGTTTCTTGGGACCCAGTCCTGCGATCAAAAAGCACACAGCTTCTGTACCTGAAAAGATTGGACAGAATGCGAGCTCTTTACTCCGAGCATTGAAACTGCGAGGCTCAAATGCATCCAACACTTGGGAAGGTATTTGGCCGTCAGCCTCCCGCAATAACACAATTGATCGCTGTCTAATGGCTTTCTGCATGGCAGCCACAAAAATGCTTTTATCTTCGAGTGAAATGCGCTGTGGCACAGCAGTTGATGCATTCCGCACCCCTACGGATGCTTCGAGATGGTACGTAGTTGATCTCGAAGGGCTCGTCTCAGGTGCAAGCTTTGAATACAACATGACACTCGGCAGGTCGATCGCAGCCTTTTGTAGTCCTGAAATGAGTGACACCCAAAGACTGGAAAATTCCTTGTCCTGGGCTATCGTCGAGGCAATGTCTCGGGACAAGCTCACCCTTCGCGCAAGAATTGTAGCGGTCGTGGTGTCTGAGCATGATGCGTATACTCCAGCAAGATTTCCATCTCTACCGATGATCGGTGCCCATTTAACTGCAGACCATGATTTATTAGTCACTTCGGATGAATCAAATAGCCTAGGGATACATACAACCAAAGTAGCACTCTTCTTCGTAGCCATGTCGCGTCATGAACGTCAGCAAGGCCGGATGGGAGACGAATCCCCCCGTGGCCTCACATATCCTGTAGTTGGCCTCATATTCGTCCCACAAGTCACCAAAAATAGGTCGCGGCTCGGCGCCTTGTAATTTTGGATGATTTTCGCCAACGAGAGGTGTATACGCTTGAAATTATACAGGTAAGTGGCTTGTTTTTGCGAACACGTGATGATTTCCTTGGACAAAGCGTACCTTCATTGTAGATAATGTGCTGTTTGTCGCCGAACAACACAGCAGCTGGGTCTGGATCGGCAATACATTGGAGAACAGCCGTGCGAAGCTGGTCGTTCCACGTAGCTACGGGTCCGAAGAAAGTATTTGCCCAGTCGACATCACGAGTGAATCGCTCGAATGGCGTTAAGTCGTCCGGAGGTACCGCGCAAGATAGCCAATCAAGATTTGTCCTCCGGCGTCTTGGAATGGAAGACTGTTGTTTATTTTGATTTTCATCTGATTCTTCTTGCGATCGCGTTGAAGCAATGACCTCATTGGGCATTTCCCTAATTCCAACATGGACGAGGCGAAATTATGATGTTCTGAAGACGAAGAGAGAGACAACTTGACAAAGAGATATGACACGGCGGGGTGCTGTAAGGAGTACGACTTGGAGCATCTGCTGCGCTGAGAATCTGTTGCAGATCGAAGCCTGGGGGATATTGAGATACGCGAAATGTGATCTCTAACATCGCGATCTTGCACCAATTTAGATCGCTTCCGGACCCACCTGCGCCACACGCTTGCTTGGTCCTACTGTAAGCTTTCCGATGAGCACGTTTCGTGTCTACGTATATAACCTTCATTTGCAAGAACTTTTCGACTGCAGCGCAAAGACATTGCTTTTCTGCTTCGTGCTACTGACGTGCCGTTTCACTGTAGTTAGTTCTATACTTGTCCTGATGCGATCCGCCTAGAGTATAGCCGCCGTATTCTTATCTTTGTATAACTTTAGGCCTTCCCTGTCGAGGCTATTCCTTAGTTTTGAACGAGTAGATGCTATCAGTGGATATCTTTGTCACAAGACACGTGCAGAAATGAAGTTAAAAAAAATGAAGCTGGCCGGCAGGACGCGATAGCTGCTTGGATGTGGGCTGTCAAGCGACACAAGCTTTGTGAAGGATCTTAATCAATCAGAAGGCAGACTTAGATCCAAACCTAGCTTAGCGCCCTTATTTAATAAAGAACGAGATTATTCCTAAGAATAGTTGATTCAACGTCTGCATTTTCCAAACAAGGCTACTCAATCCATGCGAGCCTCTGACACACAGCTTATTGATGATTATCTTGCAAAAAAATTGATCTTTCCCAGACCAGATTCGCACAATGAAGCAGATGCGAGCTAAGTTCAGGATGATCCTGTAAGGTACTTTTCGCCCATCTAAAACTTGGAGAGAGTGTCCAGTGTTAAAGAGCGCAATAAGCTCTCGCGATTGTGTTTTTGGGCTTGTCGAGAAAAGTACGAAAGAGCCACAATCATTGTCACGTCGATGGATGACTTCATATCTGGTGTCTTGGACGGCAAACTGTTCTTTGTTCTGCAACACGGAATCCATGGAACAAAGGTATGAGATGATACAAGTCTCAAATCAACCTATGATCTTTGCGGATGATTGTGCTCAGAATAGTCTAGATTGGTGTGTTATGTCTTAGAAATCACTGCTAATTGGCGAGTGGGGAAGCCGCCCAGCCCTTTCTATCCTACATACAGATCTAAATCACCCTCAAAAAGTTTTCTAACGTGAAATGCGAAAGGACGTAATGTTGATCTGGTCGTCCGTGAGACTCTAGGCCCGAAGAGCACAGTGGACGGAAATATGAAGGCTGATTCAGGTCGGTCTTTGGTAGGTATGTGCGGACTGTTTTTCCTCTTCCTGGTCCTCGCTGTCATACTCGAGGCCGCCGTCGTCACTATAGCCGTACTGCGGGCATTGATGCATAGCCGTTCCAGGAAAGGCCTGCTGACAACCACTCCAATATCTCGCATCATTTTGTAATTGCTCATACGGTTCTCCATATGGACAAGCTGCCTTGTCGGGGATCGATTCTCCCGCTAGCGAGCGAGGAGTCGAATATGCTGATTGCAAATTTGGACTTGGCGCTCCGCTATATGGCCCAATCTGCGACATACCGCTGTATGCGTACTGAGCGTATGGGTTGTACACGGAAGGACCCGCTGCCCTGACAGCAGTCGCATGGGTCCCCTCGGCACCCCTCCTACGAAGTGAGTCGTTTTCCAACGTCACGTTCTGCAGCTGCTCGGAGAGAGATCTGTTCTCGGATGCAAGATGCCGTGTCTCAAGGCTCGTATGCAAGATGCGATCTTCCAGGGTTCTGATATGGCTTTCTCTTCGCTGGCGTAAAGCACGCTGCGCAATACGGTTCTGCTCACGTCGTCTTGCGCTGGTAGTGCTTGTGTTGCTTCCGCCGTGGGTCGAACTACTTCTACTTGACCTTCGATACCACTGAGAGGTGTCACCATCCGGACTTGCAGCTCCGTATTCGTACCTTTCATGCTCGCTACCACTGCCAGCAACTTCCATGTGCTGAAATGCTGCAGTGGTCGTGTAAGGGTTGCTCGTATTGTTGGCACTAATGTGTTGGGGATAAGCCTGTCTCGAATAATGAGAAGAGTAGCCTTGTTGGTCCATCGCTGCTTAATGAATTGACTCTGTTTGTGACTCATCTTCATGGAAGGCGGATGAACGGTTGATATAAGATTATGAGGGCGCTTGTGGAATTACAAGCACGTTACCGTATGCTAAATGGGGATCGCGGACTCGTGGAGATATCCAAGGGCTTGTAGACATATTTTCCGTTACTCCGTCACATCAGTAATCCACGCATTTCTATGTAAAGACGCCCAAATATGCGCGATGCCCTTAATCAAGATGGAGACCCGCGGAATAAGGATGGACCCAGGGAATGAGCTAAGCAGTTTTCCGAAATCCCAAGCCACTCCACGCAGATGTCATGAGCGATCGGCAACTGCTCCAGAACGCACAAGATCTTCTAGCGCCGTTCTAGCGTCGAAGCGTAAAAGTTGTGTGAAGGTAGATTAATAAGTCCGTTAATTGCCTGTTCAGGGGATAACGAAGCATTCCAAAAGCGGCCGGTTTCGTTCGTGGCGTCAGAACCGCAGAGCTTAGACAACCGCAGTTCGCAGCGACGACGTGACACGCTTTCCGGTCGCACTCATCATCCCGAAAATCGCGCTCCTTCTCTCAAGGCAAACCAGGCTATAGAGCCAATTGGCATTTTATTTAGAGTTCAAGACTGCCATCAGGCGCGCCAATTTTTCCTTGCTTACTGATCGCTGCAGGCTGCATATGCACCAATCGTCTTAGCGCCACGGACAGAGCTCGTTGCTCTTCGCCATAGTTAACTTGCCTATGATCAATGGCCCTTAGCTTGAAATATGATCACAATGACATATTACGCTATGATCACATCCAAGACACTATTTCCCAGCCAACTTCTAAGTACATTCATGGAGCGTCGTTTCGCTGGCGTACTGAGGGCAAGGGAAGCTCCCGGAGACTTTACATATTGTTATGGAGGAGGCCTTTATGAAAGCTTTGACGCACTGGATGCACTTAGGGCGTTGTTAAAGATAGAAGGATTTGAAGAGCGTGTAAGGTGGGGTCCGTTTTGTTAGAATATGTTATGTAGATTCCGTGCCTCGTCCAATATCCCAAGTAAAAGGTGGCCTCATTAGGTATCGAATCATGCCACAAGTAGCGTCTCTAAAATGGTCCTGAATTCAAAAGTCTTTCTTTTAAATACATATACAAAGGTATCTTTCCTTTTACATCCGTCGGCACCTTCATTATTTGATCAATGCGTTTTGGCTTACTAGATCATGTGGATACTTCTGATGATTAAGAGGCTCTAGAACGACTTCAATAGTCCGTAATTATCTGAAAGTGTGCCATTTTGTAGTCAAAGCCTGCAGTATTATGAACACCAGTGAGCTAGACTTGGCTTCTTGTTCGACAAGTCTAATTGTGCGCCTAGTACGTCGAATGAAAGAGAATCAACACATGGTCAGTACATGGTCAGAGGTTACCCGTTTTAATTTTTTTAGTAGCATTATCATATAAATGTGCGTCCTGAGCGACATTTCTGGCTGAGACAGCGAAAAAGAATCCATCCTAAGCCGTCGATTTTGAGAATCATTTATTATTTATTCCAATATCTTTCTTGACATTTCAAATGCACTTTTCATTTCACGCTGAATAGTCGTCATCACTCGATGAAGATACATTTCATATAGCAGCCAGGAAAATACGTCATTCCTTAAATTGGATTAGCCGGTGCTCGAAATTGGGTTCTGGTCTGTCAGGTCCTTGAATGCAGCACTTTGCTCGCTGTATTAACGAAAGGGTGAAGTAGAGAAAGCCTCTTCTTTTCTTTTTATATTAGAATTTCGAAAACTATTGATTTAAGATCAGAGAACAAACAGTAAGAGCCCAATGATGTATTCTTTTTCGAATGTGTCGTCCAGCATCTTCTTGGCCCTGCCGCGGCAAATTCATGTTGTTCGCCCTCTAATTGGTCTGCATGCAATTGAAGCCTATTGTTGCCGGTGTCATCGATTTGTTTTAAGAGCCATTTTGTACCACTGAGTCAAGTGAATTAACTTCACGATCTGACATCCGGTTCGGGTCTAGCTTCTCTCCGCGGTTCGATCAACTTTCAAATTAAGCTCAGCTCGCTTAAAACTTGGTGGCTAGTTTGACCACTTATGTGGCATAATGCGGCGCTGAGAATATGGGTCCGAGTTCCTCTCGGTTGCGACAAGGACCGATGTGCAGATATTACGCAGCATCCTTGCTCTGAACTCGTCATGGAGGGATGGTGTTCGACGAAGTACGATATCGGCTGACAAACAGAAATGCTGCTAACTCTGAAGAAAACGTTGCTGATCTTTCAGTGTGTTAAATGATTAAATGCTTCAATGGTCCTTGTTAGGACAGCAAACATGACGACACTGCTCATGATTCCAAGTATTTCTTTCCATACGGCCGGCAAAATTCCGTGCGCATCCAATGCAATGACACTGTTACCTGATGTGATATGTTTAGGGCAAAAAGAAATGTAACTTAGACGTTGCATGAGTCTTAGCCCATTAGACACACATGCATTTCATCGGGCTTAACCAAACTGTCCGAATATCGTGCCACTCTTTGGTCATCGAAAATACTGAGCCACACCTTGCGTTTGGGTGGGGTGAAAATAGTTCTTGCATAATGACCAAGATCACCCAAACCGAAAAGTACTTTAGAGTTTATCATATATGTGGCATCATTGAGCCTGCCCCATGCTCCAAGCCGCCTAAAAATACGGATTGCAGAGATGGTCCCCGGCTGTCAGCGGGAGGGTGCAGTCCGCATACAACAGCTAAGCCTCAGCGAATTTTTTCTTCAATTTGACTGCCACTGCGTGAACGTGAGTCCACGTGATCTCCAAAGAAATTCAAAAATGCTTTAGCGTATAATGAACGACGGACAACGTCTGCCAACTCCTAGAACATGAGGCAGTAGCGGTATCTAGGAGATCAAGTCCTTGTTTTAGCTGCAAGAGAGGATTCTACGGGCCTTCTGGAGCTTCTATCCTTTGCATTGGGACAAAACAAGCTTTCTTTAAGGGGGGTCGGCGATTCGGATTGGTGGTTAGTAAGACCATCAAGTGGCCCGACATTTATATGACGCATTGTACCATTGGCGCACATGAGCATTCTCCTAGTAATATGTAAGCTGTGTCTTGTACTTTTCTTTCTAGAACGAGCCAATGTGTGGGTCGACAATGGAAAACTCCGTTGAGGCCATTGGGAAATAGCCATTAATTGTCCGTCTTTGGTTAATCCCTCGTGGATATGTGCAGGATTTAGGGGAAACCGTGCAACTTTCTCATACTTGATCCTTAAAGATGCTGAAACGAAGCTGACAATGCGTCGTTTTCGCCATGCATCAAACGGTTCGCCGTGTCAGCGTTCGCTTATCAGCCTCCAGCGTTGAACCAAGAAAAAGTAGGGAAATAATTAAGATCCACCAGTGCAATTCCAGCGTGGCTAACTTCCAGGGTTACGTGCGAAGCAAAATTGGTTCCGAAAGGCCGAAGAAAGAGTACGAGGGTTGAGAGAGCTCACCGGGCGTTTGTGAACTGTAGCTAAAGGAAAAAATTTTCATTGAAACACGCAAGTTGCGGATGATATATGCGTTAGCACCCCTGATTTTTGAATTGCGCCCGTTATCGTTGGGGGCAATTGCAGCTTTGGATTGAAGACGACGATGGAAAATTTGTTGATTCGCTACGCATGTGGGCAAGTTCCACAGAGCAGTGATCGCAATTATGCCGACATTCGACATCAGAAGCTGGTTCTCTGCTTATTATCCTCGAACCATGCAAGGACTGTAAGTTGGATTCCAATCGGGTTAAGTTCGAGTGCAATGACCAAACGGCTTGGGCTCCTGGATATCTTGACGGTCGCACTGATGGTCTGGAGACGTGGCTGTCCGTCTAGAACCGGCAGTGAAAAAGTAACACTGTTCATCTTGTTATTATTTACAAGCAGGATTAGGGAAGAACAAAGAAGGCCGGTGAGTTCTCATGAACTTGGTGCCGGTCAGATTGATTTCAAGATTCAACAACCAAGCTTGGGAAGGACGCCGGACGTTGAAGACCGCCAGGAGTTGGATGAACGAGGCTCTTCAAAGGACCTCAAGGTCTGAAACCTAAATGTGGTGCATAGTGTAGCTCTCCAGGATTTCGGAATAAGCTCAGCTTGCTGTCAAGAACCCGCTAGCGCATGAAAGCGACACTTGTATTGCTTGCGACCTAGGTCTTTGAGACTTGCTAAGATGTACTGAGAATCAGATGGAATTGCCCACACATATGTAGTTCTCAAAGCTCATTTACAAGACAGCCGCGACATCATGAAGAAGACATAGGGGAAGGTCTTCACAGGCCGACTTCAAAAATCACCACGCTTTTCCAGGAGCAGTCCGGCCGACTGGAGATATTTCCTCCAATGAACGCAGATTGTGCGCAATCAGTGTGTTATCGAAGGCCGCAGCCGCTCACGAACAAGAGGATGTTTCGACTGACGGGCGGTGGTGGAAAAGCGAGAGCGATGACGGAGACGGCGACGATCCAGGCTCAGCCCTTTCTTGGTTTCAGGGGATCGCCTGCGCTAAGCCGTGTTAGGCAAGACTCTCGAAGACAGCCAAAGCCACGCAGCGCGGAACCTGAAAGTCGACAGCGATTCTCCTGATGCTCTCCATCATTCCACCTATTTTTCTCTCAATTCGTGACTGCCGTTGACCGTATCACCATCGGCAACAGCTGCGAGAAGTTCTACTCGGATACAGTGCTGAGCACCTGTTTTTCACGCTGGTCTCTCCGTAATCGACATCCGCTGGCACACACTGCGCTCTCTCTCTTGTCCGCCGTCGCGATCTTCTGCCCGCCTTCTTCGTGGCGGTCTCCTCTTGTCTTGACGTTCTTTGCGATCAGAGACACACGTACTCAACATGAGGATACGAAGGAGAACACCAATTCTGCTGCTGGCTCTCCCTGCCATAGTCGCGTCCCTAGCCGTTGACCCCAACTCCAAGGCCGGTCTCGTTGACCGTTTGTCCTCAGAAGATGCTCCAGAGCCACAAAGAGCCAATGCGCTCATTCCACCAAAGCTTGACAAGGGCACCAAGGATGCACCGGTTGACGGTCTCGACGGCAAGCCGCACGCCGGTCCTTTCGTGTATGACACAAAGGAGAAAACAAAGTTGGAGTCGAAGATTGAGGACTTATCGGGTTCAAGATCTAGTAGTGAAATCGATAAGGCGAGGGAAGAGGGATGGGAGATCCCCGAGAGAGTCGACAGCGTCATGACAGATAGAGAGGGTGAGAAGAAAGCAGCAGGAGCGTTGGACGGTACGGAAGGAGGCGTGACGGAGAAGACACGGAACAAGTTGACTAAAGGAGATGAAAAGGAAAAGAAACCAGAGGGCCCTAAAGAGGTGCTAGAGCACCACGAACATGAGAAAGAGAAGGTCATGCAAGGTGGAAAGGATACCGCCTTGACGAAATCGTCGAAGTCGTCCAGCAAGGATGAGAAAAAGGAAAAGAGTGAAAAAGGCATTGGTGGCCTAGAAGTAAGTGTGCAGCATGTCTCTCTTCATAGGCCGTGAGGGCTGACAAGATACCAGAAACCGGTAGATCTGCCTGACAAGCCCCACGACATTCCTCATCCAAAGCCAAACAGCTACTCTGAGTCGCCGAGCAGCAAGCACTCAATACCGCATTCCAAATCCGACTCAGACGTTGGCCTCGAGCAAGAAGCCACTGGTGTCATCCAGCCATTTCACTCCTTTGTTCTTTCATTGACCATGATTCTGGTTTCTGAGATTGGCGACAAGACCTTCCTCGTCGCTGCGCTCATGGCCATGCGCCATCCCCGAACTCTGGTCTTCAGCGCCGCATTTGGCGCTCTCGTCGTCATGACCGTGCTCAGTGCGGTGCTTGGACACGCAGTCCCAACCCTGATTCCCGAACGGCTGACCCACTTCGCCGCTGCGATTCTCTTCTTGATCTTCGGCGCCAAGATGCTGAGAGAAGGACTTGCAATGGATCCCAACGAGGGTGTCGGCGAAGAGATGAAGGAGGTCGAAATGGAGCTTGAGGAAAAGGAGCATGACATGGCGCGGAGAAACTCCAAGCGACGATCGTCGAATGCCATTACTCCTTATGCGCTCGAGTCTGGCCGGGGCAGGCGCTCTCGGAGCGACTCACGTCTTCCTGCACCTCCACGATCGCCGTCCGGATCGCCAGCGCGGTCGCCATCGCCTTCAGGTTCTAGACTCAGTGGTATTCTAGACGGACTGACCAATCTGTCCAGCTTGCTGTTTAGCCCAGCATGGGTGCAAACTTTTGTCATGACTTTCCTCGGAGAGTGGGGGGATAGAAGTCAGATTGCAACTATCGCCATGGCCGCTGGTAATGACTACTGGTGGGTTACGCTAGGCGCTCTGGTGGGACACGCGTGTTGTACCGGGGTTGCCGTCGTCGGAGGAAAAGCTATTGCTGGGAGGGTCAGCTTGCGCGTTGGTATGTCTCACTTCTACAATCACACTATCTTGTTTCAACTACTAACATCGGTTCAGTGACTCTCGGAGGAGCAATCGCCTTCCTCGTGTTTGGATTCATCTATCTTGCGGAGGCCATGGCGCATTCATAGAATTTCTTGCTATTCTTGTGTTTCTACGGCTTGTATAATTCTTTCTGCATATTCGAACGGCATGCTAGGTGTTTGGATGAAAAGCGTGTAAGCCTCGACCGGTAGCTGAACGGGTAAAAAGGAGAGGCAAGTGTATGGTCTCTATCCTACGAGAAAGGAATTGGTGTAATTGCCAATAATAAGCAACGCACCTGGTGCAAAGAGCCAGGACCATTCTGATAGATCATCAATTGACGCTTTCCTTTTCTTTCTCTCAAGTGTGTTGTACATCACGTGTTAGACCAGACATTGTGTTGGCCAGAAGTACCCGCAAGAAACTCTTGTGCTGGATTTCGCCTGCCATGCTGCTCTCTCGGCATCAGTATATCCAAATTCCTTCAAAATAGCGCCGTCGTCCCAACCCTCACATCATCGTCCGTTCACTTCGTCTGCCCTAGATTGACGCGAATGAGCCAACAATCTTCGCCAACGTCTACGCTGGATCGAAGCTATGGAACAACTAAAATCGACGCGACAGAGTAGAGTTCCGCGATGCCAAGTCAGAGGACAGCAAAGCTAACATTCATCCGATCATTGCCAAACGACTTGATCACAATGATGCTGTCCACGGAATCAGTCGCAAGAATCGGTCACAGTTTTGACGGCGGTCTATCGATCTTTGACGGCGAGCCTATGTCGACTGTGCTGAACCAGGGATACGAATCTGGCGCGTCTTCAGGCACGTTTCCGCTGAATCTCGGGGCGCGCTTCTCAAGGAAGCTCTCGATCCCCTCTAGGTTGTCCTTCTTGCCGTACAGTCCATGGATGATCTTCGAATCGAGTAGATGGGTGGCTTCCGCGCTGTCGGGCCCGCGGTACATGAGGTCGCGGCACATCTTGTTTGACACGATGGACGTGTTTTTGACGATGGCGTCCGCGAGCTCGAGAGCTCGCGCCACGGTCGCTTCTGGCGTGGGCAGCAACTCGTTGAAGAGATGGCCAAAGTGCGGCGAGTTCGCAGGATACACGGCGCCAGTCGACGTCAGGTACAGGGCTTTCGAGTGGCCGATGAGACGGGGGAGGAAGAACGACGAGCACGCCTCCATCACGAGACCGCGCTGAGTGAACACAAATCCGACCTTCGCCTTCTCGTACGCGACCCTTATGACGCTGGGTAAAGTCATGGTGATTCCAACACCCACTGCAGCCCCATTGATGGCGCAGATCGTGGGCTTGCTGCAGCGGTGAATAGCCAGCACGGTTCGTCCGCCGCTGAAATTTGAACCCGTTAGCGAAGCAGCCAGGATGCATCTCTCTACTGGTTCGACCTACGAGTCTCTATGATCTACTTCACGCTCCTTTATCACGTTCTTCGTTCGCCCAGACGCGTCCCTTGCGCCTGGAAATCCAACCTCAAGGTCAAAGCCCGCGCAAAACGCTTTCCCTCTGCCGGTCAGGACGACACAGCGGACTCTAGCGTCCTTGTCAAACCAACCGTACACCAGCTCTAGTTCCTCGCGCGTGTAATCTGTGAACGCGTTCATCTTTTGTGGCCTGTCCAGGTAGACGACCACAATCGGGGTTACTTCGACCGACTCCTTTGGATAATGCTCAATGCTGATGTCGTTGAACCGCAGGGTCGCATACGACCGAGGGATTCCCGAAGATGGTTGCGCCATTATGTTTGGAACCTGTTATCGCTATACCTTGAGTTCAAGGAATCTTTTCTCCCCAGAGATTGGTTTGATACCACGATACGTTGCGGCGTAAGACGTTCCGTGCTAGATCGTCAACCCCACAGCCGAGAGATACCGAGGCATGAGAAACTCGTTTCATCTGTCATTCATGGTCGATGCCATGCACAATTGCAATTAAAAGTCATATTTTAACCTGAGGTTCTCTTATGTGAATACAAGATCAATTTGAGGGATTTGTTGAGAGCCCCAGTCGTCTCCTTTGATTTCCAAAGCCCTACCGACCAGCTTGCTTGATCGGTCAGACTATGAACGTTTGCGGGATCCTAGCCACGTTCTCGACCTCCCGAATCTATCATGCGCGCACAGAACGCGAGCACGAACAGTATCAATCAGAGTAGGTGCAAATAGATGCGCGAGTCTTGCATGTGAAGCGTCATTGCTCGTGAATCTATGACAGGATGAGCCAATTCATATCAACGTAGGATCTCAGTCCGATATCGTAGTTGGATCCGTCTCTTCGACAGGCCTCACCAATTAAAGACATGCAAGCGTCCGCGAGATGTTAATGGCCGGTAACTGTGATAACTATCTCGTCAAAGGAACAAGAGACGTGGAGGTCTTGTTTTATTTTGGTGTTTGCAAAGTAGATGTTGTGTATAAAGTGTACCAATTACAAGTGTTTCCCAACGGTCCAGCTCTGCAAGAACTCCAGTGATCTCTTGTCTAGAGTTGGTTCCGTAGCTTCAAGCGCCTGTTCAAGATGCCTTTGTTGCAGATTGACCACCTCTACATTGTTCGGAGCGGCAACAGCCTCCGTGGCACAGAGCATACCTGCTGCATCGCAAAGTGCGGCCACGTCCGCGCCCGAAAACCGCCCCGTAGCAGACATCTTGTCGGCAATGGTCTCTAATTCTAAATCGCCCGGTTTGCTGCCCATCAGCTCAGTCCGCATCTTCAGGATTTGCAATATAGCTTCGCGATTTGGAGGTCCCACATAAAGCGTCGTCCCCAGGCGGCCAGGGCGTAACAAAGCGGGATCTATGGCGTCCGGCCGATTCGTAGCAGCTAACACGAGCACTCTTGCTACGTCCTCGACTCCGTCCATCTCGTTCAAAAGCGTCGCGACTGTGTTCAATCCTTCGTGGCCTCCACCTCCCTCTCTATTGGGCGCGATGCTGTCTATCTCGTCGAAGAAAATGATGCTCGGGCTGGCCTCCCTTGCCTTTCTAAATATTTCTCTGATTTTGTACTCTGACTCTCCCACGTACTTGCTCACCAGTTCCGGTCCTTTTACGGCGATGAAGTTCAGTCCGGATTCCGTGGCCAACGCTTTGGCTGTCATTGTCTTGGAGCAGCCGGGCGGTCCGTACAAGAGGATACCATAGGAGGGTCTCAAGTTCAGGCGTGAGACCACGTCGGGATGCTTGAGAGGGAGTTCTACGGCTTCCCAAAGCTTTGACTTGACATGGGAAGAGCCGGCGATATCAGACCAGTACACACGAGGAACTTCGATGTACAGTTCGTCCATGAGCGAGGGATGAATATGACGGAGAGCGTTTTGAAAGTCTTCTCTAGTCAAGGTACTTGGCAGATGGTAAGTTTGGTCGGACATCGCGGGCAGCGTCTCTGAGTTAGATTTCTGTGGATTAGTCTTTTCTTTCATGCTCCGCAGCTCTGCTGATTCAAAGGCCGCGAAACAAAGCGCTTGCAGATCAGCGGCAGTAAAGGCATGCGTCTTCTCAGCAACATACTGCAGCACCGCGTCATCGGCAAGGCCCGCCGCAAGATGACCTAGGATCATCCGTCTCGATTTCTGCGTTGGGCTTGGCAGTTCGATCTTTTTCATGAAGCAAGAGACTAGTTTTTGCTCTACGTCAATCGGGCGCCTGGCCGCTGCTACAACCTGGACCTTTGTACCCTTGAGCTCTGTAATGTGCTTGATAAGATGGTGGCCGTGTGTATCAGACTCAGCTTGTCTTCCCGCGATCATGTGTAGGTCATCGAGAATCAGCAAGCTTGGCTGGGTTCCCATGGCTTCTGAGAACGCATTGGATATTGCTGATCGGCTTTTACTAGCCGTTGAATTCAGGTCTGATGGGCCCAAATGCACAGTTTTCCTCCAACCGGAGGACTTCGATAGCTGTTCCAAGATAATAGATTTTCCGGTGCCTAGACACGCAGTCAGTCGTCTGCTTACAAAATTCACGAAATTTGCACCTACCAGTTGGTCCGTGGAGAAGAATAGGAACGCAGCCGGCAAGGTGCTCATACCGCTGCTCAACCTGTCGGTTAACCCTCCGAATACATTTTGAGAGCTCGCTCAGCTGTTCTTCAAGGCCAGGTAGACCAGTGAAGCGAGGATCAACAACAATGTTTTCCTTCGCCGAAGGATCTGTTTTAATTGTTTCGAGGGTGGAAGCGCTGGTCTCGATCCTGCTATAACCGGCTTCAAAGCGAGGAGGTATTGCAAGGTTACCATTTCCGAGATCGTCGCTGTTTTCGACGGTCACAACGGTAAGGATTTTTTTCTTGACGGTGCTGAACCCGTATGTTGGACATACAGTGAAGGCAGCTCCGGCAATAATACCGGGCAACTGTCCTGTCAATTGGAAGTATTAATCATTGCTATTCTCGAGGCCAGAACAACCGCAGATATCTTACGTAGTGCGATTTCCACCCAATCTATCGAGTCTCCCGAGTAGCCAGAGTCTCCCTCGGCGAGCGTAAGGCACTTAATTTTTGGCTGCACGCCTTCGTACTTGGAGATGGAGCACTTGTCGCTCAGATCCAAGTTCATGTAATTCCTGAGCTTGGGATGCATCTTTACATACGAGTTATTTCCCTGGGATTTTACAGTATCGGTCGAGAGATATGCAACACCAACGCCACCCTTTCCTGTTGAATGAGATATCACTTTGATAGCATCTCCGGCTTTCAGACCCTCAGCAGCAAGATCGTCTTTCTTCATTTCGATGCGCAACAAGGTCTCCAGCCCGTCTCTTGTCACCGCCGGCGGGCGCACGCTGTATATTTTTGAAGACATGGTGCAGTGTTGAAATTCTTCTCGAATGTGTTTCCAGCAAGGTCTGCATTCTTTCTTGCCGAATCTTGGGTGGCTGGAATAACCTTTCAATCTCTCTTAGCCCGAAGAAAATCCATATGTTTGCCCAAAGAGGACGTACGGATGCGGTGGGATCAGAAAGGTAGTTGCTGCCTTGTTGCCTTGCCAATGGTGAACACCGTGAACATGTCGAACCATCATCCAAGGGTCGAAAAAAAGATCAATTGGTCACTTGTCAAGCAGAGGGCCTAGCAACAGCGAGACCATTCTCATACCGCTTGCGGGCGGCTCTCTCGATCAGGTCCTTACTCTGGGTCAAGTCACGATTGTTGCTTAGGGAGCACTGTCTCTTCCGAGAAGATCCATCGAGAACCCATTGACCAATCCACCCCGTTGCTGGCTCTCTCATCCAGCTCAATCACAATGCCAACGGACCCCACGCTGTTCACGCAGACGGGACCCACAGCAACGTCCAAAGCCCCATACAAAGGCACGAGGATACCAATTGAGCCCGCGCCTCCCAATGAAACTCCGTCTCAGAAAGTAGCGCGGCTCCGCGCTGCCGCACAACGGGCAAAACTTGCGCAAGGATCGACGTGGGACCGCGTGGTACATCGGGGAAGGATATGGGCCGATAGAGCGCATAGAATTACGGCGACTGGTCTGATAGGCTTTTCAGGTGAGACGCCTCTGCTCATTCATGCTAAACGCGTGTGATCTAACGCTCCGGGAACAACAGTCCTGTTCGGCATGTACACAGCCTTTTGCCTCGGGGATATGATCATGTACAACCGGCGGAAGCGCACGGAATTCTATGCCGTGATGGAAAAGCTGCGCGCTGATGAATACGCAAAGGCAGTGGAAGCCCAGTCAAGGGGGCAGGCAACGGACGACCAGATATTGCTCATCAACCAGGAGCAGATGCGATTTGAGCAGATGCGCCTGGACCAGGAAAGGAAAGAGAAGGGCGTGTGGCGCAGGTTGAAGGAGAGCATCGTAGGCACAGAAGCGTACGAAGAGCAGAAAGGCGGCAAGTTGGGCCTCGGCAGGAAGAAGGAGGAGACGGTCGGAGAGGCCGTGTCAGACCTTTTGGCATCAAGAGACGAAAAGTTGCAGATGGGCACGCAGAAGCTGGAGTCAGCGCATCCTCCCGCCGGCGGTCCGCTGGATCAGCTGGGCCAGCAGACAGCGGACACAGTGTCGAAGACGTCAAAGAGCTGGACGAGTTGGATTACAGGACGGTGATGACAGCAACTGTCCATTGAACCCTGCCATATGTCCTTGTTTGTGGATGCTGTTTGGCATGGTGGCTCGCTTGTTCATTATTTCTATGCTTGTTTTTCCGTCCTCCTCCACCTAGAAGAGCATTCGGCGGCGTCTTTGCATACATCAAACCATATGTCTACTCCGGTTGGAAGTGGCCTTGTACCAAAAAATTGTACATATAGATGAAAACGCCCTTCAATAATAAACAAAAACGCCATGTCCAGGTCCCGTTGCATGCTCCATTAGCCTATCCAGGTCGTGTGTCATGGACAATGGGTATCTTCAACTCATGATTCGTCGGCACCAGCGTGATGTTCGCTCACTCCGACTCCGCTGACGGGCATGTACATCCTCCTTTCCCTGACTCTCTCCGCCCAAGTTTCTACCCAGGGTCGAATCGCCGCGTAGACGAGCAGTCCCGTCGTTGCGAAGATGAAGATGAACACCACAGCCTCGTCCTTGGCAGAGTCTCTTTGGAAACACGTCGTGACCACGTCTTCTTCCTTGGCCGTCTTGCAGATGGGGAGATTGTAATCGAGGCAGAACTTGCGGTTGCAGTCGTTACACGTGCCCGGATGCGACTTGGGCTCGGACTTGGACGCGGAGCTGTCTTTGGACGACGTCCCGGAGAGAGCGATTATGGTTGAATTACCGAAACAGGTGCATTTGCAAAACGACGTGGGGGCTGGAAGAAGTTTCGAACGTTAGCATGTCGATGCAACGACGGCGGATAGGAAGGACGGCTGCGGCTTACACGCTGCGAGGCTTTGTGACAGCAGGGACAACAGCGCTAATAGGAAGGGAAGCGCCCACTTTGCGCTGAGCATGGCGGGCAGAGGACTGCTTATGTAGATGTGCGTCCGTTGTCACCGAAGGCGTGCGACAGCGGAGGGAAGTCGATGTATTACAGTACATGGCAGAAGCTCAGGTGCCAAATCCCCGGTCGTTGTGACGCACTGTGCACCGTCTCCGCACCACGAAGTCGCAAGGTCGCTACAGCACCACCTTCAGCCTCCTCACGTGCCCGGCTCCGTCTGTCGAACGTTGACGGTCGAAAGTAGACGCTGTTTCCTGGACACGTTTCTGCTCTCGAGAACCGATCGCATGCTCGTCCGGTGTACTTTGCGCTCGTAACCGCGCAGGGCCACGGGATTGTATCTACTTTGCTTGACCTGGCGATTACGATGGAAACGGCAAGCAACTCAAATGGCGGTTCAAACTGTGGCCAGGTGTCGACAGTCGGACCCAATGATTCCGAAGGAACAGGGCAGATGCCAGATATTGATCGGATACTGGCAGAACTGGCGGGCTATTCTGCATCAAAAGGGGCCATCCAACAAGCACCGGTAACGGCTGGCACACAGGCTGCGGAATCGTGGCCTTCCCACGATGTGCCTCAACATGCAGGCCTAAACTCGGTTTCCGGATACAGTTCGCAAACCTCTCAAGTATCGCAGGTGTCTGCGGTTGCTCTGCCGCCTGCCCAACCCCATCCACCATTAGTCGATCCCTCTACCATCTTCGAATGGCCTCAAGCTCTCCGATGCGTCAACAAGCTGTCAGCCAGCAACCCTCAGTTCGGCCCAAAGATCAAACAGGTATCACTCATTTCGTTCCTTCCTTTTCCCCTTTGCCTTTGTACTCTACCTCCTGTTCACGAGCAACGGATCATTTGCAATGGCGAACAAGAAATTGACCGTGCCGGGTTTAGATGATTGTCGATCAGGACAACAACGTCAAGCAATGGTGGCAGAATCGAAATGGTATCATTGCTAATCAGAAGACGAGAAATGAGGGGATTCGGGGGCTGAATGCCATGTTGTGAGTTTGCGTGATTTAGCTGCACTTTGACACGTTCAGGTCTCATAACGGGAACAGAAAAGGTGTGGGCGGTCAACTCAAGCCAGAACCTGTGAGCAATGGCTGGAACCATCTCGTTAAAGCTGTTTTAACGCCCCTCTTAGACTCCCGAGGAAAACAAAGCTGAACTTGACCGTTTCGATCTCAAAGTGTACAATGCGTCGCAACAGATGGCTAAAGCACACGCCGCAACGCTCAAGGCTCTAGGCGTGCCTTTCTTTGGAGTCGACCCGAAGCATATCGTTGCAAACGAATTGCAACAGGCAGCCGCCTCGAGGAATCCGCTCAGTGAGGCGAAGATTACAGAGAAGGAGCTGCTTGACTTGCAAAGAAAGATGTTACAGTACTTAGAGGACCTATACAGGGATTAAAAAGGAAAATATTGCGAAGTCTGATATCCTAGATGTGAAGCGTTGATTTGGGGTGGCGAGAGACCATATCGAGATTCGATTTCATCTTGTGGTCATGATCTTGACTTAAAAAGAGATCTCAACACGTGGAAAGAGTCGGCCGGCAGATGATGCGCCCAAAAAAAGATGCGCCATTCTCTCTCTAAATTGGGACTCCAAATCTCAGTGGCGATTCAGAAAGTGGCTCGTCTAACTGACCTGGATCTTGGCCATGGACTGTGAATCGTTGCAAGGGAAATTACCTGAGGGAAACCGCTGTCTCACTTAAGAGTTTCCACGCCTCGAGGCAGTAGAATCTCACAGTAGCAACTCTACGATGATCGATTACAGTGCAAGCCTGTTCATGTTCTTGTGGTTGTACATATGTATTTGTCAACTTCAAGACACATGCACCTCGTTTGTAACGCCATAGTCATCATTTTCGTCACTCCTCTTGAATCTACCCAACAGCAATTTTCGCTTATAGACAAACAGATGTCTCACATTTGTGTCCAATTGTTGAGCAAACCGCCCCGAATCCGGAGATTTCCAACTTTTGCCTTGGCAACGGGAATGTAGTGATAAGTCTGCTGACCGCACTGTTGTGAATTGGACAATAGCACATCTACTATTGATTACTTTGTTGCACTCTCTTTGCCTTTTTGCTTTCCATCTTCTTCAAAATCCACAGCAAACTCGCATAGATCTCGAAAAGAGGACAGCCGCTATTATCCAGAGTATTGCTGCCCTTCGTGAGCTCAGTCCAGCAAACGCCTCGAGCAGTAAGTGATCAGCATTGATGGAACTTTTGGCGATATTACACAAAGGCTCGAGAATGAAAAAGCCAGAGATGGGATCGACAATTCTTGTGCTTGTTGGAGCTGGCGCTGCGCTCGTCAGCGCCGTCACAGAGCGAGCAACTATTTCCGAAAGTAAGTTTGAGTGTGTCGTAGGCTTCGTCCCGCCAAGAGAAAGGATTGACTGAAGCAATCGACGCAAACATCGCACTTGAAGTGGCTGCGAATGGGGCGACACGCTTTGTGGATGCAAGCGTTGGTGGTTCCACTACTTCACTCTTTCAGTTCACATTGCATGCGCTAACAAGCTAATCCAGTTGATGTAGTCACTGGCACTTTTGAGCTGGGAACTGCAAGTATGAGTGTACAAGGCAAGCCTGTAGTCTTGCTATGGGCGTGAAGTTTCGAAGTCATGCTGACAACGTATAGGATCCCACACAGTCTCTTTGTTGTCGGCCAGCATCGTTTCTGCGTCGACCTCCCTCGGTAGGTCTGGGCCTCAACTTGTGATTATCTCATGCAAGAATCGACTCATCAAATGCTAGTTGCCTCAAAAGCTTCGGGAGTCGAGACGACTGGTCCTTTTGGAGAATCCGTGGGTCAAGATCAATCCGGTTCTGATACGGTCAGCGTCCAAGGCGTCACAACCATTCGGTGCACATCATATTATCCCATGCCTGCCTCTGCCTCTGTTCTTTACGGAAATGTTACTTCAGCTGCTCGTGACGGCTGTTCCTCAAAGTCTAGCATCTGTTCTCCTACAACCTCGTCCTCTGAAGGCATGATCTTTGCCCAGTCAACGAGTACCGACTCTGCTCACCCCTCTGGCGGTGCTATCCCTTCATCAAATGTAAATGACACTGCCCTTTCAGGTCCTTACCCTTCAATGACTGGGACCAGCACTTTGTTCCCCACTGCCATCGCCGCTACGACCACTTTATCATCTTGCAACATCACCACAGCTACCGTGGTTACGACCGAGTCTCGTACGTTCACCAAGACCGTTGTCAGTTCCACTAGCGATCTCACTGACTTGGACCCTTCTCTTCCCACGGGCACTTTGGTTTCACTTTCGAATACTGCCGCCGCGGCCGGTTTCAACAGGTTCAAGATCGCTCTGTTTGTATTTGGTTTCATCAGTCTGATACTTTAAAGTCAGCACAACGGGCAAATGGCTGAACCCTTACAGTATCCTGAATGAATACGAATCAGGATATATTTATTTAGCCTAACGTTCTAAAGATACTGCAGCGATGTCTAATGCGTAACCCGCTTGACGTATTCTTGCCAAGCCTTGAAAAGTCACAACTCTGGGTCTTGTCGCTCGAAATCAAGCCAGGCGTTAAGAATGGTTGCGACTCTAGACCTCCGACCGCTGTATTTAGCTAAATTGCATGCTATTCAAACATTTACAATATCAAGACTTCAATCTTAAGGTAGAGGTAAAGTGGGAGTCAAGATAAACATCGTCTAGGCAAAGGTTCTTAATTTCGAAGGGCTGATGCTCTTGACTCCAGCAAACGCGTGATGAGATCTCGCCGCCTAAATGTTGAACCAAATTTGGTTTCTTCGTATAGGCGGTCTGTAGACAGACATTGTTTATTATTGCCTTTTTGATTCATTCAGAATCCCAGATGGTTACCCGGCCTGCCAAAGGTCACTAGCCAGTTTTGACATGTGCAAGGTACTAAGTAACCGGAGAAATGAGAGTTCAAGTAAGCAAGCTCCTGAGGCTAGAAATACTGACTGAATTGCAAAAGCCAGGCAAGCAATCATGACCTTGATTTTATATGTTCTTCAGCGGAATTCGCCGATCTTAATTATATAATATACCCGGTGACTTCACGGTCTGCTTGAATCATCTTCATGAGCTTGCTTCAAAGCCTCGAAATGTGTTCTGAAGACCACAGAGGACGAAGGCAACATCCAAACAAAAGTGACTTCGCTGCATCGCCCCAACCCCAATGCAAGTATAAAAGGTCGTGGTTCAGGGCCCGTCAGAACATATGGTCCACTTAGTCGGATAAGTGGAAGAAGGTCCCATAGCGACCACAAAATCTTTCATCAACGGTAGCATGCATGAAGCTCTGCTATACATTGATCCACTACTCTTATTCCCCACCTTTGGTGTTCCTGGGACTATTACTTGCATAGTCAGAAAGACTTCGGGCATCGCAGCATCGAGGCCGTACGATGAGATCTTTTCGCGTGGACCCATGAGTGAGTTGGACAAGAGCATGGAAATAGGCGGTGACCGAATAATGTATCGCACTACTCGTCCATTTGCCAGGCATACTTCAGCTCCTCCATGTCCTTCTTTCTGTTGCGCGCTTCAAACCACTTGCTCTCAAATCCGTTGCTTCTGTCCACCCCGTCCCATCGGTAGCCGGGTCGGATACCAAACCGATTTGGTGCGAAGCTACCCTGGTACAGAGGTCGACCGCTTTTGCTCTTTTTATTTCTGCGCTTTGCAGCTGTGTCGATAAACTGCGCAGCCGGGTCGTTCCACCGCTCCGCTTCCTTCAATTCCTCATTCAGCTCGGCGTCGTCGGCACCCCGAGCGAAGGTCATGTACTTGGCATCCTTCAGCTTCTGTAGACGTTCTTCCTTCATGGCCCGCTGGGCATCTCCTCTGGCCGCCTCAGCTTCTTCGCGCTTCTTCGCTTCTGCCTCCTCGGCTTTCCGCCGTGCTTCGGCCCTCTTCATCGCTATGTTTATGATCCGGCCACTAGCATCTCGGTAGATTGTGCCGCCTTCTTTGCCGCCAGCGATACCGGCCTCCTCCATTGCCTCCTTCATACGCCGCCGTTCCTCACGTTTCATTCTCTCCGCCGCAGCCGCAACATCCTTCGAACTTTGCAAACCGGCTTTGGTTCCACTATCGGTGTAACCCTCCATGGCTTGTAGATCTTCAGCGTCACCTTCTATAACAGGTGCGTCTTCGGCGTCCTTGGCTCTCTCACGGTTCTCCCGCGCGGTCTCTGCGATGATTCGGTCCGCCTCCGCCTGCTCAGAGTCCCTTGGTGGTGCTACGCCTACCCGGGTCCAGCCGGAGGTTTTCTTTTTTCGGAACTCAGAGGTCTTGCCAGCAACGTAGGGCATGCCATCGTCGTCATCGTCGTTGTCCTTTCTGCCGAAACTCCCCCAGCCAGCGTCGTCGTCGGCGATGGTTAGACCTGCGACGTCATCTTCCGGAGCTGTTTTTCGCTTTCGCTTCTTCGATTTTTTCTCCGGCTTTGAATCTGCCGTCAAGTAGTTTTTTGCCAGATAGTCTGCGAGGGACATGGCTTTGCTGCCTTTGGGAATTATCTGTATGAATGATGCTGTCGCAAATGTCGTTTGCTTGCGGAGTTTCCGGATTGGAAAAACGTGGTGGTCTGTGCATCTGGAAATCCACTCGTCTTCGAGCTTACTTCGCGCATCATTCACGGATCTTTTTGCTCCTGCAAACAATTCTACTGAACTAGTGCCCCAAGCCATTGATGCTTCAACTGCGGTGTTTAGCACCGCTGAGTTTCCAGTCCTCGCAATGGCAGCTCCAGGCAGTTCTGCGTCTACCACCAGAGCTCCGCCATCTCGCTCTGCGACCCTTCTCAACTTTGAATTCGCCGCTGTCCCATCCTCAGAACGGTAGTCAAGATGACAACCCCGATGAAGGAGGGCATATCAGGACTAGCCTGCAGAAGAGAGATGGACGCGTTTCGAAAAACACTTTGCCGCCCTCGAAGACGGAGGAGCGGAAACATAAACGAGGGCACAAAATCGAGACACGGGTACAATCGATAAACGCGGGACATCAGCAACTGTCCAGTGTTAGTATAGGCGACCGTAAGATAAACGGCATGCATAGCACAAACACCACAATAAGTCGAGATGGGAAGAACAGGGAGGGTACAACGAATGCCGGGAAGGCGAGAACAAACAGAACAAAGAACTCTCAAGGACGCGACCCTGGGACACATCCTCGGAGGAGCCCATCACGGCAAATAAGCAACAGTAATGGACTAAACAACAAATCGGGCAGCCAATTGTTCTCGGGCCATGCTGAAGCCAAGGCCAGACCACGACTTCCGACCCGTCCCAAAGACAAGTTGTTGAAGAACTCCAATGGTGTATCAGATGCACCGGCGACTCGGAAGCGCTCTCGACCGCTCAAGGATGCGTCGAGCGGATCAGCCGAATCATGGCTTGACGATCAAGGACCTGCTAAAACCTCAATGGTGAAAAACGAGTCGTTCCAAAAAAAAACTCCGCCGCTCCGGCGTCCGACTTCAAAACAACGCCCACATTTTCCCTCTAAACGCACTGAAGATCAATCTGCCCTTGCTACTAGTAATCAACAGTTGCCGAGTGGACCTGAAGTTGCCGATAACGATGCTGAATCGAAAGACTCAAAGCCATCACCTTTAACAACTGAGTTTGCTGATGGCAGCGGGCCTGTCCATGCTCATAATAAACATCTCGACACTTTCCCAGACGCGTCCATTCTATCGGACCTGAAACGGCAAATTGAAGAGCTGACCAGCTTGCTCAAAGCCCAAGCGGCTCAACAACGACAAACGCAGTCCGGCGGAGCGCTATCTCAGGTGATTGAGAAGGCAAGCGATCTCGTAGCAAAACTCAGACATTCGGATACGCAAGAATCTACTGTGGAAGCAGGGGACAGGCGGTACCAGGCCACTCGGAAGGAACATGAGAAAAATGCGTCATTGCCGCATGGGGACGAATTCAAGGTTGGGCAGGACGCTGTGAATCAGTCTACCGAGCTATCGAAACCCGAAGGTGGATTGGTAAAGGTTCGCGAAGCAACCAATGACGGCGTCGAGTCAGCGCGAAGCACCACTTCCACAAACGATGATGATGTCGGGTCTCTGTACGAACAACTGTTCCCTGAAGAGTCGCAGCCGTACCAGCATCGTCCATCTGCAGACGCAGAGGTTCCTCGCGTTCCAATCTCAGATGTCGCTGACCCAGCCCTCTCTCCCAGCGCCAAGCCAAGAGCTCAGCCAAAAAGCGAGCAGCTGGCCTCCCTGTACGATGCCCAGCAGGATCGCACGAAGACGGTGCTCGTTCTCCGCGGAGCGTCCAAGTCTCTGACTGAAGACGACTTCCGGCGGGCTGTGCCGCGAGGCAAGCACATCCAAGAGTGGACGCTGCGGGGGGAGTACGAGCGGGTGATACCCGTGCGGGACTTCTGGACGCTTGAGCGCACAGGCGACTACTACATCGTGTTTAAGTACGCTGCGGCGGCAGAGGCGTTTCTGCAGCATGCCAGGCGAGTGTTCAGTCTCATGAGCGCGCACACGCCGGACAGCCTGCTGAGTCCTCTCCGGCCGGCACCGCGTGGCCTGTTGGGCGACGAGATCGAGGACGAGGTGCAGCTTGTGCGGAACTTCACGCTGTTCACGCCCAGCATGGGATTCCCGCTCGAGCGGGCGCGTAAGGGGATCAAGAGCGAGGTCCTGCGCCGAGGTGGCTACCCACAGGCGCTGTCTGGCAGCCTGACGCCCGAAACGCCGCAGGTCCTGCTCGAAATGGACGGCGGCAACATGCCCAACTGGTTTCAGGTCCGTGACGCTATCGCTCGCGACGGCAACCGCCGCGGCACGCCCTGGACACTGCTGCCGGGCGAGCTTGGCATCCGCCGGCTGGAGATGAAGCGGCCCGGCAGCGAAGACTCGGGCGCCGACGGCCGCGACGGCGAGCATGACGGCGACGTGGACGACGCGGTGCTGCTAGCCCAGGATAGGGTTAGACAGGGCCGCAACGGCCAGCGCTGGCTCGTCGCCTTCACGGAGCGGCACGAGGCCCAGCGCTTCGCCCGCACCTGGCACATGCGCCCCTTTCCCTGGGTGGACGCCGAGCTGCGGCGCGACCTCATCTACAAGGGCGTCACGCGCGTCAAGGCAGAACTCCTGTGGTGATAGTTTGAAGGGTGACAAAGCAGGCGGACAATGGGAGGGCACACAAGCGCCTTCGGCAGGCTTGGGACGAGCCAACCACAGTCCAATTTATGAAAACCCCCTTTTTCATTTTTTTTCACCCTTCCTTTTCCTCTTCTCTCCAGGCCCCTTTCTAACCCAACGTCCCCCCCCCCCCCCTCCCCCCCCCCTTCTTCTTCTCACCAGGCCGAGGCATAACTAGCCGCGTCGAACCTTTTGTACATAGCAAAGAAAATAAATAAAAAAAAGGGAAAGAAAGAAATGTCGCCGAACGTGTACTATCTTGTGCTTTCTTCGTTCTCCTCTCCGTCGCTACGGCTCTTCGTTTTTCTTCCCTTTTCCTCCCTGGAACCGTCTCCAGGTCGTGCGTCCCACGCTTTTGACGAAAAGAAATCGAAGAGCCAAAAGACGGGGCGCGCGGAAATAGGAGTGAGGGGAAACAAAGGGAGGAGAGGAGGAAAAAAGAAAAAGAAAAGGAGCTTAGATCTCGCTAAGTTCTCGGACGCGTCTAAACACTGAGGCGATTCAACGAGACTGGAAGCCGCAGAGGAGAAAAAACAAAGAGGAAAAAAAAAAAGGGGGGGGGGGGGGGGGGGGGGGAGAGGTATACATCATATCCTTTTGCTTTCTTTCACGTTTTAACCGTTCGACGTGACAGAGTTTTGTTTCCGATCTTTGTGCGGGTCTTTGCTTTGTCGCCCTTTGTAAGAAAAAGCTTGGGGAGAGAAAGAGGGAAAGGAAGAAAAAGAGAGAAAGAGGGAAAGAGACAAAGGGAGCAAGGGGCACGTGTATAGTATATCAGCCGAAGCCGCTTTGTGTCCATTTCATACATACATTGCCTCCCGCGTTAATACTAATATTAATAGCTTTTCCTTCATTTAAATTATTATATTTAATGGATGAAGTAACTGATCCTAATTTAACTGTTATTGTAGAAGGACATCAATGATATTGAAGTTATCAATATATTGATTTTTTAAATAGCGATGAAGAATATATAGAATATGATTCATATCTAGTACCTGAATCCGATTTAGAACCAGGAGCATTAAGCGGGGCAAAGTCCCCCCCCACCCTCCACCCCCAAAAAAAAGTGACGAGATCCCCAAGTGGAAAACAGTCACCCGCGTGGTGAATATTCGTTACCGCAAAGTCTGTGAGGGGGCGGGAGGGGTGGTATATATATATATATATAAATGTACATATATGCGCGCAGTGCCGTTTCGCTTTCCGTCTCTTGCCATGCGTAAAGGAGCTTGCAAAGAAAAAGGTAGAAGGAAAAAAAAAGACTTTTTGGTTTGTATATACATGAGGACGTAGACATGGACATATAGAGAGAGAAGTAAAAAAAAAGGAGGGGGGGCGGGAAGGGAGTAGCTTCTTTGTGCTTGGCACAGGCCGTTCTGTCGTCTCGGTATATGGTTGATGTCGTGTACAATAAGAGGAAAGATGACCGTTTGCCATGACAACGGACGGGAAGATGTTTAGCGGAGGAAAGTGAAGAGAAATGGAAAATCGGCATCGATGGGATTCGTGGATGGAAGATGCACAATGGCCTTTCGTTGTGCGATTCGTCTCGTGTCTTGTGTGGGATTGCGAAGAGCTGCTCACCGTCACCACGCTTCAAACCCACCCAGTTTAGTTGCGGGGCGCAACAACGGAAACGGGTGTGGGGGGCATGGGCTCCACCTGGGCAGCCTCTTCCCTCTTTCTGCTCTTCGCCCGGTTAAGACCTCTCGCCCGACTGGCGGCCCGGCTCAGCGTGCCTCGTCGGCCCCTCGAAGCCGGCCGCTGCATGTCGTTCGTAAGGCTTGGATCGACCTGCCCGTTCTTTCTATCGCGGTCCGTCTGCAGGGCGGCGCGGCGCTCTCTTCTCCTCGCGTCGATGACGTCTTGCGACAGGTGGCCAAAGCCATTGCGGCGCTTGTAGCAGCTCTCCATCAGCGCGTTGGCGTCGAGCAAGCGACGGGGGATCGCCTGCACGACCTGAAAAATCTCAATGTCCTGCGCGACGTTGCGAATCTCTGACTCGCCCGTCTTGAAGATGGCGAGCGCAACGCGGAACAACGTCTTGGAACCCTCGTAGAAGAAGCAGTCCCAGACGCGAAGCACCGTCTCGGTGGGCAAGTTACCGACGAAGCAGGACATGAACCAGGCCGTCGTGGCGAGAGACACGGTAGGCAGGCGCGTCGGATTGATGGGAGCGCGGCCACCGTCGTTGACGTCGTCGATCTTGGCCCAAACCTGGGGCATGGCGTCCCGGATGCACGTCATGAGCACGCCCACGTCGACGCTGGCCTCGAGCACCTTGGCGTGCGTGCCGGGAAGATGAACGTTGCAGACTACGTTGAGCATGTGAAATGCCTTCTCCTCGTCTCGGAGAAAGAGCAGCAGCATGCCGGCGAGGAAGTTGAGCGACTGGCAGTAGCCGATGCTGGGATTGTGGATGGCGAAGGCCTGCAGCACGCGGCGTAAAGATCGAATGATGGGCAGCTCGTCGCCTTCCGGGCTGGCGCCAGGCGCAACGTCAGGCTTGAAATCGATGTTGTCCGGGAACGTGCGGTTCAGGTCGCGCTCGATGATCTCGCGGTCGGCTTCCTGAAGCTTGCCGGGCTCGTCGGCCTCTCTGACGAGACGATCGTACAGCCCAGGGTTCTGAGCAACGCGCGCCGGACCGCCCGCATACCAGAACCAGCAGGCACCGCGCCAGTCGGGCGGGATGCCCTTGCGAATATACCGCTTGACCTTGTCTGAGCGCGGCGGGAAGCGCAGCGGATCCTGAATGGGCAGGCCGCATTGGATCATCATAATCTCCCACTTGGTGCGGCGCCGCTCAAGATAGTCGGTGTACTTTGCGTTCCACGCGTCGTATTGCTCGACTGTGATGTACTGGCTGGCTTTCTTAAAGCCGTAACGGTCACGTGGTACCGGGACAGACGGAAGGCGTGCGCTTGCGCCGGCGCCGGCGCCGGCACTCACGCTCACCTTAGCCTGAGATGGCAGCGGCGAGCTATCGTTTGCGGTACTCTGCGGGGCCGATTCAAAAAACCCGTTCCTTTCGTCTCCGCTCAACGGGGATGGCTTTTCGGCAGGTGCATCCAGGGTCGAGAAGTCCACCGTGGACAGCGGAGAGACGGGCTGGTGCGAATACGGATCATCCGGCCGGAGGGGTGATACCAGAGGCGAAAAGGCAGGAGAGGCTGGGTCTGCAGGATTGACGGGGTGGGACATGAGCGCGGGCGAGCCCGGCGAAGACTGGGGGAGAGGCGGAGACCGCGGAATGGGCACAACATCGTCGAACTTGCTGTCGTACTTTGCTGTGGCCTCTGTCGGCTTCTCAAAGCGAAGGACGACGGCTGGTGAGCCGGTCGAGGCGTCGGTGTCATCGTTGGACACCTGGAGAGCGCTCGCAAGCGCGTCGCCGTCCAGGTCAGGATGCTGGACCGAGTCCGGCCTTGGCTCCCAGCCTAGGTGGGGCGAGCGAGCGCTCTGAAAGGAGGATGGTCTAGTAGGCTTGATGTGATCGGGAAGCGGTGCCTGAATGGCTGGGTCGACGAGGCTTGAACGAGCTGGTTCGATGACGCTGGTTCGGCCTGGTGGATCGTCAGCACAAGGCCTGGAGGGCTTTGGCCTTAGCCGGTCCGACTCACGTTGGTGGTGATGGTGGTGATGGTGATGGTGGTGGTGGTGGTCGTCGCCGTCCTGGTCGTCGAATCCGTCGGCATACATGTTGATATAATCGCACGCATCGAAATCGTCATCGTCGTTGTTTCGGCGCGCGCCCCCGTCGTACTCCCCCATGCTGGCCCTTCGCCTCGAGTAGTTGCTTAGCGAGGACGAACGAGTGACGAGGCTGGTGCGGTCCGTCTCGCTGGGCTCGTAATAGCCCGACGACGTGTTGGTGGCGTACGAAGCGTTGGTTAGTGCGGACCGAAAGCTGGCCCGCACCTCGTCGCTCTCCTTCCACGGCACCGGCGGTGGGCCACGGAACGTCAGGCTGACGTCTCTGCTGGCAGGACCTCGCTCAGGCTTGTACGTGGACGACACGTTGGCGCGGGCGGCGCCTCGAAGGTCCGGGATGGAGGGCGAGCGATACTGACCGCCCAGGTCGGCGATGGGACGCGGCGCCGTCGTGGTCATTCCTCGCGGCCTGCCACGAGGCTGAGCCGCAGCAGGCACGGGGACGCCGGCTGGGGAATGATAGGACGCTTTCGGCGACGAGGACGTGGTATAAGCGGAGGTAGGCGCCTGCATGTCCCTCCGCAGGCGCGGCGAGTTGGTGCGGCTCGACGTGCGGTCAGGAAACTGGCCTTGACGGGGCGAGTCGGCGTCGACCAGGCTGTTCTCGTAGCTCCGCGACGCCGCCATCTGGCGCAGCTTGGAGACGGATGTCTTCCGCAGAGGCAGGTGCGGGCGCGGCACGTCGGCCGCGGCGAAGGCATCGGAGTCAGAGGAGGCCAAGGGCGAAGAGGCCGTCACGCTGGTGAAGCTGTGCTCGTCGGCGGTGGCGAGCGACGAGGTGGGCGAGCGACCGACGTTGTCAGGGGACGAGGACACGTCCGAGGCGGGCCGCGCTTGGAAAAGGGCGTCGGACGAAGGTGGACTGGACCGCAGGCCCATTGCGGCCGCGGCAGCGGAAGAGGGCGAGGAGGAGCTCGGCACAGGATTCGTATCCGGGGACGACGCTGGAAAGGGGTAGCCGCGGGCGCTGTCGCCGTCGTCGCCGCGGCCGTCCGGCGCCCTGGGCGCCTTGCGGTTGTGTCTTCGCTGAGCAAGCGTGCCCGCCTGTCGAAGAAACGACTGGTCTCCCTCGCCTAGGGAGGCGGCATAGGCGATGCCATCGCTCCGGGCGAGCATGACGGCGGCTGTTTATACTCCGGAGGAGCATGCGGAGCAGCAGACGGGAGCCATGCGAGGGGGCGGACGGGTCGAGAGAGACAGACGACGCGTCGGGCAGCGTGATCTGGGTCGGACGCAGACGGAGACGCAGACGGAAGGACGGCTTGGTGGCGAGCAGGAGGTGGAGGAGGAAGAGGAGAGCAGAGAAAAAAAAGTGATGTATGCGTGCAGCAGCGTTGGCAGAGTTGCCGCTAGCCAGGGATCGCGCGGATCGCTCGCGCCGGGGAATCTCCTCCACGCTGCTAGTCAGGCACCCGCCCGCGATGATTTGTCTGGCCTCCGCCTTGGTCTCGTCGTCCTTGCTGTCGCCCGGCACGCGTCTGGCCGTCGTGGCCGATGTGTGCGCGCGCTGATGGGCGGTCGCCGAGCCTGCTGTCCGCTGGCCCAGCCGCCCGACCGCCTTGCAATCAAACGACGGCACCGAAACCATCCAAGTCGCAAGCCCCGAAAAGCTTCTGACGTGCTTCATGGGGCCTCCATCTCGAGCCACACGTCCCGCCGCGTCGGGTCGGGTCTTGCTGTTTTGCCTTCCATTTATGCCGCCTTTCTGGCGCGGCTGGGACCTCAACAGCTGCACGGGCGGCGACAAAATACGAAGACTGTGACGCGGTGGTGAGAGAACAACACGAGCGGCTGAGCGAGAGAATGGGCGAAAGTGTTGGCTGCGCTCGCGCGGACGGCGGAGGCGTGCGGAGGCGAGGGCAAGGACGACGTCGAACGCGCTGCCGACTACGACGGCGACGGCGATGACAACGGCAACGACAACGACAACGACAACGACGCCGCAATGCTACGCTTGGAACACGAATGTGCGAACAAGAAAGCGAGCGCGTGGAGGCGCCAGTCCGTCCGTGTCAAACAGCGCTGCGTGTTTCACCATCCAAAACGCTTCTGAAGGAGACCTGTTTCTGGCGGCGCCTATGCAGAGCTTGAGCACGCACTACAAAGAAGACGAGACCGTTCTTGATGCTAGAGGCCTTGGTTCCCGTACGGGCATCGTCGTCACCGCCGCCACGCTCACGGCGGGCGATTGACTGCTGTTCTCGCTGCCACGCGCGGAGCAACCGCGGCGAGACGGGCATTATTTTTTTTTTTTTTTTTTGCGTTGTTTTTGTATTTGTTTTGGTATTTTGATGAAAAACAAAGTCTAAAAAAAATTAAATTAGATGAAAGTTTCTTTTTGAACAGCGCGCACACACACACACACAGGCCTAATTTAACGTGGACGCGCGCAGGGGAAGGCCAGTGGAGGCGACGTCAAAGCCAAGGAACGGCGGCCGAATTCGATGTCGATCAAGCCGCCGACGGACCGGCTGATGGCGTGCTTGCCCAAGCATACACACACACACATACACATCCACATATACCTGTGGTCGTGATACGTGTGTGAATCCACTCCTGCACGCACACACGAAGGACGGACGCGCTTCGACAGGACCGTCGCAACACGAGCCCTGAGGACAAGAGCAGATGATTTGTGAGAGCCAGATGCTAGGCACGTGATGGTTGGGCTGCACTTCCATCTCAGCGACATGCCTTTGCGTGTCCCGAAGCTCCATTGGAGTCGATGTCCCTCCCACGTACCGTGCCGTCGTAGGATTTGCTCGAGGCTCCTTGGCCTTGCCTTAAAGGTCTGGTAGCAAAGTCTTTGAGAACGAACGGGAGGGTCACAACGTCGAGACCGGCGGCAACGTCGTGTCCCCAGCTGCAACTAGAGGGCATCTGCGCCGCGTTAAGAGTCGATGCATGCGCAACCTGATTGTTTGCTATCATACAACAATCTTATCCATAGCACTTTGAGCGAGTCTACCCGCCCACGCGCTGCGTTTCTGTCGTTCCACTCCCCGTCAAACCTTGCCAGTGCCCTCTGCGCCGTAGGAACGCAATCCAGCGCCTTTATGGCCACACGATCTTTGCTTTTGAGCATGTAAATGGCGCATTCGGCCAGGTCCTGCGACTGAAGAGGCTCGTAGCCGTAGAAGAACTCATCCATGGCATCCTTGTCGTACTTTGACCCCTTTGCAGGTGGAAGTTCGTAGCCACGCATCCCGGCCTCAGCACCAGAACCTTGATGTTCGAGCCTGCCGTCTCCATTCGCAGCGAGTTACGAAAGGCCTCGAGACAGGCCCTGTTGGCGTGATGCACCGCCTCTCCGTCGAAAAGGGAGCAAATAAGCCTCTTTGTGTGGATTACTGCCGAGCGATTCAAGGAAATCAGCTTCCTCAGGAGCTAGAATTCCGGCCTCGTACGAACCCATGCTTGAAAGCTAGAATAACCAGAATGCAAAAGACAGATGATTGGAGTTGGGCACGGACGCATGTGATAGTCTACTTGTTAGGTTTTTTGTGGTCCGGATCTCGAGCTCTGATTGCAAGAGGACGGGGAGAGCAAGCCGATACGAAGAGATTGCGGCAACGGACCTAACTAGAACATGTTCTGGTGATTGAGGCGTGTTTGACGGAACAGACTTGGTAGCCTTCAGGAAACACACTCTGCCCGTCAAGGAGTCCAGAAGCAGGCTCTAGTTCTAGAGCATACGTACAGTTTCCCGAATGCGCAGAAGATTTGCTCGCTCGTCATCCACGGCTGTGCCAATGCTAGAAAACCACCTGGACCGACGACACGAACAACGTCGGGGAACATCTGGCGCTTAAGATTTCCGGTTTGGGTAGCCTCGTCGAAGTTGCGATCCGCAAACGTCTCCCCATCCACGGTCTGTTCCATGTCCAGGCATCCGGCTCTGCAGATCAGACAACGAAGGGGTTGGAACGGAAGCGGGAGATCTTGTACAAACCCGGAAAGATCAAAGCTCCTCTTTGCGCGTACGAGTCACTCCTTTGTTTGCTGGCTGTGCGAGTCTCGCTCCGTTAAAGCTTCAAGACCCACGTCTCGCAAACGCCAAATTCCCTTACTTTTGTTTCTCCTCGGGCCGTCTTGGAAATGGCCACCTCTCTTGTGTTCTTTACAAGACGAAGCGTCGCGTTTGGTGCAAACACTATTTATATGTTTCCGTGCCAAGATCGCGTCGTTGTAGGAGGCAGAATAGTGACTGTCCGTCTGGCCTCCCCTCAACGGGGATGAAAGAGAAGAGATACTTGTAACGTGCTGTGGGCACCTGGTCTACGCTGATCCAGCTCATTGCGGAACTGATCGATACATGGCACACCGTCCACCGATGCCTTCCTGGCTCGCTGGCAACGTCATGATACAGGAGACAAGAGACGAGAAAGAGAGAAAAGAATCAGGCTTCATTTGGCAACGAATCCGATCCCGTCGCCGTACTCGTACTCTGTCGTTATCTGGGCAGTTCTTTGTAAGAAGCGTCCGAGCACGTATAGAGCTCTCACGGGCCTGTCACCACTCCGTGATGTGTTTCATCACACACCTCGCCGGAGAGAGTATACATGTCCAGATTCGATGATGTATGCATGGCCAAATACGCCGGTATGTTGATCACCGCTATTACTCCTCCTGCTCCCCTTTCTCGTCCTCGTCCCCGTCCTCGTCTTTCCGCCCCATGACCCTGTTCATGCTGTTGCTGCTACCGCCACCGCCGCCGCCGCCGCCACCGCTGCTGCTGCTGCTGCTGCTCCTCGCGAGCGCACGCCCCAGCTGCCAGGCCCGTTTTGTATGAGGATCAGCCAACGTCGCTCGAGCCCTCGTGGCTGTCGGCGTGCCGTCCGCTAAAGACACGTGCTGGTAACGGCGATGAAGTCAAAAATGGTCAAGAGGCCAGGCCGACATGCCCACGACGGTCGCTTTGCTTTTTGCGCCCTACCAACCGTCCCGCTCGTCTCCCGCGCCGCCCTCCCTGCTTGTCCACGTCTCTTCGACTTGCTGCAGGTCATAATGGGGGCTCCCCGTGACGAACGAGTCTCTCACGCGGAAAGGGCACTGCTGCTATCGGCTGGTGATGCATCGTCGTTGGCGTCGTCTCCATCTTCACTCGACTGACGCGGCCAGCTTGCTGCCTCGTGCTGGATGCGAGTCGGCCCTTGCTCGTCACCGTCGCGGCGCTGCCGTCGGCGTGTGGAGAATCGGAAGTCCGTGTGTCCTGTCTGTGTCCAGCGTCTGGATCTGCGTGCGGACTGAACGTGGTGAATTTTTGAATCATCGCCTCTGCTGTCTCCTCAGCTCCCCCTGCCTTTCGCTCGCAGAGATCTTTGGTAAATTGATCCGTTTCTGCCGCTTGATGGCTCCTTTGCTCGCCAGCGAAATGAAGAGGCGTCCCGTCCTCCGAGCCGTCGCTCTATCCACTCCGCACAACAAACACAGCAACATGAACGTCGTCCTCGTCCGCACGCCTTGTCCATAATCTACAGCCATTGTGTCATCCGGCGCTGCAAAGCCAATGACTGCGGGAGCGAGCGCAGCAGTCAGCGGCTTTCAAATTATATCTACAACGCTCTCGAGCCACCTTTCGATCCCGCGAGACTTTTGACAGCCCGTTAATCTCCGCTCGCAACACGAAAACCCGCCGCCGCGTCCACGCGATGGGCATTCGCGGTCTCCTCCACCTGCTGCAGCCGTACCGCGTCGCGCTCGAATTTCCGCTGCTGCCCCAGGCTGTTGTGGCTGCTGCCGATGACGATGCCGACGTGCAAGCGAGTGCCGACGCGACGCACAGTCGGCCAGGCGCCGTCCGTCTCGAGTTGGCCGACCAGGACGACTCTGATGGCTTCGCGCTCAGCAAGGACGCCGTTCGCAACCACAGGGACTCCTACAGTGGCCGGTCGCGCCCATCTCTGTCTCCTCCTCTGGCTTCTTCTCGGTCCTCCTTCCCGGACCCGGACCCGGACCCGTCTACTGCTCACCCAGCCCAACATCAGCATTCCGACCTCAGCTCGGTCACGAATGCCGTCGACGGCGCTGTCTATGCTGTTGTCGACGGACCGGCGCTCGCCTACCACGCCTACCACGTCGCCTTGTCTGGAAGACGTCTTGCAGAGAATGCGCTCGACGCTCTTCCCACGTACGATGAAGTGGGTCGCATCGCGACAGATCTGCTAGACACCTTACAGGCCCATGGGATCCGCGTCGCCGTCATCTTCTTCGACGGGGCGCTGCCGGAGCCCAAGCGCGACGTGAGGATCCAGCGCTTGTCCGCCTATCTCCGTCAGCTCGAGCATTATCGATCCGTGCATTCCTTTCATTTCGGACCTATGTCCGACTGCAGCATTGTGGATCGTCTTGCCTCTGCTGCTGTTGATACGCCGGCTACGGCTCCGCTGACGGGGAGCGACGAAGGCGCGGATGACAGAAGCAAAAGAAGTGCCGAAATCAATCGTCACAAGAACGATGAAACTAACTACAACGACGACGGGAACAGAACCCGTAAGCAAAACAATCGTGGATCCACTCCGTCTACACCCTGTTTCTCGCCAGCCCAGGTGCCCGCGAAGCTGAAGCTACTACCTGCCCTGCCGTTTCTGGTGCCTTCCATCATCGAGACGTTGCACAAGACCGCCTATGCCGGTCGTGCCGTCGTCGTTCCAGGCGAGGCAGACTCCTTCTGCGCCGCTTACGCCAAGGATCGCGAGGCCATGATTGTTACCAGTGATTCGGACCTGCTGATCTACGACCTGGGCCCGCACGGCTCCGTCGCCTTGCTCAAGGACATTGAGCATCAGAGTGCCGCATCGTCCAACGGCGCAGAACGACGCAGTTGTCTGAGGGTAATGCGGTACGAGCCTGCGAGCATGGCCCGGCGTTTCGGCCTGAAGACTCTCGATACGCTTGCGTTCGCGCTGCACGAAGACCCGCACAAGAGCTTCAGCACATGTCTGCAGCGCGCGCGGTGCCTACAGTCGGACCCGAGTCTTGCGTATCTGGAGTTTGCCGCCTCGTATGCGGCGGCGAATGCTGCGTCCGCTCTGGCCAATGTCGCCGTTGGCGCAGCGCCGCTTCGAGGGCTCGATCCGCGCGTCTCTGAATGGGTCCGTGACGGCCAGGACCTTGGCTTGTTGAGGCTTCCTCCCGAAGTGAGGGCGCTGCTGGTGGCCAAGACCGCCTCCGCGCCCGCTCGCATGTACCTTCCCGTGCTGATCGAAGACGCAAGCAGGAGCAGCGCCTGGGACGTCGGCGCAGACGTTCGTACGCTGGCCTACTCCGTCTTCCGCCCGGCGCGCCCAAGCGCTGCATGTTCGACGAAGGAAGTAGTGCGACGCGGCAACCGGATCGTAGAGACGAGCGTGCAGCACCTCGACCTACCCAGCGTGCTCGAGATGCTCGGCCACTTCCAGGCTCTGGTGAAGCATCTGCACTCGTTGGACGTGTCGCGCCGTCTGGTCTGGCCGCTTATCGCCTTGTACATGATGTGCTCGCATCTGCAGCGTGACGGCAGGAAGCTGCCGTCGGCCGCGATGCTCAACGCCCTGCTCGTCCGCCGCAGGCCATACCGCAACTGGGAGCACGTGCAATGGTCTGCCCAGATGCAGGCTGCCGCGTATTCGTTGCGCATGCTTCACCAGTGCCTTGATCTCGGTATGCTGTCGCCGCATTCAAGCTCCGGCTGTGACGTGACGGCAGCGATCGAAACAACCACGGAGCTCCTGCGCACACTGCCAAGCCTGGCGTCCTGGTTCGACGAGGACGTACTCGTTGACGACGCGGCGATCGACCAGGCCGTCCGTATGCTTCTCGACGCGTTGGGCGTCGACACAGCCGATCGCACGTGTGCGGACGAGCAGCTGACGGGTAAGCAGCGGAAGAAGAAGAGGAAAAAGGAGAGGGCGGCCGCGAAGGCGGCACAGACCGGTGACATGGGGACGAACGTGTCGTTGCCGAACATGTTCAGCCTGTTGGCTACTGGCTCTCTGGGAAATGATGCTTGAGCCACGCATCGAGACTTGCGTTCCGTGTATGTACGTAAAATGGGTCTATCCAGGGTGGACGGCTCGCGCTGCAGACGCCGAGGCTCTCCAGCTACGCGGGCACGCGACGTCTTCCTCTGCGACCGATTTTGAGCGTCGCCGTAGCGTTGGGTGTTCGCCCCCGTCCCATACCTACTTGCGGAACTCTACATCGCTGGAACTTGGCTCCTGCGCATTCTTTTGAGCGTAACGAGCGATCGAACCTTTTGCATTCCAAACTTTCATAGGGAGTTTTCTTTTCGGCACGAGAAGAGTCGCGCCGGATTGGTTCGAATGGTCACGTCAAACTTGCCACCCTCACCCATTGGGCTACGGAAACGACGTGGGCATAAAGAGAATCTGACTTTCTTGCCCACACTCTTCAGCCTGGATGAGGACTGCCCTTGGTGGTATGCAGCGAATAACGTCTTCTGTCCGCACCGTCGTTGATCTCTTGTATCCTTTGGAACGTTGTTGACATCGGCAAGGCTTTCGTGGAAACCTGGCCGCGAAATCTATCTAATTCCCGAACCCTCACGTTCCACGAAGTCAGGCTTCAGATGGACTCCGGTTGTTTTCATGACACCTCCAAATGATGCTGCTGTTGTGCTTCTGACTTTAACCTTGTCGTTGTCAAGTGGAACAGCTGCATCGTCAATCATGAGCTCAAAATAACTCCCCACGACAGCTTACCCGAGTGCCTGCATCCTTTTGGTGTAGACTGCTAAATGAAGTGTCCAGGAACACTCCACGGTGCTCCTCTTGCATCCTTGCGAACCCAGGACGTTGTTTCCTTCGCTAGGCTTACACGCGCGAGCGTTGCCAGAGAGGCCCTCTTCCAAGTCTTCAGTGTAAACGATTGCGCAATGTTTTCCCCAATTGAACAGGCTCGCTCACTCACGCGCGATAACTTAGGTCGTTCCAGCAGGCGAAAACAAGCCTTCGGTCACGGTCTCAGCCCACACAAAGCATTTGCGCTTTTCGCTTTTCATCGCGCTTTGGGTGTATGCTTGGAGTTCAAGCCTAGGATCAGGTCTGACCCGGCAAGCGGATCCTCAATTAGAGCACAACCATGTGAGAACGTCGGCACCTATTGGTTTGGCACTGTTGCAGTGATGCCCTAGACTGGGTCAGGCACATAACTGGTGTCTTTAACCAATGCCGAGCAAATCCACTGGGGCCACAGAATAAAGAGGGTCCGTTGAAGCAGTAGGATCCAACTTGTCGAATCCGATCCTTGATTTCGATCTATCTCACGGACGCGTGCTCATTCTATGTTCGCTGGTCTCCTTCACTTCAAGTGCAACATCTGCACGGGACTATAAGGTCTCGCGCCCTTGATGCTATGGACTGATCTCCTCTGGAAACGCTCGACAATGCCGTCATGACAACAGTGAAAATTTTAGACGTCAGCCTGAAAGTCCAACGGCGCACGTGTCCACCCCGGAAGACGGGCGTCTCACGTGTGCGCCGCGTTGACAGCATGTGGGCAACTCGTCCTGCGCACGTCTTCTGCGCTCAGCCTGATCCCTCAGTTCTCCGCGTTTCTATTCAACAGATCCCTCCCGCCGCCCTTTCCCTTCCTCTCGTAGCCATCCGCGCTCTTCATCTTCCCCCACACCCACACCTTTGGCCATGATCGACGCCGCCGTGAAAGCAGTCCGCCGTGCCCTGTCCGCGGCTTCTCAATACCCCCCCGCTCAGACGGCCAGTCGAGCCGCGTCGTTCGTCATCGAACAAGCGCCCAAAGCCGGCGGTAACGTAATGTTTGTCTTCCGCGCTGGCTGCCGACGTCCCCTTGAGTCGGCGCTGCTTCCGCCATGGGCAACTCTTTGACGCGCACGGAACCTTTATGCCGCCGCTCAAAAGGCAGCATCGGGAACGTAGCCGCGGGAAGCGTGTTCGCTACACTACAAAATTCCGCGGCGGGCGGTCACGGCTTGTCCGTCGTCCACGGGGCGGTGCAGATTGGGCGGTGTTATTGTGGCACGCTGGGGGGCACGGCCGTGACGTTCGTTAAAAAGAATTTGTGCATCATGCCACACGTTTCTACGTTGATGAACGACTATCTCGGCTTATTGGTATCATTTTAGTAGCTTCCAAAGTATCCACAAGGAGCGACGTACACATGCACGTCCACAGCGAAATGCGTCCAGATTTGACATAACAAATCACGTTGAAGCTTGTCGCGACTGAACAAAACTGTAATGATTTGGCCCTAGAACATTCCCCAAAAATAATCTTTCGTCGTCAAGATTCATTCTTTAGCCCAGTCTAACGCCCGTAGGCGCCGTGGCATCATCCCATCCATCACACCGTTGTGTGATCATTCACTCCCGCTCGCATCGTGCCTCCTTTCCAGCCATCTAACTAACTTGCCTATCTTGCCGGATTGCAAATCCTGATTGCAAGCAGTGCTGTAAACGTGCTGAAACAAGGCCGACAGCCTCCTGAAGTAGGAATCGCATCCCGGACACTCAAACGGATACACGGTTTCGGCATATTGCAAGTCCAAGTCATAACGGTCAAGCAAGTCGTCCCGGTAATCTTCGTCAAGAAACGCCTTCCATTGGTAGCACAGGGCGGCAGATTCGTTCAAATCAATGTAGTCGATCTCGGAAGGACACGCACCGGACTCGAGGTGTATGATCATGGACGGATACGTGGGAAATTTCCTGTCACAACCATAGCACTTGATCGTTCGTTGCAGATGCGCTATTTTGTGCTGGTTGTTTCTGTCAGCCGTTGCCACAAAATGACCGCTGCTCGTACATTCTCCAGGTTGCCAGGGCTTTGAAAGTGCTCTTCACACGTTGTGCAGACATTGCACTCTCTCAGATGATCTTGATACTCTTGCGACCCAGGTATCCACGTCATCCCATCTCCGTCGTCGCAGCCCTGGCACACAACTCGGTGCCCTGTCTTTCGGTGGTGTTGCAGCAGTTTCTCCCATGTGGGCTCATCAGTCCCGCACACATCGCATCGATGATGGCTGAACGAATCGTTGTAGTGCTGCTGAAGGGCATGCACGGAGCGGAACGTTCGTGCGCAACGAAGACAATACGGTTTGCTGCTCACCATGTTAGTAGGTCGATTGGAGTGATCTAGTCAATATACTCACCCCATTGCAGCAAATTTGCTAGCCTTGCAAATGGTCCCGGGAATTATGCTGTCTTCCTGACATGAGCGATGGACTTTGCACGTCCCATACTTGCCCCGCCCAGTCTGCCTTCTTGCTGTATTGACTGATTTATGATTGGCCAAGAATGACTGACAGATTGGCCTCATAAGTCAATGTCGTGTAACCTGCATCACGTGCTCGTCGAACGGTGTCGCCGTGCTTGTTCCAAGCACGGCAGCGGAACGGCAAGCTGGTGAGTAAGATTCAGGAATTGCTAGCAACAATCGGCAGAAAAATGTTCGTCCTTCAGACTTCCACCAGCATTGATGTCACATGTGTCAATGATCCGCGTAATATGGATAAAAAGATTGAAAATGGTTTTAGCATGATGCAGAAAGCAAGAGCAGTATTGTGCTGACACTGTCCAACTTTTCGGGCTTCTTCTTCTATCGTAAGCCCCCTTCAACCCCGACTCCACAATTCGGCTGTACACGCGCAGAAGACCTCAAACACGCATAGGCAGCAGCAGTGAAATACCCGCTGTATAGCCGTTCTGTCGCTATACTGCTTCCCGAAAGATGCTCCTTCTCTCAAACGTGGGACTGCTCTCGGCGCTCCCTCTCCCTCCTGTGGGGTGACGGGCGGCGGCGGCCGTGTCCACCTGCGGCCTGGGGCTCACACTGCGCAGACTGGCAGCGTTGTCGTCTGCGAACGGATTTGACGCGGCGGGGCTCTTGCTCCTCGCCCTTGAGCCCGTTGTAGGGGCCCCCAACGTCTCGGTCTGCCGGAAGCCGCCACCTGTGCTTGCGCCGTGGTACTCAAGCTCCTGCTCCTCGTAGTAGCCTCCCACACCGGAACCGCCGTACAAGTCCGCTTCGGTGCCTACGCGGGAGTCCCAGGCCTCGTCTGGATCCAGCGCGTGGGCGCGACCCCGGCCCGGGACCCGCCCGCCCCCGTACCCGCTCGTCGCTTCGTACCCCGCGCCTGTCTGCGTCTTTGGGTTACGTATGCGGGACCAGATATCTCGCAGCTTGTCGCCCAGGCTGCTCGGTGCGGGCGACGGGTAAGCAAACGTGGTTTCTTGCTTGAGGTAGAACTTGCGGTAGGCCACGTAGCCGCCTCCGCCAATCAGGACGGCGAGAATGAGGACGATGAGAAACACCCAGCCGCCATTCATGGTTTCTGAAGCCCCGAATATTTACCTGCAAGAGTGGTAGTAGTGGCAGACGTGTTGGCGGTGAAGGAAATAGTCTTGGTAGAGGTAGCAACAGAGGACGTAGATTCTTGCGAGGACCGTGTCAGAAGCGCAGACAGCGATGGAAACAATGACAGACTGCCGTGGTTGTGGGGATTTTGTGCGGCTGGAAGACGGTGTGCGGCCGTTATGCGCACATTTGATTGCGCAGAGCGACGCCTCGCGCGATGCTTGCGGATTCGTGGTAGCTAAGCCCGGGCGGCGACGGCATGCAAAGGGAACACGAAGACTGTCGGTCGTGTCTGCTCTCTTCAACAAGCGCTTGTCGACTGAGGGTCGACGTCGGAACTCGAGGGAAGCGGTCGAGGAAGGAAAGTTGGCAAAGCGGGATGGGCTGCGGAGATGACGAAGAGGGCTGGCGGGCTGACCGGCGGCGGGGATCTGACGTAACATCGCCAGTTACGTACCTTACGTAGGGCTGACCAACGGCTGGCACGGAGCCCATGTAATCAATTCTGTAAGTTACGGAAACGTAATACGATATCACGTTGGGTGTAGTGCTGACGAGACAAAACACCGTCGCACCTCGCGCTGGTGCGCACATCCGTACAGTATGTGTGCACACGCAGCACACGCAGCACACGCAGCACACGCAGCACACGCAGCACATCACACACTCTCACATACATTTCCATCTCGAATACGCACATCTAACACACCGTACAAAGAACTCAAGCGCAGAAGTGTGCATCTATATATGACTCTTTTGTTCTCTCAGGCTCGCATTTGATACATGTTTCCATGCACTTGCACACACATATATATATCACATCCATGTATTTGCAAATATTGGCACAGTCCTCGTCAATTTGCCCACAAATATCTATTTGACTTGCCTCTCGTGAGCTTCTCTGTCGATGCCGTATGAAAGAAGCCCTTTGCGGCTCTCTAAAGCTGCGAATTCCTTGCTCTAACTCTGATCTCATACTGGAACTAGTCCAGTCAAGGGCGGGCCGTGTTCTTTACGTAGGCGCACAGTGAGTATTTTCAGCGCGCGGACCAGCTTCAGCCAGTGAGATCATCTGTAACTTAACTGAGAGCCAGCTGCTAGCTAATCTTCGTACATCATTCCGATGCAAGGGTCGCGACACGTCCTTTAATTGATGTCCCTTTTGACGGAAAAGGAACAGGACCTTGCTTCAATGCTACAGGAAGAATCGCAACTCCAACAGCAACCGCGATCATACCGTGTAGAGACGGCTAGCATCCGAGCTGGTTTGTGCAGAAAACTCGTGCTGAATTTGAATGGAGAAGATGGGCAATGGGCATATTTATGTGGAGTTTTGCTGGCACAAGCTATCAAGAGACCTGGAAATCCAAATGCTTGATGCGGTCTACTAAGAAGCACCTGCGTCATAGTAGTAATCGAGAATGATGTCGACTCCACACGTGCACTCATCCCTCCATATACTTGTATACATCCACAAACAAGACGTATATATGAAGAATTTACATATTTTTGCACATTCAAACACGAGCACCCAGACATAGTCGTACTTGTACACACTCGTCCTCATGCCTACACACAAACGTCCACACTCTAGTGCGCGAACGCAAGGCTGAGGCATCAGCTCTAATCCTAATATGGTAAGCATAACAGGCATGAGTGTGGCTTGAATGGACCCTTTTGCATTGGGATCTTAAACGGGAGTGTGGCTGATGACAGCGTTACGCGCCTCGCTTTTTGCTTTCTCGTCGTCTCGCTCGTACTCACTTCGGCGCTCAATCCCGTCCGACGACGACAGAGACGACCGCGTCGGAATCAGCCAGCATAACTTGGGCTTTCCATGCTCATGTGATCCATGCACTCTTTTCTCAACCCTTCAATCGCAACTCTCACCGTCCGACCTGCAGCGGTGTTAGTCCTGATCACGCTCCCGCTCGTTTGAACATCTCTTACGACACACTCTTTCGCACAAACCTCCTTTTTCTTGATCATGGCCGAAACCAGGGACGCAGTCGAATTCAACAGGATCATTCAGGCCGACCGCGAGAAGAAGAGGAAGCAGGAACTCGCCGACAAGATCTTCAGTCGTCGCTCCAGCGCTCCTTCAGCAGGCGCACTTGGAGCTCACAAGGGACTGGCTGGAGCATCTACGCTAGCGAGCAGAATCACGAAGGTGCGTGTACCTGTATCTGAGCATAGTGAATTCCTGCGTTCCGTGCAACACAGCTGACTTGAGAATGAACGAGAACAGCCCGGCCAAACGGCGAGGACTACCAAGTCGGGCGGAAACCCATTGTCTAGAGTGCAGCAAACCGTCGCTTTGAAACGGTCTGCATCCACTCCACAGTTAGCTACCGGCAGCGTCATCCGTCGCAACCAAGCCCTCGATGTCCTTGTCAATGGCGGTCGTTCTAGTCGCGCAAACGAAGTTGATGCCCAAGCCAACATCCACAGCGTCCGTGTGTCGCCAGGTGCAGGATTCAACATCAAAGGTAGCGCCGTGCAGATGAATCCGCCGCGCGAGTATGCCGTGGTGGCGCAAAACTTTGCTCCTGGTACCACCGCGGAGGACATCAGAGCCGTGTTTGTACCCGACCCTACGGCTGCTGGTTTGATTTCGTGCCAACTGCTCGTTAGCCACCCAACCGTCATCGCGGAGCTGGTGTTCGACAACCAGGACGCGGCCGAGGAAGTGGTAAAGAAGTACAACGGTAGGACAGCAGACAACCGAGTGCTCTACGTCTATCACTCGGACGCTCCCGCTGTAGCACGGAGCGCGGTTGCGCCTGTCAAAGGCGTCCAGAGATCTCACGAGCTGGTCACAAGTCACGACGATGAGTTGATGGACATGGAAGAAAACCGGCGGACGCGGCAGGCGCCTTACACGGCACCAAAAGGTCCACGCGCTTTGGTTGACGTGCAAGATGGGCGCTACGGCTTTGCGGAAAACGAGTATCGGCCAAGGAATAGTGCGAGAACGGACGGAGCGCTGGTCTCGGACAGTATGATCTCAAGGCAACGCCCCAGAGGCAACCGCCAGTATAGGCGATGAGCGCATGCGGGCAGATCTACCGCGTTTCGAAGATCGAAACAAGGTTTCAAAGCAAGGTGCGATATCAGCGCGACCACAGTATTCGAGACGTCTGAAGCCCATCTTTACTTTATCGATGTTGTTGTTAGAGTTACGTTGTAAAGATACTTTCTTTATTCTGAACTGCGCTGAAACCTAGATGCCATTAGTGTGGCCGCTCAAGCGCCAAGTTTGTCTAAGTGCGGGGCACCAAAATGCAGCCAGAAGAAATGGCTGGAATGAATTGATTTTGAACGTTGCTAAATCGTGCAATTCGGCGACCTGAATCACACGAGCATGACTTTCACACGTCCTTTTATTTTGACTGACAGAGTTGCACGACGCGCGGTGTGAGACCCGCTGATCATTCGTCAAAGCTTCGGGGAACAACGTTCACCTAGACATAACAAACGGCCCTCGACTGCGGTGCCTGCATCTTCGCCATCCCGGCCAACTTATTCCTTTCTGACTGTAGAATTAAGCGTGCATCCATTCTCTTAATACATTGCTATCGAGAAGCGAAGCGTGATGCCTTCGGCGGCGCCGGTACCGCCGCCGCAACACCGCAACCCTCAAACGAATCCTACGACGGAAATCAATGTCGCGGCTGCTGGAACAACAGCCTCGGGCAAATCACCACCGCAAAGCGCTCAGCAACCGCAAAAAGAATGGACCGAGGACGACTACGTCCTTGCGCTCGCCTTCCTCGAGCAAGTTCAGGACGTCGTCTCCTCGCTGCGGACGGCCCTACCGCAGATCGCCCACGTCATGAGGCGAAAGCACGAGCGGCCGCGCGACCTATACCTCGACTTTTCGAAGCAGACCATGGGCGGGGCTAGGAAGCTTGCGGATCTGAAAAAGATGTGGGAGGGGAGGCGGATGAGCGAGGTGAGAGCCAAGGTCGAGTCGAGTGTGAAAGAGCACGGGCGCGGCGTCGACGGGGTGGGCGAGGAGTTCAAGGACGGCGTCAGACAGGCCTTGGCACAGATGCCGCGATTCGGGTGGTTGGAAGAAGGGGAGAGGCTGAGAAAGGAAAAGGGCGTGGACCAGGAGGAGAGGGCGGAATCCAGCAACGCGGCGGGTGGTGACGAGGCCGTGGAAAGCGTGGTCGAGAGCTTCCGGAAGAGGCACGATGGCGCCGTCACCGTCGCCTTCGATCGGGAGTCGAAAGTCGTCGCGGTTGACCTTGCGCCCTCGGACGACGGCATGCCGCTGCACTTTGACGTCCTGCCGTCCGCGGGGAATGGCGACAAGATCGCGTACCAAGTGTCCGGCCCGCGCATACCGGACGTCGCAACCAAGGGCGAGCAGAAGCTGTTTCAAGCCATCCAGCGTTGCGTTGCGCTGCGCCCGAAGCAGAACAGCCTGGACCACACGCTCTCCATCCTTGCGGCATACAGGGACTTGACGACGCCGTGCAGCGCGTGCCAGAAGCTCGTTGACGGCGAGATGCTGTTGCCTGCCGCAAGACAGCTTGTCGACGGCAAACGTGTCAAGGCTGAAATCGGTAGCGAGACGTCCAGCTGGGTTGCTTTGCACGAGAGCTGCTTGAAAGCAGGCAGCTGAGCGCGCACAGGCGTCAAAGTGTCCTGTTGACGGACTGTAAAAGACGTCCTGTCTCTTCCTTTTTCAAGCTACGAATGCAATCTGCCTTGGCCCGCTTCCATGCCGCGCAGGAGCAGTTTCTTCCATCTGACACAGCACTTGCGGTTGACGGCGACAGGTCAGCGTGAAAGCACGGCGGCCTGATTTCAAGGGTATGGCAAACATCCTTCTCCTAACAAGTACAAGATATCCTCCACAGCCAGGCATGGCTTTGGTATTGTTTTACACATCGCAACTACGAATGCGTTCGCTTTGTGCGAGGCGCACTTGTCCATCGTGGCCACGATGGTTCACCATTGGGCTCTGTTTGTGTCGCCTACACTCTAGCTAACAATGCGCATTGCTCGTAGGGCTCTGGTTGCTTGCTTGCTTGCTTCTACCTTGGGAGATTCATCAAACCGCGCACAAATGGCTTGTTTGATGTTGACACGGCGATCTGTAAGGCGGGTGCGCATGTACAGCCTTATTTGTGTTTGTTCCCGTTAGAAAGACAAATACAGAGGTAGATTTTGAAAGTGACGATAATGACAACGACAATGACGATATAAATGTGAGACACTTGGATGGTTTAAGCCGTCGAGAAGTTCGTCTGCCCACTCGTTCTTGGTTCCGTAAGCCTGGGCCATAGAAGCGTGCACGAAGTATGGACGTTCCTCGCTACGCCGCCGTGTTCCCTGACGGCCATATCTGGATGGGCGAGCACTTGTTCCCAGACGAGAGCCTTTGGTTTCCGGAAGTGGATCACAGGCCGTTTGACCCTCCAAACTACCATGACTACCTTCGCACCAACCCACTCGACACCCGCGACCTTGAATGGGACGCCTCCGACATCGAGTCCGAGACGGGCCTGCCGCCGCGCCATCACCAGGGCGTGGAGTACATGCCCGGCCACTGGAGGGACGTGAACGGCACGGATGTAAGTTTCGCAGTCCTCGCTCCCGGCTCTCTCCTCCAACCACCCCGTGCTCTCACGGTCGACCTCGCTCATTCTAACACCGCAGATCCCCGGCTCGGGCGCGTTCGTGCGCTGGAACGAGCCGCCGGCGCGGCATCCGCACGGCAAGCGGCGCCGGCTGGCCTTCGTGTGGCCCAGCGACGGGAAAAGGAAGCGCACGTGGGGCCGCTGGAAGGACATCTTCGCCTCCAAGGGCCCGGACATCTTCGTCTCCAAGCTCGGCGACCGGCCCAGCAGGAACCAGTGGCGCAACAAGCACCTCGACTTCACGCCCGAGGATCCGGGCTTCAACACGCACGTGGACCTGCCGTGGGCGAAGCGCAGGAAGCCGTACGATTTCCGAGAGAGGAAATACAGAAACAAGGTACGCTGTTGGCGTTGAATGTTTTCTTTTTCTTTTCCTTTTTTTCCCTTTTCTCCTTTCTCTCTGTTTTCGCTTTCGTCGGCTGCGTGACAATCGTCGGCGCAGAAGATCGGACAACACATTGCTGAACGTCAAATGGCAGAGGAACCCGGGCGATGTCGTCTGGAGGGATGCGACGTGGCCGCGCAGAGGCGCGGATCATTACGAGCAGCCGCTAAACTTTCGGTGCGAGCATGGTCGGTGGTTCAACATGAGATGGGCGCCTTTTGGCGGCACCGTGCTGGAGGGTTACAATGGATATCCGCCACGATATAGAGGCATCTTCGCATAGGCGTTATTGTAAGAGGAACGTATCGGTGCTATCTAGGGAAAACAGACTATTGCGATGGCGAAGTCATGCAAACATGGTGCCGAGACACAGAGTGGGTAAAAGGTTCTGATATTTCAGACTTTGTAAGCAGCTCTTTCTATCCTTTTGTCATCGTATTTACAAGGTCGGACAAAGGAAAACAGTGTGCGCGTCCTTTTCACCTTCACATGAGCCCCCCTGGCGCCTATAGCTTGCTGATGAACAGCCTGGCGCACATGGTGCGTACTCTTTGGGGAAGCAAGTACTTGGAGAAAATGTAGATGAGAGTCGGCATGATGATAAAGGCGGTGGTGACCTCGTTGACGAAGTAGAAGGGAATGAGCTGGGGCATGGCCGCCTGCAGGATTCTCTGTAGGAAGTAAAAGTCGCATGTTAGCATGCTCCGACAATGACGCAGTCGAAGGGTTTGTTGTGAACGGTATTCGTGCGGGATCTATTCGTACCATCTTGTCGGCTGGGAGGCCATTGGTGTTTTTCTTCGTCTGAAGCTGAGCATTGAAGGACGGCGTGAAAGGAGCGACGACGCTCCTGGAGGCACCGAAGAGGGCCGGACGCTGGAGAGCCCTGGCGAAGGGTCGAATCAGTCTGGAGGAAGACATGGTCGAAGCTATCATGTCACGGCGTTAATACGGGCCAATGCCATCGAATACCATCATGTGCGGAGACGCAACGTACCAATTGAAGCAGTGACAAGCTCAATTGCGCGTCGGGTGTCAGGTGTGATGCGAAAGGCGGGTGTGGTGAAGGTTCGCTGTCGATGGTTTCCGGCGTCGATGGCCACAGGTGATGGCTTTCCGAGCTTTTCCCGTGCTTTGACTCCTCAGGCAGCAGCAGCTTCCGCGCAAGGCATCCACGCCCCAGACAGGCTGTGCCTGTGCCTGCGCCCAAAAAAGTGAATTGTTTAAGCCAGAACGCGCCAGTACGGGCAGCGTCGCCTGCAAAGAAGGAAAAAGAAGTCCGCCACGCGCACAATCGCAAGCTTCGTTCTCTCTTGTTTGCTAACGGTGTTGCTTCCTTCGATTGTGCAGCTCACTGGCGCATCCACCTGTCTACGGAGCGGTGCCATTGCTCATCCTGTCGTCCTAATATCGCCCTAAACAAACCCGTCCGTTTGAACTGGTATCCATGCAATCGTAATCTACACGACGACAATACACACGCGCCTACGCTTACGAACCGCCGCCTGGATTTCCCAGGGAAGCCATTCAATCCCTAGCCATGGGCCTCTTCGATAACCTAGGACAAAACCAGCCTGCTTCGGCTGGAGGCTCAGGATCTCTGTTCGGCGCAAACACAGGAGCCTCAGCGACGGCAGCTTCGTCTGCCACCCCCAAACCCAGTCTGTTTTCATTCCCGCAAACAAGCCAACCTGCTGCGTCGTCAAGCACCACGGGGGGGCTGTTCGGATCAAGCACGGCGGCGACATCAAATGCTCCCGCTTCCGGTGGCCTGTTTGGAGCATCGACAACCCAGTCTCAGCCGGCGAGCAGCACAGCCGGTGGGCTCTTTGGTGGGCTTGCGAAGAGCCAGCCGCAGCAAGGCACAAGTTTGTTCGGTGCTTCGACGCAACCTGCGCAGCCATCTGGTTTGCTGGGCGGCTCGCTGCTGGGTCAATCGCAGCAACCACCAGCGGCACAGTCGCAGGCGGACTCATCCGTGCAGCCCAAGTCAGCGGCGACACTGCAGGCCGCGTACTTCGACCAGATCCTTGAGCGAGGCAAGAAGCGTGAGAAGCAGGAAAATGGTCTTGGAGCGCTGGGCGATCTTCCAACGTTGCAGCTGGGGTTAGGCGACATTGCAAGAAAAGTGAGGAACCTTGGCCAGGGAGGTCCGACGACTCAAAAGGGGAAAGGGGTGGATAGCAGAGCGTATGTGTTATTTGTCAACAAGGCTTGTCAAATTGCTTCGACTAACTACAGCAATAGACACTATCTGCTGGCTGCCTCCGGCGTGTCGACATCGTCTGCTCTTCGCGACCTCAACAGCCTCAATGCCCAGGCCGGCGTTGCCATCACCCCTCCGTCCCACATTGTGGCCGACTACGATCCTGAAACGTACGTCTCCAACCTTCGCGCGCAAACCACCCTGGATCTTATTCAGCAGGGTCTCGAGCAGTCAAAGCGTGACTTCGATACCTTTCTAGAAGAGAACGTGCAGATGAACTGGGATGCCCAGCGACTGAAGATTTATGAGCATTTTGGTCTCGCAAAGCCGGGAGCAAGTCCCGATGGCGACGAGGATGGGCGTGCTCTTGGCAGCTCACAACGTGAGCGAGGAGCGTTCGGCCGTTCTTCGCGTCGTAGTCGGCCTCTAGGTGCTTCATCAGCGGGCATGTCGTTTGGCCCGAACGGCATGACGCGCTCTGTGCTGGGCACCTCTGCCTTGAGAGGCTCCACGACTGCGCACACATTTACCGATGTTTCGGAGAAGGCCCAGAAGGGCTCGTCTGGCAATACGCTGGTCGGAGGCCTTGATGATCGCCTGCAGCGCGACAAAGCTGAGAAATACGCCGCAAAGATATATAGCAGAGACGGTTCCTCACTTAATGGCGAAAGGAATCGCGACGGTTGTTTCCCAGTCCTGCATCGATTTTCAGAAGTCGAACAGGCGGCTGGCATCGACCACGCTGCCGCGTTGGTGAACAGCTACGAGGCTCTCATAAGTATCACCGGGGAACCGGCCGAGGAGAAGTCGGTATCGGATCCTTGTGCGATCAGGGAACGACAGTTTGCCAAACAGTACCTGGATGAATCGCCCTTGTCGAGTGAGAGTGTTGGCATGAGGAAGCGCATCCTCAATGGTTCTCGAAAGTGCCTGGAAGACATGTATTACAGAAGGGTTACCGAGACGGTCAACAAGGATCTAAAAACCGCGCAGCTTGGTGGCATGCCAACGAAAACGAGCTACATTCGAGGCTACGTTAGAGTTCTTGACAGCCGAAGAGAGCTGGGTGACACCAGTTGTCTTGCCAATATCGAAGCCGCCGATGGCAGCAACGACTTCCCTTGGGTCATTCTGTACACTTTCCTGCGATGCGGCCTCATCCAAGAGGCTGCGGACTACGTGCAGCAAAACATCACCTCGCTGCGTTCCATCGATCGAAAATTCCCTCCATACCTGCTAGAATACGCACGTAGTCCAGAGAGGCTCTTGTCGCGAGAGTTCCGGTCCACGATCAACACTGAGTACTCACAGAGCACGAAGTCAGCTGCAGATGGAACAATCGACCCGTACCGGGCCGCATGCTACAAAATAGTCGGTCGTTGCGAGTTGTCCAAGCGCGTTCTTGACATCAAGACAGACGAAGAAGATTGGATCTGGCTGCAATTTGCCCTTGCCCGGGAAGTGCCGCGCAGCGAGGAACAGGCTGGCGAAGTCTTTGGCCTCGAGCAGATACGAGAAACCATCGCTGATATCGGCAAGAGACACTTTTCTCAGGCCACGGAGAACCCTGGAGGGTACGGCTTGTTCTTCTTCATGCAGATTTTGGCTGGCATGTTCGAAAAGGCAGTGGCATGGCTGTATCCGCACAATCATATCAGTGCAGTGCATTTTGCAATCGCATTGAGTTACTACGGGCTATTGAGGGTCTCGGACCTGAATACCTCCGAGCTATGTATGTGTCTCTTTCACACGCCGTGGAGAGGACTGAGAGAAACTAACACCGCAACAGTGTCCTATACAACTCGACAACAAGCGCGCATCAACTTTGCTCTCATGGTCGGATACTACACGTCCGAGTTTCGCGCGGCCAAACCTGTCGATGCGGCAGATTATCTCTGCTTGATCAACCTGAATTCAGATCTTCCCGGGGATGCTGGTATGCAGCAAGCCAAGATCTGCTGGGAAGCCCTGCGGGAGCTGGTCCTGGAGACTCGCGAGTTCGCGGCACTGCTAGGTGATTTGCGCGAAGACGGGACTCGTGTTCAGGGCGCCATCGAGCATCGCGTCCGCCTGATCAAGCTCAAAGATGACTTCGTCTCGGGCAAACGCAAGACGCAAGATGGCAGTTTCGACACAAAGAAATTCATGGACGAACTCACCCTGCAAGCTGCCATTGCAGCAGATGAAAGCGGCCGAACCACGGACGCGGTGTTGCTATATCATTTAGCAGGCGACTACGACGCTGTGTTGTCGATTATCAACCGGACTCTCTCCGAAGCGTTGACGGTACCTATTGACGCAGAGCCGTTGAAGATCGAGGCAACCAAACCGGCAATGGATCCTACAGCCGCCTCCGCGGATGGCTCAGCACGGAGCACGTTCAGTCTGGCAACCGTAGACGATCCCATCACGCTGGCGAACAACTTCACCGCCTTGTACGCCAGAAACGCTGTGATCATGCATCAGATCAAAGAATCGACGCGCGAAGCATGCCAGATCCTTCTCACGCTAGCAGAAGCGAAGCGATTGTTGAAAGACAGTCTCTCCGCGCCCCTGAATCAGGCCCCACCTTTCACCGCAGCTCTGGAAGCCATCTCTCGCACCCATCTGCTTCCCCTCGACGCCCATGGCGACATCAACGTCATACGTACCGTCGCCGGCAACTTCCAGAAGCAGCCCCAAGTTGTGGCCAGGACGGTCGGCGACGTCATATTGTGGGCTGTGCAAGCCGTGCGAAGCGAGAGAAACAGGTTGGCCAGCACAGCCTTTGAGGACGCCGGCAAGCGTGCGATGGAGAGGGAGCTGGAGACCATAGGTAAGGATCTGATGGTCTTTGCCGGGTTAGTCAAATTCAGACTCAGCCCAAGGGTATTTGAGGTACTTGCTGGGGAGGGCGGTGAAAGTTTTTGATTCGTGCGATGTGGCCCAAACCGTGTTTCTTTTTCTTCTCCCTTTTTAATATTTTTCTTTTCTTGGGCACATCGAACGGAATAGACAAAGAAATGAGTTCAACCCGAACGAGTCAAGGGCTTTGTATCTATTTCTTGCCAGCAAAAGGAAAAAAAAAACACTTCGGTACCCTAGTTTCTCCTCGTTTCTCCTCGTTGCCAATTCGGCGTTGCCAAGTTCACGTAACCACATCAACCCGCTCTCAGTGCTTCTCCGTAATCTCCGAGTCCTTCGTGTTTGCGTGTTCCACGAACTGCTTCTCCTGGTCCCCAACTTCAATCGTCTCCCCCTGTTTCTCCTCGTCCGTGACGCCGGCGTTCTCAATCCCGATCTTCGCGTGCCCAAGCATGTCGACTGGGTTTCGGTACGCCGGGACGAAGTTGACGGCCAGGGAGTACGTCCACGCCAAGATGAAGAAGCCGAGCGGGACGGACATCGCATGCGCGGTGCTGGACGCATCCGCAGCGCCTCCCAGTGCGGGAGGAACGACGGCCCCACCACACACGCCGGCGACGATGAATCCGGACCCGCGCTTGCTGTACTTGCCCAGCCCGCGCATTCCCAGCGCGACGATGGTCGGGAAGCAGATGGACTCGAAGAAGAGCGTGACGTACAGCATGGAGATGCCGGTGTTGTCTCGCTGTGTGATGGACGGGGCGATGAACACGATGCACCTGTGGCAATGTGCGATTAGCAGGGGAACGTCGGCGCTTTTGTTCGCGACGACTCACATCGTCAGATAGAAGAGGAAAACAACGCGAGGCTTTACAAATCTCATGATGACCACGCCTATGAAGCGACCGAGCGCAAAGGAACCTTGTGCTCCGGCAAGCAGCTGGGCAGCCATGGAATCCGAGGTTTCGGGCCGTGTCTCGACGGCGTAGTTGACGAAGTAGCTGGCGATCGCGACTTGCGCCCCGGTGTAGCAGAACTGGGCAAACGCCGCGTGGAACAGCCGGTACTGCTTCCAGAACGGCTTGTCTGCGGTGTTCGCGTGCGTCTGTTCGGCTTGGAAAGCCATGTCCGCGTCAGTGATCTCGGGGATCGGCGAGCTGTCTTGGCTGTCAGTGGAGCTGCAGCAGGGAGTATTGGGAGGGGGGAATGGGCTGACAAGTAGAAGATGACGGCTAACAAGAAGACGAAGCAAGCGATGGCGAGGTAGACCCATTGCACGTTCTTGAGAGACTGGGTGCTGTCGAGGGTGTTCTTGAAAAACACGTAGGAGCCCAGCACGGGCGCCACCACGGTGCCGATGCCGTTGAAAGCCTGCGAAAAGTTGATTCGCAACTCGGAGTATCGGGGCGGTCCGCAAATCGTGATGTATGGGTTCGCGGCTGTCTCCAACGATCCCAAGCCGTTCCCGATGATGAATATGGCGGCGCAAAAGCCCCCAAACGAGCGGTGGAGGATGCACGGCCAGGCAATCAAGGCGCCGACACCGTAAAGACAAAGACCCCAAATGAAGACAATCTTGAAGCCATAGTGCCTGAGCAGCCAGTTGGCGTGTCCCAGCGACGCGAGCGGGTAGGCTCCGAAGTAGGCCGCCTGGAGGCCCGAAGACCGCGCTTTCGTGATGTGAAGCGTGTTCTGGAAGTGCTTGTTAAGCGTATCTAGCAGACCATACGAAAAGCCCCACAAGAAGAATAGGAGGGTGACTAGACAGAGCGGGTCTTGGTGCAGAGGTTAGCATGCGTGTTCCGGCGCAGTGAGAAAGGTGCTTGTCCACTTGCAAATCGACTGTCGCAGCGTCAACTCGGACGCCTTCGTGCGTGTCGTGTTGCCCGTCTTGAGCGAATGCTTCTTGAATATCGTCATGGCGATGGAGCAGCGATGTCGAAGGCGAGAGCAGTGGTCACGGTGGAGACCGAAGAACCAGACTTGGGGCACGCAACATGTCCATTAATGCTCATCCCTAGCCAAGCCTGGCCCTCCTCGTTGCAACGCTGTCGGCAGTTGCAGAGGGGAGGTTGAATGGAAACATGATGATCAGAGTATTGGCATGCACCTCGTCATTGGTCCGGGCCGTTTCCGTCATGGTTGCATCCCAGCCATCACCCCGCGAGGATCTTCATCAAGCCGGGACAATGCTGCGCGAGATGTGGAGAAGTGGATCTGGTTGGACTCACTACGTCACCAATGGTTCTTAACAGACCATGCAAAAGTCGTCTTTCGCGTCGGACGACAGTGCCAAATCAGACCATTTGTACGGTCAACGGTACTGCTGGGTGTCGGAAACTTGCCCACGTGAACAAGAACGATCGCCACTCCGCTGCCATCGAATGCACAAAGCTTGTTGAGGAAGATACGTGGTCCTGGGTTCTGGTGTTGACCGTTCACAACGCGCAAACGCTTCGAAAACGACAGGGCCTGGGTTTGTGTGATTGACTTCTTCTCCCTTGGATTATCTTGCATTCTCTGGGAAGGAGTTTTTCCGACGAAAAGGAGATCCATGATAGTAAATAAGCTGAAGAGTCGCGACATTATCATTCTTTTGTAGTTGTAAGAGATTACATTCTCTCGCTGAGCTCGTCCTACTGAAGTTTGAAAGAGATGACCTGCACAATTCTTGGGACATTAGTTTTCTTGTGATGTATGGGCATCCATCCCTCGCCCGAGTTTCACTTATCTCCAGTACAGCAATTGTATGTAGCGAAGAGTAGTTATAAAACCATCTTCATCATCTCGTCGTCCTGCTTTCCGGACTGTTTAAAGTTCGCTCCAACAACCGTACACACACCAGATATAGAGCCAAGAGACAAAGGAAAAGAGAAGTAAGTCGCAGAAGTCGATTTCTTCATGAATGGTACATTGTCGCGGCGAAAGTGTGGACACATAAGGTACGGGTAGTCGATTACATCGCAAAAGCTCAGCCAGTAGAATAACGTGATTTCGGTACTTTTTTGTCCTTTCCTTTCGTGGAAACAGCAAACAATTATAACACGAAGCTTATTTTTCAAAAATCGAAAAGCACATCCACGGGATCAACTTTGAAGGACGGATGCGTCGACGCTTTGATTTTGACGAGTCACGTTCGCTGTTTTCATGATGCGCTTGGGGGCGATCTAAGGACGCGAGGATCAGTCCTCAGTCTTGCGGCACAGCACCTGCGTTTAGGCAAATAACGGCTCACAAACGTTTCCAGCTCCTCCTATACCCAGAAAATAGGGACGTTGAGTGTTTGGTATAGGCTTCAACTTCCTTGGAAGCAAAGGAATTTCGCTGTCTGTTGACCTGCGAGATGCAGGGTTTGGGCTTGAGACGGCTGCGGGCATGATGAGTTGTCTAGCACTCGACTGTCAGTCGTAGAATCGACGTCAAGCATGAGGTTGCTCAGAAAGAGAAGACAAAAAAAAGAAAGCGCTGCAGGAACGCTACAAAGCCAAGGTCAAGCCGGCGAGAACAACTCGCATGCCTTATACACGATCTTGGCGCAGAACGAACGACACAAACAGCCTGAGACCTGACATCCGAGGGCCAGTGAACGCTCATTGAGTGCATCCATATCCGCCGTCTGACAGCACGCAATGACGGATGGCAAGGTTTGATTCAGCGACCGCGAACTCTTATCGGCCGAACACACGTCGACCGCGAAGCCATGTCCCGCACAACAAATGGAATTCCCTGGTTTCAGTGGGGTTGCTCCAGGTATACTAGCTCAAAGGGGATAGACGGACGTGTAATAAGCTTTTTAGCGTCTGCTTATCAGTTGCTTGGCCCTGCCTCCTCCAGGCTTTGTTCGCCTGTTCACCACCACTGCTGCTGATGGAGAGTCTGGAGTCTGGTGAAGAAGTCGAGGATCTCTAGTCGTTTACCAAAGAATGTCTGGGATGATCCAAAAATCCAATGAAAAAAAATAAACGAATGAAAAACGAGTTCTCCCTCATCAGGACGTCGCACTGGCATGGCTTTCGATAATCCGATGTAGAGGCCAACGGCAAACATTCAACACGTGACATTTGGCGACGGCTGCGCAGTGCAGGACAACTGAGCACGGACGGCCAGCCTTGATCGAGGAGCATCTCGACGTGGAAATGGCAGCAGACTGATTTTTCGCACGAACTGCCAGCCTGCCCATCGCAGAGCCTGTGGTGTGCAGAGAGAATGGAGAAGCGCAAGAGATTCGCGCGCGATCTGAAAAGTCCCTTCTCGCGATCCTTTCTCACACTGCCCTGCATAACAAGTGCGCTAAATCTTTTGCAAAGATAAGAGAAATGAAAAAAAAAAATAGATGATCTGACCAGTCCTAGTTCTAGACCAATATTTTGACCGTTCGAACAAAATGCACCGCCCGAATGGCTGTGGACACATCTAGACCCGGATTGGCCTTATGAGTCCACAGTGGGAGATGCAAGATCCCGCGTGTCTGGAGTACTGATAAGGCAGAATACGTACCACATCAGCCTCACTGCACAGTGTGGATCTAGACGACGCCGCCAAGCAGAGGTCTATGGACCTAAGTAATCCTGCAAAGATAAACTGCGACGAATGGGGAGGGGCCTCTGCAATCTGCACGATATGACAGCAGTATGATAGGTGTTAATCGCTGCATGGATCTTAGATAGGCGAGGCCTACATGTAGGAACAAGTACCACTTTAAATCCAGAGCCTAGGATTTAAGACGAGTTCCGCGGTGTGCTTTGCCGTCTCACCTGTGGATTCCAAGTCCCAAGAAATCTTTTCACCAACGCCAGCCTTCGACAAAGACCAGAGGTCATGGCTGAGAGCAGTGTGAACGTGACCTTTCCAGCGTCGTTTACCAACCCCGACTGGCTTGACAAGGGCGACAACGCCTGGCAACTTACTGCAGCCTCGCTGGTGGCCTTACAAAGCGTTCCAGGTCTCGTAGTCCTTTACGCAGGATGGGTAAAGCACAAATGGGCCATAAACTCAGCTTTCATGGCCTTCTACGCGTTTGGCGCGGTACTTATCTGCTGGATGCTATGGGCCTACAAAGAATCGTTCGGGAACCAGATGCTTCCCTTTGTCGGTGCAGAGGTCTCTAATCCCACCTCTACATTCAAGGCGGCTGACAAGACATAGGCGTGCCTGGGCCAGCTGTGACGATGGACTACGAAATAAAACAGTCATATCTTCCCACGGCAGGGCTGTCGCAGCTGTACCCTCAGTCGACAATGGTGTATTTTCAGTTTGTGTTTGCCGCCATTACTCTGGTACTGGTTGCAGGCTCTTATCTGTGCCGTATGAACTTTTTCGCGTGGATGATCTTTGTACCACTTTGGTTGACCTTCTCCTATGCCATTGGTGCCTTCAGCATCTGGGGTGGTGGGTTCTTGTTTAAGTTAGGCGTCATAGATTACTCCGGCGGGTAAGGAAACATAAGGTACTGCAACACAGGCCCTTCTGCTGACTCATCCAAGATACGTGATCCATCTCTCTTCAGGCACTGCAGGTTTTGTTGGTGCGTATTGGATCGGACCTCGTATCGAAGAGGACTTGGACGACGCGACGCCCAACAACATTCTCCTCATGCTAGTAGGCGCGGGCATTCTTTGGATCGGATGGAATGGCTTCAATGGAGGAGATCCGTACTCTGCCAGCCCCGATGCTGGTGCAGCAGTGCTGAATACCAATTTGTGCACAGCGTTCAGCTCATTCGTGTGGGTTATAATGGATCTCCTTTACTTCCGTCGGCCTTCAGTCATTGGCGCGATTCAAGGGATGATCACCGGCCTTGTAAGGTCCCAATTCTATAGTGTGCTATATTCTCACTAACACTTTTAGGTCGCAATCACACCCGCTGCTGGAGTGGTTGCTGGATGGGGCGCTTTCTGCCTTGGCCTTGGCTCTGGAGTCATTCCGTGGGTAAGCTTGCTCTCCAGACATATTTAGCTTCACGTCCAGAGCTAATCCGCTTGCAGCTGTCACTAAACCTCGGAAAGAGACATCTTTCCATCTTCCAGACTGTTGATGATACGCTTGATGTCTTCCATACTCACTTCGTCGGCGCGCTGGTCGGTGGAATTGGCACAGGTCTTTTTGCAACCGCGAAAGGATGTGCAGCCTTTGGCCTCACTAACCCTGGAGGTGCTATCGACGGCAATGGCCGTCAAGTATGGGTTCAGATTGTTTCGGCTCTGTTTGTGATCGGATGGAATGTTGTGTGGACATCCTTGATCATGCTGTTCATCCAGCATGTCTTGCGTGTCCCGCTTCGTATGACAGAAGAGGCTTGCAAGATCGGAGACTATGCTGTCCACGCGGAAGAGTCGTACACATTTGCGTATTACAACCGCCAATTATTGCAGAGAAGGAATGCTGGTGGCCCTGAAGATCTTGAGCAAGGCATTCATGGTATTCTTATGGGCAGAGCAGCACCTGAGCCAGCCAAACACATTACAGGAATTCCTGTTTCCGGATCTGACGATGCAGTCTCTCCAGCGATTAAAGAGTCCAATCACAAAGACGCTGAAGGATTCTTGAAAAAGCAGGAGTGATCGTAAACGAAAGATGTTGCAAGAAATTCCAGCTTGTAGATTTATCGTCTTCCTAGAATCTGGGGTCCGATGTTATATGCTCCTTCTTTCAGGGAGGCAGAAATAAGCTCAAGAAAAGAGCAGCGAAAACTTCATAGAATCTTTCTCATGTTTTCTTTTCTTTTTCCCCCTTCCAATTTACCAACATTTTGATATGTGATTAGATGGTAACATATCTTGGCTGGCTTTGGCGACTTTTGCATTTTATCCTCAGACCTTTCATGCTTTGTCTGGAAAAAAGTGTTGAACCTAAGCTGATTTAATTTCTAATGAAGAACTGGTCTGGGCCTTAGAGAGTGTTGGTGAAAATGCCGAGGAATATTGTATCCGCTATTTTGACCGATTTTGTATGCGATGATGGCATCCAAATCTAATGAAAGAGAGATCAGCGGAAATTTCTAGTGGAGTAGAAATTGATTTCAAGCAACTGGACAACTAATGGCATAAGTATATGATCACATTATGATTTCATTCATCCACACGTCTAATATTAGCTATTGAGAACAACAGACTACAAGTGCCAGAGACCCTTACGATACCATCTCAAGTCCGCACCACTCGGCAATGAATAGTGCAACCGCCACTGTTACGTTCTTAATGCTCTCTATGCTAACCCATTCATCGAAGCCGTGCACGTTACCAGCAACGGGGCCATACGTAAGAGCAGGAATCTTGTCATATATCGAATACACCCTGGCGTCAAGATACGCGCCCGAAAATGCAGGCTTCAGGTCACGGCCTGTCGCGGCATTGTGCGCCTTTCTTAAGACTTCCTCGGCACGACTTCCTGGATTTAGGACATATCCTTCGGCGTAAAACCCATTCCAGATCACTTTGGGAGGCTGTTTGCTAAGAAAGGAGTCAGACTTTGTTATTTCAGACACCTTCTGTTCGATCTCTTCTGCAGCCGACTTTGCGCTGACGCCCGGAAATATGGCTATTCTGCAGTCTACTCTGCACCAGGCAGGTACCGAACTTGCCCAGTCTCCTCCGTTGATCATGGCAATGTTGAGATCTGACCGTCAGCTGAGTTTCATGTTCTGGATTGAATCCGAGAGGAGCGCTTACTCAGCGGGTGCTCGAGCTCTTTATGACTCAAAATGTCATTTACCTGCAGGTCGTTTCCGATCCCTTTCGCATTCCACTCTTTTTCGAGCTCTCTTAGCCCTTGGATAACTTTCCAACACGCGTCGATTGCATTTGTCCCTGCTGCCATCTCCCGAACGTGTACCGGCTTGCCTTTAACCTCAATCTGAAACCAGAGCACTCCGACATTAGCCCGAACGAGTTCCTCATTTACAGGTTCTGGAATCAGGGCGGCGTCTGCTCGATAGCCTTTAATGTGCGCCATCAGTGTGCCATTGCCTGTAGACTCTTCTTCCACCACAGACTCGAGCACGATTTTTGATGCTGGCTGCATACCGATTCTTCGTAATGCGTCCAATGCCTTGAAATAGATGCCGACTCCGGCTCTCATATCTCCTGCACCCCGTCCGTAAAGCTTGTCACCTTCGATACGGGCGCTGTAAGGATCATCGGTCCATAATTCGCGTGGACCGAGGGGAACTATGTCTACGTGGCCATTTAATATGAGGCTTTTCCCGTCCTTGGCTTGTACTTTTGGGGTGTGAACTCCCACGACAATGGGAGCTTTCGAATGTGTGGCGCTGATCTTACCACCGCCAACATGTCGCGAGATCTCCTCTGGGTCAATATCAAATTTGACGGGGTTGTAACCACGCTCTAAATACTGCTGAAATATGAATTCTTGGATCGCATGCTCAGAGCCACGTTGTCCCCCGAAGCGGATCAGCGTTTGAGTGAAGGCTAGTTGATCATCAAAGCCGTCGAATACAGCCTGCGTGATGGCACTGATTTGGTCTGCCGTTAGCTCGGGCATGATGGAGATTTGACGTGTAGAGAAGTAACGTGGAAATGACTACAGTCCTGTGCTTGAGCTTGGTTGAGGTAGCGATACGAGGCTCGCCCCATATTTTGCGGGGTTCTTTGATTGCCATAGTCCGGCTATCTCAGCGTCAACAATGCTTTCCGCAAGACAATTCTTCGCCAATGCGCGTTGATCAGCCGCATCAAGACATGGAGACCGAAACCTCTTTCAACAGCCTATACGATCCTCCCATTGACACCGAATAGAAGAAAAAGCACGTGATCGATTTGAGGGTCGCTTAACAACTGCGTCGAAAAGGTACGAGTACGTCTGTTATTGATGTTCTGCAGTCTATTCTGCGTCTCAGCCCATATACGTTCCACCACCTGTTTAAAGCCAGCTCTGGGGTATTTCCTGATGACGTTGTGTCTGTTTCCATAGTTTACGTACAAATGAGACTCCGCCGGGCGATTCCATGACGCAGGGAGGGATTTAGGTTGTTGAAGATTCGGCGTGCCAGGCGTCTCCAACGGCAATGTTACCCAATTCGATTCTGACTGTAGAATGGGCCATCATCCTCATCTTCTGCTAAACAACCTCATTTTCGCACAGTTAATATCCTTCAATTCTTAAGCGTCACAGTCCGTAGTCTTGCAACACCCAATGCAAGAAGTCTCATTTTTTGCGAAGCACTTCTCTCTCTTGAAATCAAAAACTGTCCCATTTGGACAAGATTGCAGCAGTGGTCCCCATGTTACACAGATGAAAAACTTTGTGCAATTAAAAGGGAACGGCGCGAGGTCTCCAAGTGTACATCCAGTCGGCATTGGAGGGAAATCGCACGTCGCTGTTGACGACGTCGAGACTGCCCACGCGGTGGAACGAGAAGCAGGAGTTTCATGCACGCCATATGCATTGGTGGGAATTTGTCCGACGGGTTGTTGAATGCGATTTGCATCCAGATTGGCAGCCACTGGCTGCAGCGTCGTAAGAAGGAGAACAGAAATGGAATGAATTGAAAATTGGATGGGCTTCATGTTGAGAGTGTCTTTATCTAACCGCGAGGCTCAAAGATGCCAGCAGTTGCTATACGACTGCGATTACTGAAGTCTATGAATTTCATTTAACACACTTATATAGAACTTGGCCAGATGTACTCCCTCAAGGGCAACCAATTGCATGCGCTAGGCTTATCGATCGCACATGTAGCGATGAAGTCCAGAAAAAGCACATTGGTATAGGCGCTAAAGCCATGCCGAAGGAAAAGTTTATCTTGGACACTAGATCCACAAGGTTTGTTAAAGCATTATTACTGGCTAACTAGCCGCATCAAAGGAGTTCGTGCAGCTTAAGTTCTTTTTCTTTCTTCTTTTTATCTTCTAAGGAAGCAAATTCGCTTATTGTTTTGATTCAAGCCTAGCATAGAACGTTCATACAACGTATGCGGCATGTCAGTTAAGCAGAAAAGGGATATAACGGCTTGACGAGAAACATGGTCCCTGCATTATCTCTCCATATCTACCATGTACAGTAGATCGGAGATCTTCATATTGTCGACCAGCTCATCGCTAAATTTGTTCCAAGTGTTCCTCGTCACGCGATACTTTCCTCCAGAGCGCGAAGAAACTATCGCAAACACACCAAATTTTAGCAGACGGAATCAAAAGCAGACAATCAACATCTTTTATGAAATAGTTTTAGCAGAACCTGAGCATAGTCCAGAGACTGGATTGCCTCTCATTCCTCATCCCGATTAATTATGAGAGCGAATCGATGAGACTGCTATAATTTCCAATCTCAGGCATAGACTTCGCACTAGTAGAGGCTCATAAGAATTGGAGGTAGCTACCAATCAACATAGCGAGTGAAATCACATAAGTGGAAAATTCGAACATTCAAAGTAGGGATATGATCCACAGGGAAGTCTGGTTGAACAGATATTCTATCGAAATCTGCGGATCTGTAGTTCCCTGCATATATGGGCCAAAGGCCAGGTCGGTATAAAGGCTCTTTGTCAAATTTGCAAGGGTCTCAAATTTACCCCAGGTACTGATCAAACCCCACATCATCAGTCTTCGTGTCTATTGGGGACTAAGAAATGATTCCGGGGTGGTCCCGATAGTCCCGACTGGAGGCACGTCTGGGGTAAAATTTGGCTTCTAAAGCGTAAAGAACCATGTTTTTGAATTATTACCTACTTTCATGCTCGAGGTTTGGTCGGAGGGGCATGAACCCCGGTATTGTTGCAGGTAAAGCAAACTCAGTCAATGAACAAACCACCATTTACCATCAAATGAGCCCCATTGATCCATCGGGCGCGAGGTTCGCATAGGAACGCAACGGCGAATGCGATCTCCTCAGGTTCCCCCATTCGACCAGCAACAGGTGTCCTATTGATGACTGGCTGCATCTTCTCCATGAAGGCATCTCCAGCTTGGGCAAACCCTTCCGTCAAAGTTGGCCCAGGAGACACAGCGTTAACCGTTACCCCGTATTTTGGAGGCAATTCTTTTGCCCAGACTTTGGTGAAGCTATCGCACATTCCTTTCGTGCCCGCATAGATTGTTTGCAGTGCTGGTGCCTCTCGCGCCGAGATCGACACAATGTTCACGATTCGGCCACCCTCTTGGGCTAAATGAGGTAGGACCGCTTGGGTGAGAAGAAAAGTCCCACGTCCATTCAAGTTGACGAGAGAATCCCAATCATCCATGGTTTGCTCTTCGAAAGGTTTGTTGACGGCCACAGCAGCGTTGTTGATCAAGATATCGACATGGCCAAATCTTTTGACTGCAGCTTCGACGAGCGCTCGAGGTCCGTGGACTGTGGAAAGGTCTGCTTCAACGGCAATCGCATCGGTTGTTATTGCGCCCAGAGTCTGCTCTGCCTGATCCCTCAAACGTGCAAACGGATAGTTGATGACCACTGATGCTCCTCGGGACGCAAGCTCTTTCGCTATGGCTGCACCGATTCCGGAGCAGCTGCCGCTGACAATGGCGACTTTCCCTTGCAAGGTCCGTTCCATCATTTTTCGTGCCACGACGCTGAAGTTGAGACTTGCATTCAAGCAAACCAAAAACGGGGGGACATATACAGAACTGCTAGCGATATGTACTCCGCCATCGTATTGAAAAAGCTTCTTTGTGAATCCCGGTCACCACCAGAGTCGCGTTCTCGGCTCCACCTATGGTCTGTTCCCAGCTCGGGTCCTCAAGTACCATCAGTTTGCCTTGGTTGCAGATAGGAAGACCAGTTACATTGCGAAACCTTGCTTGAATTTTCCAGCCAAAATGAACAGCACAAACCTGATTTCTTCTGAGCCTCAGGCAGCCAAATCTTCCTCCGTCGTCTTCGAAGAGGATGTTGAAAGAAGCACGCCTGTCAAGGCATGTCCAATTATATGGAAGGACTCAGTGTCAGCGGAGGAGTATGAAAAAGCACGTATAGGTCGCGTCTTCAACAGCAGACACCCAAAAAGATATCCAGTTGCCGTGGTCGAAGCTGAATCTGTGGATCATGTTGTTGAAGCCGTTCGGCTAGCCAAAAGCAAAGGTCATCGTGTCTCAATCCGTTCCGGTGGCCATTCTTGGGCCGTCTGGAGTGTCAGAGACGATGCTGTACTGATTGATCTTCATAAGTTGAAAGAAATCACCTTCGAGGATGAAACAGGAATCGTCAAAGTTTCACCGAGCACTACAGGGCGCATCCTGAATGGGTTTCTCGGAGAGAAAGGCAGAATGTTTCCCGGTGGGCATTGCCCAGATGTTGGCCTAGGAGGCTTCTTACTACAAGGAGGAATGGGCTGGGTTTGTAGGGTAAGTCTCGTTCTCTTGAGGAGAAATAGATAAATTTTGACCTCATGTTTCAGGGATGGGGATGGGCGTGTCAATACATCAATGCCATAGATGTTATCACTGCTGATGGCGATGAGCTTCACTGCAACAAAGATGTAAACCAGGATCTCTTCTGGGCTGCTCGTGGCGCTGGACCAGGTTTTCCAGCCGTGGTTACAAGATTCCACTTGAACACCAAAGAGCTACCAAGCCACTGTCGGTCTTCCGTCTACGTATACCCCAAGTCCAAGTTCAAGAGTGTCATGAGCTGGATCACCACACTCGCAAGTTCGTATGATACCGATACCGAGATTGTGTGCGTGGGTCGCTTTCTGCCCGAGTACGAGGACAGCATTGTGCTCGTTGGTCTTACGACGTTCAAGTGGTCCGAAGCGGACGCCTTAGTCGCCTTACAGGTTGCCGAGGACTCAAAGCCAGCTGGATATATTCGGGCGAACTTCAACAGGCCAACTACTCTTCAGAGGGAGTATGATAATCAGTCGGCTGCAAACCCAAACGGCCACCGCTACTGCTGTGATAACATTCACGTTAAAAATGACGCTGATGTTGCAGGTGTTCTTGAGGAAGCCTTCACGACCCTACCTAACCGTAAGTCGTTTGCTCTATGGTACAGCATGAGTCCAACCTCGCAGCGACAGTTGCCGGATATGGCACTGTCTCTTCACTCGGACCACTATTTTGCCCTGTACACGATCTGGGAAGACAAAAATGATGACGAGAAATTCCAGTCATGGACTCACGAAATCATGCGCAAAATGGAAAACTACAGCGTCGGCCAGTATTTGGGCGACAGCGACTTCCAGGTCCGAAACACTATGTACTGGTCGGAGGACAATGGCAAGAAGCTTATGCAGATCAGAGAGAAATGGGATCCAACTGGTAGGATCTGTGGTTACCTGACGGAGGGAGATCAGTCTGGAGCCAAAGGCATCAAAAACTCATTATAAAGAGCACTTGTTAGAGTCAGTTTTACAGAGACGCCAGTCAACACGAGCTTTCACTTCCATTCTTCCGACTCATGTACATACTGCGTGATCAGACTTGTGCAGCCTTAGAACCGTTCATTGCATTTTGGATTACCTCCGTATTCACGACAATTTTACGGTCAACTGGTATTACTATTTTGTACTAAATTGAACTATCTCTTGAAGACATCCGAACGGCAAAGGCATTGCATTCAAGGGTGTTCTTTTGTGCTCGGAATTTCCGAGTTCATGGCGTGCATTCCCCAGAGCTTGGCGCGGATAACGCCGCTTTGGACAATCAGGGGAGTAGGAGTATACCCCACATGCAGTCTATGCCCCAGACATTTCCCAATTCTCAGCTGTTGGTTTGTTTTGGCTGGTATGTGGATTCGGGACCACTTGGAATATGCTCTTCTCCCCTGCGCTCAAATTCACTTATGAAACCATCATGCCCTCAACGCTGCGACAGCTTGTCAAGCTTCGAAGAGAGACGGATCTCGAGATCATACAGTTTTCTACACTGCCAAGATAATCCAGTCATCCGTATCGATGGTTGCAACAACTATTGAGCGCGACCTGAACGAGGTGCAGAAAAAGCACACGCTCGGGACATTGCGATTGCGCCATGTCGACAGCAATCAGATAATCCTCGTACCTACCCCTTCAAACGATCCCAACGGTTTGTAGTAGCCAGCTCACGTATACACCTCAGTGCTCACTCTGTGCGCTACAGATCCCTTGAATTGGTCAAAGGCGTATAGATGGTACATCGCTGTCTTAGTGTGCGCCGCCATTTTCTTCTGCAACTTTTTGGCAGCCGGACCAACCGTGGTGATTACTGAGGTCACAACAAGTTTCTTTGGAGGCCCACCTGAAAATACTAATTTCTCTGCCGACATATCTAAGACTGCTTACTTCTTCACCACCACGGCGCTCATGCAGGGTATGGGAACACTCTTTTGGACCCCAATCATCTCAAAGTTTGGCCGCCGGCCCGTTTATGTGGCTTCATTTGTGCTGTATACGGCTTGTTCTGGATGGGCTGGAGGTGCGACAAGTTATAGCAGCGAGCTGGCTGCTCGAATAATAATGGGCTTTGCGTCAGGGGCTGCAGAGGTTCTGGCTCCATTAACGATCTCGGACATCTTCTTCCTTCACGAAAGAGGCACAGTGATGGCGTAAGTGGTTCTTTGAAACGTTTCTTCGTGATGACGCTAACGGTCGAACAGGACATACACGTGCGCTCTCTCAGCCGGAGTGTCCGGTGGTATCATAATAAGCGGTCTGATATCTATTCAACATGGATGGAGAGTTATCTATTGGGTCTCTGCGGCCATCATTGCCACCTGCACATGTCTTGTCATCTTTACATTTCCCGAGACGATGTATCGCAGAGACGAGTCAGCAGTCCAGGACAGGTTAAAGACTCAGCAGTCGAGCACCACTTCCGAGACCAAAGCAGCCACCGAAATGCACGAAGTTGAGAAGACAGCACCTTCAGTTGAAAATCTGCCGAAACGAAGCTTCATTTCGGGTCTGCGACTTTACTCTGGCGTATACACCAAAGAGCCTTTCTGGAAGCTAGCAACACGTCCCATTGTATTGTTGCTACTTCCTTCCGTGTTATGGGCTACATTAGTCATGGTATGTTCTTATCTTTACACGTCATGAGCACCATGATATTAATTTTGTATAGGCTGGCACAATAGGGTTCCTGGTTGCGATTACGTCAAACTTTGCCCCCGCGTTTTCGAAAGCATACGACTTCAAGCCTTGGCAATCCGGACTATGTTTCATTGCTGCCTTGATAGGAAGTTTCATTGGAATCTTTGTTGGAGGTCATTTTGGAGATTGGGTTGCCGATGTCCAAACTGCTAAGAATGGGGGTATCCGCAAGCCTGAGATGCGGCTGCCTGCGATGGCAGTTTCGTGCATAACTGCGCCACTCGCCCTTGTGTTATATGGAGTTGGGATTCAGGATAAATTGCACTGGATATGCCCTACAATAGGCCTTGCTCTGATCAATTTCTCCATTGTCAGTTTAGCATTCCGCTCTCTGATCAGAAGCTAATGAATGCTCCTACAGGTACAAGCCACAAATATATCCATCGTCTACACGATCGACAGCTACCGACCAGTTGCTGGCGAGATTGTAGTCACTCAAATGGCATTTAAATCGGCATTCGGCTTCCTTCTCTCTTTTTACACGAATCCATGGGTTGACGAGTCCGGCTATGTCAATGCATACGGAGCGATGGCGGGGATCTCTGGGGGCCTTTTGATTTTCTTCATCCCATTCTACCTATTTGGACACCAAATGAGAGCAAAATCATGGAACTGGCCCATTATGCAGAAGGTAGTCCATTGGGATGATGATCGTGAAGTTGGTGAGTAGCAATTTTCTCGATGCGCTTGGGTAACACAAGAATCCTCTTCCAATTTGAACTAGCGTAATGGTATTATTGAATAAAATTTGTGAGACTCCATACGTATCCGTTATATGCCGCCACACTAGTTTCTCCCTCTGCTGTTGACTGACTGATCGTTATCCCATGTTCGTCATTGGCCGGATGTGTCAGCCACACCTGTTGGCCAAGATAGAAACCCGGGTGAAGCAGTTCATTTCATGTGACAACGGAGGCGAGCCCGCTTAAATCGTTCAGAATTGGCTGCTTCGAGCCACAAGAAAGTCACAAGTTCCAATAAATGCCCTTGGGGACACGTTTCTTGGACGTCAAATGGCTGATTTCGAGAGGATATTATGGGAAAAGCTTCGCGCAAATCGAAATTATTATCGCTACGTCCTCGTATACCGAAAATTAGTGCGATTTAATTTTCTTGGCAGGTCTACGCCTCAGCTGAATGATGAGATCAGGAGAACGCTTCGCGGAGCTTGAACACTGCTTGCATATCTTATGGCGTTGTTCTAGACCAGCATTGGCTGAAATAGCCGTACCACCAGAGGCTTGTCTGCTTGGCACCCCTGCATGCTCCGTCCCGGATCGTGAGTGACGATGATTTATATAAAGGGCTCGAAACAAAGTTCAGCATCCAAGAGGAAGTGTGCGCAAACCTGTACGAACTTTGAATTACATCGGTGTAGGTCTACATGAACAGCTTTGACGACAGCACAAATGCTCACGCGCTATGGTTAGGCAGCCACAAGTCCACTCAACAATCCCTCAAACATAGTCCGAAAACGGGCGAGAACAGCCAAAATGCCTCCAAATACATCCAGTTCCATCTCATCTGCCGTATCATCAGTCGTAAAGCCGACAGAGATGCATTACTGCTCTGAGTCCTGCTCCTGCGGTAGATTCTCAGAATCTTGTTCATGCGTGGTCATGTAAAACCTCCGGCTCAGGATGTTCTGAAAAGCTGGCTGGGAGAAAGGAACGAATGTCTCCAGGGTGACTATGGAAGATGTAATTCTTATGCGACAGATATGAAATTTCGGTTTAAATATATTTGTGCGACATGTTTTGTCGTTTGTCAATGATTACTATGAATGTATCAGATTCTATATCATTTCTCGAACAATGTAGCAACAAATGCCTGTTCCGCAGGGAATGTATTCAACCTATAAAGTCTCTCATTCGTTACGAGGTATGCATCAGGAAAGTAATCGGGCGCCTCACTACCCAGAGCAAGCTGAGCCACTACTTCCCCTGCTAACCAACATGTAGGCATCCCATACCCATTAAATCCAGCAGCAATAAACTCGCCATCACCGTCTCTTCCTGTCAGCGCACTTGGTACTCGTCCAACCATGGGAACACCGTCGGCTGTAAAGCCCATAATGCCTGACCATGCTGAAATTAATTTCTGTCGAGTGGAAACTTGGTGTTTGTAAGATGGCATGCAGAAAGTCGACTGCAGAACCTCCTGAAGATACTTCAATGATGAAACAGTTACCGAAGTGTCATCCGAGTTGATAAGGTCAGTCGCGGCAGCGCGTTCGCCTCCGATGAAGAAATACCCCGATTTCGGGTTCTGCGTAATGTATACCAGACCTGTGTCGATTAGACCTGTGCTCTTTTCGTATGAGGGCCTTCCAATCAAGGCCCACGATCTGCTCAATCCATTATTTTCCGTCACAGACGTATGCTCCTGTACAGTCATTGTTCCCCGTACAGGCCATAGTTTTTTGCGAAGGCCAGGTATAAGGTGGCTTGCATGTCCGTTGGTGCAATGGATTATTTGGCGGACTTTGGTATTGCCTCGGGGAGTGAAGACTGAATAGCGATATTGATGAGTAGATATTGGATGAGCTGTGATAGATGTTACGGGAGAAAGGGTTTCGACTGCAAGCCGGCCTGGATGCTCATCAAGCAGCTTTTCCCATAGCTTGGTGACCAAACGGTAAGGCCACATGGCACCCGCTGGAGTTTGCGCAATTCCGACGCCATTGTAAATATTGAATTCCTGCCCATGATATTAAAAACGCTGTATTTAGGTTTGAATTATTGGGCTTGTATACTTTCAAGGAAGTTCGATTGCTTAGTATCTTACCCGCCTTGTCCTCTGGGCAATTCGTTTTGTATTCTGCCAAGGATTCTGTTATCTCACTCATAGTGTCATCACTCATAAAGATGCCTAAGGAAGTGACCTCCCGGATTTCGCTTTCTTCTGGACAGAATGCGTTAGCCACAGAGAAGACACGTTCACAATTACGTAGTTGATACGCGGCAACTTTGCTGGCTTGTTCGATTCCAAGCTGTTGAACAAGTCTACTATGTTCTAGAATGGCATTTGGCTTCAAGTGGCCTCCGTTCCGACCTGTTGCTCCAGAGCACAGTTCTCGCGCTTCAAAAACAACGACTTGTACCTTCTCATCTGTTTCAAGAAGAGCTTTCGCAGTCGAAAGCCCAGTCATTCCGGAGCCTATAACAGCCACATCTGCATCGGATGGTAACATGTCGGATTGTCTTCTGGCCAAGCGATGAGGAGGTATCTGCCAGTAGGCTTCACTTGGATTTTCGTAGGGAATTCCAGGATCTCGGTTCATGGCACTACTTAATGCCGCCTCTATTACTCTGATTAGTAGCTTCTCTGCCTTCTTACAGAACGCGACCAAAATGATACCCAACTCAGTGAAAGTAGTCACGGACTCTTTTTCAGTCATGCTGCAAGTTTTACATCAATTATCTTTATGTGAGTCGGTAAAGTAGAATAAGTTTCGGGATGAAGTCTATATACGATGCGTCAAGGTTGCATTGACGTAAAGCACATTTAATAGGTCTTGACGGATGCGCCATGTTTCGTCAGCGCAGTCTTCGCATATCAAGATCATGTGTATATCAGTACAAAGCCGTGAATAATTACCGGTTCGCAAAATGGATACTTGAGATTCAGGAGCTGAGCAAGCCCAGACAGGGTCAAGGATCATATATGGCCCTAGTCATGAAGCGGGGTTCGTGGACCGGCCTATTTCTAGATAAATGATTGCCTTATCGTCACATAAGAACAATCCCCAGCCCGCCTTTGTCCAAATGGATCAATCTGTTCCGTGATCGTTTTTCTCTGTACCATACATATGGCATAGTTTCTTTAAACAATGCAAATATCTCAAGCCTGGAAAGAACGAATTTGCTATGCTGCGGAAAAAGCAACGATCACGTGCCTGTGACCGGTGTCACGTAATGAAGGAAAAGTGTGTAGGAGATGTCAGTCGAGATTCGTGCATTAGATGCATTGAGCTGGGCAGGGAGTGCACCAGAAAACGTCCCATTCAAAAGGCCGGTCGAAAGCCGCGCCAACCGGTCCTTCTGGATCCGTGTACTCGCATGCCAAAAGAGAGAGACGGTGCTTTAGCTGAAACGGAGCGTTTGAGAAAAGAAAAGGCACCTTCTGCGCAGCTAGTCTTACAATGGAAAGCTGATTCACCCACTCCATTCGAAGAACAGCTCCTTCGAATGTTGCAGTCCGAGCAATCGGACGAGCTTAAAAAGTTCGCGAGGCTGCTTGTGATCGGACCAAATTTTGAAGAAAAGCTGAGCAATGAGATAAGAGCCATGGCAAATTGGGAATTCGAAGGGAGCCTTGACGGTTATCTGGCCTGCATGGGTGCTCTGGCCCTGAATCTTGGGATCATGCCTGGCGGAGATGCTGAATCGAACATACGTCGTGGCGCTCTTGCAGTCTCAAAACTTCGCACAGCTCCTGGACCGAAATTTGAGGAATTGGAAAACTGGATAGTTTTTGGGCTGGCCATTGTTACGTTCGCGATGACCGCCTTGGGAACCCCGGCATCCACAGTCCGCCGTCATGTGCTCAAAGACGTTGCGTCTCTTACAAGTATTCCTGACCACCTTCAAAATTCAGATTCCCTGATGTGTCTTGTGGCATTCGAGACGTGGGAATGTCTCATGAAGCGCTCTATTCCCGTGCTTAGGCTCGAAATGACAGAGAAATCGCACGTTAGCCGCCTATTCGGCATCTCTGGGGGGATCTTCCCATATCTCTACGACATCTGTGAGCTCAGCCATACGCTTGCGGTGGGCAATGAAAACGAGCGAAAGATTATTTTGACATCACTAGAAAAAGTCGAGGAGGAAGTTGAATTATGGCAGCCTGCAACGCCACAAGACCTTATCGTCAGATTTTCCACCGTTGAGATTGTACATATGCTATGTCAAGCCGAAGTTCACAAGGTATCGACACTTTTGTTCATACACAGGTTGCGATGGCCTTTCGGTGTGGAGGACGGCCTAGCGAGACGAATGGCACGCAAAATTACCAACGAGCTCGAACGATCGTATCTCATTACACATGATCGAGTTCGCTGCGTATCATTTCCGTTCTTCATAGCGGGCATTGAAGCTCAGGGCAAGGAAGAACGAGACTGTGTTCTAGCACTGGTCAAGGATTACATAGATCCTACAACACCAATAATTCAAGAGCAGATCAAAAGGTTGCTCTCTTCCATATGGCAGATTCGGGATGTGTCTACGGGTTATCACTGGCTAGATCTACTGTCTCATCTTCCGGAAGCTATAATTCCAACGTAGCATGCGTTGACCAGACACTTCTTGTATCATCGTTCCAAAAACTCACGTTGCATTAAGACTTTCGAATTACGGAGAATTGTTCACTGATAAGAACTTTTTTTGAGACGTCCCGACTTGATATTCGAATTGTTGCTTGAAGTTTGGACCCTACACTGCTCTCATGCTTGAAATTCCACCTTTCCTATGTCGTTAAGTCGATGCGGACCGGCCTTTTATCTTGATTTCTATTGGCCATAATGATCTCCTCATTGCCCTGTCCTCTATTCAATCCAAGACGATAGTCAGAGATAGAAACATCTATAAAATGGATATCGGCATGAAAGATCTTCATGATTCAATAAGTCCGTGAATTTCACAGCTTCTTTTTGAGCGCAATAGTTCTACTCTATTCAAAATGAACACTGAGCATGTATCGTGCTTGCCCCCTGGCACCGTTACCATCGAAGACAGTATGCAAGCTGTGGCAATTCTCAAATGAAACTTAAATCTAACATATATATAGTGGAGAGGAACCGGATAATACTCCACCCTTGTCCTTCAGATGACCCTGAACAGCCGCTGAATTGGTCTGATGCTCGCAAGGCGCTCAACTTTAGCCTAGTCTGCTTCTTTGCGCTAATGACATTCGTCCTGTATGCTATCTGTTTTCTAAGTCGAGCTTATCTCATTTTTTGATAATCGTATCCAGACTTGATATTGGCACCGTCATCTGGAGCCCAATAAACATCGAGCTAGGAATCACATACAAGGATCTGTCCAATAGTTTTGCTGCCAACTTGGCTGGTCTTGCTGTTGGGTGCATTGCCCTCATCCCTTTCGCAGTTATCTTTGGACGCAGATCTCTTTACTTGTTCAGCATTCTGGTTCAGCTTGCTTGCGCCCTGTGGCAAGCCAAGATGAAAACGACGGCGGATCTAATCGGAAGCAACGTCGTCAGCGGTATCGCGGGGGCTATCAGCGAAAGTATCGTTCAAATGACAATCTCCGACTTGTTTTTCGTACATCAAAGAGCGACAATGAATGCGATATATCTTGCTATGGTCACTATAGGCACATTTTTGGCGCCTGTTGCAGCAGGATACGCAGCCTCGGCGCAAGGTTGGCGCTGGATCTGGTGGTGGACGTCAATCTTTCTCGGCGTTTTATTTCTCGTTTTCATACTCCTTTACGAGGAAACAAAGTACATTCCAAGAGTCATTTCATTACAAGTTCGCTCGATTGATGAGACGGAAGCACAGACACGCAAGGCTGAGACCAAGTCATCATGTGTCGAGGGCGACAATATCGACCGTTCTCTGAACATCGATGCATTCCCGTATAAAACAAAAAAGGAAAAAGGTCACAGTGCTGCGTTTCCTAAGAGAAGCTTCCGGGAAAGATTTTCTTTGGTCACATTGACTCCAGGAGGCTCGCTCTCGTATTTCCAAATCCTGACGAGGTTTTTTTACCTGTTGCGATTCCCTGCAGTCACGTACACCGCTCTAATGTATGGAACCTCTCTGGCATGGTTCTCAATTATCCTCAACACACTCTCTATCTACTTTGCCGCACCTCCGTATAGTTTTTCCCCTTCCGGAATTGGTCTTCTCAATCTAGCGCCGTTCGTTGGAAGTATTTTATCACTTATTATTAGTGCTTTGAATGACAAAATCATTCTATGTCTTGCAAAGAGAAATCACGGAATATACGAACCAGAAATGAGGCTTTGGCTCGCACTCCCAGCTGTAGTCATTGCTCCAGCTGGAATGCTGCTCTTTGGTTTGACACTGGCGCAGGTACGGCTCTAGCCACCCGGCATTGCGATTTGTTACTGACCAGTGATACAGGGTTACTCTTGGATCGTACCCGTTGTCGGTGCTGCTATATTTGGCTTTGGATTTTCTCTCATATCTGATGTGTCTTTGACGTATCTCCAAGATTCTTATAATCAGGTATGCTCTTATATAGTTAGTTCTTTCTTCCCAATCATGCTGATTCAGGCCCACAAGGTGATTGGAAGTGCACTTGTTCCTGTTGCATTTGTTCGCAATGGACTATCGATGATAATAGTTTTTGCCTTGTCACCGTGGATTGCAGCTAGTGGGCTATACGATATGTTTATTTGCGCTTCAATATTGGCCTGGGCCTTTTATTTCACAACAGTGATAATGCTCGTGTGGGGAAAAAAATTCAGAACATCGAGCATGGTCCAGTACGAGAAGTTGGTATCCACTCGTTGAGGCCATGAAGTACTCGAGACTGCTGCATTTCTATCACCAATGAGCAGTCTCAAACGAAGTCGATGAAAATGAGCCGCACCATTTGAGTATCCAAGTTCTTGAACATGTTCACTCTTCGACGCAAGGTTGAGATATCAGGGTTTAACTGAGCTCGGCTATGCGAGCGTGATTACAGGGAGAAGGCTTAACATCATAGATAGCATCGCTGTCAAGGCGAAAATGCATCGCGTTACTGCGAGTTGGACCCAGATAACTTATATTCACCGACAATCGCTCCTCAGCTTAGCCATCTTGCATCTTTGCTCTGGCGGCTGCTTGATCTTTTGTCCCTTGCAGCATATCTGAATGCGTTGTTTAATCTATATGGCAGTATTCTAGACCATATTGATTAATTTGTAGTTTATACTCAAAGTGACAATATTGGCATCGAAGTGGATCTTTGAAGAGCTGTAGGAGAACATTTGTATTGGAATGCGTTGATAGCATTTGCCGGTGGTTACCGTACAGCTGACATGATAAAACTTCTGCCGCCGCAGGAATTCGGTTATATTATCATTTTCGACATGCTTCCAAAATCACACGCGAAAGAATGATTTCATTTTGGCTTCGTTCTTCGGAACTAAGGCATTTTTTTTTTACTCTAATTTTCCTTTTTTAGATAGTCGTTGTTGTGCTTTGTTAGCTGTTACAGATATGAAAAGATGAGATCCCGGAATGTGAAAGTCAAAGAACTGCCTTCGCGTCACTCTGATATGTAGCTTTGAAAATACGTACCAGTTAACTTCATTTTCATTATGTTATTTTCCGGTCTCCGCTTTCCGTTACCGCCACCATATGTGCGGACCGGCGTATTTTTGATTGGTGCAATCGATTAGCTCTGCATCATGCTTTGATAGCAGGAATGAAGATATTTTTGAATATTGCTAACGGAAACAAGGGAGTCCGCATAATGCGAGGAACGACTTCGGCTTGGGCAATATATATTAGTGTCTCAATTTCCGTGAAGGCTTCGCAATTCTTGTTCTTAATGTTCAATTAAACCTAACAGAACTTTGGATGTTTGATGTTGCCCAAATCTTCCACATCAAGCTTACTTTCTGACTACATTATACATCCAGTATTTTATTTTAAAAGAAATCGGCAGGCAAAAGCGTGATTTCGTCGACAATGCAGGCAAATTGGGAGACTATCGCGAAGTCTAAGCAAGTTGAACGTTTATCAAAGATTCCCAAGGAGTGGAGAGTCCCGGAAGAGCAGTACAGGAACCTGCAGAATGTCACTGAGGTTCCTTTAACATGTGGCATTCTATCTGAAAAAGAGATACAAATAACATCGGATTTTGATGCCACCGGCCTGCTTAGCGAGCTTCGCACTGGCAAATTCACAGCGGAAGAAGTTGTCACAGCTTTCTGCAAACGTGCTGCCATTGCGCAACAGCTGGTATGTTAATGACTTAATGATTGTGCGCTGAACTATTTTGACGTTGCAGACCAATTGTTTAACAGAGATATTCTTCGAAGATGCCATCCACCGTGCCAAACAGCTGGATGCCAATCGGCAGGCCGATCCGTTCAAATCTCTGCCACCACTTTGGGGACTTCCGATATCTCTAAAGGATAGCTTTCAAGTGCCAGGAATTGATGCTTCGTGTGGCATTGCCAGCTTGGTCAACGATCCATCCTCTGAATTCAGCGTGTTGCCGAAGATGCTTGTTGACCTTGGAGCTGTTCTCTTTGTCAAAACTAATGTTCCACGTACGTGATTCATATAGTTTTTCACGAAGTTGACTTAAAAGATTACAGAGACTCTAATGACTGCCGATTCGGAGAACAACGTGTTCGGGCGTACATTAAACCCCCACAACATCAATCTCACTGCAGGTGGAAGCACTGGCGGTGAAGGAGCTCTTGTCGGACTTCGTGGAAGTATTCTTGGTATTGGAACGGACATAGGTAAGCTTTTGCCTATATTACTGGGGATTTTCTAATACCGAAGGCCAGCTGGAAGCATAAGAATTCCGTCTTTAGCGAATGGAATATACGGATTCAAGCCATCTATTGGGGTGATCCCTTATTCTCGACAACGACGACTCTCCGTTCCTGGAGTTGAAGGTGTAAAAGCCGTTGCTGGGCCTATGGTGACGTCTGCCCGGGATGCGCAGATGTTTATGCGAATCATCACTCAGGCGCAGCCATGGAGATATGATAGTGGGGTCAATAGGACTATTTTCCAGAACTTGCCGGCGCCTTCTAAAGAGGACCTTGTCATCGGATATATTGAGAATGACGGCATGTTTACACCTCATCCTCCAGTACGTCGAGCTTTGCGGGAAGCAGTCATGAAGCTTGAAAATGCAGGAGTCAAAACGGTTCACCTGCAACTTCCAAATATTTCAAACATGTACTCCAGCCTTTTGAAGTATTTTAAAGCCGCAGGAGCAGGGGTACGTGATCGTTCTTTTTTAGCCATCTTTCAAAGCTAATAATTTTGTATTCCAGCCATTGAGAAAAATGCTCGCTGCTACGAATGAACCTGATGTAGTATCTGTTCAGAGACTCGGCATCTGCACTGAAGATGTCCAGGCTATGACTCTCGAACAATATTTACATCTATTTGTGGATAGAGAAAATGCTCAGACCGAAATTCGTCAGTTATTCTTGAACAACAATCTTACAGCACTACTCGCACCCGGAGCTCCACATGTCGCATTGCCTCATGACTTGTACAAAGAGTAGGTCAGTTTCATCTTGCAATTCAAGCGGCTAAGTACCATATAGTGTAACTTACACCGGAATTTGGAACTATCTGGATCATCCGGCGGTCATTATTCCCACAGGTAAGGTACAATCAACAGATTACGCAGATTCTGTAGAGATAGCAAAATTTGGAAAACAAGACGCCAAATTATACGCGTTATGTGAGTTGATATGATATATATAAAAGCTTCATATTGACCGAATCAGATGACGGACCCGCTACGTTTCGAGGGGCTCCAACTGCTATCCAGCTGATCGGATATAGGCAACACGACGAGGAGCTGGCCGGAGTAGCAGTGCTGGTAGACTCGATCTTAAAATCATAGACTATAATTACATGCTATATTGCCAATTCTTTGCGTAATTCTTCAACTTGAATATTTTGCACTGTGTCCTGACATTTAGTACTGCCACGTCCCGCTTTGTGAACTCTTCTGAGAGAAATCCCATATCCTCTATGAGTAAGTGGCTTCATGGCCGGTAGAGTAACCTCATCATTCAAATGATTAATACCATACTTGAATGAGACAGTTCTCGACTTTCGTAGTGAAAGAATGACGAGGAGTAGGGTTCCAAAAAATTGTGGGTATTTCGAGCAGAGTTTTGATAATTAACGTGCATGCTCCCTAAGTATGGGTGAGTTATTTTCCCTTTTATTCATTTACATTTAAAGCCCCTTGTATGCTAATATGTAGAATATAACTACGAAATTATGATGCCGTGATGTGAATGATGACGACGTTGACGGCCGGGACCTTGAATGGAGTTCTTCTAAGCGAGAATTGCCGTTTAGACCTAAAGAAGTGACATAAAAGGCTATTGTAAAAAACGTGGAGCCTATTCGAACAATGAGATTTCTCTTACGGGGCTAAATGATGTGGTTTACAGTACCTTTTCGCAAATCCTCACCGGGTCCTTAGTCTGAAAAAGGATCTTAGGTCTCGCAGTGCTCATTTACTGTCAGACCACTTGTACGCTAAGCTTCTTTTGCTTATCTGTCGTAAAGATTTCTCAATTTCGATGATCACGATCTTCGAATTAGTTGCCTTCATTATTAATGGTTGTTCCCTTTTAAAGGGCCCGCAGGTTGGAGGGGATGGTGGCAGGCATAAGGAGCCGCGACCGCCAAAGATTACGGCGCTTCTCCTGCAAAATATATTGAAAAAGGGTTTCAAAGGCCTTAACCAAATCGACGACACCATGCAGATCTATGAGGAGGAGAGAATGCGTAAAGTTTACTTGAAGCAGCAATAGTACGTCATTAATGATTGTACAGTGATCCACAATGTTTACTAGAGATCTAAAGATTCGTCGCCGGAGAATACTGTTGAATGTTCAATGACCGATGACAACATGCGTAGAGCTGTTTACGGAGCAAAAAAAAGGAGCGCGAAATTGTAAGCAAGAGAGCATAATAAGGATGGATCTATACAACTCTATCGTGCACCAAAATATCAAGGCGTGCTACTCATTAATTCCTTTCTCATAAGTCGAATTGTCCGTGAATACATGCCGCGTAAAAACAGCAGATATAGCTAGACTTTTAAGGTTGCGCCATTAGGCCAACGGTCCGTTTATGCAAGAGGGGATCATGAACGGAGCGCCCCCCCCTGCAATCTAAGCCACCAGGCTAGCCGGATTAAGGGGATACCATACAAATTTCCTAGCGTTCTCCAAATTCTTTCCTAATAAATTACTATAGAAGCTGTAATTATCCCCAGAAAGTGCCTAGCCTGGTGGCTTAGTTTGCAAGGGGGGGGGGCACTCCATTCATGATCCCCTCTTGTAGGCCGATTCCAGTGTAGCCTTCGTATTTAATCCCTAGCACATACACAAAAAAATGGTGGAAGCTCCTCTTTCCGGTAGGTATAGCCAAACAGATCCATCATCGTTCGTCCTCGGACCTTCTCTAAGTAGCTGAACTAGCTTGGTACCGTGGCTGGTCTAGCCAAGATTCCTAAGCTTTCTGAAGGCTGAGCTTATTTCTTGCCAAGCCCTGCATTAATCGGAATTTTCCATACGAATCTCGTATTCGCTGACCATGATGCGTTTTGGACTTTATAATCTCGATTTTCTAATTGGCCAAACAGTCTAGCTCGTGCATTGTGCTGAAGACTGAATTTTGCAGCTGAGGGGATGAGCCTTGCAATGCTCTGAGGAACTGACCGCTGATTCAAAAATAACAAACGCTGCGGCCAGAGCGGAATGGTTTTCATAGCCTCAAAGACACGGTTACATGTAATTACCTAAACAATTAGAATGTGTTCACAGCGCTAAGTTCACCTCGACCAGGACTTGTTGATCACTGGATTTACGCGTGTACTGGCCAACATTTGTGGAAATCTCCGAACGGGTTAAAATTAGTCTACACGTGGTAATTATGGCGGAATTGGACACTCGGTGGGAGGTTTAGCAAGTGCGTGAATATGCATCTGTTCCGCATTGTCTAAGCAAGGTACGTCTCAATCTTCCAAATCAGATTGGTCCTGCCACGCTGAATACCCAAAAATCAGCAGGACAAAAAAAGATTCTTCATCATCAAGCCAAAGAGGCTGTTCTGGATGCAAGCATGATACAGTGTATATAAAGCTCTCTAGATCCTGTGGGATAAACTGTATTTCCTATCGCTATCCACACCAGCAACTAACAATTTTCCTATTTCCTTGATTCTCATTCCTCTCAGATACTCGTTTCTCTTTTCTCAAAAGCACGTTCTTTTAACAGCTTTTCAGCTTAAGCAGTTCCCATCCTCAACACTAACGACAACATGTTCTTCGCCGTTGTATCGTCTCTCCTTCTTTTCACGTCGGCCTTCGCCACCCCAGTGATGAAACGCGACGATTACCACGACAACGACGGTGGCTTGAAGAGGATCTGCCCAAATCTGAACACTGCGGACCGTGGCTGCATTAGATGTACGATCATTCCGCCAAAGGGAAGTTCATAGCTAATTCTTGATAGATGTCAAAGGTTTCGATGTCACCGGCGTGGTGACAGAGGTTGACCTTACTTTCCCCCTGATTCGGGATGAATGCGACTGCATCCAGCAGTGCCTCGATCGACCCAACTCTTGCGCCGCCTGGGTATGGAAGTTTTCGACACCTCAGAGTGTGCAGTCCGGACATAGAACATGCACACTCTACTCCCAGTTCAACCTTCCTACAGATGTCACGCTTGAGATTAATACTGCTCAATCTGTTGGCTTCGATCTTCTCCAGCCAGGCAACAATCCTCAGACTGGTGCTCCCGTTCCACAAGCTTTCAAGGACGTGAATCTCAATACTACAGCTGATCCTGATGCCGTTTCGGGGTACGCTCATGTACAAACGTACTCTAGTCATACAAGCTAACTCTTCTCTAGTGCGGTATGGCAACTCATGAATGGTCAAGCCCTCTGCTAGTCCAGGCCTTCCTGTCATCCAGATGCAATAATGGTCATAGCATAGCGGTCGTTTTGGTGCACTGTGATTTTTCTGACGCTCTTTGGTATTCATTGCGATTTTGATGCTCATTTTTGTTTAGATAACACGTTCATTAATCTAGAAATTAAATACTGATAATTCATGAAAATTTCGGTAAAGGCTGTTAACATGGATTCAACAACGAGTGAATCAATATCTTAACGCACCTCGTACTTCAAGGGTGCTGTGATACCGTTGATATCCGTGAATTCGGACCACATGGTGCTGCTTTCATAGAACGAGAAATAGGAAAAACACTTTTGAGTCGCATGCGAATCAGGCGCACGTCGCAAATATATCGCACATACGTATCATGGGGTAGTTAGTTCATCTTCGGGCTCTAACATTCTTAATCCGAGCGTTAGAAGTATTTGGATGTATAGTACTATCTGAAGCGTTGGCGGGCACACAGCTAATGGAAATTTCCTCATTTAATCTAGAATTGGTTCGTCTGAGCTTCAAAATTGACTAAATAGTCTTTCTGGGCTCGTATGGATTGCTATCTGGGTTATTCATCTAATACGAAGAAGGCATAACACTCAACCTTCCTCCATCTGTGATTAATACGTTCCCATTCAAGTAGGCCCCAGCTCTCGACGCAAGGAACAGAATTGCTCCCGCAATGTCTTGTTCATCACCAATCCTCTCTTCTGGTATTACAGATGCGGGATAAACCTTCTTTGGTTCCTCATCCTCTCTCGCCAAGTTCGCAGTCGTCATTTCTGAAGGATATACTATTCATATGTTAGAACACAAGCTCTATAATTCACGAAATAGGAAAATTAAAGAAAAGATTTAAAATCTTACTCCCAGGTGCTATAACATTGCTTCTTATTCCCCATGGAGCCAAAAATGTCGCGAATTGCTTCATCATTTGTGTCGTTGCTGCTTTGCTTCCTCCATACGCAAAGCCGCCTGGTACGTTTCTATTAAAGCCTGATATTGAACTCGTAGCCACGATCTGGCTTCTTTGCTTTCCGCTCCCTTCATTTTTCTGATTGCCCTTGTTCAGCAGCTCTAAAAAGGCGACGATAGTGAAGAACGTTGCTGCTGTATTGACTGCGTACGTACCAGCAAACACGTCAAAGTCTGGCGACCAGAGCTTGTCGCGAACTTCGAGCAGAGATGAATTGAAGGAGAGTCCAGTAAGATCAGGACCGCTTACTCCAGCATTTGCGACTAGGAGATCGACATAGCCAGTCTCAGATTCGATGTGTTTTACGATACGGGTAAGGTCCTCCTTTGAGGTTACGTCGCCTTGGAGTGGTATTATATTTCCGAACTTCTGCTGCATGTTCAGGATGATGGCGAACATTGGGAGAGGAAACTTAAGCCTACTCCCTGCTTTGCTGCTGTCTGTAGAGTCTGCAGGCGTCGTCCGATGATGTAGACTTTTAATGCTCCATTGGCTTCAAGTGCTTTCGCCATCATAAGGCCAATACCTTCGCGGCTGTCAGCTAACATTTTATTACGCAGCACCGCCACGATGAAACTGTACAGATATGGATAGAGAGACGAACCGCTTCCCCCGCCTGTGATTACTGCTACCAACCCATTGACGCTGAACAAATCAACCGCGTTGACAGACACGCTCATGCTGCGTTCATCTGGAGATTTACGTACAAAAAGCGCAAAATATTCATTCAAAAGAAGGAATGATTTAACCAGAGAACTACGTTTCTTTTCTAGACATAATGGCGAGGCTCCACATTTTACCATGATCGTGGGTGTTTAGTGCTTGATTGCTGGCCGGGAGTGGCGTGCTCGCTCGAGCCGATCGATACGCGTCGGTGTCCGACGGACAAGTGTAGAACTACAGTTGACTACCAGGCTCTCCACACGAAGGATCGCGGCAATCAGCATATCACTTGGCAATGATTGTATTTTTTTGTTTTTCGACTGGTTTGAATCACTCCCGATGAGTTCCTGTGCAATCACTCAGTCCACGTGCTCGTCTCTATGAACCAAATGCTCTCTTGTAGTTCACCAGCGTGAAACGGTACTTGACGTTGTTCTGTTTGACTCTCTCGACAGCTTCCTTACATCCCTCCTCACTCACGTCAATCGTTTCAACCCAACCTTGGATATTCTGCTCGCTAGCCAGCTTCAGCATCGCAAAGACCTCTGTGCGGTTTCCAATGTGGCTTCCGGACATGGCTGCGCCGTTGGGACAGAAGTCTTGTGCCTTCATCACCGGCAGTGGCTTGTCGGGAAGCCCGACGTGGTGGAAGGTCCCATTGACGGCTAATGTGCTCATATAATCCTTCATGTTGAAGGAGTTGGTCACATCGGCGGTATTAAGGATGAAATCAAATGTGTACGCCCAAGGCTTGGCCCAGTCCTTCTCTTTAGTGCAGATGAATTGTTTCGCGCCCAACTTTCTAGCATCGGCTTCCTTGTATGGACTGTGTGAGATGGCATATGTCTCGGCGCCCATAGCCGCCGCGAACAGAATGCCGAAGTGACCAAGTCCACCAATTCCTAGGATGGCGACTTTCTTGCCCGGTCCAACATTTGCTCGGACAAGCGGGCTGTAAGACGTAATACCGGCGCACATCATAGGAGCGGCAAGCTCTGAGGGGATATTGTCGGGGATCTTGAAAACAAAGTATTCATGAGCTCGGATGTGACTGGCATATCCTCCCTGGGCGTCGTCACCATTAGGGTACTTTGCGTTATATGTATCTTCAATCGCAATTAGACATCGGTTCCATAGATATGGATTCATTTTAGATTACTCACCAACCTGGTGAGGACAGTAGTTTTCTTGTCCTGCCATACAGACTTTGCATTCTAAGCACGCCCAAACTTGGGCACCAACGCCAACTCTTTGGCCAACCTTCACAGTGGTGACATTTTCCCCGATGTTCACGACAGTGCCAACAACTTCATGACCAACGCAAAGTGGGAAGCTGGCTTGACCCCAGCCGCCGGTCAGAGTGTGCACATCGCTTCCGCAAACACCGCAAGCCTCGATCTCAACATCAACATCGTGCGGTTGGAAAGTTTTTGGCTTGAACTTGATTTGTTCTTGTCAGTTGCAGATTTCTCTGCATATGTGCCGAAGCTCAGCTTACGGTTTTTTTCTTGAAATTACTCCACTCAGAATGGCTCTCAACCATAAATCCCTCGAAAGTCTCGGGGTAGCCCATTGTGCAAGTCCAATTAGAAGTATTGATGAAACGAGGGCATACCTCAAACTCAAGTCGAGAAAGTATTCTCCCAAGGAACAAAACGAAGGATAGCAAACCGTTTCTAACCTTTAATGCCCAATTTTCACATACAGGCTTCAACATCGTGTTCTTGTTAGCTCTGGCGCTTTGGCGAAGTCGTGTCGACGATAGCCGACGCGTAAAGCGACGCAGCCGACAAGACTTCCTTGTGACCAAAGATGCTAGCCAAATTATGCTTGGGAGTCTGTTCACAAACTTCATGATACGTTTGAAGGCACGCACCGCCAGCCAAAGATTAGATAGATACGTGCCTAAACGTGGGGAGATGTAAGGTGTGTCTGGTCTCCATCAAAAAAAATTCATCCTTTTTTCCTGTTCATTCATGTCATCTGCTCCATTCTGTAAATACTTTTGAGACTCTTGGAACTATTTCTCGCCCTCAAGAGGTGTTGATTCGAGCTTTAAAATATGCTCCCAGATACAGGAAATATCTCAAATTCAACTGCGTTCATTTCAGACAGCAAGGTGATTCCTGCCGTGTCGGTAATCCAAACACCAATAGACGTGGTTTCAGAGACAGAATCTGAAGCGTCACTGCCCCAAGCGGCTCACAGTGTGAGCCCCGTTGCTCCTCAACCAATGCTCTCGCAGCGTAAATGTGAGACCTCTCGCGCGAAACGGACATTGGCCGCTTTCTCGCTGGAGGGCAAGGTTTGTGTTGTGACAGGAGGTGCGTCGGGAATCGGTTTGGGAATCTGCAAGTCTATCCTCGAGAGTGGTGGACAGGTAGCTATTGTCGATTTGAATGGTGAGAAAATTATCAAACTGAAGAAAAGTCACGAGTCTTGGAGCATTTGCTAAATTATCTTCTCTTTACAGTTGTTGCTGCGCATGAACAGGCAAAGCAATTGGTCGAGACATATGAACAAGAAAACCACGAAGAAGTGTAAGAAGCATCTATTCAATCACTTCAAATCTCATTATTACGCTGACACTCCAGAAATACAGGTCGCCTCTTGTCACTTCTCACGCTGCCGACGTTGCATCTCCCGCCTCCATCGATCTCGCTATAAACTCCGTCCTCAGCAAACATGGTCATATTGATCACCTAGTCACCTGCGCCGGTATATGTGAGAACATCTCTGCGATCGATTATCCTCATTCCCGCATGCAGAAGCTTTGGTCAATCAATGTCGATGGCTCCTTTTACTTTGCCACTGCAGTAGCCAGACACTTGATGCAACGCAAGTCGGAGGGTAGCATTGTACTTATTGGAAGCATGTCAGGCAGCATTGTGAATGTACCGCAAATGCAAGCACCGTATAACATATCAAAGGCGGCTGTGAAGCAGATGGCGAGGACTTTGGGGGTGGAGTGGGCAGAGTACGGGATCAGGGTTAATTGTATTAGTCCGGGATACGTCAGAACTGCCCTGTAAGTTGTGTTCATGCAAGACGAGATTTGAAATCGGGATGCAAGAAAAAGGCTAATTTCGCCATCAAAAAGGACCGACGAAATCATCAAATCCAATCCAGCGCTATACGCAGAATGGGTCTCACGCACACCCGTCAAACGTCTTGGTAAACCATCAGATATTGCAGGAGCAGTCGTTTTTTTGTTATCTGATCTAAGCACATACATGACGGGGTCAGAGATACTAATTGATGGTGGTTACACCTCGATCTAGTATAATTTGACGATCTGCTCCATTTCAAGTTTGAGATTGAGGAGACCAATGCCATTACTGACGAAGTTGCTCAATGTCTAGGACCATTCAACTATTTTGTTTTAAGAAAAGAGGGTTAGTTAAGTACTCGATCGTAAATATTTGAACTCGGAAGCATGATAATCTATTTACGATTCCAATATTGTATGACCCTAGATTAGATTCCGATCGGACTTGTCCTTGTATTTTAGAGGTCGTGAAGATTTTCGGAGACCTAGTAAGGCAAACTTGAGAAAGCGAATTCGTGGAATATACAGCCTTATTTCAGAGTAGATATTCTATATATTTCTTACAATTCAACCATTACGCAATCACGTAATTAAAGATGACACGAACAGTTCTAAGCCTAAAAATAATTTTTGTTTTTTCTACCAAGATACCACTTACTCTTGGATGGATGGATCCTTAGAAAGCAGCTGTTTGGAATACATTGCCGTAACTGAGGTCTAAATGTCTCTAAATTAACTCCTTTTAGGCCAAAAATGGCATTCAAATCTTTATCATTGACAAGGAAGATCTCGTCTACCTTGTAAACGGCATGCGAACAACAAAACCCTTTCTCATCACGTACAATCATGAAGTTATCGCTTTCCAAGAGCAAGCTTATTCTCATAAGTCGTCAAATCCTTCATCACATCCCGAATCCAGGCCTTAGTCTCCTCTGGACATTCCATTAAGGGCGCCCTTGGCAGTAACTTTCCTTTATATCCCCCAAGCCACTCTACCGCGTACTTGGTGCCATTCATTCCGGTCTTGCCCATTCCCCACTCGGCCTTGCTAATCATTCCTTGCAGCTTCTGCGCCTCAGCGAGGTTGCCTGACTGGAAAAGTTCAAAGAGCTTGACACAGGAGCGTGGATGCGTGTTGGCGAGTCCAGTTACAGCGCCACAAGAGTTGGCAATTAGGCCAGGGACAAGCCAGTCACTGGAGCCGCCGAATACGGCAAAGCGGCTAGGCGCAAAAGCGGCGGTGAGACGTGCCAGCTTGCCTACGTTTCCGCATGTCAGTTTGACACCGACGATGTTCTGAGATGGAGTTGTAAGTATCTCAATTGAAGACGTTTTGGAATACACGACGGTTTAACATACGGGATGGTGAGCGAGGCGGGAAATGAGATCCGAGTTCATATCAACACCCTGTGTGACAGCAGGGAAGGAGTATATGATAACTGGCAGTGGTGACCTATCAGCAACCTAGATGAGATGATAAGAGTCAGTCTCGCGTGTTGTTTTGGGTAAGATCGTGGAAACATTCACTGAGGACGATTTGGGAATATCACAAAACGTACCATGGTATAGAAGTTCTCGATCAGAACAGGTGTAGAAGCAGCAGCCCAATAACTCGGCGGCAGAACCAACGCAAACTCGGCGCCGTTGGCTTTCGCATCCTGACATAGCTTAACCGTTTCCCTCACACTCTGCGCTGAACAACCAACCACAAGCGTGGTCGTCGCGTTCAACTGCTGCTTGACGTCGTGCACGGTCTTGATTATGGCATTGCGTTCCTCGTTCGCCAGCATTGGGGCCTCGCCAGTGGTTCCTAGGACAGTGATACCGTGAACGCCGGCCTCGATGAGGTACCTGGCATGTCTGGCTTGTGATTGCAGGTCGATATCTTGTGCATCGTCGTCTGTAAAGAAGGTGATTGTGGGACAATATATGCCCATGGGGACAGAGGTGCTTTCTTCTGATATGGAACCCATCTTAACTTGTTCTTGCTCTTATTCTGTGCTTTTCATTGATCTATGAAGGATGTTTTATTGTCTCCACCAACGATGGTCGTAATACTCGGAGTGCCTACAGACGATGCAGATTCGAGGACGCATGAACAAGGGAATTACTTCTTGATGGTTTCCGAAATCTAAGAATGCAGAAGAGAAAAGGTTGGGGGGGAAGACAAAAACACCCGGAAACGACAAAGAAAGGTCTCCAATTAAAGCGAAAGTGCGGAACTTTCTCTCCACAGAAAAAAGGACGGCTCAACAGCCCTCGCATGCCGGGCCTGGATTTGCATCTAAAAATTTGAAGACCTCGGCGTACCTGATTCACGGCGAGCGAAAGATTCGGCGACCGCTTCTCTCAGCCTCGTGTCAGCGCATGCACCCGCGGGACCAGTCGCAAATGCAAGGGTCATTGCCGATCGGCTTCCCGTCGGCACGACGGGAATGTCAAGGTTTTTTGCTATGCGAGTGGCAGGTAGGAGAGCCTGACGCAATTGGTTTTTTGGGCAAAAAAGAATTTGCTCGCAGAAGAAGCCGCTGATCCTAATGTTGGGGCTAACTAACCCTCAAAGATCAGGAGATCCGCTGTCACGACTATTTCTCGCCCAAACTGACTCGTGAGAAGAAGTCCACACGCGTGCAATATGCTATAGTCGCCAGGTCCAAAACACTGCGAGCAGATGGCTTTACAGCACAAGATAGTCAACGATCGAAGTCCCCTCCGAAACTCTATCCGTCAGTCCTCTAGTATGATAATGCCTGTTTACTTGTTTTGATCCTTCTCAAAGCAGACGAGTGCTAAGCACAAGCACGTAGATAATGAGAATTCTCGTGACACTCGCACTACCAATTTGCTAGCTCTGACAACAAATTACAGCCTACATGCATAGTGGATATGTGCGTGCTCAAGATATCTATCAGTCCTCTGTAAAAAATTTTTGGATTCCTGCCTACGATGTATGGATTGAGGAGAAAAGATCGTTTCGGGTTGGGACTTATGTGCGGCGATGCACACCAAGTTGATTTACAAGAGAGATTACAAGCACAATGTTAGTGATATAGCTCCATTGCAAATTTCAGGGACGATTCAGGTCTTTATGGTGCGATTCTATGGATATGATACGTCGCAGCGGTTTTTTGTTCTGTGTGGGCACGAATTGGGTGAGTTCAGGAGAGTTCGCGGTGCTTCGTGTTTTTGATGACTACTTCATGTCAGATAATGTCGTGTAAGTTCTTAGCAAGGCACAACGCATGACTGGGAGGTCAAACGCTAAGAACCTGGGAAAATTCCCCTTTCTAGTGGGACTTCTTCCGCAGTGGGAACTTTTCCCTGTCCCCTGCTGAGAGTTCTATTCCTCATGATGTGTATTCATTAATTGATGCTTTGTATCTCGAAGTACGCGAGATTGATTTACTTCGACGTATTAGAAAACTTGGGTCTTTTCGTAGATTTATAAGTAAGAAACATTGTGCACAATATCTTATCATCTTTCAATTTGCATTCGAAAGCGAAGATATACTTTCGACTGAAGCCAAGAATTAGATAATCTTCTTTGATGGACACAGTTCGTTCGAGAAACTTGTTTGTTACTCTCGGGAGATTAAGCGATCTCGACATTTCCAAAACCAAAGAAATTGAATTAGAACCAAAATAATGGGTTCTATGATCCCTTTTATTTTTTTTTCATTTCTCCAATATTATTTTATCTACTTCACTTCGTCAGCCTTCTCGACTTGGTGCTCAATATGGCAAACGTCAGCAGCAGCCTTGAGTGACGGATCCGGTGAATTCAGAATCATGGTCTTCTCTTCCTCAGTGGGGTAAGCACGTTTAAGCATTGTGAAAGCAGATTTCTCGAACAGACGATCCATGGACTCGATAGATCGCCCTTTCAGTTCTGGAAAAAAGAAGAAGACCCAAATGACCGAGCCGAAGGTGAAGACAGAGAAGATGAGGTAGGCGCCCCACTTATGGAGGTTGAGCATCATGTACGGCGTGCTTCGCGTAATGGCAAAATTAAGGAGCCATTGGAAGGCGTAGACAGAGGACATGGAGATGGCACGGACTCTATTGGGGAAGATCTCAGAAGGGACGACCCAAGGGATGACAGACCAACCGAAGGACCATCCAAAGGCGTAAATAAAGATGGAAATAACACCGACGTATCCACCTGCGCTGACCTGTCCTGTCTTGATAGTGGCCACCTTTACAAAGATGGTGAGATAGAGCAAGCAGCAGGCTTGGATTGTGGCTCCGATCATGAGAGGCCGTCTACGTCCAACATTGTCCACAATCAAGAAGACATAGATCAAGGTTGTGCAAACTTTGACAATGCCGTACACACCCGTCGCGAGCAGGGATGTACTAGTTCCAGTAAGACCGACAGAGGCGAAGATGGATGGTGCGAAGTAGTTGATGGCGTTGGTGCCGGTCATCTGTTGGAAGATCTGGAGGATCATGGCTAGAAGATACCGACGTCGGTTGGCAGGAATGACAGCAATTTCCTTGATGAGACTGAGAACGGAAGAGCCTCCAACGGCAGCCCTTTCAGCGAGAACAGACTCAGTGATCTCTGCAAGCTCTGTAGAGACAAAGGGATGATCGGCAGGCAGCTGGCGGATATATGTAAGAGTGCGAACGGCTTCATCATGGCGGTCATGAGTGATCAGATAGCGAGGAGACTCTTTCTGAAACAGCATTCCAATTAATAAAAGCCCTCCAGGAATCATCTGGATTGCCATTGGCACACGCCATTGCTTATCGCTGATGTGTTTCCATTCGCTGACGGCATACTGCTGGGAATCAGCTTACTGAACATTACAAATTTTGAGAGTGTATGAGTGTATGACTTACATTAATCCAGAAAGCAAGAGAAAGCGATATGAGTATGATCAAGTTGAAACAGGTAGCTAAGGATCCACGGATCGCCTTTGGTGCGCTTTCAGAGACGTACATTGGAGCGACAACGGCGCAAAGACCGGTAGCAATACCAGCGATAACACGACCGGCATAGAGAGTGCCTATGTACGGGATTAACAAGCCGCAAAGAATCGTCCGACGCTGTAGATACCCACCAAGATTAGCAACAAGCTGGAGAGAGCAGCCAATAAGGAAGATGACAGCTCCGATCATCAAAGTCATCCGTCGACCAAACCGATCAGCTGATGTGTATGCCAAAAGAGAGCCAAGGACAGCTCCAGCTTGGAGAGTGGTTACAATATTGGCGGAGAGAGTGGGAGCTTGGTAAGCATTTGGACCATTTGCTAAAAGACCAAAGGTCTTCTTGAACGAAGGCAAGACAATGATGCCGCTGAATACGTGTAAGCCAACGCCATTGCGAAGATCTGGACCCAGACTGAACCTACCCAATATTCCCGGTATCAAAGCCAAAGAGAGACCCTGCCATACAGGCGCTGCCTGTCGCAAAAACAAGTCTCCAATTGAACACCTCAGAAGGCATCGCCTTCACATCTGCGCTGGTGAGGAAACTGAACATGATGGGCGGGTGCAGACTACGGTGAGTTCTCGAACACCTCTGTGGTCGAAAGCGCTCTCGGACTAAAAGCGACCCGGTTTTTTCACCGTAGTTGAGAAAGTCTGGAGACGATGCTCTGGGGGGAGCCAATTCATGTGGGGACACATTGGGGTAAATATGCATTTTGCTCAGGGTTGGACCAGGACGGAGGCGATTGGTTGTGTCGGCGAGGCCAAACGACCTCGTCGATGCAAGCGACGGTGTGGACCCTTGGAGTTGGGTCGAGGGAGGAGGTAGCCGACGATGTGGAGAAGCGGCCCCGCGTCGATAGTCCGGTCGAACCGTCCGGGGTAAACGCCCCCGAGAAGCACTGCATGCCATTCGTCTGAGTCGCTCGATTGGATTGCGACGTTAGGTGAAGATATACATGCCTCCTGCTGAGATTCGAGGCCCACAGTAGCGATGGGTGGTAGCAGGGAATCATGAATTTCGTGTTCGCTGTCTTGCTTTTTCCACGACAGCATTGGTCAACTGCTTGCTACTTGTAAGAAAAATACGACTAGATGCAAATAGATCATTTACGTCTTTTTCAGGAGCAATCTCCTGCTGACATGGCGTCCGCCAAGATCTGAAGAGCATACTGCGAGGGTGGTTCAAGTCCGAGCAAATCACGAGCAATCAGACAACATGACCCACTCGCATTGTCTATATTTCACGTCGTCTAATGCTCTTACCGGCTTATCAAATAAAATGACTTGTCTCTTTGGGCTGTTTTATCCAATGGATGATCTGACCAGGTGATACTCTAATTGAAGAATGCCATCGTTTTGGAACTAACCCTGGTCAAAAATGATACACGTAGGTCTTGTTGAACGAATTGTGCAGCCACTACATTTTACAACTGGCATTTATCGAGGTGTAATTCGCAAATCGGAACGCTGGATGAAAAAGAAACCATAAAACACACTTCTCCATGCTACGTCAGTCGAGCAGCCTCGAGGTGCACATGTTTTATACCGCTTCTCTCATACGTGTAGCTGACATGCACACCACCTTTTCCATCACTGATGATAGCCGGATAACTAAATTCACTTTCGCCATCGTTCACAATGCCCTTAAGTTTTTTTTGTTTTCTTCAGTACTTGCTTCTTCTGTTGTGTTTGAATGTGAACTTACCGTATCTAGCGCTACAATGCTGGTAAATCCAGCTGGTGGTGGCTTATCTTCTAAGCTCACGATCGTTCGCCAAGTTTTACCCTCATCTGAAGAGCTAGATATTACCAGAGGCGTCCGTGGGCCCTATAAAGGTCATGTTTGCAGCAGTCCTCAACGACTTCGAAGGTGAAACATACCCATCTCTGTTGCACCGGATTATGTACCACAAGCCATGTTCCATTTTCGAGGCGAAGAGCGTCCAGGCCACTATTGTTGTTGAACAGAGGGGTCAAGTACATCTTTCCCCAGGTCTTTCCATTGTCGTCAGAATCAGATCGGGCAACAAAGCCAGCAGAGCTCCGTGTCAACATCGTAATCTTGTTAGGAGCATAGTTGATCAAACTTGGCTGAATAGCACCCTCTCCTGGCCATGATGTCCGATCAATTGGCGCGAATTCTGACCGCTGCCATGTTTTGCCACCGTCAGAAGAACGGTCTGTGAAACAATTCCAGACCCCATCTGGAGTTTCCAAGGAAGATGGAGCAATTATGGACCCATCGGACAAAAGGATAGGCTTGTTTTTTACAGGTCCACGGCCACCTAATCTACATTAGAGCAAGCCTCGAGCGGGAAAACATATGAGCATATTACCTTTGTCTCCAGGAACAAGTTCTCGTGGCCTGCTCCAAGTGCTTCCGCCATCCTCGGACTCAATAACTTTAGTATACCACGATGAGATTGGAGAGCCAACTTTGTAAAAGAGGAGAACTTTCTCGGGATTTTGAATTTCCAGCAATACAGGATTCCAATGTGCTAATCCATCCTCAGCAGCTACAGGGTAGGAATCGGACCAGGAGCTATCTGCTTGAGACAAGTCACGTGTTGATAACCAAATCTTGGTGTCGGGATATCCCTCTTTGGTGCCACCAAACCAGGCACAGAGCAGTTTCGTGCCTACGAGAAGGAGAGTGCTAGCGTGCACTTCCGGCTGACGGGGATCTGAACGTACAGGGAAGGACATAAGTGTTATTCTTGTAGCTCCAGGTCAGGATATGTCTGCATTGCTGTTTCGCACTACAGTTTTGCCAGCATCTCAAAAGTTGCGTGAGCAAGACTCTTTGACGAGATTTTCAACCACACCATCAAGCCAGCAGTTTATAGAGTCATGCGAAGAAGGCGCCAGCAGAAGACATGACAGTTGATAGAGACTGACGAGAACGACATGGAGAAACGCCCCGCAAGCGATCGGTTCGAGATCGCTTCGATCGGAAATGTGCGGGTCCCCGCAAAACAAAATTGGCACAAGCCGACCCCGCCGACATTGGCGAGGAGAATTTCCCGTGCCATCGTTTCGACAAACTACAACCTCGCCCATCTTCTATCCCACAATATTCGGCTGCTCCGCTTTCTTTGTTCTCATCTCGCTCGGCTTTTGCATCAACTGTCTCTCACGAGGGTGATGGTCTGACCATCTCGTTATTCCTACAACCCCAGCCAGTCCAAGTCCGAGCATCAATCCGACTCGAGACGACGTCGCTAGCGTCGGCTCGAGTCCTGTTCAGCTTTTCCTTTTCCTCCTCATCGGTACTGCCGGTATCATGACCTCTCCAGTGGGACCTAGAAGCTTCCCTGGTGGTATCAGTGCATCGCCCAATTCTCAGTCACAGTCCAATGACGGGGAGCACGAGCCGACAAACTCTGCCATTTCATCGGACCCACAAAGTGCAGCATCTTCGTCTAACCAATATAGCATCGCGCCAAGCTCCAGCACTCGTAGCGGCCCTTCCAGAGGTTTTGGGAGATCTCGTCGAGGTTGCTATACATGTCGGAGGAGGTTAGTCCCTTTTCGAGCCAGTCTAGTGTCACTTCCCATGAGTCTCAATGGCTCAATGCACCTTGCTGATCATAGTCCAGGAAGGTAAAATGCAATGAAGAACGTCCCGTGTGTGGGCATTGCCGTCGCCTTCAGCTTGCATGCAGCTATGAACCTCTATCTACTAGGCCGTTCGATGCTTCCCCAAAACTGCCGGGTCATCGACAAAACGCATCTTTGCCTCGCGAGCAAAATGCTGCACTTTTGACAGCCCAATCCTTCTCTGCGCCTCAAGTGCGAGATAACCCGAGCGAGTCGCGCATTGTCAACACATCTAGAGCTCAGAGCGTAAGCCATGATGGAGATGCAGTGCCAGATTACGAGTCCAATTTGATGGGGCAGATAGTTCCAAACCTAAACTTCGAAGGTCATCTGACAAGCCAGACAACACAACAGCGTATGTCAGGCCCAGATACCTGGGAACTCGAGCTACTAGGAGAGGACAGCCTTTGGGCAAATATTCCTATTCTATCAAACTTTATTTCAGTGCAAGACTCGCCGCCATACGAATATGTGTCCTCCCATGATGTTCCTCAGCCTTTAATGAACCCTACTCTTTCTGGTAATGGACAATTTGTGAATGGCATGGCGGCAAACGGAACGGGAGGAATGATAAATCAGGTACCAAAGCAGCACTCTTCTGATCAAAGTACCTTTTTGCCCGCGGATGAAATCACTCTTTTGAGACATTTTGTGGATTTTGCCGTTCCACCAATACTCATAGGGGTAGAACCCAGATGGAACTCATCGCGAGATGCGCTCCTTCGACTGTCAAAATCAAATCTTCCCTTGCGTCACGCTATTTGCGCCTTCTCTGCTTTATCACTTGAAGAAGCTGAGACAAGGACGTCATCTGCAAGACAGTCATCAACCTTCTATTCCACTCTGGCAATGACTGAATTGAACAAGTTGCTTGATGAGCAGGCAAATGGAAATGCTAGATCAGACTCACAAGAAAGCATTTTGGCAAGTATATTTTTCCTCTCTTATGTTGAGCTGATCGTCTCGAATGCTCCTAAGCGTTCAGTCTATTTATTGGACCGAGCCCATGCTCTACTGAGCAACAGATCCTCTTCTGCTTCCCCGTTATACAATCAGCTACAGATCTGGCTTAAATTGTTGGATGCGAAAGTTGTGAGTGCCGGCGGCAAAGGGATCCATTTGCACACGAATCCGGACACTCAGGATCTCGACATTGTGCGCGAAAGCTATGACTCGTCTGTGATCTGCGAACAGTCCGGTGTAACCACTCCAATTCTAGAAACAGAGGAGATTCTGTTCAATTCGTTAAACCGCCCATCTTACAATTTTTACGTGCAGGTTCTGAACTTTTCAGGCCGCATTGCACGCTTAGACAAATGGCATCGCTCTCGGGGATCCGTGCAAGACGAGCTCGAGGTAATGCTCGCTGCAGATAAGGTCATACGGGACCTTAATGCTCTCTGGACTCGAAGACCTGCAATTATTGACCTTGCAGATCAGAGAGAGCAACTGCGGCAGTATTTAGCCCCAAGCCTTGCAACTAAAGTCGAGCACCATCTACGCACATACACGGCAAACTACTACGCTTGTTTCATCCACCTTCAGCGTGTCGCATATGCACATTTGAAACCTATCTCACAAATAAAAACTTCTGTCGCAAAAATTGTGCATCTTTCTCGACTCACGGTAGATGAGGGGCATGCATTGCCTGTGAGCATGCTCTGGCCGCTGATGATGGCTGCATGCGAAGCCGAGGATGAAGAGACGCAAAATTGGATTATCAATTGCATCGAGGGAATGAAAAGTAAAGTTGGGAACGCGATGAGAACAGCTAAGCTGGTTAGAGAGATTGTGAAGAGACAAAAGAGTGGTCAGAGAGCAGATGCTAGGACGGTCATGCATGAGGCATTTGGAGCAGTCTTCGCCATCATTTGAACTCTCAACGGGAGCTCTTTCTAGACTTTCCTATCACCTAAATACTTAGACTACCCTAAGCCATAAACATAACTATCTTATTACTTTCCCTTCCTTAATAAGCTCTAGTTATCCGTTGTTCCTCTGCTCTAGGAAGCTTATCCCTTCCGAAGTGGCTTACGTTAGTGAAGCTAGTCGGTTATAGGATAATATTCCTAACATAGATAAACTAGATAGTTGAATTACAGAGAGCGAAGTATGGTGAAAGGCTATTCCTTTATACATAGTAAAAGTAGGTACTTACCCTGCTTATTTAATGAGTAATATGAGTGCTTCCTGTAACTATAATCTATTCTAACCATGCCAGCCAATAGTTCTCCTAGTGCTATGCAACCTGATCATCTTGATCATTCCATGATCAACATGATCACCTTCACGTGGCCTTATGTTACTTTGTAACATGGAGGAGGCTTAAGATTATATGAAGCGCTAATTCCAGCTACAACACCGCAAATCATATGTTATATCTATTATAGATATAATTATTTGGCTTCAGAATATATGAAATATAGGATAGATTACTAGTATATAATGTGATGGTTGTTATACATATATTTAAAGTTCTTGATGGCTGATGTACTGCGCAACTTAGTAGGGTACGCAACTTGGTGGTGAAACAGTGAAAAACGATACAACAGATGTGGATGGGTTCCATGTGACTTGCCTGGCATTCCAGGGCTAACTTCGCTTTGCTGGACAACGTCAAGAATCACCAAGCACAATGACCAACTAAAAGATTTACTCCTGACATCTCCAAGCGAGTTCATCAGTGTAGTTTCCTGGACCAACGTAAAAATTTCTAGAGGGATACTTGCAATGCCTACGTTTATACGCATTTCCGGACTCTTGATTTCCGTTCACGAAACCAGTACCACGAATATACTCAGGAGCTTCATCACGCTCAACCCATGCAACTATCCGAGCAAGTACGTTGTCTTCTGGAGCCTGCTCCAAAGCTTTTACCTTGGACCCAAAGGAATACATGCCCAAACTATACGCTCCATTACCCATTGCACAGTGGGCCATACCACTAACGCGAAAGTAACGATAGAACGTGTCAAGAGAAGAAGGCGTCAAAGACATCGCTTTAGCCACTTGAAGATAATATACGGTGCTGATCTCCGACGAAATGATGTTATCCTCCAAGCCGTGAAGGGCAAGGAGTTTTCCGCCTCTGTTCTTGAAAGCCGTCAGATTTGCATTAAAGGTGTTGATATCGAACGGATTATGTGCTGCGGCTGTTGCAAAATCGGCCTTTTTCAAAGTCTTAGGGTCAAAGGCAGGGTCGTAGACGACATATCGATACCAAGCCGAGGCGAACGCGGAGATTCTTCCTGAAAAGTAGGCGCCATAGCTTGTGAGCTCTGTGCCTGGCTGAAGTCGAGGGTACAAAAAAGCGCCAGTGGCATCATAAAGAGGTTGGTAGATGGCTTGGACTTTTCTCAATTGAGCTTCGTTCAGGCATGGTTTATTTTTTCTTGCCGGGTGGCTGCAGATGAGGGCTGTAAAGTCTGGATTACAGAGATCCGGATCTTCGATAATTCTGCACAAAACTGGTCACTTAAAAAGAATAATACTTGTAGTGAAGTGATTTCTCACCTATCTGCAGCACCATCGAGCGTATCGCATTGATCCAAGACTTCTTCGTGGATGGCTTCCCAGACAGATTCTGTGATGAAATCTGGAGACTCTGTGTCAAAACCAGCTATAATACTAAGCCATGCACCCCAATTAATGAAATTAATGAAGTTAATTGCAGGAGCGGCAGCTATAATGCCGTCAAATATTTGCGGAAAGGACTGTGCCATTTTGAACCCCTGTCTTCCTCCTCCTGAGCAGCCCATGAAGTAGGATTTCGATATTTTCCTTTTGTAGAATGCTTCAACGACTTGCTTGCCAACGATAGCTCCAACATAGGTGGCACGATAGGCATAGTCTTCCAGAACTTCAGGATGTTGATAAAAGTGCTTCGCGGATGTTCCATTATGGCCATTGTTTCCGCTAATTGTCGCAAACCCCGAATATGAGCCATATGATAAGTCTGTGTACTGTATACAGCCTGAAAGGCCACCATTACCTCCACTAAGTAACCGACCCGACCAATCTGCAGGTAACCAGGCTTCCAGAGTCACTTCACTTAATCCCGAAGTATTTATATGTAAGGCGATACGACACGTGTCCGCATGTATTGTACGGTTGGGTGAGGTGCCTTGAGACTTCAAACATGACCGCGGCTGCTCAAGTCAGATGAAGATTGAGAAGCACCATCACTCAAACTCACAACGTCTGGAATTGATAATTCGTATCCCTGTGGTAGGAACTGACTAAGATGGACTTTGGCGATGGGTATGTCAAATTCAGAAACAAAGGAAGAGCAGACATCTCGGAAGCTTCTCTTATGTGAGTGCGAATCGAGGAGTGGTGCTTGACTGGCTGCTCCTGCTATTATTCTGAAAAGGTAGAGGAAAGGAAATGTGACAAACATCATAGGGATTTAGGAGTGCGAAGTTTGGTCTTGAATGTCACGACGTTCTAACTCTTGTATAAACGATGTGCACTTCATTTCCACGGAAGTATTACCTCAGACTTCCGAGCGGAATACATTTCCAACGTATTCGCGGTCGTATCCAGCAGCAGTGAATACGACGGTTAACATGAAGGGGTTATGAGGGACTGACGAAGCAGGCCTAAGCTAGAAAGGGACAGCTACCCGCCATTAAGGATACGTGGCGTTAGGATGAGATAAAACGCCCAAATCAAATTGCCGTCAACAAGACAGGGGCCATCATAAATGTGGGGCGCAGATATAAACGCGCGAATCCAAACGATGAAAATACGTCGTATAGATCACGTGACTACACGCTGTCCGTCTTCAACTCGTGGTTCGACGCTCCGCGCCAAGCCTGTTTGATGTGAGAGGATTTGAAGAGAGCATACGTAGGTCCGTGACTGGGGATAAGGGAAGAGGTTCAAATATAAAAAGACATGATAGGGATTCTCAATTTGAAAGCAAGTCCCGAGTTGCTTTGCACACCCTATCTCTTGCAAAATAACTTATTCCTGAACCAAACCTTTCATTATCTGCAGGCATCTCATCTATTAATCATGGCCGTACTACAGACTACGAAAGGAGGGTATTATCTCTGGAATTACCTTCCATCGATTCCCGCAGCGGTAATATTTATCCTCTTATTTTTGATCATGTCGGCTTTGATTACATGGAGAACGTTGAAAACAAAAGCAAAATTTTGTATCCCATTCGTAATTGGCGGAATCTGTGAGTATTAAATTACCCTTACACTAGATTCATGTACTGAGAGAAAACGCAGTCGAATTTGCTGGATACTGCGCCCGAGCCTCAGCGTACAACAAGACCGGGAAAATTATGCCTTACGCCGTACAAAACCTGTACATATTACTTGGCCCAGCTCTATTTGCAGCGTCAATTTACATGTGTCTTGGCCGTATTATTCATGGTGTTCGCGGCTATCAGTGTTCCCCGGTTCCGGCCCACAAACTCACAAGGATATTTGTTTCCGGCGATGTCGCCTCCTTTATAGTCCAAGGAGGCGCGGCTGGTCTAATGGTCACAGGAAAGTTCGTCAAAATTGGGGAGGGAATTGTTATATTCGGTCTCTTGATCCAAGTCATTATGTTTGCATTCTTTATCGTCACGGCGATCATTTTTCGAAAACGAATCCGACGAAATCCAACTGAAGAGTCGCTAGACCCGAATATTCCCTGGCAAAAAAGCATGAAAATGCTTTATAGTGTCAGCACTCTTATCATGCTACGATCTCTTTTTCGTGTTATTGAGTATGCCTTAGGGAACAACGGTTATCCTCTCAAGCATGAATGGACACTGTACATTTTCGATACGGTACCGATGTTTTCTGTTATGGTAATATACTATCTGTGGTTTCCGACTTGGATCTCGGTGAATGGAGTTGGATTCAAAACAGGACAGACTTTGTTCTCTATGGACCACTCGCGTTAGGTTAGCATGATTATCATGAAGCGCAGCCAGATGATAAAGGAGAATTCCTTAACTTATATTTCATGGGACATTCAATCTAGATATATGATTTTATATAGCATCTTTACAATTAAATTTTCGTTGTTGGGTTATTTTCGAGAGAAGCTGTGTATTTAGCTCGGCACTTGCTTTGTCAGTAGAGGTGGACTCTGAATGAGGCTAGCGTATTGCCTATTCAGGATCCGTAACTACTGGATAGCAGAGGTGCCCAGGGGGGGAGGGTGGGGCGGTGTGAGAGAACACCTGGCAGGCAGGATAGCTTGAGATCAGTTAATCCAATCAGACATCGACCATACATTGAGCACACTGACATGCCTTAGGTGGCTTAGTCAGCGTATTCGCATTCTCGTCAAATCTCCGTTCCGCGTCCCATCTCGACTCTTTGATTTCATTCCGCAAGTTCTGATGCCAGAAAGTTGCTATGCCCCAACGTCGGCCGCATAAAAAATCTAGGGCTGGATGTCAAGAATGCAAACGTCGCCATATTAAGGTGAGCGGCCCATTATCTCCCGAGACTGCATGAACTTCTTAACATTCGTTTTCTAGTGCGATGAAGTCCGGCCCACTTGTGAAAACTGCTCTTTGTCGAGTCGAAATTGTGTGTACAGGCACCCTGTCTTACATTGCCTCCGGCCCAGTCTCCAAGCCTCCAGCCTTTCATCTTCCAATCAAGTCGTTGAAGTAAACGTAGCTGGATCTTCATGTCCACCAAACCCAGCGAACTTGCAGACGGCTGAAATCACTGCCTCGACAAGTCCAGCAATAACAAGCATTTCAAAACCAGATAGCCCAGCTTACAGTCAGGTTGACCTGTCAACTCAGCCTCTCAATATGGGACATATGCAACTTCTAAGTAACTTCATATTCGAGACAATGCCAAGCTTAGCCGAGCACAGAACGTTTGATCCAACTTACAGTCAGCGGATAATATCTGTTGCTCTTAAAACCCCATATCTCATGTATGAAATTATGGCACTCTCTGCTGTACATTTAAGTCGTACAAGAGTTAGTCAAGCGAGATATTATCTTAACGAAGCCATCACTCTCCAAACAGAGGCCTTGTCGTTGTTCAATTCTTCCATGGGGGTAAGAAACGTAACCAGGGCTCTTAGTTTAATGTTTGACTAACATGGCCGAGCAGAATAAGAGCATTGGCACTACCGCAGAAACTGACATTCCTTCGGCAATAAACGATATACGCAAAATTGAATCAGCTCCAATGTTGCTTTTCGCCAATTTTCTTGGCATTCACGCTCTTGCAGACACAATATCACGAGCAAAATCGGATCCAAATAGCTCGCTCAATGATTTTGTGTCGTATCTATATCTACATCGGGGAGTTCGCTCCATCATTGGGCAATCTTGGAATTCGCTGCTGCACTCTGATATCTCTCCGATTTTAGTTGACACACAAGCGTTGCTATCTAATAATTCACCAAAACTTGATGAAGAAATATTAGAGATATTTCAGCGTTTTAACAGTCTAGTCGATGAAGCTGATATGGATGAAGCTTCGAAAATTGCATGCCGCAGTGCTATTTCACTCCTGCAATTTGTCTATCGATATGCATACCCTATGCGTAGTGAAAAGAACCAAAAGAGACCACCTGGCATAATCTGGGCATGGCCTGTTATGTTGCCTGGTGAGTTTTGTGATTTACTAACACAACGTAGGCCTGAAGCCCTTATAATCCTTTGCTATTACGGGATTATTCTTCATGAGCATCGTCATCTCTGGTTTATAGATTGTATGGGTTGGATAATTGTTACCAGCATATCAAATTTCTTAGGTCCCTATTGGAAATCATGGCTAGAATGGCCAACAAGAATAATCTTTCAGATTCCTACATAGTTATTGAGATATGATTAGAACGTATTGTTATACAAATGCAATTTCTCATACGGATAAGGGTTAGGGTTAGGGTTAGGGTTAGGGTTAGGGG